CTAATATACTAGGCCTAGGAGTTAAACTACAGTTATTACTACTATACTATAGAAGTAGAATAAGCCCTAATACCTAATTAGATAGAAGGAAATTCTTTTAAATTATATACTATCGCTTAGGCTCTACTTTAGAGATATATATACTAGCCTAAGTAGGAGTATTAAATAGTATAGTCTAGATAGGTAGACTAAAATAGATACCTAAAGTATCTATACTAAGAGTTACGTAACTAAAGGGAGCTTATTTTACTTTAGGTCTCCTACTTCCTAGAATAAACTAATATAATTATACCTAGGTTAGTTTCTACTATTATTTATTAATTTAGTTACTTCTACTATATTTAATACCTATATAAACCCTATAGAGTAGTTTTAGCTTAATAATAAGTAATAAATCGAGAAGTTAAGTACGAGCCGTATCTATTAAGTAGTAGAAGTCGACGCCGGTCGTTTTCTCGTCTCGTTTCTAGATCGAATAAAGTAGAAATCTACTCGTAGGCGTACGAGTCGCTCGTCTAGCCGCTATTACTCGTAGAGAAGCGCTAATTCGCCGGCTTATTAGGCGGTATCTACCTAGTATTTATACATTTCGCCTTAAAAATAAGAAGCGGCGGTAAAGCTTCTCTAGAGGTATAAATATACTCGATAGCTATAATCTACTTTTATTTCTAGATAGCGAGTATATAGTCTATCGATCTACCTTTTACTAGGTTAGAAAATTGAGGTTATAGAGGAGGAGTTTAGCGTCGAAAATAGGACTCGAGAATAGCGTATCTCGAAAGCGAGTTCTCGCGCGAATTTAGGTAAAACTAAGTAGCTATACTTCGATAACTTCGAGATTTACTTAATAAGAATCTACTCTTCGGTCGTAAATAGGTATTACTCGTATTCGTATACGATAGATCGAGAAACGCCGCTAGCGAGCTATAGTCGAAGCGTAGATTCGCTAATAGAAAACGCGGTAGTATACTTACGTTTCGAGGTATATAGATTATTCTTATAAGCAGATATTGCGTCTAGTATACGCTGCTCGAGATCTATAAAGTAGAAGAGTTAAAAGTTAAGCGTGTCGCGAGAAATTAAAAGAAAACGCGAAAGTGTCGCGGATCCGTACGCAGCTTCACCGTCTACGTAGCTTCCCTATCAAGTACGTTAATTACAGTTTGTATTAATGTAGGGCGACTCATAGATTATATCAAAAAATCGCTTCTCTAGACTCATATCTCTTACCCAAAGCCAAATACAGGCTCTTAGCGTATTGCAGCATCTGTTTAGTCGAATGCTCCACCCAATACTTCCTATGTAGGGGTGCATGCCTTGCTGCATAATACACTGAGTGAAATTTTGAGGAAGCACCACGGACATCTCAAAGGACTAGGACACAAAGCCCTCACCTAGCTTTTGCGAGACGCGTCAACCTGTCTTTTGCCACACTACGGGAACAGTGTCACGTCATTTAGGATTAGAAGTTGAGACCTCTTAATTTCGCTCAGAACAGTTTGAACCCAGCGATGAAAGATACGATCTATCTCCGTTTACTTATTTCGGCTTCTCAAAATCAAGTCTAGGCTGTGACTATCCCGCGAAGTTCGCGAAAAACGTCTTGCAGTTGTCGCTGTCGCCAATCGTAGCCGCCGTAGTGGAACATGTCATCGGTCTTGGTCCCCAGGATCGGACCAGCAAAGTTGTGAAACTTGGCGCAGATATCTTCGCGGTTCATGGGGTTGTTGGGGTGGCCTTTGGGATCACGGGCGTAGACTTCGTGTGTTGTGCCGTCCTTCAAAGTGGCAAGCGCGCGTATTGAGAAGATATCAGGCCATTCTGATTCGATTTTATCGTCCGCCTGAACTCTGATCTTACTGATCAGGGGTCGCCATCGATCGCTCGCCAGCGTCGCATCGCTGTATGAGTCCAGGTTCACGTTTCCATCCAGAAGCCCCATGGTGAATGTGTAGGGAAGACTGTGGTCAGCAGTCTCGTGAGTCTTGGGGTTCCACTTTGCGGGCTCACTGCCGGATTCGTGCCAGGAAAAGTGAGACGCGTGAAGCAAGACATCCTTGATTTGGGATACGTCGATCTTCTCGCGCAGCTCTTTTGCACACCAGATACCGATCTGGGTGCTCGCGGTGGACGGGAAGAACTTCAAAATCGTACCTTTGATGGCCCAAGTACCAAACGGCTCAAGGTTCATTGGTCCAGCTTTGCCCTCCATGATCTCAATATACCCGTGACGACCCTCGAATGGATGTGGTGGGGCCGTTAGACCTGCTTCTGCCAACTGACAGGAAAAGACGGCAGCACGTGCACTGACTGCTGTAGCCACCCCTTTGTAGTGAGACAGTTCCCCGGCTCGCTGCGCGCGCAGAGGCAGGCCATGGCAGGCAGCGAGCGATACTGCCGTCTTAGTTTGTTGGTGGCTATAATCCAGCATGTGTGCAAGTGCTGCAGCTACCCCTGTAGCCACGAAAAAGCCCTGGTCCACGGAAAGGTTATCGACCAGTGCCCCTTTGTGCTTATGATAGGTCCTGTGGCGCAGCATGAGAAGGTGAAAGACTTCGTAGGCGACTGCAAGGCTGATGAGTAGTGTACGACCGCTGAGCTCGCGCGCACCAGCGACAGCAATGAGCGGTCCCAACATGTCGCTCGGATGGCCAGCCGTCATCGAATCGTTACAGTCGGCATAACGGATCATAGATGAGTTCCAGAAGGCTGCTGTCTCCAGTGTCACTTTCTGGGTGCTTCCCACCACGGTACCCTCGTCTCGCGGGCTTCGCGCTAGTTGGGGGATGGCGGCGGCCGCACGCGGCCCTGGTGAATCCATACCGGCGTAAATGCAGGCGAGTGAGTCGAGTAGAACATTTGTACTAGCCTCGATGGCATCTTGCGGAGCCCCCTCTTTCTGTGCTCTGACTACAAAGTCAGCGATGCTTTCGAGAGCAATATCCTCTGCCATGTCTGCTGATGATACCAGCCCCCTGAGATCTGCATCCCAGCGCCATTTTATAGCTTACATGGAGACGTCTTGTCTTCTTGGAACGGTAGTGCATTGCACCAAGCGTGCTTGTCGGTATGGGAAGTGTGTGACATCGGGCAGGCAACGCCGTAATGTCGAATGCTGCGCGAAAAGCGCTCCGAGGCGGCCGATGCTGGCTATCAGCAGCGATTTGTCTCAGAGCGAGGCACGCCGGGCCGATAGTGCAGCTCTGAAGGAAGCACTATCTTTACTTCCAAGCGGGGAGACACTGTTGAAATCCCGTGCGCAGTGGGCACCCTCCATCTGCGTTTTGGATGCATTTAGTTAGGTTCATGCTGTCAGTCTCTTGTTTTCTAGCAAAGCGTAGGCGAACAAAATTGGCAGAGAACGGCAAACCGGGTACCTGAAGTATATCATCAGCCCCTTTTTCCTGAGCCTCGGATGCTAACCCTTCCAGTAGCTTGTCGCGATGGCGGTCTGAGTGTACACAAGTTTTCAGTGGGACACTTCGTCAATGCAGCATGCTAGTAACTCCATCAGGGGTGCTTGAAATGCGTTGCGTGATATCCAAGAGGCTGGGGATGTCCCCATGCAAGAGAGATCGTCGCCTCGTTCGGGCCGAACATTCGTCTCGAGACCAAGACTGGACCTATAGGATCTTACTTTGTGCAGAGCCTGATCCCCATCTCCAGACATGATTTTGTGGGGTGCGGGGTACGGCAATACGTGGCCTGGCCAGAAGTGTTCTTGGAGATGGCTCCCTGCTTTGCTCTTCGCTTTCCACACCCCTTTCCGAAGACTGCGAGTTCTCACACAACAACACCCTCGTTGATTCTTGGTTTCAACTTGGTATGGCCATTCAATGAAGCCATGAACCGACGTTTGGCTTGCGTTGCCTGTCGCCAGAGCAAGGTAGGCTGTGAAGCCTAAGAACAGGCCACTCGAGGCTGACCAAAAACTTTCAGGTTAAGTGCAATATCTCCGAGACAGGAGAGCAGCCTTGCCAAAGATGCCTCACGAGACACCTCGAGTGCAAGACAGACGCTAGATACAGACGCGTGCCAACCAGAAAGTAAGTGCGCACTACGCTATCCGACGGGCCTTGGCGAACCTGCTCTGACCAACGTATTTGATAGGCGTCTCGAGGAGCTTACAAACGAGCTCGATCGCTTAAAACAATCACAAGCGCATCATAGCTCCGAGCCCGGCCATTCTCCACGTCCCTCCACAAAATCAGCCGCATATACAGAAGATCTTGTGGTCGTCGACAACGTTCAGTCCGAGCGTGCGGACTCATCATGTCTCTCGCGCGATGCAGGAAAAGTTACCGAAAGGGGTCCCAACCATGGATGTCCGAATGTCACGCCAACAGACAGATCCTCACCGCAAGACAACCTCTTTTCTTTGGGCCCGGCGACCTTTCACTTGGACGAAGTGCAAAACATTTTTCAAATGTGGGCCGTGCCAATCATGTCTTTGTCGAGCGCGGCCTTAGCTTACATTCAAAGCAGCTTCTTCCAACTATATCACGAACACCTACCAGTTTTGGATACCCACATAGATCCTGTTGCGACATACTTCGCGAGCCCGCTCCTGTTTTGGATCGTCGTCTTCACAGTCAGCAGAAATGTGTCTGCTTACGAGACTCGCACAAATGACCACTCTGCGCTCTACGACCTGGTCACGAGAGCCGTCTTTAATGGCTATGGCGATCCTCTTCCGACCTTGGAGGCACTTCTCATCCTATCGGCATGGCCACTCCCACTTCGGCGCCAACCAGAAGACCAGCGCTGGTTATACAGCGGTATTGCAATGCAAAAGGCGCTTCAGAACGGACTCCACAGGATCGAGAGTGTACGCGAGTATCAACCGCAAGGGTTTATGCCCACCGCTGCAACCAAGATCCGACATGCTCGTATATGGCGCTGTTGGTGCTATTCCAGTTCCCAGTAAGTAGCACCAAAAAACGATCTGAAGATATCGGCTCTGATGACACCTAGGTTGAGTTGCGAGCTTGGGTTGCCCTCTCTGGTGCCCCTTGACCACCGCAGGCTGACCCCTGATGATTCGACCATCTTCCGGCCGGAATTCCTGGCGAAGCTCCAAATTGCCCTGCAGGTTGGGCGATGTCATGATGTCTTAGATCGAATTGATACGACCCATGGAATTCGCATGATGCGAGTGTTGGAGGAGGATATAGAAGCCATCTGTGCCCCACTCCGGCTGTCTTTCTTGCAGTGGACTCCAAGTGTCGAATTTGTACATCTTTCGCTGTTGCTCGATATGTACTGTACATATCTCTCCGGTGGCAAACCCTCGGTAGTCTCTCCCGAGTTGCAGGCATCCATCGCACGAGTGGCTTCGCGGATGGTAGACATCTTCGCCAATACTTTGAGCTCCCCAGGCCAGCCACCCGGGACCCTTAGGCGACTTCTCGCACATCATCCCAAATGGACCATGAAGAGTGCCACGACAGCCACCTTTGCTCTGATCAAACTGGCATACCTGGACAGGCTTCCGTCTGACCAAATACGACAGATTGAGCAGTCCGTGAGGCTAGCATGCGACGCCCTGGCGAGCGACCCGTCACGGGAGAACTATGAATATCGTAAAGTTGTCAAGGTGGTCGAGGTCCTGTCACGCAAAGGTGTGATTGATTCGGCACTAGCAACGAATCAAATCAAGACACGCTTTGGTGCTTCCGTCTTCTTCGAGTTGCTGTATACTGCTACGGAGTGGCGAAAGCAACATGGAATTTTGAAATCGAATGGCGAGCCCGTCACAGCATCTGATGTCGCACCCATCCAAGCTGTCGACGGCCCTGCTAACGATTTGACACCAACCATATCGGATCTCACCACGTTCGCCTTCGACGATGATTACTGGGCAGCGGGCTTTGACTTCGGCTTCTCAGACATGAGAATGACGGGAAATTCTACCTGGTCGTTTGTTTGAAAATGATAAAAGTGTTGCCTACGTACTACGCTTTTCTGCTAATGTTCACTGGCTTTGAACTTAAAGACTCGTCTAATCGAGTACTTTGGAGCTCTTCTTCCGACTGTTACTCTTGCATAATCTTTTGTTCAGGAATAGATTTCCCCCATTCAATACCCGAAAGTGTTCACTGAAGTTTCCTCGTCCCAGACGACACAAGTGACGTTGCCTGTCAATTCGATCTTTACCACCTCCTTACCGACCAATCCACTGCTCGGGTCGCGTAGTAGGATAGCTACGTTCTGATCGTATTGGTTACCGACTGCTACGAGGGTGCCTGCGGAGTTGATGCTGTAATGGCGCGGAATTGAACCTCCTGTTGAGACAGATTGAATCAGCGAAGGGGCCTTGTGAAGAATGCGACATGCTGGCTTACCGGTGGGCCATGTCTGGTGCCAAAGTAGTGTGCCATCATACTGGAGCGCGAATGTTGTGAGCGAGTCGGAGACTACAACAGATCCATTGCGCTGTGGTATGGAGAAGGTAGAGTCGTTTCGATTCGCAATCACAAGGTATTGACTGTCAGGCTGCAGGTTGGTCAGCTTGAAAGGGCTTTCGAAAGAGACAAGAGCACGACATGTCTTCCGCGCAGGCATACTTACGGATACGTGGACTTCTGATGGCAGCGTGATTTTACCCTCAGTGAGGATGCCGTAAGAGGGTGCTTTGTAGACTTCGCGAAACGAAAGACCGCCGCGGTTAGGTTTATATGTCACCTCGTAGCCTGTTACAGTGCCAGCCAACTCCGATACGACGTAGAAGTAGGTAGGGCATCCCGTTGCGCAGCCGAGACCATATGGATTCCAGAAAGCGCCGTGTCTTGGCCCAGAGCCCGGCGCAGCCTTCAAAGGTTCCAACGGGGTAAGGTCAGATGTGTCTTGGTCCCACGAGAATACACGAACTAGGTCTGCACCTAGGTCTGGCACCACCAAGTATTGCTCTGTGGGATCTAGGATGGTTTCGTGAGGATGTGGGCCATTCTGTCTGTCAGCTACAGGTCCTGGATGCGGCATTGTGAATGGAAAGACTTGATTGAGGCTGAATTCACCCTTGCCGTGCAAAAACCATGTAGAGACCGCAGAGCCGTTATAGTGGGCGACTGCAAGAGCTTGTTGCGTCGTTGCGTTTCCGTAGACAACGGCGTTGGCAACCCCCGAGATTGTGGTGTCGGTCTTGACACGCTTTAGCGTGCCATCAGCATTGATCAAGAAAGAACTCAGTGTGGAACCATTTTGAGTATCGGTGCCCAGACCTTCGCCCAGGCAGTACAGTACGCTCTCACTAGGGTCGATTGTGAGCCAACCTGGATTCGGTGCGCACTCCTGTGTAGTGTAGATCACGGTTGCGGTGTAATTATCGTCCCTTGCGGTCAAGGATATAGCTGTCAAAGTACCGCCATAGTCGGCAATGAAGAGGCGGGTCGCAGCCGCAGACACTGGTCCCAGGACTGCCAAAAGCCAGCGGTTCAACATGAGTCATATGAGGAAGACTGAGGGGAGTCAAAATTATGAAGGCGCGAATATTGCGAAGTATGCAAGTATTAGTGGCTTTGCCGAAGTGTACATCACTGATATACGCTTGCAGTCCTCGCATTGGGCATTTTCTTGGGCGTGTTTTCGCTCGCTTGCCGAAACATTGGGCCCCGTCCGGGGTTGACGCCTTTGCGGAGCAAGGCTGCCATTGGTAAGGCTTCGTGGCCGCGAAAGGTATAACTCGCGTCCGGGGCGCATTTCGCTCCGAACCGCAGTAGGCCGGTTTGCGCTGGCGACGGCGCTGCGAGATTTCCGGCGAAGACAACAAGAACGTGGAGATGTAGACTGAATACAAAACCGGCTTGAGTCAGCGCATCCTTTCGGTGTTGGTCTCTGAACGCCTTATCAACCAGTCCTTAGATCGTTCGCAGCATGGCTTTAGTTTCAGACACCAAGCCTGACGGCGAATACGTGGAAGATGCTCATTCGTACGAAGACAAAGCTGAAAGGTCTACCTTTGCTCAGGACCCAACAGAATCTCACCTTGAGCGCAAGACCAAGCTCAAGATGGACTTGTTCGTATTGCCACTTACATTGATTGTATACTTTCTCGCTAGCATGGTATAATCCCAGGACTCAGCCATAAATTTGCTTCGCTGCTAACACTCCACAGGGTCGCAGCGATCTTGGTAATGCCCAAGTCGCAGGCATGAACAAAGACCTGGGGATCACGGCCGCGCAGTACTCCAATATCGGTAGCCTATTTTACGTAGGCTACTTGGTATTCCAGCTGCCTTCCACACTAGCATTGCGATATTTGACTCCGCCAGTCTTGGTATGTGACATCGAAGTTGGCCACATTTATTGCTGACCTTTTGGTTAGGTATTCTTGGCGATGCTCCTATGGGGAGTCGCCACAACGTGCATGACAGCTGCGACTGACTACAGTTCGGTAGCAGGCCTTCGATTTTTAATTGGAGTGGCAGAAGCGGGTATCCAGGGCATGATATTCTTTCTTGCAATCATCTACACACCTAGGGAATTGACGAAGCGCCTATGTTTTTGCTACTCAGGCTCCGCTCTCGCAGGGGCGTGTAACGGGCTAATGGCCTACGGTATCGTGAATAATATCGCGGGCCGCGATGGTTGGACTTGGCAATGGATTTTTTTGGTATGTTGAGATCTAAGATATCTCCCCTTGCAACCGCGCGCTGCTAATCTCTATCGGTGCAGATTGAGGGTGTCATCCCGATCGGCTTCTCCTTCATTATCCTCGTGCTATACCCTTCGACACCTGAGAAGACGCGAAGCATCTTCTTCAGTGCAGACGAAAAAGCGTTCCTCATTGGACGAAGCAGACTGGCAGCGAACACCGGAGAGTACAAGTTTCGCCCCAAGCTCTTCCTGAGCCTATTCGCGGACCCAGTCTTTTGGCTTCTCACGGTTATGTGCATTGGTGGCACATTCACCATAGCTACACTACAGAATTTCCTTCCGGCCATCATCAGAGGGTTCGGCTGGTCTGCGACGACTGCTCAGGCCATGAGCGTTGTTCCGTACGCCATCGCGTTCGTGACGACTAACTTTTGGGCACAGCTCGCGGATCGATTCAATCAACGCGGCTTCATTATCGTTGCCAATATGCTGCTGGCCATCGTTGGCTTCATCGTTTTGCTGACGGTGTATGACCGTGTTCCGTCACTAATTGGCTGCTGCGTTCTGGTCGCTGGCGCGTATCCTGCGACAGCAATTGGCATTGCATACATCCCTACGCTTCTCCCTGGCCGTAAGTTCTTCTACTTCCCGCGCGTCACCAACCTCTAACCAGCATAGACATCTATCGCGCTAGCGGAGTTGCTCTTGTCAACGCATTCGCTCAAGCTGTTTCAATCGCGGCAACTCAAGCCTACCGGAATCCTGCACATGACTATCGCGAGGGCCATATCATCGCAATGTCAATTATGGCTGCATCTGCCTGCGCCACCACGACCTTGAGACTTCTAACGTGGAGGATGAACAAAGCCAAGAACGCTCAAGGCGACTCGCTCGAAGTCGAGGCTGCGAGACAGCTAACAGTTGATGATTTGGGCAACAAACATCCAGACTTTCGTTTCCCGTACTAGGTCAAAAGCAAGTGTGTTCTACGGATGGCTAAAGAGGAGTGCTGCCACCTACAAGGTATTGCGAGGGCGAGAACACACTTACTCGGCAGAGGAAACCCCCAAAATGTCATGTACTCCTAATCAAAGCTGTAGCTACGAATTGTCTAGCTCCCTGATCAAACATGATTTTCTCCTTGGGCATTACTCCGACGTGAAGGGGTTCCATAAGACGTCGTGTAGCGATTTCAGTTCAACGTGTGATTCAAAATCTGCCAGAATCGACGAAATTCAAAGCAACACCAAGAACGACCACAATCTACAAGACTCATTGAATAATGATGAAAAGTCTCAGAGACTTGTATGCCAGGCCTATAGCACTTTCAAAGTCTCGCTCAGTTTGAGTCTGCATTGTTCATGCACGACTCCAATTGTCTGTGCTGCTGCCATGCGAGCTCCTGCGTAAAAGACTACACATTGCGATCTAATCGTCGACTATATGATCTCTTTCGCTGACCACATTGGGCGCCGATCCACAGCTCGTCTGTCCGAGCGTTCTTAGTTTCACAGTGTCTAGCGGACAAGCAGTGTATTTTGGCGTCACTCTAGCGACCGCGTCTCCAATCTCCGTAATCATAAAATCCAACTTGGTAGAGGCGCGAGAATCAAGCGCATTCGACAATTCAGAAACTTCCCCGAAACCTTTCAGCCGCTCTGTCTCAGCGCGTACGGCGGCATGCCCGAGCGTCGGTCTCTCCCAATTTACCATGAGTCGTCCTCGACCTCACTTGCTGGAGCGTCGGCCTGATCCCGTCTTCGCCTATCTGCTGTTTCGGTGCATTTCGGTGCGATTGCGCTCGCCACAGAGTCGGAGCGGTCAGGCTGCCACCGTAAAGTGACGGAATACTTGCGCACTCAGCTTTCTCGAGGCTTGTCCGCTACTGCGGTTTCCGCATTTCGGCTTAGTTGAGCAACTTATTACTCTGCCTCTTGTTGTTTGCCCACTCAAGCGCCGTTGACAAAGCGGGTGAGAACGTCAGTTTCACGAAGGAAAAGATGTCGCCGATTCCTCTGAGCGTCCAACTTGCAGAGAAGCTCTCTACCATCAGTATCGCAACAGCATCCAGAGAGGAAGTCAGCCTTGTTGTGCAAGCGTTTGTGGATACGGTAAGGCTCTGACTCGCTCTGCCACAGCTTGTATCTTGTCTAATTCGACCTCCCAGATCGGCTGTATCCTTATCGGCAGACAGTACCCATCGGTCAGAACCGTGTCCAAGATATTTGGTCAGCCGCCAGGAAAGTCTTTGATCATAGGCGCTGGCTCTCAGCGAACCACAGACTTAGACGCCACTGTAATCAATGGTGTTGCGAGTCATGTAGTCGACTACGACGACATGGTGGATGGCAGCCATCCCTCGGTACCACACCCTAAGACGCGAAGTCACTCTCTTGTTTGAGACATTTACTGACTTGTTATACACTGGGCTGGTAGGTGACTCTGGTTCCAGTAATTCTAGCCCTTGCAGAGGAACTGGACTCGCCTGGTGAAGACATTCTCAACGCCTACATCGCCGGCTTTGAGACTCACCAGCGCCTCTTGCGAGTTCTTTTCCCCCATCACTATAATAACGGGTGGCACCCGACAGCTACTATGGGCACGTTTGCAGCCGCTAGCGCATGTGCAAGCCTGCTGAAGTTCGATATTACGCAGACCGCGACTACGCTTTCGGTCGCAGCAAGTATGGCATCAGGAATTAAAGCCAATATCGGGACGATGGTAAAATCCTATCACGTTGGTTCGTTTCCCGCCAAGCAGCGCTTCCTTTACACTTGCACGAACCATTGACTAACTCACGTCAACGGCGTCTAGGTCAGTGTGGCCGCAATGGACTTCTCGCAGCGACTCTCGTGAAGAATGGATTTGATGCGAACCTAACCGCTCTCGAACATCCGGCTGGCTTCTTTCACGCCTATGACGGTCTGGACAATGTTGATCCTACCAGACTTTTGAGCGACTGGCCTAGAGGTCTGGCTATCGCACGAGGACCATGGTCGTTGAAGCCATATCCCTGCTGTGGCTCTACACACACAGCCATTCGCGTAGCATTTAAACTGCGTAAGGAACACAACCTCGACCTCTCACGCATCCAGTCGATCTTAGTGACGGTTCATGAGGATCGAATCCCGCACACCAATAGGCCCTTCCCAAAGTCCGCACTTGACTCGAAGTTCTCGATACAGTACTCTACTGCCCGAGCCCTTGCCTCGGGAAATGTTCGATTGGCTCATTTCGAGGGGACCGCCTATCTGGAGGATACTATCCAACAGCTGCTTGGCAAAATTACTGTTCAGGCCCGCCCGCAGAGCAAGAATCGAGATATTAGCGAAATCTGTGCCGGTTCTATTCTATTGACTATGGACGACGGCAAAGAACTCTTTGCAGAGCTCCCGGGCTTCCTTGGGCCGGGTTCTACTGCGCCATTTACTGAAGCTGAGCTATGGGAGAAGTTCTCAGACTGTACTCGACTAGGTCTCGATGAGAAAGTCAGCAGGCTACTCTTCGATGAGCTGCTTAAATTGCCACAGCAGCGGAGTCTCAAGGATATACTTTTGTTGTTGGAGCAGGCAAACTTGGCTTAGTGGCGTCGATACAATGGAAGTGTTTACGAATGGCAGTAGTACCTAGTACATCCATATTTCATTCGAAGTTGGAGTCACCCATGCTGACAGTCCGGAACAAGTGGCTTCCGTCCGAGCATTGCATTGCACGACGGAGCACCATGAGACCAAAGGTGTGAAGTTAAGCAGTAGGTTCTACGCCACTGCTGAGCCAGTTCTACAAGCTGTTCATCTTGAGACTTGCTTACTGACAGGTATTATGAAAGCCCTAGAAAAGAGGGCATATCGGGCCACAGCTGTTCTGCAAATTTGAGGTGGGAAAAGGCTACTCCCTTGGACTCCGTTGTTTCATCCACTTTGTTCAACGTGTCCATCGCTGCTCGAGAATCACAATGTTTGACATCTGGAACAAGGTGACTGCAGTCATCCGTCCGTAGTTGCCGATAGCTTGAAACCTCTAGGAACTCCATGTTGGAAAAATCCCTCAGGGTCATACCTCCTCGCGACGCTTTTCATGAAGTGCACATTCCTCATCCCATAACTGCTCAACGCATCCTGAGTGGCATCCGCGTAATTCATGTAGATAAGATCCAGATCTACTCCGGTTTTCACCGCGAACTGCTGGATCTGAGCCGCCATGGCACTCATATACTGATGGGCGATGGCAACCATCGAGGGATTAGTGTCGGGATCTAAGGCCACACCGCCGGTCCATATGATGGCGTTCTCGCCAGCGAGGCCATCGGTGATCATGTTTTCATGTCCTTCGTGTTTGCTGATGGTCGAGTAGTAATTCGGCAGAGGCTGGAGGAACATGAATGTCGAAAAGTTTTCGCGTCCGACGATATGGGAAAGTGTTTCCACGTAGGCATTGTTGAGGTCGACGCAGAGTTGCATCAGCGGGATGGAAGGCTTGAATGTAAGTGTGATGCCGGCATTTCTAGACTTGAGTTATTGATTTGATGAGATGGGGCTGCGGGACGGATGCTAACTTGCCTTGTCCCACCGGGGAGTTCAGAGTTCGATGCTGAGGATGCCATGCTTTCGAATTCGTCGGCGCTGGAAACGGCTGGGATGGATTTGATTCGCCTCAATGCGGTGCTGTTGGCATCACCCATCGTGTTGACAGCAATGGTGGAGATGATAATGTCGGCACTGACAGTGCTGTTAAAGGTATAATATACGACTAGTGCGTCGTTAGCCGAAGACGTCTCATCGAGATTGACAAAGTCGTGGAGACTGCGAAGGACCTCATCAGAGTGATCGATGGTCATAGATCGTGAGCTGTACGAGAGATCTTTGGCCGGCAGAGGATCCACGTCGAATCTGGTGACGATGCCAAAATTGGACCCGCCGCCCTTAAGAGCCTTCCACAAATCGACATTATGGGTTGCATTGGCGTTGGTGATTGTGCCGTTGGCGAGGACCACTTCGTAATTGCGTACAGAGTCGCAGGCGAACCCTCTCCTTCCCATGAAAAAGGTGAGTCCGCCCCCAAGGAGAAAGCCTCCAACGCCAACGCCCCCATCGCGGCCCCCTGGAACAGTTACGTTCCATGCGAGGAGGTCTGTATATACTTTTCTCCAGCGAGCACCGGTTTGGATCATGGCAACATTGCTTGCTTTGTCGAATGTGGACGCATTCATCAAGCTCAAGTCGATAGTAATCCCATTCTCGATGTTACTCGCTCCAGCTGAGTTATGCCCGCCGCTTCTAACGGCAATATGTCCATCTCCAGCGCCGGTGTACGACCTCTGCAAGGCCTGGAGGCCGCTAGCCACTTCCTGAGCGTTCCGTGGAATGAAGAGACACCACGGGTGCAGACGAGAGTTGAGAGCCCACCAGGTATCGATTTGGGCCTGGTAGGCAGTGTCGGTGGGAAGTAGGAGGCGATCCGCAAGTCCGGCCTGGGCGAGGGCATCACACTGCAGATTTCAGGAATAGTCTCGAGAAGTTTTGATGGACGTACAAGAGGATTTGTTGTCAATGAAGTGGCATTCCATATATGATTCGGAGCCGTCGCAAGACTGGACGAGCAGACAGCCATGGAGATGAGACTTGCAATGATGAAAAACATGTCGACTGAGAGACAATGCGTAAGCGTTCTTAATTCGCAGCTAAGCAGGCATCTGATGAGCAGAATAATATATAGCCAAAGGCTTCGCACAGGGGGCTAGCGTCAACTTCCGGGGGTGGGCTGGATTAGGGGGCCAAGAGTAGGAGGAACAGTGAAGCCTAGTCTCGGCTTTGCGAACGATGACGAGGCTGATCTCGTGGTGGCATTGCTGGGGCCCGAGGAGCCCGAAACATCGAACGCTCGCTGACGAGTGACTATAGTATCGTTGTCTGTTGAGACACACTGACCTGAAGCATACACAAGGACCACCTGCCACTATGATCGCATTGCGGTGAGTCAAGTACTGCATATTTGTACTACAACGCCCATGCCGACTCGGACATCATGTAGGGCTCCACAAAAGTCGCCATCGCACCGGCTTCCCTCCATTCAACTTCCAAATCAAACTCTTGAATCACGGTATCCCAATCCTGGTCCAACATAGGCAGGTCGCCTTCCGCAATCCCAAATCCTACGTCTTTCGCGACAGAGCGCGTGGGCTGTGACTGCTTGGAAACTATCAAATCGGCAATCTGGTAGAATTTCTGGCAGATGTTATACAGCTTCTGCGTCGCGGGAGTGTGCTCGACGGCGGGCTTGATGGCCGAGACGACGGACGAGAGCAGAGCCAAGTCATTGGCCGATGATGTCGCGATGGTGTGGCCTACGATCACGATGAACGAGACGAACGGGACGATGGAAACGGTCCTGATTCATCATTAGCACAAACGCCATCACGGTTGATGCTCGCGCGACGAACATGTTCAAGAACAGGCTCCACCAAATCGGCTTCTTGCGCATGACCCTCTCGCCTACTTGGACGAGCGCAGTCAGAGACTTGCGAGCCGCATCGACGCACTCATCGCAGCATTGGAGGGGATGAGGCTTCTGCTGAAACGGTGGGATGATACGGTAGACGATGGTCAGGTAGCCATACGCCATGATGTCCAAGATGCGGAGCCCTCCTTGGAATGTCAGCTCTCCTTGTTCGGGATCGCCATGTTCGGACTACCACGGTCAGTACATTAGCATTCTCAACCGAAGGGGACTCGGCCTGCGTACTGTCCTAAGAGCTTTCTGCATCTGCAATATCCTGCTCGCGAAACTTTGTGCTCGCTCGACACGTACGGACAAGGGCTGCTGTTGGGCGGAAATAGAGAAGAGCTGCAGATGAATCTCTCCAGCGACGGCAGTCCACTCGATGAAGGCGGCGTACATCCTGTTCAAATCATCAGCTCCTATCAAATGCCATCGCATCACGACCACATACAGCCCTGGTATTCCTGGATACTCCGCTTGGAAATCTGGACGGTCTGCGGCGACGTCGTAGTGGTGGATAGTCGGCGTACGGCCATTCGTGAAAGCCATGCCTTTGTCGAAGGCGTATACGTGCCAGAACAGGACTCGTTTCTTCGATGCCTCGTGCCCTTGGAGATGGCTTGGCATCCTATGAAGACCAAGATCGAGGCACATACGAGCGGCAGCGCTGACAAGACGCCATGCGATTGTACTGCGGCCTGTCTTCGTGCAGAAGACTCCCTGCAGCGATTATATGTCAGTCCGGAGCCTACTAAGGGGGCCATAGTGAGCTCTCACCAACAGTGTAATGGCACGACAAGCGTTGATCGAAGGTTCTAAACATAACCTCAAACATTGACACGCAGCGTCGGCATTCCCACTCAGAAGTCTGATAATCGACTCGATATCCGCAGCACTTACCCCTACTTGCGCGTAATGTTTGTTATCCAAGTCCAAGAACAAGTACAGCAAGCCGATATTGACGATGATCCAAGTCCAGAGCGAGTAAGGCTGTGTTGCAAAGTACACACTCTTGCAGCTTTCAACAAACTCCTGCTCATCGACGAAAGGTACGTCCGCGAAGAAGCGCTGCTTCTCATTCTGAGCGAGGCGCAACAGCTTCAAGACCGGCTGTGTCGGGGCCAAGGGTAGGTCCTCCAGTTCCGGATAGCGAGGAGTCAAATTCGTGCGAGAGAAGTCCACAGACTCTGGCGCGACCCGCTGAGTAGCATCGACGTCTTGGAGCAAGTCATGGACAATCGCTGACGGCATGCTAGGAACTCTGTCGTCGGTGTTCGCTCCAAATGTCCCTTCGAGCGTGTCGGCAACGTGCTTGACATGTGCGTTGAAAGAAGAGTCTCCTTTATAGCCCTCGAACACGGCAGATACATCAGGATGGTCCCCGCTTATATGAGTACTCGGCGAGTCTTGGGGAGCTGCAGCGGGAGATGGGCCATTGACATGGGATGTCTTGCTGTTCTCGACAAGCTGCCGCATCTCGATCTGCAATTCCCCAAGCTGTCGACTGACGTTCTGCATTGCTTCATCATATTGCTTGGATAGTAGCACCCGCTGCCGCTTCTCCGGTGCCTTTCTCGTAACACGGCATTGTGTCTTGGCCGTCACGCAGCTCGAACAAGGCGAACCACGATCGCATTTCGTCTGGTGAGTGGGTCAGACTACTGAGTACAATGCATTGGGACAAGCTGATTCACCTTTCGGGTCTTGCAGTTGTCACACTACTCGCATGGTCAGTGCCTTGAACAGACATTCTGCACAAAATGGCGCCGCTTACAGCAGGTCTATCCCTGGTTGGCTCCTGTTCAGAAGCCGAAGCTCTTGGGGCAGGCGATGTGTCCATGCTGTCCGGGTGTCCGGGGACTCAGAGATGCGGTTTCCGCGAGAAAACGAAAGAGATATACCACTTGATGTCCATGCCGGGCCCCGAGGCCTCCGCACGATCCTCTCCAGGCAGCTAAGTTCAGCCGCGCCTGGGCTTTAGCGCCTCCTGGATTACCGCTTTAGGAATGATCAACCACAGCCCTGGTAGCACTGTCGAGGACCATTTCAACACCACGAACGATGATAGATGGAGGACGAACCCACAAAATCGACTAGATGCTATTAACAACTACCTGTGCTCAGCCTCCGAAAGACGAACAACCCAGCCAGGCTGCAACATTTCTTCCAAGCCTTCAATCCGAGCCTCAATCAATAAATACACATCCATCCAAGACACCCAGCATGTCCCTCACATACATTGTCCACTCAACCCACCAACTCTCACACTCTCCCCCAAACCCCATCCCTCCAGCTCTACATCCACCACACGCTTCACGCCATGCCAACCCTAATCACCGGCCTCCACGACTCAGAAGTCCGCTGGTCCAAATTCAAAAACTCGTACATGTACAACGACACATACTACCTCCGACGCACAAAATTCGTCATCTATCAATGCGCCACGACGGCGGTGGGGGTTTGTTCGGGGATGGCCGGGCAGGGGATACATAGTACGCTGAAAACTGCACTCGTGCAATTGCTCGAAGCTGACGGACATCCCTGCTAGAATACAACCACACGGCCACCTACACGGAATCCCTCTCCCCGACGCTCTCCGTCACCACAACCCCAATCATCGCGGTCCTCGCCCTGAACATCGCCTCAGCCGGCCTCATCGGCACGATTTTCACGCCGGCCATCTTCTTCGACCTCTTCTGGCCGGAACGCTGGGAAGCGTCCAGAATCCAGAATGCATGGAAATACGCCGCAGCCACCAGCTCCCTCCTACAACTCGCAGCCGCGGTGGCCTTGACGGTCGTGATGGGCACGGGGCATGTCGACATCACGGCGGGGAGTGATGCGGAATGGGAGTTGGCGAGGGCGGTGTGGAGTGATGGCTTGTATAACTATGATGGCGGGCTGGTGGTTGCTACGGTGGTGTTATCGTGGATTGGGGCGGTGTTTACGGTTTGGAGGTGAGTGGTTAGTCGCACTTGTTGGTTAGGGCATGCTGACGTGGCGGTACAGCACGGTTGTCATGTGGATGGCGTACTGGCATAATAACAAGTACGGCCCCTTTAATAACCATATCGCCAAGCGGAATGAGAGTAGTGGTGTGGTGACGGAGGAATCGGAATTGGCAAGGACGGTGTGAAGCTCAAGCTGAGGAGACGGAGCGACGAATGGTGCCTTTGGAGGGTAGGGTTGATGGCCTTCGGCACAGGAATCTTTGCACTCACCAGACTATCTCTCACTCAGGCCAAAGATGGCCAGGCCAATTATCTCTTGTGTTTCTCCGTTTCGTGGTCGATACTCTGAGAATATGGGCACGACGCGGAGCTCAACGAGTTTTAGGCTTATTCCGAGGACTGGTGGAACGGAACTTACTGCTGATAGATTGCATCTTCAAACGACAGGAAGGCAGTGGTGTCGGAAATCGAGGCATAACGTAGCACGCTCACCCTCATCATCATTGCCCCACCGACAATGTTGTGGAGAATCGATGGACAAAGTTTCAGACTGATAGGTTTCTATGATAAGTGATACGACTTGCTATCTCCTATGGTGCTTCGTTCCGAGTAAACAACCTCGAAGCCAAGTTCATACAATCAGCTAGACTACTCTCGCTTTTGGTTTACCTGTGCTTGCGGCAGAATGTTGCAGTGCCGGAATCTGATACTTCCCTTCGAGTCCAGAGGTCCCACATGTTGGTCGCAGGTCCGAAAATCAGATCACACACCTGGTGGTGGCGGGACCTTGTTGGATGTCAGTCTGATAACCACTTTCAACCTCGACGTCTCGTCCAAACTTACCGCGCTGTAGCTTCCGCCTCCAGCACCTGGTGGCGGTGGTGGAGGTGGAGGATTGGCGTCGTCCGGTGGAGGCGGTGGGGGAGCAGAGCCGTTGGTAGGCGTCTGAGACTGTCCAGCCGTCTGAGTATAGCCTTGCATGTACTGCGCCATCATCGCAGCGTAGCCGCCGTATGCAGCATAGGGATCGGCAGATGGGTTGGCAGCGTAGTAGGCAGCCCATGCCTCGTACTGCTTCATCTGCTCGGCCGGGTCACCAGTTTGAGTCGGGGCGGCAACTGGCGACTGCGCATCGCCGTATCCCTGTTGTCCATAGCCTTGACCGTAGTTTTGACCATACGCACCGTAGCTGCTGTCGCCATTTCCGCCATAAGCCGAACCTCCGCCGTAACCGCTGCCTCCGCCGTAGGATCCAGAGTTCTGGCGATCGCCACCACGGTTGTGATAGCCACCACGGTCTCCGCCTCCGAAGCCGCCACGGTTTGGTGGGCCTCGGTCCTTGAAAGCTTCGTAGGACTCCTTGACAGACTCGAGGAGGGACAGACACATCTCCTTGGCCGAGTCGACCATGGGTTGCTCTGGGCCACTGCAAGATATTAGCCAAGTCAAATCGATGGGTCTCACCGGTAACTTACGCAACGTGCAGATACATCTGCTCATCGCTCTCACGGCCAGTCTCGTGCTCAAGGAAGCCGCTACCACGACCCTTGATCTGGACACGGCAGCGAGTCTCTTGCTGGATGTGCTTGACGTAGCTGCCTCCGGAGCCAACGACCTGAGCTCGCAAGTTGAAGCCTGGAATCGGTTCGAGGTCGATCGGGATGCGCTCCTCAGGCCACTTGCGACGACCCAGATGATCACGCTCGACCTGTGGCTGCTCCTCGCGGGTCTTGCGGAATCGGCGCTCGTCGATGAGGTTGGGCAACTCCTGCTTCATGAGCTCTTCAATCTTCTCAACAGCTTTCTCGAGGCCGTCCTTGGTAGTGCTGGTGACGTGGAGGTAGAGCGGTGGGTTCTGAGAAAAGTCAATGCCGGGTCTTTACCATCTTTCCGCATTACATACCTGAGGAGTGGCCATGCTCTTGTCCGGATAGTAGTTCCCGCGGGTAGTGACATCTTTAAACAATCAGTGGATCGGTTCGGACCTAAACAGTCAAAATCTTCGAGCGAGCATGGAAGCGTACCGGCGCCAGTTTCATCTTTGATCTAAATGTCACAAGTCAGGTCAGCTTATCTCAATCGTGGTGGGTACCGGCGGCAGAAGCTGGCAACGCTAATGTGTAAGTCAAGAATGTCCTCAAAAGTGTGTATATGACAAACCCAATCCTGTTGGTCTAGGGTTTGCTGTATGGACATGGGCGATGACGACGGGTCGCCTAGGAGTATCAGTGGGCAACGATAACAAAGTGAATATTTACCATCTTTTGAGTGCTGCCCTTGGTCAGCGTGTAGCGGTTGCGGAGGTCGTTGACCTCGATGTCCCGGATGAAGTCGCCATCTTGCTGGTAGATCTCTGCGTTTAGCATGCCACTCGGAGCAGGATCCTCGGATGGGGACTTGGCAGCGCCGGAGTTGGTAGCGGGGCTCTGAAAGAATATTAGTATATATACTGATGGATTTCATGTGCTGTGCATGTGACTAACCTGACGAATCGGTGGGACGTCTACCTGCTGAATCGGCTTGCTCTTCTGGATTGACGCATTGATTCTGGCAGCTGCCTCGGCGGCTCTGGCGGCAGCGTCCTTTGCCTGTTGTGCCTCGCCACCCGGACTCTCAGTGCTCTTGATCGGGGTGCGTTCGCGATCGGTGGTGCGGTCTGCCGCAGGGGTGCCTGGAGAGCGTGAGCGACGGTCGTCGCCCACATCGAACCTCGAGCGGCGGGCGGGCGGTTCTGCAGCGTCGGTGGGACCGACGTCGAAGCGCGATCGCTTGCGTGGCTCCGGCGCGTCCTCGGCCATGGTGGTAGAGGTGGCGGTGGTGAAGAGAGTGTGTGGGTGTTGGTAAGCTGTGATGCTGGCTTCAAAGCAGAGACTTGAAGATCGTCGACATGAGGTCGGCAAAGGCAAAGCGCGTGAGTCAGCAAAGCCTTGGCGTGGACTCAGATGTGGGGAACTTCTCAATCGCGACCTGCGTCTCGGGCCGATGAGCGGAAGAAACATGTGAATCATCTGAGGCCAGTCATTCACCTCACCCATATCCTCTGGAGCTCGTGACAGATACCGCTCTCCTCTGCTCAACACTGCTGCTCAACATGGCGTCGAAACGAGCAGCCCGGCTCCTCAATGGTCAGCTCCAATCCCTCAGCAAACCCCAGTTGACCGCCCAACAAGCCTGCAAAGCCCAAAGACAAAGCAGCAGTGCAACGAACGCCATTGCATACAAGGTAGACATATGTAACATTGCACCATATCACACGCAAGTCCTTACTGTTACAGGCCCTCCACCGGCGCATCTCCCCCCTCCCAACAACCCCCTCCACCTCCGCAATCTCCCCAGCAGCAGCCGTCTCTTCCATCCTCTACGAAACGCCCATCCCGACCTCCGCGCCCAAAACCGCCCACATCCTCAACTGCCTCGTGCAAAACGAACCGGGTGTCCTCTCGCGTGTCTCAGGAATTCTCGCAGCCCGAGGCTTCAACATCGATTCCCTCGTCGTCTGCTCCACCGAAGTCGCAGACCTCTCGCGCATGACCATCGTGCTGCAGGGACAGGATGGCGTCGTAGAGCAGGCGAGACGGCAGTTGGAGGATCTGGTACCGGTGTGGGCTGTTTTGGATTACACGCAGGCTCCGTTGGTGCAGAGAGAGTTGCTGCTTGCGAAGATCAGCATTCTTGGGCCTGAATACTTCGAAGAGCTCCTCGCACATCACAGGGAGATGACGGGCGATATGGATCCACCAGTACTGCAAGATACCGAGGGAGAGCCTTCAGCTGCAGACGAGACGGCACTCCGAGCAGAGGCTGGCGCGGATGTGGATTTCCATCCAAGGAATCTGGCCCCCTCTGAAGCTCTGCGATTGAAGCACCAGCATCTCGAGACGATCACGTATCTGACCCATCAGTTCGGTGGCAAGGTGTTGGACATTAGCACGAACAACTGCATCGTGGAGTTGAGCGCGAAGCCCACGAGGATTGACAGTTTTATGAAACTGATCAGTCCATTCGGTATTCTCGAGTCGGCACGAACAGGTGAGTCACATCATAAGCACAAGTCTAGTATAAATCCAGTTCTAATATCAACATAGGTCTCATGGCCCTCCCCCGATCACCGCTGTCAGGCGAAGAATCAGAGGCGACCAAGGAGGTCGAAGATGTCCTGGACGCCGCCGCATTGCCACCGTCATAGTCAATGTAATATATGGCAACATCTGAAGCTCCTTGATTGAAGGAATCTGTAGCATAAGCGCACGGCGTCCATGGGGTTACTGGAGAACGTGCGCCTGATTCGGAAAATGGCGGTGTGCTCTCGCGAGCGCTGATTCTCGCGAAATGTATTACAGAAGAAGAATCATGAAGAACTTTTTACTCGTGCTCTTTACGCTTGTACGCTACAAAGACATCAATGTCCCATCCGGTCGTGACCGACCATCCCTTCAAATCCTGCCCTTATTCACAAAAAAAGCCTCAAACGCACTCGTCGCCGCCCACAGCCGATTCTCCGCCTCCTGGAACACCAAACTCGCCGGACTATAAAACACCTCATCAGTCACCTCCTCCGGATGCCGTGGCAGACAATGCATGAACTTCCACCCTTCCTTCGCGCCGCCCCTCTGCGCCAGCTCTTTCGTGACTTGGAATCCCTCGAAAGCCTTCATCCGCTTCTTCGACTCCTCTTCTTGACCCATTGACACCCACGTATCCGTGACGAGAACGTCGGCGTTCTTGACGGCTTCTTCCGGCACGTTGGTTTCGGTGAGTTTGAAGGAGGGGGAGGTGGAGGTTATGATGTCGCGCATGAAGGGGGGGATCGAGTAGCCTTTGGGCGTGGCTACGGCGATTTCAACGCCGAGTTTGGCGGCGCCGATGGCGAGGTCGAAGAGGACGTTGTTGGCGTCGCCGACCCAGGCGATTTTGAGACCTTCTAATCCGAGGGTGGACGTTGCGCTGGAGGAGGGGAAGGCTTCGAGGAGGGTTTGGTAGTCTGCGATGGTTTGGAGGGGGTGGTAGAGATCGCTGAGGGCGTTGATGACAGGGACGGAGCTGTGCTTCGCGAGGTTGGCGACGTCGTCGTGGGCGTTTACGCGGGCGACAATGCCGCCGGTCATGCTGGAGATGACCACGCTCGTGTCGTAGAGGGATTCGTTGACGCCGAGTTGGATGTCTTGGGACCCGAGGAACATTGGGTGGCCGCCGAGCAGGGCGACGGCTCCTTCGCTTGAGACGCGGGTTCGGGTGGATCGTTTGGTAAACATTATGGCGATGGTTTTGGCGAGGAGGCTGTTTTGGAGGTGGGTGGGGATTTGCCCGGATTTGACGCTGGTCTTGTACTTGGAGGCATTTCGGACGAGTGTGGTGAGTTCTTGAGGTGTGAGGTCACTAATGGAGAGGAGGTGTCGTGGACTGAAGGGTGAGGTTGCTGGTTGTGAGGTTGTCGCTGGAGAGACGGAGTAGCATCGTTGTGGGTGTTTGAGAGTCTTGAGGCATTGGGCGGAGGGCCTGAGGAGCCGTGGGGTGGCCATGTTGGGCGTCTTTCTCTTGTTCGAGTAGAGTGGGGGGTTGCAGAGTGGGTTTTATATGCCAATGGCTCAGCAACGGCAAACAGAAAAAAAGATGATATGGAGTGTCGATGACTGGTCTGGAGCTCTCGTGGCTCGCAGCTCCACCGATCCACATCCACGTTCGGCAGTGAAATGTGGGGGGGGGTGGGCGGGCAGTGATTGGCGACGACGATGCCGACCGACGGCGAAGGCGAGGAACTGGCGCAGCTGCACACGCACTCCCTCACCAAGCTCAGGCACACGCATCATCTGACCTGCGCCATTCCTCCGACACTCCTCTTTCCTTTGATCTGTATTTCATTGTTCCTCGACTGCGAATCCTCCCCCAGCCCATGACCCGATCGTACCGTTGACGTAGTGCGCGACCGATAAGCCGGATACGGACCACGACGACGACGACGACGACGACGACGACGACATCTCCCACCATGGCCGCCAACGGCGAGCCTGCCACCCCCAGGCATCCACAAGACGACGACGAACGGACACGAGACGACGAACCCGCGAGCGAGACATCGCCTCTGCTCCCGCCGAATCAGGCCGAAAACAATGACCAGAGCCAGCCACCGCGAGGCGCAGCTGCGACATTACTGCGCTCTCTATCCCATTCGAAAGGAGGCAAGAGGCGATGGCCCAGCTTAATAGCGTTGCTGCTGCTATGCATCGTCGCAGTCCTCATAATCGTGTTCGCATTCGTCGCTCCGAGCGCAGTGGAGTCATACGCTCAGCAGGCGGTCGTCTTCGAGCCCACAAGCCTGTCAATAGACTCGTTCCTGGACGATGGAGTACGAGCGAGAGTCCAGGGAGACTTCAAGATGGACTCGAGCAGGGTGGAGAAGAAATCGGTACGAGATCTCGGCAAGCTCTGTACGTGGATCGCAAGCGAGGTTGAGACAGGCACGAGTGAGATGGAGGTCTCGCTGCCAGAATATGGGAACGTCGTGCTGGGCACGGCGCAAATACCGCCGATCAAAGTCTCGATCCGGGATGGGCATGCTACCAAGGTCGACTTTTTGAGCGACCTACAGCCCGGCGATGTCGATGGAATTAGGAGGATCGCCAATGACTGGATGGACGGCCGGCTGGGCCAGCTGCGAGTGGTCGGCAAGGCGCAGGTTCCTCTCAAGAGCGGCATCATAAGTTTGGGCAAGCAGATGGTGCAGCAGGAAATGCTGTTTGCCAACGATGACATCCCATCGATGCCTGGATACAAGATCAAGAAACTCAACGTCCGCGAAGTCGATATTCCCAGCGGCAAGGGCATGGCAGCAGATGTCTCACTCAAAGTCGAGAACGAGTACCCTGTTGAGTTCACCGTGCCTCCGCTTGGGTTTGGCATTCTGGTGGACAACTGCGAGAAAAGCGACGACTTGATCATGGTTGCTGATGCTCTGACGCAAGAGATTGCAATCTTGCCCAAGGCGGACGTCGAGGTCAACGTGACTGGAACCGTTCGCCACTTGCCTTCCGTCCTCACACAGGCATGCCCAGGAAGCACGAAGTCGCCTTTGGACATCCTCCTCGGCAGATACATCCACGGCGAGGAGAACACAGTCTACGTGAGAGGCTCAGACGCACCGTCACTGGATACCCCTCGCTGGGTGTCTGACCTCATGGCCGACATTACCGTACCAGTCCCTCTCCCGGGTCGAACATTTGGCCATCTCGTTCGGAACTTCTCCCTCACCAATACGCATTTCAGCCTGCCAGACCCACTGGCAGAGCCTGGCACGCCCGAAGGCAATCCTCGCATCAGCGCAAACGTTCGCGCGATTGTTGCATTGCCTGAGGAGATGAACTTCAACATCTCTGTCGGCAAAGTCAGGGCCGATGCTGATGTGTTCTATAAGGGCAAGAAGCTTGGTCGACTAGACTTGAGCAAATGGCAAGATGCAAACAGTACTCGTATCGACTCGACCCCCGAGGAAGGTCCTGCCCTAGCGGTAGAGAGTGAAGTGAAGGACGCACCACTAGAAATTCAAGATGAGGATGTCTTCACAGACGTGATTCAAGAATTGATCTTTGGCAAAAGGACTGTCATCATGAAGATCCAGGCCGAAGTGGACGCGGGAGTAGAGACGGCGTTGGGAGAGTTTGCCATCAACAGAATACCCGCAGACGGCCAAGTGCCGATCAAGCGTAGGTCACCATCCCTACCGCACGCATTGTCTGATATCGCGAAGCCAGACTACTGGCTGCAAGTTGGATAGAGTAGATAGGCTAAGCATATGCATTGTAGCGATTTCACGACCCCATGAACCCGGCAAAAAGCCAACCGACCCTCCTTCAAAACTCCCCAGCAACATCACCAACGGCGTCAACCCCAAGCTCGTCGACCTGAGCATCCTCAACACCACAGAAACCTCTCTCCTCATCGGCGGCAAAGTCAACATCACCAACCCCACCGCCTACTCCGCGACAATCCCCTACGTCGACATCCACATCATGAAGAACGGCTCCCTCCTCGGCCACGCCACCGCCTACAACCTCTCCATCCACCCCGGAAACAACAGCTACCTCTCCGTCGAAGCGACCTACGACCCCCTCACCCTCGGCGGCCCCAAAGCCAAAGCCATCGGCCGCGAACTCATCAGCCAGTACATCTCCGGGTGGAACACGACCATCACGCTCCAGATGCATGAGGAATCGTTCCCGGGAAACCCGACCCTCGGCCGCGCGCTCTCGAAGTTCCCTGTCGAAGTCGCGGCGCCGCATCTTAGCGCGCCAAAACGGCCTGATGATGGTGATGATGATGAGGATCCTGATGACGAAGATGACAAAGCGACGCACTTTATCAAGGACGCGACTATGCATCTTCTAACTTCCACCGCCTCCTTCACCCTCCTCTCGCCCCTGCACCACTCAACTCTCTACATCACTCACCTCAACGCCACGGCAATCTATCACTCCGACGACGTCGGCCTGATCCTCTACGACGAGCCTTTCGGCGTGCCCCCCGTGGAGGAGACGCCTGGGGGCGAGGGATTCGAGACGCCGCGGTTGCCGGTAGAGTGGAGTCTGGGGAGTGTCGGGTATGGGGCTGTTAAGAGGGCTTTAGGGGGGACGTTAAGATTGGCGGCGAGGGCGGAGGTTGGTGTTAGGCTGGGACGGTGGAGGGAGGAGATTTGGTTCAGGGGCGGGGGTTTGGGGGTTAGGATTCGGTTGTGAGAAGAAGGGGGAATTCGACAGGGGATGTTGTCGAGGAGGTCGAGGTTTACTTCGTAAAAGGGGGATCGTGAACGGCGATACAGGACATAGGTATAGGAAGTTCGGGCGGTGGGATGTTCCAGAGGGAGTCGGGGGGAAAGATGTATGTCATACATTTTGACGAAGTTACGCTGGAAAAACCAACACAGAATAATACTATTTTCCGGTCCTCGCAGGTGTCATGCTCCTCGCCTCAACCTCCCAGTGCTTTGTGCCACTACAACCCGAAAGCTTTGCACTTCGAAGCTCTCGACAAGGTGGGTCACCGAACATTCACTCGCCCTCGCCAAGCGACCTAGCGTCATTCCGTGACTCCAACACTACAAAAGGAACCCACCATGCCAACAACAGTAAGCCACTCCCCTCCCCTCCCCACCCCTCCACAACTCACAACCCCAACCCCTCAAATCAAAAATAAAACTAACCCCCTGCCCCCTCCCCACAGCGCAGCCAAACCCTTGCCGCCCGCGTCTTCGCCATCCCGGAGATCCTCGAAACAATCCTCCTCTCCACAGGCTTCTTCGAGCTCCGGAACTGCCGACGCGTCAACTCGACATTCAAGGCGACGATGGATGGCTCGGGGAAGTTGAGGCGGAGGTACAAGGTCGAGAGGAAGAAGGCGAGGCAGAGCGAGAGGAGAGAGAGGAGGGCGAGAGGAGGTGGATGAGGGGGTGGAAGGCGATGATCCAGACGAGTGGGAGTGTGATGAGGGAGGGGGGAGAGGGTGAGGTTGATGATGGCTGGAGGGGATGAGCTGGGTGCTTGAGGGGAATGGAGGTCGTGCTTGAAGGCCTTGAGCGATGCTAGACGGAAGGTATAGGTCTGTCTACTAACATGTACCATTCGCCGTTAGCACACTCAATCGTCGAATCCAACAAACCTGACAGAATCCTCCTGACTTGAAGCTCACTATGATACTCCATCGCAACCTCCCCCCTCACTCCCAACAGACCAAACATAAACTCCCAAACTCCCGGAGACCCACAATTAAAACGCACCTCAACCAGTGCAACCACAAATCCATACCATACCACGCCTAACCTATCACACTGCACAGGTTTATGCATGCAAAGTACAAAAAATGCAGACAAGCATGCCAATCCCTCGCTCTCGCAGCCAATGCACGAAGGATTCCTCGATCCTCTTTGAGTTGCCCGTTTGGAGCTTAGGGTTGCTGTTTTGGCTGTTGCCTTCATAAGCGGGTTAAACGTAGACATCAGGAGAGATAATAAGCGAAGCGATCTTCGGGTGGAGGTCTTGAGGTGTGAATATAAGATGGTTTGGGGTGCCGGATTGACTTCCCGCCACTGCCAGAGTCTTGATACCTTGACGGCCGATTATTCAACCCAAACGATTGAGACAAATCGACATTTACAAAACCACAACAATGGCAGACACAACACAAGAACGCATGATGTCCCTAATCATGGGCACGAAACCCGTCGACTTCACCCGCTCGATCGACCCATCGACTGTCCGCGGAAAAATCGCCGTCATAACCGGCGGCGCCAGCGGAATAGGACGCGGCATCGCAGAAGGACTCGCATCAAACGGCGCCAAAGTCGCGATTCTCGATATCAGCGACGAGCAAGGACAGCACGTCGCCTCGGAGTTGAAGGCCAAGGGCCACGAGGCGCTGTTCGTCAAGACGGATGTGGCGAGTTGGGAGGCGCAGCTCGAGGCATTCAAAGCTGCGCTGAAGTGGTCTGGTTCCGGGCTGGATATCGTCGTCGCCGCGGCGGGGATCCGGGCGACGGATATGCGAGATTCGATTGTTCCGAAGAAGGGGGATGAGGAGGAGGAGGAGGAGGAGGAGGAGGAGCCCCCCAAGCCGCACATGAAGGTTCTGGATATCAACTTCACGGGCGTGTGGTGGACGACGAATTTGGCGTTGTTTTATTTCAATAAGTTCCACGCTTCGAGGTCGGAGTCCTCTGAGTTCGGACCGCAGATTCTGCTTATTAGTTCTCTGGCGGGATATGGTCCTCCGCCGTTTGATGCGGATTATGGCGCGGCGAAACATGGCGTTCGTGGGTTGTGGAAATCTATCAGAGTCCCGGACGAGTCTATGGCGCAGTATCAGGCGAATCTCCTCGCTCCGGGATGGACGCACACGGGGATGACGGATAGCTATGTGCATAAGTTGAAGGATCGCGGCGTGAGGGTGGCGACTGTAGCGGATAATGTCCGAGCGGCGATGCGGTTGATCGTGGATCAAGAGGTGTCCGCGCGAGCTGTCATCGTTGCGGCGAATCCGGAGGGCGTGGAGGATGGGCAGAAGGGGTCCGGGGTGTTTGATGTGCTGGATGATTTTGGGACTTTGGGGGCTGGGAAAGCGATTTTGGAGAAGTTGGGGGAGGGGGTGTTTGATAATTATGTTTGATCGATCGGTGAGGAGGAGCTGGAATGGAACGAGAAGGAGGCGGATTGAATCAACGGATTTCGTAGGATATAGAGTAGAAATGGTCCAGACTGTTTACCATGTACAATGCCCTTGTGCCAGCGTGCACTGATTGGCCGTTTTTGATCTGTCATGTTGGTATCCGGGCGGAAGAAAGTGCGTTAGGTTCCTTGGACGTTCCATAGGCACGGTGTTCTGCTGTCCTCTTCGTCGTCAATCCCATCATCAGGCGGGTGGATATTATCAAAGAATCAAAGATGATGGGCGAGCGATAGTGGCGAGGTCTAGAACGTCGGCGCTTGTCGATATCGCTGACCTGCGTGTTGTGGTGATGATGCAGGAGGCTGCCAAGTCGAAGAAGAACGCTTCAAGCGGAGGTCGCCGACGCTTCCCACGCGGCGGCGGGCGTGTCGAAATCAGCCACCGGCGAGATGTCAAACTTCTTCTTGATAAGAGGCGTGATATAAGTGATCTTCGCAGGCCCCGTCCTGCTCGATGGTCAACACATTTCTAAACAACCGGATTACAGAGGTAACATGCTTTACACGCAAGCGACAATCATCACGGTCAATGCCAACCGCGACATCATCCAAGATGGAGCGATCCTGGTCCAAGGCAGCAAGATCGCAAACATCGGGAAGACAGAAGCTCTCTTGAAGCTATATCCAGAGGAAGAAGTTACTGCGCTCGAAGGCCGGATCATCATACCTGGACTCGTCAACGCCCACATGCATACAGCTCAAACACTCCTACGAGGCACGGCAGACGATCTCGAACTCGTCTCCTGGCTCTGCGAACGAATCTGGCCATTGCAAGGAAATTTCACTCCGAAAGATGGATATGCTGCAGCGCGACTCAGCATTGCCGAGATGCTCAAATCTGGCACGACATGCTTCCTCGAGAGCATGTTCGCAGACCGATACGGCTTCGACGGGCTCTGTAGAGCAGTCGAAGAAAGCGGTATCCGTGGCTGTCTCGGCAAGATCGTCATGGATGTCGGAACATATGCCAGTGATCCAAAGTGGGCGATGCATCCGGGACTTGTAGAAAACCGCGAAACCAGTTTGCTCGGCGCCGTCGACATGCACAAGAAATGGAACGGCAAGGCCGACGATAGAATTCGGGTATGGTTTGGCGCGAGAACGCCAGGCGGGTGAGTAGAACGTTTCCTGTCCTCCTGTTGTCGACTGATCACACCACTCGAGCAGGGTTTCCGAAGGGCTCTACAAAGAGATGACTTCGATTTCGAGGGAGCAAAACATCCCTATAACGATGCACTGTGCTGAAGCGCCTGCCGATCGCACGTTCTTTGAGAGTCAAGGGCATACTGCTATGTCGTATTGTGACTCTGTGAACCTGCTCGGTCCACAGACCGTGTTGGTACACATGGTGCATTTGGACGACTCGGATATCAAAACTTTAGCCGAAACTGGGACTCATATTGTCCACTGTCCTTCGAGCAACACCAAGCTCGCGTCAGGTATCTGCAGAGTCCCTGATCTGCTTGAAGCAGGGGTCAGTGTCACACTCGGCACTGATGGAGCGCCATGCAACAACACCTGCGACATGCTTCAAGAGATGCGTCTGGCGGGCATCCTGCACAAAGCCGCTCGAATGGATCCTACCTCTGTGCCGGCAGAGACTGTCCTGGAGACAGCCACAATCAACGGTGCAAAAGCCCTCGGTCTAGCAGACAGCGTCGGCAGCATTGAGAAGGGTAAGAAGGCCGACTTTGTCGTTCTCGACATGCGTGCTGTGCACTTGCAGCCGTGGTTCAATCCTGTGAGTGCCGTTGTGTACTCTGCTACCGGCCGTGATGTCGAGATCGTTCTGGTCGACGGAAAAGAGGTTGCCAAGAGTGGGAAGCTCACAACGATGGACGAAGAGAGCATTTGGAAAGAGGCAGAATGGCGTTCGAAGGAGGTTGTGAAGAGGGCTGGGTTGACGTCTGCTGTTGGTGCTCGGTGGCCGGTCCAGTAGTCGGCCCTGTGATTCTTGCGTGTATGCTGCCTAAGTAGTTATGTAGCTGATAATATGTATCTTTCCATTTCGAGTATCAATCGTGAATGAATGAATGAATGGTCAAGGGGCGCCCGCTTCGGAGTGTCGTTCCCAGCGGTTTGTCGCGCACGTGACGTCGCGGATGTTTAGTTTCGCTGGCAACCGGGCAACAAAGCGAACTTGAATTTACGACACTTCAACGAACCTCTTCCCACGACCCCCACTGCCGATTCCGACCTCACCACGATGCTGTGCAGATAACAGATCCGTGCGATTGCGACACCACCACGATCTTCCCGCCAGCATGGCGACCCAAACAACCACAACTAAGTCCATCTTCGCTGGCAGCGCGGGCACGAACATTCAATCCGCACCTCTGCGCACCACGCCGCAACCTCGAATCCGTGGATACAAAGACTTCCTCACTCCCGCCCTCCATCGCCGCTTCACTCAAGCTGCCGGCTCCGTCCTCCTCCTCTGTCTGGTAGACAGCACGCTCCTCTCCACAAGCAGCAGCTATCTGTGGAGATGGTTTCCATTTGGACCAGCGGGCATTCGCGCCCTGCTACTCTTCATACCATGCCTGGCTGTGTTCATTGTGCGCGTGGCCAGCATGCACATTGGAAAGCGCACCGCGAACAGTCGCGCCGAGACCATATACGCTCAGCTGTTTAGTGGCAGGGCGCTACATACCTTGATCTGGTACATCTTCAGTGCGTGGTGGTTTGGAGAAGTGTACATCTGGAACAGTCGCGACAGTGCGGCGTTGATGATGGTGGATCCTGGAAGACCATACGAGCGACCTGAGCTCAATGAGAACCCGATCTTCATCAGAAGCTCGTTCTTGGTGCTGGGAGTGCTGCGCTGTGGGTGGCATCTGCTGGCCGACTACGACAGAGTGGCAATACCCACCGGCAAAGAAGAGGAGGAGCCAAAGCCGAACTTCATAACATCGACACTTGGGATACAACCGGCCACAATTGCATGGCTGCCGCGTCCGTTCGGGGCTCTGTTGGAGCGGATTGGCATCATGGCGAATACATGTGGGCAGACAGTGGCCATTGGATGGCTGGCCAACATGATACTCTACTTTCTCGTTTTCCGCTATCCAGCCTGGAGATGGACCTACAGCTTCGTCAGTCCATTCTTCAGCCAGATGCAGCCATCGACAAGACCGCGCGGCTTTACGCATGCTCCAACGGTCGTGTGGCAGTCCGTATCCTCAGCATTCATGCTGTGCATACTCTGGGAGTACAGCAACACCGTGTTCGATTCGTTTGTCACGCAGGCGCCTACGAAAAAGGGCGAGCCTCTGACCAGTGAGATCAAGGACGCCCGAGGTGTAATTCTGCACAAGAGCGCGGATCCAAATGGTAGCTTGCTCAACGGTCTCAACGCGAAGAAGGAAGTCAACAAAGCGTTTGCGTTGTGGGAGCTTTACCTCATCTGTACCAGGTACGACAAGCGACGTAAGACTATCTATACTGAAGTCGATCGCAAGGACGGCAGTACTTGGTCAAAAGTCTGCGAGTACACTTTGAAAGAAGCTACCTCGATCAGAGACCGTATTAAAGCTGCAACGGACCCCGGCGAGTACAAGTCTAAGCAAGCGGAGCTCGCAGCCCAAAATGAGCAGAAAAAGGACCTCATCCCGGTGGAGAGGCAGCATCTCGGTCTGAGGAAGATTGCGGACCAAGGTGTGCAAAACGATGCAGATGTCTTCGTCAAGCGGAAGGGTGATTTCGTGCATCAAGTTGGTGAGCTCGCCAAGTCTGTTGGTCAGTCACCTGGCAGTGATCCGGCGAAGATGGCCTGGGACTGGAGTAAGAAGAATGTCCTCACGCAGGACCAGCTCAAGCACTTGCAGGAGACGCCGGAGCAGATCAGACAGGCTTCTAACGGCTACCTGTCGAATATGCTTCGCACACCTGCAGGTGAACCCTTCCGACTGACCTTCGCGAGGAGAGCGAGTGTGGTTATTTTGGGGACGCCAACGTCAGGGAAGACGAACGTCATACATGCCATAAAGTCACTGAGCAGATTGGCAGTGTGCAGCTTGAAAGAAGACGACTACGGCTCCGTGCAAAGAGATGTGGCCAGGATCATTCGAACTCTGACCGAGACTATCCAATTGATTGAGAACTTCGTGGGGACTGTGGAGCCTCACTGGACGGATGTGTCCTACTTCGAGAAGGAACGCTATGCGCAAGTTAAGCGGCTCCAAGCTGAGGCCTGTGAGCGGGAGGCCAAGACGAAGGAGCGAGAACATAGAAGAGCCGAGGCTGATGCGTTGAAGAACGATGCAGTGACACTTAAGAGGCAAGCCGCATCGCTCCTCGTATCGAGGCGCAATATCGGAGAAGCGCAGGAAGTGCTCGACGCTTTGAAGGGCAGTCTAGAGGAGATCATGCTGGCCTTTGCGGAATATGCGGGTACCCTGGGCCTGAGCAAGAAAGAGGTCAGGGAGGCGAGAGAGTCAGCAGGTGGGAATGCGAATGCAACATCTTCAGCTGTGCAGCCAGTGTTGGAGCCACCTCCTGAGATGCAGCAGATGGCTCCCCAGCCCAGGCAGCGTAATGTGTATAACTAACAAGACTTTTCTGGCGCGGCGCTGGTGGTCTTGAAAAGGGAATAGGATGGGGTTAACGCTTTTGTGATACCAATGAACTCGATGTTTTTTGTGATGCTCATGATCTCGTTTCACATGCTCTTGGCTTCCAATCTACCCTCCTTGGCCCGCTCAAAATACAGTCTCGCCGACTCGAAAACAATCAAGAAGTGGGAGATCGACTATGTTCGTTCTAGATTGAACATGGCCTGCGTATTTTTGAGAACAACGCCATCCATCCAGTTTCCCGGGCGACCTGTCTTCTGGCCTCTTCCTCTGTCAACATTACATTACATTCACCAACGTCGTGACTTCAGCAACTCACCATGCGAACATAGTATCGCAGTTCCGGCGCACCACAATTAATGCAAAGACAAACCGACGTCCTGGTCTGCCAGCAAACAAGCTTCCTAGGCCTGCGAGCTACGTCGATCTACGGTTAGGATCTTACCTCCCGCATGACCAGACTGCGTAATGGTTATGCAGGAACATCTTCTTTGCTATCATCGACATCTCGTGGAGCAATTACCATGAGGAGTTGCGACATCTAGGACTGCCACGTTCCGCTCCCCAGTGTCCATCACAGTCCGCTCCACTCTGCCACGCATCAACGGCTCGTCGCGAAAATGATCTGGACTACTGTCTTGCACGTCATCGCTATTGCGGCATCCCTGGTTGGAGCGCAAGATCCTCTCACGACCCAGCAGTTCATCTCTGGAATCCAAGGAGCGACGACGTGTGGAGAATGTCAGAGCGCTCTGCTCACCTTGAAAGGCATTGCCTTCTTTGGAGATGATCGAGTAATCGCATCACTTGCAAGAGCGTGCAAGCTCACGAACGCCGAGGACAACGATGTCTGCGACGGTATCATGGCTCAAGAAGGCCCAATCCTTGCCCGAGCGATTCGAGAAATGGATGTTCCATCACATACGTCGAAACTGTTCTGTACAACCCTCATGGGACTTTGCGACATCCCGGAAGTTCGACCATATAACGTGACATTTCCAAAACCGAAGCCTGCGAATCTTGCTCGACCAGAACCCAGTGGCAAAAGTCCTATCAAGTTTGTCCATTTCAGTGACATCCATGTGGATCTGGAGTATGAAACTGGCAGTAACTACAACTGCACAAAGCCGATTTGCTGTCGTTCGTACACGGAGGAAGATGCTCCGGGGAATAACACATATCCAGCTGGCCCAAATGGAAACCATCTCTGCGATGTGCCCAAGTCGTTGGAGGAGAGCATGTACGAAACCATCAAAGATGTAGCATCCGACGCTGCCTTTGCAATTTTCACAGGAGACATTCCCGAACACGCCGTTTGGATCGTCGAGAAGGCTGGTGTCAAGCATAGCATCGATTCAGCTTACAGCACCATGGCCAAGATCCTGCCAATGCCAGTGTACGGCACTTTGGGCAATCACGAAGCAGTGCCCTGCAACAGCTTCCCTCATCAGGAGATAGAGGATGCCATCAGCAGTCAGTGGGTCTACGACATTGTTTCCAAAAAGTGGCGAACATGGATTGGAAACAACAACGCCAGAATCGCTGACAGATATGGCGCCTACTCATATCTCGTACCACAGACCAAGTTGCGAGTCATCTCGATCAACACCAACCTCTTCTACGCTTTCAACTTCTGGGTGTTCGAAAAAGAGATGACTTTCGATCCAGACAATCAGTTTGCTTGGTTAGTCAGTGAACTGCAAGCTGCAGAAGACGCTGGCGAAAGGGTATACATCATCGGACACATGCCTCCAGGTCGACATGATGCACTTTACGATGGCTCAAACTACTTGGATCAGATCGTGAATCGATACGAAGCAACCATCGCAGCCATGTTTTGGGGCCACACTCACCAAGATCATTTCGAGCTCAGCTATAGCGACTATTCGAAGCGGAGCCATCTGACAGCAAGCATGATGTCGTACATCAGTCCCTCACTCACGCCGACGTCCGGGTCGCCCGCCTTCCGAGTATTCACTGTCGATCCCGATACATTTGGTGTCCTTGACTTTGAAGTTTACACTGCTCCGCTTGAGGCTGAGGGTTTCCAGACGACGGGTCCGACCTGGAAGCCATACTACTCTGCCAGAGAGGCTTACGGCTCGCTGGTCAATCTATCGTCATCATCGGCCGAGCTCACTCCGGCTTTCTGGCACAACGTAACCTCGGTCTTCGAAAGCAACGATACAGCATTCCAGCAATACTACTCCAGGAAGAGTCGTGGATGGAACAAGGGCAATTGCACCGAAGAGTGTAAGGTCGACGAGATTTGCCAATTGAGAGCCGCTGAAGCACAACACAATTGCCTCACACCATCACGGGGCTACGCACTTGATTCGGGAAATCGACAAGCACGGCTTCGCGGTGACGAGTCGATGCACGACGAGTGCCATAGCAGTCGCGCTGCGATGGTCTTTCAGAGTCTGGTCGGCCAGCCGAAGCAGGAGATCTTCAGACAGGATCTTTAGCAGGTCTTTTACTATCTTAGCACAATTGCATAGCTCTGCTGTCGGTTACTGAGTTCCCGAACTCGATCTCTCGAGCCTCATAACTGAACATCTTCCAAAAATCGGAACTGCTGGACTCACGGCCGTCGTTCCTCGTTCACGCATCCTTCAACGATCTGGCGCTAACCCCGAATCGTACTTTCTTCCTCTCATCGTATCCAGGCACTGCAGTCAAAGATACTCAGCTTTAAGGGATGGGACGTTGAACATCAAAACTCCTTGCCACATCGCCGACAAACTCCATCATTGACGTACCGGCAATAGGACTTAAAAGATTGACGTTCATTTGTTGGAGAGTATAACAGTACCTGAACCCTCGACCAAGATGGAAATGTTCACAACCCTCCCGAAGTTCAGAACCTATTCACGACAACGACACATACGACAAAATGGCCCCTTCCAACAACGCGCTATGGCTCAGCGCGAAACAAGATCCCGTCATGACGGTCGGATCAGCTCCGTACCCAACGGCCGGACCACAAGAAGTTGTTATTCGAACAGCAGCCGTGGCAATGAATCCCGCAGACTGGCTGCTACAACAGACAGGAATGCTGCTCTCGGAGTATCCAGCTATCCTTGGCTGTGACGCTGCTGGTGAAGTCGTTGAAGTCGGTCAAGGGCTCGAAGATCAATTCAAGGTCGGAGATCGCGTGTTTGGAGCGGCTGGACCACTCAATGGCTATAGGTGCTCGGCTTTCCAAGAGTACGTTGTGCTCAAAGCACCGTCTATAGCAAAGATTCCTGCAGCAGCCAAGTACAGTGAAGCTGCAGTCTTGCCACTTGGTTTCAACACAGCAGCGTCTTGCCTATTTGCGAAGGAGACGCTGGGACTGGAAGCACCGCCATCGAAGGCCGGCCACGGCAAGACTGTACTTATCTGGGGAGCTAGCAGCAGCCTTGGATGCTGCGGTGTCCAAACAGCTACATTAGCAGGCTATGAAGTTGTTGCAATCGCCAGCAAGGCGAACCACGACCTGGTTCAGTCACTTGGTGCGAAATCGAGCTTCGACTACAACGACTCCGACATCGTACAAAGCGTAATCAGAGGCCTGAAAGGCAAAGAAGTCGTAGGTATGTTCGACTGCATCTCCAAACCCGAAACCCTCGGCGCCCTTTGCGAAATCCTATCCAAAACCACCAACGCTCGCAAACTCATCGCAGCCATCCAGCCTGGCTCTGAAGCACACGCCAAACATGATGTCGAAGTCAAGACGAATTTCGTCGTTGATCAAGCGGCGTATCACGGTACGGTTGGGAAGTACCTATGGCAGGATTTCTTGCCTGCTGCACTTGCAGACGGGACATTTCGACACAAGCCTGATCCGGAGATCATCGGGCACGGGTTGGAGAATGTGCAAAAGGCAGTAGATCTTCTGAGCAAAGGGGTCAGCGCGAAGAAGTTGGTTGTAACATTGTGAAAGAAGTCTCGAGGCATCGGTCATTCTCCAAGGAGAAGAAGCGAGTGAAGTACACACCACAGAGCGACGAATCGAAGCATATCAACATAGCAACGTCTCGTGGTTGGTCGGAATGCGTTCATGCATGCATTCAAGGTTAAATTCGATGTATCGGATGACGTCGGAAAAGTGGACATGGGAATTTTCGGTCGCTTCTCGGTCCTCCAGTTTCTGTCTCTCGATCAATTTTCTTGCCGAGATGATCGCGCTCAACGCAACGCACTTTGCATCAGAGGGCGGATCTCGAAGTCTATGAGATCGGACACTGGTATGTGGGATGGCATCATTTTGTGTGAGGCACAGCTTTTCGGAACAGTTCATGGTTGTTGGCAACTACAAGACTTTGTGCAAGACTGTGTCCTTATCGGCGCCGTAAAAGTCTTCGTCGACCCTTCCCAGACGTGTTAAAGACATCCGTCATACTTTCCACATCCATCGACAAGACATGCCCTCATCCAAGCAAACGAGCTTAACAATGCGTCACCCGTCTTGGCAATCACAAGCCTAGGGATGTGGATGAAAAGCACATTTAAGCACTCCACGACCCTCCCCGAAATACCCACCCATGTCCACCATGATGTCAGCCTTCTCCAGACCTTGACCCGCTGTTAGGAAGCATCGACCAAACATGTTGTCCATACTCCATGTACGGCTATGTCAACGCGACCCCATATCTTTGTTGAGAGGTGGTGTTGCCCGTGGGACGCCTCCGCTGTGGGTGGTGGTGCCTCTTTGAAAAGTTTGATGACAGGCGTCACTGCCAAGTGTGAGGATTTCTGTGAGAGTGGTCTCTGAAGGGAGTATATGAGTTTTGTTCGTCTCTTGTCGTCACTCTTCTGTTCCAGTTTTTCTCTTGCCTCACTGTTGTTTTGCGTTGCTCTTCGACAGCTCGCACAGTATCGACCTCACGGGTTGGGAACACACAACGACTGGCTCGACCATGGGTCTCTTCGACCACAAAGGCCTGCTGGGCGGGCGCATCAGCGGCACGGCGCTGCAGACTGGAGTCTGTATCACCGCCGCCAGCGGCTTTCTCCTCTTCGGCTATGACCGTACGTCCAAACCTCCCCAATCTCACCACAACAATCTAATCAATCCCGCTAGAGGGCATTATGAGCGGCATCATCACGGAGCCTATCTTCCTCGAGACCTTCCCGCAAATGGAGCCTATGAACAAATCCGGCGCCATCCAAGCCCTCGTCGTCGCTATCTACGAAATCGGATGTCTGCTCGGATCGTTTAGCATCGTCTGGCTAGGCGACATCCTCGGGCGAAGGAAGTCTGTTCTTGTGGGGACTGTGATCATGCTCGTCGGAACTGCGATCCAGGCGTCTTCGTACGGGATGGCGCAGTTGATCGTGGGTCGCATCGTGACGGGCGTTGGGAACGGCATGAATACTTCTTCGATCCCCGTGTGGCAGGCTGAGATGGCGCCGCCGAAGATCAGAGGGTTTTTGGTGCTGTTTGAGGGGGCTTTGATTACGGGAGGAATTGCTGTTCGCTTCTTCTCATGCACAAATTCGAGGTTTCAGAAATGCTAATAGGTTTGCAGTTATCGTACTGGATCAACTACGGTTTCTGGTTCATCACACAGTACGGCTCCGTGCAATGGCGGGTCCCCATCGCCCTGCAAGCAGCCTTCGGCATCATGCTCATCATCGGCGTCCTGCTCTACCCAGAGTCTCCGCGATGGCTTATCAAGAAGGGCAAGCAAGAGGATGCCGACGAGGCGAGGAAAGTCCTCGCTGTTCTCGAGAACAAAGACTTCGAGGACCCAAGCCTGATTGCAGACATTGAGGAAATGCAGCGCGTCAATGCTATCACCGAATCGACACCGTTGACGGCCAAGGAGATGCTAAGCAATGGCAAGGAGATGAACCTTTGGAGATTGACCGTTGCTTGTCTATCACAGGCGTTTCAACAGCTCGGGGGATTGAACCTGGTACGTATCACGGTTGGGAACGCGTATCACAGGAGTGTGAATCTGACATGTCGTCCCAGGTTACCTACTACGCAACCACCGTATTCGAGGACAGCCTAGGCTTCGACGCAGAACTGTCCAGGCTCATGACCGGCTGTCTGGGCACCGAGTTCTTCATCGCGGCACTCGTTGCCCTAGTCGTTGTCGATCGATTGGGACGACGAAAACTCATGCTCTGGGGCGCCGTGGGCATGGGGACGTGCTTGCTCATCGTGGGAGCATGTTTATCCCAAGCGACTGCAGAGTACAAGGCTCCAGCATATGCCGCAACGGTCTTCATCTTCATTTATAATACTTGCTTTGCAATCGGATGGCTTGGAGTAACGTGGTTGTATCCGGCAGAAGTGACACCCATCCGCATTCGTGCTGAGGCGAACGGCTTCTCGACTTGCTCAAACTGGCTCATCAACTACGGCGTCGTCCAGCTGGCCCCTATCATGATCAACAAGATCTCCTGGCAGACCTACTTCGTAAGATCCCCCTCCCCTACCCCTAAACTCCCCTCCTTCACCAACTAACCCCCATCCCCTCACAGGTCTTCATGTGCTTCAACTACATGCACGTCCCCATCGTCTTCTGGTTCTTCCCCGAAACCAACGGCTACAAACTCGAAGCCATGGATGCCATCTTCGAGAAAGCCCACGAGAAAGGCGAGAACCCCGTCTGGACGGAGCGGAAGTTCCGAAAGGGGAAGGAGGAGATCGATCTCGAGAAGCATGAGCATCGTGGCGCTGGCGAGGATAGTGATCCGGAGGGGGCGTTGAGGGGCGCGGAGATTGAGAAGGAGGAGATGGCGAATGATGAGGGGGTGCATACTGGGAGTGTGCATTAAGTGGTGGTGTTGTGAAGGGTGTGGGGATGAGAGAATGTGTTGTTGGGTGGATGGTGTTCTATACCCCTGAATCATGTAGTTTGTATGCGTTAACGATCACGTCCGAATGATGCATGCTCTCACTGTTCCGCTCAAAGCGGAATCATCCCCGTTGCTTGTAAGCTGTCTAGGGACTTCGGAGTACTACGCAGAGTTCACCATCGTTCGCTCCCTGCCGCTCTTCGATATATCGGCCTCGTTCCCCTGGTGGCCTAAACGTACGATCCCGCTATCCATCTGCAATCATCCCGCAATCCGTTCGAGAGCTCAATCCCTACGCATGTTCAACGCCCTCGATGAACGATGAGCCTCATACCTCCTCTCACCCTCCCACGGTATCAGCCCCTCCCTCTGGCTCATCGCAGCAACATCCTGCATCTCCACTCCATCAGACCCCTTAATCTTCCTCAGCGACCTCTGCAGCCTTCCCGGATGGAACACAGCGAAAACGCCAACCACACCCAACATTGGCACCGCATCGAACACATACGCAAAAGCTTCGTGTGTTGCAACATAGCTCTCTTTCCCCGCCGCATGTTGGATCCCCTGAACCAAGTTTCGAAGAACGATCAGTCCGCTAGCGGCGAGGAGAGCGATGATGTATCTCTTCCAAGCGATGGTATCTGAGCCGACTTGCTCCTTGCATCTACTGAAGAATTTCCAGACGAGGATGACGAAGACCAGGAACACCAGAACCTGGAAGACCAGACCGATAACGACGACGACTCCGCCTGTTCGTTGCAGACTCGCGCTCGTCGTGACGGAGAGGCCAATACCCGCCATTTGAACCGCAAAGCAGATGATATCACCCGCGACGAAGAGTTTCGACATGAGGCTCGGACGGAGCGGCGAGAGCTCATTCGCCTCAAGGGATTCGATGATGCGGCGAATCAACATGTACATTGTGGCGGCGAGGAAGATTGGCGCGGGGAGGTTGAGGAGGAGGTAGAGGACGTAGGCTTTGAAGTTTTGAGGTACGTGGGAGAGCCAGTAGCGGCCGTAGTAGGAGAAGGTTTCCACTGTTGATGGTAATATTCAGTGGCCTGGAGAGTTGCGCCTGGAGGATGGGGCACTTACTGATGCATCCGATCAGGAAGGGGATGAAGTACCACGTCCGGAGCCAGAGCATCTCGACGAGGTGTGCGATAGTGCCCAGTCCGAAGCCTGCGATGAAGATGCAGGCGGCAATGCCGTTTGGATGGTATTCGAACAGCTCTGGCGGTGTGCCATCTTCTGAGGTTGGGAGAGACATGATCGGTAGTGACTGTGGTGTCGGACTGTGGTGTCGAGAAGACGTGGGAGCAGCAGCGTGAGCTGAAGAAGACAATCACTGTTAAGGGAAGCAGTCAAGAGGTTGAACAGCGGCTTGCGCGTTTGTGCCTTGCATTTCTCGGTCGTGTTCGTCCGGTTGAATGGCTCTGCCTGATTGAAACAGGCGAATACGAGGTCTTTATAGTCGGCATTGAAACCAGGCAACTGCTTCAGAGATATCGTACTCGCGTGTCTTCCTCGCTCTGGTTCCTCTCTACAAGCTCCCGCGAGTTGCAGGAGTGGCAGTGAAAATACATGGGTTTCCAGCATGAACACAGTCGATGCTGAAAGCTGACTGTAGGAATACAGCATTCCAGAATCCATCCCCTTGTCCAAGTAGACCACCGCCAATTCTCTTGCAACGCGCAGGACCCAATCCCTTTCTTTTCACGCTGTCAACACTTGCTTTGACATGACCCAACATGGGCGGAGTCATCATGTTGTTCCGCAGCATGCCGTTCATGAAGAAAGACCTGAGCCCTACATGACATTTCTCCGACCACCCAGTTCCAAACATGGCAGACCATGTTCTCGTATCGAGCCAGGGTCGTACTACCCAGATAGGCTCACCCCATCTCGGCCCGATCGTGCGAATTGTTGCGTGATTGGTCGTGGGTGCGAGGTTTCTCGCATTCGATACGAGAGCGACATCCTTACGAGACCCACCTCGTATTACTTTCGCTTTTCCTCCGTCACTTGCTCGACGACTCCTCCTGTCTCTCGCTTCCTCAAAACCACTGACTGGTCGCCCACAACCGAATACGCTGACTTTTCTTCTCTTCCCCTCTCGCTTTGGAGTTGCGGCTCGCATGCACTCGCACCGATCGACGAGCGAACGATGAATGATTCGCCGCGACCAACCGAGGCGCCGTCATATCTTGCCCGGAAGACGCATCGCAAATCAAGGTTGGGGTGCCTCGAATGTAAGAGGCGCCGTGTCAAGGTCAGTGATATTTCATCCCCCTATTGCGGTCGTTGTCTCTTTTTGTACCGACTCTTTCTCGCGACTCTCCCAAAGCCTTCTGCCTCGTCTTTTGCTGGAGGACTGAGCAGAACGAACGTCGCTGGGCCTAGCCGTTTGCGAATCTGACACGATGACTGTTCTGACATTCCGACCTCGACAGTGCGATGAGACCCACCCTGCCTGCAACAATTGCACTCGACGGTCGACGCCGTGTAATTACCCAGTCAGCAACGCAACAAGTCCTCGAGAGCGACCAAGAAGTCGTCCGGAAACTGATCACCACCGAGCCTCTCTTCTTGCGGCAGCTGACTCGCGAGCGCCTTCAAGTATCAGTAAGTTGAGGCGTACAGTCAAGTCGACCTCCAGTGCCGCGATGAAGCTGACTTGGAAGCAGGCACCACACCTCCATCGTCACTAGACAACGCCAGCTTGACTTTGCCGCCAATTCTCTCACCTCCCCGACCAGTGGTGCCCCCATCCTCTGCCGCACCATTCTTCGATGGCTTTGACCTGGAACTATGGCACCACTGGCTCTTCGTTGTCTCCAGGTAGGATGGACTGCCAGATTCCCGTGCTGAACGCCCGCTGACATTCGTGTGCAAGCCTCAACCTCAGTCCTGAAGAAGTTCCAATGTGGCGAGACCACATCCCGAAAGTCGCATTCAAGCACAATTACGTCGCACAGCTCATTCTTGCATTTTCAGCACTTCACTTGGCGCGAGAGGATCGGTCGAGAGAAGCTGTCTGTGTTGCAAGATCGACCGCTTTGGAGAGTGCTGCCATAAGCGGCATGATGGATGCTCTTTCCAAAGACGCCAGCAGCAATCCTGGCGCTCTTTGGGTGGCATCGATGATGTTGTGCTTTTGCAGCTTTGGCAAGGGACCGCAACCGGGGCAGTATCTGGTGTACAGTGAGACCAGAGAGCCTGAATGGCTCGGGCTTCTCCAAGGTGTCAAGACGATATCGGAAACGAGCCCAAATGCCATATCCTCCGTGATACCGACATCCGACAAGCCGGTCGCAGAACGGACAGAGCCAATGAGTCCAGAGCAGGTTGTGCCGGGGCTCGGCAAGGCATTGGACGACCTGCGAAGCTCGGTGGATGCTTTCAGGGCCGAGGATCCATCATTCGAGAAGTATCTTCATCCCTTGGACGAATTGCGAAACTGCTTTGGCAGCGCCTTCGAACGTCGGATCGACTCGAACTCTATCAAAATATGCTCTCACATGGTCTTTGCGTGGTTGTACAGACTCGAGGAGCATTATCTGGCAACGTTGCAGGCGAAGCGTCCGATGGCTTTGGTGATACTCGCACACTACCTGGTGTTGCTGTCTCAGCTTGAAGGCTACTGGTATATCCACGGATGGGTGCCTCATATTATGGAGGCAGTCAAAAGGCAGCTGCACCCAGCGTACCAACAATGGCTACAGTGGCCGCAGAGGTACATCAAGACTTGAACAAGCTGTCGTGGCGATAGATTTCAGAGTTCAATCTTGACTAGTCCGGCGGCTTCTGCTGCTTGAGACGGTCGGGAATCTCGAAGATCTCAGTGGCATTGTCCAGATCACGCCCCGTCCAGTCTCGCAAGAAGCTCACGCCTGAGCGTTGAAGCTGTGTCAGTATCCACTGCTTCATCGTAACCACGGGGAGACCTTGAGGGGTCGTCGATTTGCCTGCAAGCGTTGCCCAAACAAGCACCAACGGATGCACGACTTGTAACCTTGCCACTATGCTTCGATCGAATGCGTACTGCCGGGACATGAGAAGATTCGAGACGGCGCGTTGCTGTGTAGCCACTAGCTTTGCTGTTTTATCTTCATCCAGCCAGCTGAGGTGATGTTCTTTCCGTGCGAGGAAGTCGATGAGAAGACAAAGTCGAACAAGGGTCAGGAGGGTCGCCCAGTAGTGGATCAGCATTGGCCAGTGTGGCGAGTCAAAATCGAATGAGACAGGAACGATGTGCCTCTCTGCGATGTTCCTTGTCGGTACAACTCGAACTTGATGAAGTGTCTCGTTCTCTGCTGGGAGATTTTCGAACTCCAGCAGCAGGTCGGCCAGAGCTGTCACCTGTGAAGCAGAAATGTCGTCCCCGTCTCGTAACTCCCGTACATATTGAGTCAGTCTAGCTAGACGCAGATCGATTTCGTGTGATGCGCGCTGCAGTGAAGCATAGTTGGAAGGCAACGGGGCCAGGCTGAAGGGTTCCATTCCTGACCAGTAGGTGTTCTCGCAGATACTCGCAGTAACCGCGTTCAGCTTTCCAAGCGAACAGACCCGGAAGAGTTCAAATCGACAATAGTCTTGGAAGAAGGCTCTAGCTATCGTGGTAGGAGTAGAAGAGGGATTCTGAGACTGTGCTTCCAGAAAACACTTGCAGGCTTCGAAATGTGCGAAGCTGGCACTGTGGCCGATCTTGTCGTCTGCACCATCTGCGATCAGAAGGTCGAATGTCGCAAGCGCCGAGCTTGTCGCCGTTGCCGACTCTGACGGAACGTACTTCGACGAGGCAAGCTTGTGTCGAAGAAGAGTCACTGCTCTGCCATAGTTCGCCAAGGCCGCTTTTAGTATCTTCTCGTCTTGGTGACTGGGCGTAGCGCTTCGGCGTAAATAGACTTCACTCGCCTGACATAAGGCCATGACAGCGGTGTCTTCATCGCTATGTCAGTCATGTGGAAGGGCGATTTTTCAAGGGTAGCACATCACTCACCAAAGCACAAGTCTTGCCCCAAGATGCTGGGACCAAGCACGATCCAAGTGAACTGAAATTGCAAGGCTTCTATTGCTTGTACAAGCCAAGACGCGAGCCATGATTTCTGTGAGCTGATCCCCCTCTGCACAGTTGGTTTCATTACAGCTCGGCGGTGGCTGTGCGGTCCATTGGATGAAGGCTTCAATGAGGCTAGGCGGACTTCCTTCCTTCTGACGACTTGGCCAGAATGCTTGTGTTTATTCTGGTGAAAGTCGCACGCTGTGTTTTCGCCCAGGCAATCGCAGCCTACCAGATTTACTTGTCCTACTGGATATTCCCGAGTGCTTCTGGACAAGTTTTCCTCGCGATCAGCCCGGGCACCAGCAGCATCACTCATGGTCATATCAGGGGTGTGGATAGCCCGGACCGTTTCGACTTAAGGGTCCCGTTCGTTTTGTCATGAACCAGGTCTGAAAGATGACTTCGTAAAAATATCATGGCGCTCTTTCAGCTCCGCAGATCATCGGCGACCCCGACCACTGATCGAACCTATGCTCGCAGGCGAGGATGGCGTTAGCATCTCACGGCATGTCAAACATTTGACGCGGAGGAACTGAACGAGAAGACGAAAGACAGACGAATATACAGAAGACGATGAGTCTCAGGACGAAGCAGTCGCCTGTCAGCGCTCGGACCCAAGGAAGGTATAGCCGAGAGCTACGGCGCGGGCCGATTTCGTAGCTAGCGCTCGGGACTAACGTTAGTTAATCCAAACATCGCCTTATTAGCTGAGGAACGACACACGAGGCCTATACTACTAAAGAGCAAAGTCTTCGTCTGTACTCTTCTAACTCTTTTATTAATTAGTTTAAAATAAAATTCGGCCCCAAGTCGACTGCTGCAAAACGCCTAAGAATTCGCAGCTCGGCATTATTAGGTGGGTGCGTACAGTCAAGCTAGATTATTATCTAGGTGCGGCCCACCCGCTAAAGTGGACAGGGGGCAGAGTATCAAAACAGCAGACCGTTGTAGAATAGGATGACTCCATCGTACAGAGATGAAACTCGTTCCGTAGTTCAATGCCCAGCTTCAGCGCCGCTGCTTAGACACGAGTGGCCACAACGTGATTCACATGTTCTTATGAATGAAGTCTAGGACGAAACTATGCTCCTATTTGACGACATAAATGCAGCTGGAGACATTACAGTACGAAATAGCAGAGAGGACAGAAGTTGACTACGAAGGACTTTCTGTCTGCTATCCCCCTGTCCCTTAGCACGACCTAATATTTGAGGCCAATTCAGATTATATAGATCAGGCCTCAAATTTACCACGTATCCCGAGATCGCGACTCCTTTCGCCAATTCATGTTGCACAGTAGTCACACACCCGTTGATTTACACTGGTCAAACACAGAGCTCCTATTGCTGATCATGGGACGAGCAACATGTACAAGTAGTGACTATTGTTTCAACTGGTCTATTAAAACTCTATAACTCACATTATCCCAAAGCAACAACTCAACCAAGGTAAGAAAGCAACTCAATACAGTGTTATTAGGACTCGCGGTCTCTCAAACTTGACCTCGGAGACCATGTTTTCGCAACTCGCGCTCACCTGAGGTACGACTTTGAAGTTCGACCCCACGGCCATAACCACGCCTGGCCTTCAGTTCACTCCCTGTCGTGAACAATGTAGCTAGGAAAGAAAGCTTCTCGAGGCGTCCTGGCAGATCTGCACGATTGTATCTCTGCGCAAGCCCTTCTTCCTGGGATCCATCTTTTGGAAAGGCCGGTTGTAATATGCCCGCAACAAGGTAGATAATAACAACACCGAATTCTTCCACCACTTCCATGAACAACGATGTTGTAACCGCCGAAGTTGATTCGTTCCCGATCTGGAAGAGGTTGATGTGACTGAATGCCGCGAGCAGAGGGTAAACCAGGCGGACGAGCATCAGCGGTGCTGCTAGGTTAACAGCGACGAGGAGCACTTTCTCGCCGCGCATCGTGGAGCGGGCCAGGACGGCCGCCATCACATTGAATATCAGCAGTAGTGCGAAGACTACAGTGAAGAGTACGATTCCGATACGGACTGTGCTTTCGGTATACACTTGCGTAGGCGTGTCGACACTCGTCGCACCCACGATGCAAAGTATAAGGCCAACGGTCGTTGGAATCTGGATAGCTCTCACAAGTACAATCGAAACAATTGTACGCCAAGGCTGATCGAGTATGGAGTAGAGACTGGGTTAGAGTATTAGCAAACAAGCACAGGCATATCTCATGCATATTCAGCTTGCGTATGGGGTGTGCCTACATTCTGGAGAGGAGACCGAGCCATGCCAGCAGCAAGGGCGATAGGCCTAGGATCGAACAGATCAAGGCGGCCGTCTCAGCATCGCTCGAGCTGGGGTTATGTATAAGATAAACTCGAGCACCTGCGCCCGCAAGTCGTACACTGCTGAACAGGACCAAGAAGATCCATCCCGAGGCTTTGGCGAATCCGTGCTTGAAGCATATGTAGATGGACGTCAAAAGTGCTGGAGAGTAGAAGATGAGTTGACCAATGGCAATCCCGTCCAAGTAGGTTATTCGACTCATGACAAGCAAATATAGGTAGGGAATGCGGGCAGTAATTCAACACAGAGATCAGCCTTACAAGAGATGAGGGTCTCTACAGACTAAGTAGTTCTGCTATCTGCTTCTGTGGTTGTCATAGAACAAGTGAACGAGCGTCCAAGCTTCGCGATCTCTATAGCTGCGAACATGAGGTTTTGACGCTCTGGTTACCAATTTCGGACCACCTAGCGCGACTTCCTGCCCCTGCTATGGATCGTCTGCGTGTATTGTTGCTGCCTAGGGGCGCAAAGTGTTCTGAAAGCAGAAAGGCGTTTGTCCTGCGCCTGCCCTTTGTACGCGACATATTGCGTGCGTAACAAGCACGACCCTTGAAATGGGTGTTTAGACTCTTGCATCAACAGGAAACTTTGAAAATGAAAACTTTTCCGTAAACGAGAAAGTGCGACGCGACGTGTACAGCTTCCCGCTAACGTTGACATTGAACGCGTCCAGCAGTGCCTTGGATTCCGCGGATGCCACGGGTTCAGCGGATTCAACGAGGTGCAACGATGCCCTTTGGCACACTTCTTTGAGCATAATTGTGGGGTGGTCCATCCTGTGGAGGTCGTAGTGAGACAGGTACACACATGCGCGAAGCCTCCGAAGTAGCATTCTAGGCTTCGACTTCAGGCATGGTCAAGATTGGTAGAGATCGTGCAAATTTACTTTTACTGTACCACAAGCATTCTTCATCAATTTCGTAAATACTCAGAAGTTTCGCATTGATCCAAATTCTCTACGAAGGCTACTTGGCTGGTCGAACTCAATGCCTCTAGATAAGATCTTGGGCCATGCGCTGAGCTTTGCAGCTGAGTATCAACAACAGCGCAGATTGAAGCGCGTACAAAGCGGAGAGAATTCTGATGCTCGGGGAGATTCACTTGAGGCGGCTCTATTTGAAGACGACGAGCAAGACTGGGAGCTGGACGAGGCTATTCAGGACAAGGGCGACCATCATCCACCGTATGAAAAGTCACTTCAGACAGCAACAACCGACCAGCTTATCCGGGACACGTTTAGTAGCAGAGTGCCAGAGACATGCTCTACCAGTGCACGGCCAGCCAACAGCCTGCGTCACCCGATCGTTATTCCTCAGAGAAGACCAGGAAATAAAAAACGAGGCTTCGTTCGAGCATACGCTCCAGTGTTAGACGACTGCGGCATAAGCCAAGAAACATTCCTACGCTTCCTCAAGAACTTCCACCAAAGCTCGCAGGCGTCTCCGTGGTTTGGTGTCATACAAGTATCTGCAGCTATAGCCGGCTTCGCGCCATCAGCAGTTGCCGTGGCAGTGTGTATGGCCATCCAGGCTGGCGCAAAAGCTGGCGCTGAGATTCAGCACAGACATCGGACCAACGATTTTCTCGAGAAGATGAACGAAGAGTTTTTCAAACCAGCTGGATTATTTGCCATGATTATGACCTACAAACCTGACAGTTCTATTAGTTCCTTGTCGCAGAACAGCAGCCTGGTGTCCATGTCGACCCGTTACATGAATCTCAAAGCAAACGACGCCATGACGGAGCTGGAAGACAACAGCGGAAATCTTGGGAACCTTACCAGAAAGTTGAAGATCTCTTCCGGCACTACCAGAGGCGAAGTAGAGCTGCCCGAGTTCGCACCGCTCATATTTCCGGATGTGGATGCTGCGGTCCAGCGTGGAGAGGAAGAGACGTTCAAGAATAACGTTAAGGGCTTCCGAAAGTTCTTTGCTGCCTACATGGACCGGCAAGCTCACATGAACTTCGTAAGTACAACCGTCTGCGTCGAACTACTCAGAGTGGATCGAAAGCCTATGGCAGGGCAGATCTGATTGATCTACAGGCGCGCGAAAACCCCGACAGCGGCCTGAATGTACCAGAATCATATCGCCAGCTGAGCTCCGACAGCTTTCTTGGGCGTGCTGGGCAAGCTGTTCGGAGTAGCCAGGGGAAAGATGCCTTCATTCGGAGCGTCATGGGGACAACTAGCAGCGAAAGCCGGACAGAGATGTCAATAGGAGAGCCACTTAAAGAGAGGCTGCTTGGCCAAAAGGGCGACAGCAACAGCGGCAAGCCTGGATGCCTAGGCATCAAACGTATGTTAAAAGAGGACATCCTGTATTTGACGATTGTCAGTCTGCCCAACGAAAACGAAATGGCATCGGCAAGACGTGAGCTGAACATGTAGGCAATCGGGCGGGTAACCGCTCTATGGAGCTCATCCTAAGCAGACTTCTACGTCGTAGGGACTACAGTATACACACTTCTGGCTTCTACGGCTGTCGCAGCTTGTCCACATCTCACCTCGTATACGATTAATGGGATAGGGACGGGTTCAATCATAAGCTATGTAAGCGCTTCCATACTCGTTCGTTTATTGAGGTCCGAATGAGCCGAACATTTCGTTAGCACTTGTTCAATAATGCCCATCCTGTGCTGGCATCGCTACAGCTAGCTACTGCTTAAGCTCATCCGCTACACGTGAGTTACAAGTATCGCGCAATGCTAGCAGAACGTTTTGAAGTGAACAGATCTAGCTCGTTCCCACTTGTCTGGAGGCGTCGAAACTGAGCGACATGCAATCATTTTCTCGAGCTAGGCGGCGGTAAGTTTCCAAATTGAAGCTGTTGAGGGAGCCTTTAGTAGAACGCGTTCAACACCGGACAGCGTTGCGGCAGATGGGCAACGCCATAGGCGGGACTATTGGATCCTAATGCAAATATGCTGCCCCTGGGTTGAGGTTGGGAATAGCTTGGACTTATTCGTACCCTAAGCACCGGCGGCTTAGGCAGCAGCGCAGAGGCCAGCGATTGTCGTTAGGCAATCCAGTCGCGCTCAGTATTCCAGATACAGCATCAGCTAATGAGGCAGAAAGTAATCGGCAGGGGGAGGAGACTCGTTCCATGTGCCTGACGCTGCTTCCGGATGTTGGTTTCCAGAGCCCCTATTGAATTATGAATGCGAAGTCGCCAAGCAGCTAACTAACGCCCCTGTCTTGCTCTCTGTGACTGTGACCGTTCCTGCACTGGCCATCTCTAAAACCTTTTAGCGCTGGTCCGTGCCCACGCTCATGGCGCCGCAAAAGACTCCCGACCTCACGACGAGCGCATCGTCACAATTAGACCACGAGACAGTCCGATTTCTTGAGCAACTTCATCGTGCTTGGTCAGACCGAGCTTCTTCGTCCACTTACGCCCAGCTTCGGGACGAACTGCTGCTTCAGCGCGGCAAACTCGACAGTGGAGTGGCCGCTTTGAGCGCCGTGGCTAAGGTCGCTTATTACCCCAATGAATTGGCGGTCGATACAAACTGGCAAGAACTCTTTACGATCTCAAGTTCGATCGAACATGAAGGAAAGAAGCGCAAGCGGGAGTATCATGAAGCCAATCGTCTTCGCAATTACCTGGTTATTGGGGCCCTTTGGTCGCTCCCTGTCCTTGTCCACTATGGCTGGGACAAGGTGGGACAGACACAAATGTACACTCTCCGCGCTTGTGCGACGCGCTATCCTCATTTCTTAGACGACGTATGCCCTCGACTCAATTCCGTCCTTCTTGACCGACATCGTCAGGGTATCAAGAGGGGCCGCGTGAAAACGCTCAATGAAGCACCAATTCAAATAAGTCGCGATCTTATCCTCCCCGCTTTGGCATCGGCCATACCACATGACGGCGGGGATGAGCCATGGTTGACGGACGAGAGTCGCAATTTTTCGCTGGAAACACATGGCCCATCGCTTCGCCAGCTCCGGCCGAGCCACTTTCGTTCATATCTACTGGCAAAAGATCATCGCTTAAAGATCTGGGGTGCAACTGTCCACAACAGGAATGTAACGAGTACTGCGACTGCCGACATGAAGGACGTCGCTGCACAGTCTAGTGTCTGGACCACGAGTAAATCGGTCACTCGAGTTGTACCGGTGACAATGTTACGAATTAAAGAGACATGCAACGATCTTGCGATCCGAAATACCCAGGATGCGTATTGTATAAGAAGCGAGAGCTTGATTCCAATGCAACTGGCATTTGGTTACAGGTGTGAGGCCGCTAGCTTCAAATAAGCAGAACACATGACCCAAACACTCTTGCAATGGCTTCGTCTAGTATAGCAATGCTTAATTAGACGAGCGCGGACGATGCTGCAGATTGATCTTTCACAGGTAACAGATTCATACGAGTAAAGACTGGGTGCTGCGGACCAAACGCATACCCTCCGCACGAAATACTCCACGAGATTGCTCGCGCGATGAAGATCCGTTATCGAGCTATTTACCAGGTCGACTTACAGTTTGCATTGATGTTTGAAGCCGCCCCCGCCACAGGTCTTGCTTCACGCAGCAGCCTGCCGACAAGAAAGTGAAGCAAAATTGGGCGTGCCACGGGCCCGCGCATGCTTCACTTGGAGGATTCCTTACTTTCGTCACATGCGAATTTGACATGTCTTTCTTTTCGCTCGTAGCCTATGCACATTCAGTCTTTGCTGACTCAAAGACAACCGCGTTCTCGCCATGTTACAACACCACTGATCTTCCATGGAGTGTCTTCTGGCGCAACAACTCGCTATCGCCTTGCCGTCAGTTGAGTCACGCTCGATTGTCGATATGGAGATCGGACCGCCGAGGCGCGACAAGATCTTGGGAATGGAGGACTACACAATCGAACCGCCTCCGACGACACAAGTCGCGCGCCCCTCTGAAGTCTGGCATGAGAGTGCCCCGACAAGCTCAAAGCCGACTCCAAGGCCAGAAGTGTCATTCCAAACAGTCACCACGAACCTCGAAGCATTCATCGAGCCAACCGTAGCACAGAGAGTCCTCGGCACAGTAGAGCTGCTGGAGATGGTCCTCCTTGAACTCCCCATCGCCACGCTCTTCACCGTCCAGCGCGTCAACACCAAGTTCCACGACACCATCACTGGCTCTATCCACCTACGGCGCGTCATGTTCCTCGAGACAGACCCTTCCTTCGAAGCCAGCAACAAGCAACAAATCAACCCAATGCTCGAGCAATGCACGTTTACCCCAAAATCCGGTCTTTACCTCGAACTGGTCACCAAAACCGCCAACCCGCTCTATCGCTCACTGACAGATTGTCTCGAAATTGACCTGCCTTACTTCACCACACCTACGAGCAAACGCAGCCGCCTCCGCGACAAGGTGTGGCTCGGACACGTCCGCAAACCGACAAAGCCACTCATGCTGCCCCACCGCACAGACGTCAGGGAGTCGTGGCAGTACATGTTGCTCAAGCAGGGTCGACCAGCCAAGACGTCAGTGAGGTTGTGGCATCACTTCGGCAAGATCTCCAGGCCGCTAGACTATGCGAGGGAGAAGTTTAGGAAGAGGACATATATGGGCAGGGTCTGGAGGTTCATCAAGCAGATGCATTGAGAAAGGCGAGAAAGACTAAAAGATGTGGTGTTATCCACGGTCTTGAAGATGGGGTTGGATGAACAGAAGGACGGCGATGGACCGAAGCTCTTGGAAATCTGCAACAATATGGAGCGACCTTTCAGTCGAGCTGTTCAAAACAGCTAGGTCTTTCTCCCTCATTCTGGCTCTTTCTCCAAGGCGGCCTCGCTTTGCTGCAGGGTCTTTTGCCATTTCGCCACACTCTCCGGATTTGCAGGCCTCACTATGAGCTACATGCGTGATAAGTCTACGATTTCCCGCAACATTGAAGAACTCACCCATTGCAGTTTACTATCTTCCTTGGCATCAGTCTTATCACTGTTCCTCCCTCGTCTCCCTTGTCGACGGTCTCGTCTTGCCCTTCCTCTTCCATTCTGATTGTTTCTATCATCTGTCGTGGGATCCTTCGACCATGCGCCGTTAAGCGGTGGGTAGACCATCGAAAGAGGTGCTAGAAGATTGCCATAGGCTGCAACCCTGGACTCAGGACCTGGACTATAGGGCGAGACTGATCTTTCCGGTATGCCGAGGTCTTGGTCGATATTGGCGGACGTGCCGATGCTGCCTTGTCCGTTAGAAAAGCCCCATCGTTCACTGCATCAAGTCTGGCACGTCTCGCCCAATTTCAAGCCCCGCAGGTATGAAGATGTTCAAATTAGCCTTCGACAGGGCTCTCGCAATCATCGAGGCGTGGCCAACCGCAAACCCAGCTCCAACACCAATCTGGCCGACCATCAAGGCCACGGCGTCGAGTCCCGGTCTACACGCTCGTTTGTCAGCCACGAAGCACCACTCTGCAAATGATTTCGATCCTACGCACAGAAACAGCCCGCCCACCGTTGCAGCACTTTGGCAAACTTTGTTCGCCTTGTTGGGGATGATGGCTTTGTTGATCGAATCTACCACTTCCACGAAATGTCGGGCTGTGATGCCGAAGTAGCCTAGATCGTTGCTGTATGCTCGGAGGAAGGGCTGGCCGTCGCCGCTGGTGATTTGTGGGAGGGCTATGGGACGGAAGGGGGGGCGTTGCATTGGCTGCGCTGAGGTGTTGTCATAGCCTCTTGGGGCATAAGTGCCGTTTACAGTCTGATAAGAAGCGTCAGCCGTGCGGACTAGCTCGAAGCAGGCTATATTCACGACAGGGAGCCCTCACTTGGTCGTTGCTGCTGGGCACGCCCAGTGGTATTCTGTATGCGGGTGGAGCGTCCGTCCATCCCGGGCCCGTGTTTGGATATGGCTGTGGCGATTGGGAAGTATGCACACTACGAGGCGGGCCAGACGGCGGGTTATCGTTACCACCACCGCCGGAGAATGGAAGAAACGATTGGTTCAGTCCATTATTGACCTGGCTCGGGCCCGTGGACGAGGCAAATGCATTCTTGATGAAGCCCATGTGTGTATGAGCGATGGTACTCGCAAGGCACTTGTTCTGCTGACAGGTTTTTGAATGTAATGTACACCACGCTTATTGCAGCGCATATATACGTTTTCCGCTGGCTATAAGAGTTGACGTATGTCATTGAACACCCAGACACTGAACTTCCCAAGAAGATTGATAAGACGTCCTTCGCCAAATGGCCTCGTCATTCTGTCTGCTCAGTCTGAGCCATGACTGGACCACTTTCGAAGTACTGCCTGCTGGGTTTGAGCCATTCGCCCAAGACACGCAAGGCTGTGTCAGCCGACTAGCCCGATTGTAGAGAATACGGCGAAGTAACCAACGAACATTGGGATCTCGGAGGGAGTGTCTATACGTGGACCCTTTGAACGATTGATGCTGTCTCTCTATCGGCATATTCCCGAGTCCTTGAAATTTTGGAGAGATGGAAAAGAAAAGACCCTATCGCCGAATCATCCATAAAGGGAAGGCGGCAGGCATACCTGAATGGGCTTAGAGGTGGAGCGGAAGTATTTAACGATCCAATGTCTCCCATGTCGTTTAGAGTCGACGACATCGAACAGGATCAGGGAAAGAAGATAGCCCTACCAGCTGCCGCATAGGAGGATAAGTGTAGCACAAAGTATAATAGTGCTCGCTTCCTCGTCTCGTCCACAGAAGCAATCAACAATGACATCTCCCGTTACAACGAACCTCAATCCAATCGTAAGTGGTGGTCAAGTCTCATTGATGTGTCTGCTCGGCCATGCAGAATCTTAGCAAGCTGTCTCCCATATCAGACCCGTTTCGGAGCCGGAGGCTCTTTTCGCCGAAATGTGAGTGAATCCAACCCTACGCCCAATCACAGGAGGGCAAGTGGAACCAATTGCTTCGTTAACGCGAACACCACCTCACTTCTCTACAAGAAGCTCTCCCATCTTTCCATATCCCATCTGTGCTTCCGTGAGCTTCCTTACCATAATTTCAACGACTTCACCGAAGCGCTGAAATGCGATCGCCGATACCAACTTCCTGATCGATGAAAGAGAGGAGCAGAACCTATGCCTTCTCTCGAGGGGAATGGCTTCCAAGCAGATGGAACTGGGCTTACAAACTACGAGCACCGCATGTGATCATGATTGGAACCATTACGTGCCCCAGCATGCGCATCGTGATGACCCCCTCGCTGGCATGACCATCATGAAAGTTTCAGTCGCGAGAGAGTGAACGGTATAGCATACTTCATGTACTCATCATCAAAAGAACAAACCCCTAGAAGACGCACTCCACGCACGCATCCACATCATCCAAATCTAAAAAGGCAAACTCCGCACCAAACCCCTTGGCCTCTATTCCCACACCCTACCCACCCAACTCCCCCACAATCCGCTGATACACAAACCCATGACTCTCCCAATCGACCCTCCTCACCCTCTCCAGCACATCCACAATCCCCGCCACCTTGTCCGTGAACTCCGCCATGCCCATCGCCGCCAACCGCTCGCTCGCCGAGGACGCCGCCCGGACCCGCTCCGCCGAAGACTCGGCCTCCAAGCGCATGAGGACGTGGGATTTCAGACGGGCGAAGATAACTTTCATGACGGGGTCGGTGAACTTGATGCCGTGGCCCGCGTGCGGCGTCATCGCGTCGGCGGCTTGCGTGAAGAAGCGGGTTATGGTGGTGGAGACGGCGGTTTTGGTGGAGGGCGGCATGTTGTGGGCGGTTTCGAGGATGGAGAAGGCTTTTTGCGCCGGGGTAGGTTCGGTGTCGTCGTCGTGTTCGTAGGGGGTAGTGCTGAGCAACTGCCAGAGGCGGCTGGCTTCTGTTTTCCATTGGCTTCGAACGTCGCGCTTCAGGAGGTTTTTGGTCGTTAGGAGGATGGAGCCGATCACGGCGATGCGGATTGCGTCTACTCGGATCTTTTGAAGTCTCTCGATGTCGAGTTGGAGGGTCTCTGGGATTGGCTCCGGGTCCAGCTCCCCCTGGTATATGGCAGTTTCCACCAGCGCATGAGTGTAGATCTTTGAAGGCGAGGGACGATCGGCTGGATTCCTTGCGCCTTCAGGATCTCGTCGATCTGCTTCAGCCTCCAGTGTCGTCTTTGCATCCAGCCACCAGCGTCTAGTTTGTTCAAGACCGATATTCCCGGATTCAAGCTCTTTTGCGAAGATGCGGTGTTCGTATCCTGCGGCTTCTTTGATCAGCGCTGGCGCTGCGTTCATGATCATGAAATTTGTATAATCCAGACTGAGGACATCCACCATTCGCAGAAGCTTGAACAACTTCTCGATCATGGCATCAAGCTCATCGCCATTGTCATCAGCGCGAAGCTGCTCGACCAGAGCTCTGACTTCCTGGTCTCGGAAAGGTGCGCACAGCTTGGGCAGCACGTTGGCCATGAAGTTGAAGAAGCCAGAGTAGGAAAAGACGCCTTGTTGGCATTGGCGGTTGATGTTCTCCAGATCAAGGGCCTCGGAGATCATCTTGTGCATATTGTTGCCGGGCTTCAGCATTCGCAGTAGCTTTTCTCGCACATTCTCGGCTGCAGATACTGTCCACACCGCGCCCTCGCCAGCTTTGAAACCGACCTTCATGCTTTCGCATATCCCGCGGTAGAGCTCGTCCCTGAAATCGCTGTTCTTGTCCTCGAGTCTGAATTCTTTATCGATGGCAAGTTCGTGCGTCAGAATGCGGTTGCTTGGCATCGTCGTGAACAGCTTGTTGATCTCGCCCGATCCCACGGGCGAGGTCACAAGGGCAGCTTCTTCGACTGCATGTTCAGATGAAGCTCCAGCCTCGGAGTTTGCTGCCTCAAGGCCTCGTGGTCTCACTTCGGCAGCTGGTCGCTTCTTAGGCCTTCTACGGCGGCTTTCTCTAATTGCCTTCTTGATCAGGACGTCTGCTCTTTCCGGCCCGGCCAGCTTCCTGATCCTGCTGAGCAGCATCACCTGGTTATCTCGGATGCCCTCACGATAGTCGGAGGCCACTTCGCCTCGAGTATCGTCCTTCACGGTCTGCCAAATGGCGTCAAGCTCAACGAAGGAAGCCACCATTCCTTCGATCAAGACGCTGGAATCTTGAAGTCGCCAGGCCGCAAAAGCAGAAGTGTAGGCCGTGTAGGACTGAGACAAGGTCTCCAGCTGCATTGGGTTCACAGTCCAGCTGTTCCAGCTGTCCAAACGCTCGACCGAGGCTTCGAACTGGCCGATGAGCTCAGCAGCTTTGGCGATTAGATCCTGCTCCTGGGCTCCGTCTTTCTTCACAAGCACCGAAGTTGGATGTCCTATGATCATGTAAGCACTGAGAAACGTCCTGGTATTGAGGGCGGCGTTGGCATCATTCGATTCCTGCAGCTCGAGATGGGTCAAGACGGCAATGGTCGTGGAGATGACAGTGGAGTCGGCAACAAGCGCAGTCATATCCTCGAAGCTTGTCTCTTGTGATCGTTTCGTGGTCAGATCCAGCTGCTTGAATGCCAGTACAGGCTTCTTCCTCTGGTAGAGGCGCCATGCCTTCTGCACACGCCTAGCAGCAGCATCCTCGACCTGGTTATCATCCATGACGGCCTCCTCCTCGACATCGTCGATCACTTCAAGCACAGCCATCTTTTGCTCTGCGCTTTCAGCACGCCTTTGCCGCCTGGCCTGTATGTTGCGCTGGTACTCTGCGCGCCTCTTCTCGGCTTCGGCATGGCGCTCCTCCATCTCCAGGCGCTGGCGTGTCTCCTCGGCCAGCTTTCGCTCCTTCACCTCTTCGGCAATGCGCTTAGCGCGCGCGACCTCTTCCGCACATGCTGCAGCAACTTTGGCTAGATATTTCTCCTTGGCGACCTGTGCAGCAAGCGCTCGCTCCTCGCTGTTTGTGTTGCTGCCTCGGGGCGTGGCTTTGGCGAGCGCGGCGCGGAGTCGCACCTGTTCGGCATGGGCTGCGCGGTCTGCGAGTCGAGCCTTGCGGGATTCTATAATGGAGGCGCGGCGTAGGTGTTGGGCAATGTAGGTGCTCTGGCATCCTGTGGAGCCGCGTCGGGAGCGACTGGAGGCACGCGATTGCGCGGAAGAGAGCGAGTTCCGTCGTGAAGATGCGGCGGACGATTTGCGCCTAGTGAGGGAGTTACGGTAGAAGCGAGCGGCGATGTGAGCCGGCGGTGCGTAGTATTCGGGGTGTTGTTGCCCGTGGGACTGCTGGTCCATGTTGCTCTCCCAGTTGGGTGTGTTTGGGGTGGATTGCTCGTCGCCGGAATGCGACATGGTGTCATCGTCCTTCATGCTGGGTATAGATAGTGGTTTGGCTGTCGCATGGAGAGGCGTAGGTATCGTTTCGCAGGTCGGATGCGCAGGCAGAAGGGAAGGGCAGGTGGAGTGGCTGGAGGAGATGACGCTGCCAGGCTTCACATGTCGCGATTCCCAGGATCGCCGTTCCCTCGATTGTCGCAGAAGCCCGTCGACGAGCTTACTAATTTGCCTTCTTCAACATTTGATTAAAACTGGTGAGATCCCTTAGATCATATGAATAGAGTGCACAATATCATATGAACCATTCCAGTCATTCGTCTTCGTATTCATCGCCGTCCACATGCCTCATGCCCGCATGCGGAGCGGACTCGGCTCCGTCCAACGATCGCCCAGCCCACGTGAAGATGGGGGAAAGTTTGCCGATGGCTATTTTTGACCTTAGAGCGAACCTTCAACCTTTACATGTGATCCATATGGACAACACTCACTCACGACTCAATTGTTAAGACTTGATGCGCGAATTTATCTGACAGACCGGCCGCAGCGCTGTGAAAAGCTGCCTCGCAGAGATGCCTGTTTTCTCGCTTGGACTTTCCCAGCTCGCCGTAGCTGCAACTCTATTCGAGCTCCTCGAGACATCGCATGCTGTGTTTGCGATAGATACCAGACGCTTGATATGGGCAAACACCAAATCTAGCACCGCATCCGGCACCCGCGGGTACCGTCCCTGGTAGAAAGCTATCAAGTTCCTAGATGATCGAGCTCTCCATGTCACATCTCCCACTCTCTCATTCGCGACATGTCGTCCAGCAAGACCAACCCCGTTCCCCAAAGGGTCATCTCCCGTCTTATTGCCAGCGCTCTCCAAGACCCTCAACTACCCAGACAGAGCCCAACAGAAGCCTTCTGGCAAGTGCCCGTATCTAATATCTCACGCCAACAATCATCGAAACTTCCCTCTTCGACAACTTACGCAATAATCGGCTCTGGCGTGACAGGATGCAGTGTGGCAAAGAACCTCCTCGAGAACTTGCCATCAGAGTCGAAAGCCACTGTGACTGTCTTTGAAGCTAGAGCTCTCACTAGCGGAGCAACGGGGAGGAATGGAGGGCATCTGCTTTCACCGCTTCCTGAAGAATTTACGCTTATGGAGAAACATTATGGAACAGAAGAGACCATCAAAATGGCGAGATTCGCCAACAGGACACTGGATAAGATGCATGGGCTTGCTGAGAATGCCGATCCTGAACTGAGAAAAGCCGCCGAGGTGCGAAAGGTGCGGACTGTGACTGGATACAGGTCTAAAGAGCTGTTTGAAGAAGCCAAGGCGTCTCAGAAGAGATACGAGGAGTGCTTGCCAGAGTTCAAAGGTGACCATGAGGCTATCCATGGCGAAGAAGCTGTAGAGGTGAGTGGAAGAATGCTTTATGAAGAACTTGACTGAAAATAGTGTCCATCGCAGAAGTACAACATGAAAGGCAACGCCGGTGTGATCGTCAACAGCGCAGGTGCCTTCTGGCCTTATCGTCTTATCACAGGACTGCTCGAACGCCTACTACAACGATACAAAGGCCGCTTCACAGTCGAAACAGAGACACCCGTAACCTCAGTCCAGCATGACGACAATGGAAACGCAGAGCACCCCTACATCCTAACCACACCACGCGGCACCATCCGTGCAAGCAAAGTAATATACTGCAGCAACGGCTGGACAGGCCATCTCCTGCCCAAACTCCGAGGCAAAATCTTTCCCTTGCGAGGCACCATGTCCACCCAACAAGCCGGCCCAGAACTCCCCCACGAAGGCGATCAGCAATCCTGGTCCGTCCTCGACAAACCCACTTACGACGTGAAAGACGATACCTTCTCTTACGGTCTGTACTACATCACGCAAAACGCCACGACCGGAGACGTCTTCATCGGCGGCGAGAAGCAGAAAGTCGACGAGATGCTTTCGAGCGATGATTCGACGATTAGTCAAGTTTCGAAGGAGACTCTTGAGGGGATCCTGCCTTCCATCTTCGAGAAAGGCTGGCCCGTGAACGAAAAGCCGCACGTCAGGAAACTCTGGTCTGGGATTATGGGGTTCACGCCGGATCATATTCCTTGGGTTGGACAGATCCCGAGCAGCGTGACGGGTAGGAAAGGCGATGGGGAGTATATCGCGGCTGGATTCAACGGCTATGGCATGCCGCTTTGCTGGGGCTGTGGAGAGGCTGTGGCGAAGATGGTTCTGGGGAAGGAGGAGGAAGTAGATGTGTGGTTGCCGTCGAGTTTCTTGATCACGCCAAAGAGACTTGCGAGTCCTTACTCGACTGTCGAGGCTGCTATTGTGGGGTTGTTGGAGGGACAGCTGGGATTGGCTTCAAAGGCGTATCTCGCGTGGAGCTTTGCAACGAGCTACGCGAGAAGGACGATTTTCGGATGAAGATGACAGCAAAAGACCTAAGCACGGAATCTCGACTCATCCATATACACTACGCGGCAAACCAACCACCCACCAGAACACCCTCCTTGGCTACTCCCCCTCGCACCCCGTCTCCTCAACCCAATAAACCCACTTCACCCCACTCGGCCCCCGTCCCCTCCTCATCTCCTCCATCCCCGCCAACGCCCCCCTCAAACCCCCACTCTTCAAAACCCTTGGATGCGCAACCCACCTCCCCTCCCCCCACAACCTCTCCGCAAACGCCATCCACCTTACCCCAAAAGCATGCACCTCCAAATCTTTCGCGTAGAACTCGCCCTCGAAAATGTAGTCTTCGCCTGTCAGGGCGTAGCCTAGGAAGAAGATGGATGTTATGTCTGGTCGGGGGGAGTCGATGCCCAGGAGGTTGATGTAGGTGCCTCCTTGGGGGCCTGTGGCTGTTGCGCAGATTTGGGCGGAGGAGGCGATGGCGATGCAGTCGAGGGTGGTTGTGAGGGTGGAGTGGGTGTCGGAGAGGATTTGGGTGCCGATGTTGGGGGTGTGCTGGTGGGGTTTGTTAGTTGGGAAAAAGCGAGCTTTGGGAGGGGAAGGGGGGATACGCACGTAGTCGTACACGGCGTGTGCACCGCGGCTTTTCATCAGGTCGAAGTGTTTCGGGGAGCAGGTCGTCAAGACTTTCCTCCCAGACCTGCCGTCACAAACAAAAAGTCAGTACACCCCGTCTCCCCTTCGCCATCCTCACAAAACTCACATCTGAGCAAACTGCATCGCCATCGTCCCCGTCGCCGTACTCCCCCCATAGATCAAAATCGGCTCCCCGTCTCCCTCCCCTCGCTCCTCCCCAGGCCACGGCAACCCCGCAACATGATAAAGCGCATACCCCGTCGTCGCAACCCCACTCCCGACACTCGCCGCCTCCTCAAACCCAACCCCTTCCGGAACCTTCATCTGCAAAGCCCCCTTGACAATAATAAACCGCGCGAAAGCGCCCGTTTCGTGGTTCGAATCATTCCCTATCTCACGAAATTAACAACTCATTCATTTACTGACTGGATTTAGGAGATGAGGATATGATACATACCACCATGCGCGAACCCCGCGACACGATCGCCGACGTTCCAGCGATCCCTGCATTCCGACCCGACCGCTTCGACGACGCCGGCGTAGTCGCAGCCTACGACTGAGCCCGGCAGGCCGGGGGCGTCGAGGGTCGTCCAGTCCGTTGGGTTGAGGGCTATGGCGACTGTGCGCACGAGGAGGTAGTCTGGTGCGAGAGTGGGGATGGGGCGAGGTTGGAGGGTGGCGATGCCGGTGTCCTTGCGGATGAGAGCGAAGTTTTGCGGGAGGTTCGTAGGGGCAGACATCGTAGAAGGGAGTGTATGGAGTTGGGAGGAGGTGGGAAAGGAGGATGCTTCTCTCTTATACTCACTCTTCCTCAATGCAAAGCCATTGGAAATCCCCCCAAGAAGAGCACCTACCCAATTCAATTGCCATCACGCCATGTACAAAAGCTCACATGAATTGCTGACATATCCAAAACCACCCTCTCCTCTGCGAGCTTCCCATCTGAGAGGAAGAGCTGTTTCGCTAAGGAGCTAAGTTGCTGACAGACCATCGGCGGGTGCAGAAGGAGGGAAGCCTGGAAGGGCGAGAGGTGAGGTTGGAAAGCTTGTACGAGAGTGAGAATGCCGAATTCCGATGTCCGTCGCTTGATGGAACATTGGTGAGACTGCTGTTGAGTGTGGACCTGAAGATGAGGATGAGGCAGCACAGAGGAGGATAGGCTTTGAAATGGGTTCTATAGAATAGACAGGCTGTGTGCCGAAACATGATGCAGAAAGGTCTGAACACATCTTACTTATACGTCCTACAAGGGCGAACAGGATGAAGTCGATGCGGACAACCTTCCATACAACCCCGAACTCCTCTTATTCCGTACCTCTTTCACATGAGACTGAAAAGGAAAAGCAAATCGGATTGGAAATCAAGCATCAGAAGCAATCATTGCATTTCATCGATCGTGAAGAAGCCAGTCCACAGCATCGCGCCGACTTTTTTGGACTTTTTAGGGGATGTCGAATCCCAGTACATGTCGAACCCATTCACCCCCGTTCGTTTCGCGTAGTAGTACATTGCTAGGTGGTGGTGCCCAGCAGGGTTGCCGTCGTAAGTTCTTCAAACACCGTTCACGCTCTTCCAAACTCGCTCCAGATCATAACCTCGAATTGCCGCTACTTCCATTGAACATGTTCTCAATCGTCATACTCGCACTTCTTGGGCTGACACTCCGTCGCCTGCGCCTGCTCGTAGGACTACGAGGATGCGGACGTGTTCGCGAGAGATTCAGTCCAATCGAGGTCCACCATTCCTCGGGCACATCGTCGCGCGCCGCAAGTCTTTCGACAATCCGGCGCATAGAATCCAGATCTGGCGCGTCGCTCTGGGATAGTAGTGCTTCGGAGACTTCGCGTTCGCTGTGAGGACCAGGTGGACTGACAGGCTGTGCCACTGGTCCATCACGGGAGGTGAATGTTGTAGCATTCGGATGCGAACTCAGTGGCTCATATTGCGGAGGTGGGGACGTCGACCTTGGCTCCAGGGAATCGGCGCCGAATCTTCGAAAGTAGTCGTGAACCTGCCGCCGCGACTCGTTCACGGTATGGTTGACTGACTCGCTGTAGCGTTCAGGGTGAGGGCTGGGTGGTCGATCGCCGTCAAGACGTTGCCTGCGACGGCGTTCCCGGATTCTCCTGCCATGAGCAAGCATTTCGGTGTAATGCCTGACGGTGTCCTCTGACATGTGTCGAATGCTTGCGAGACGTTCAGAGCCCTCCTCAGAGTTGAATGCTTCCTCCAGAAGTCTCAATCCAATGTCCACTCGACCTGGTTGTGAGGGATCCGCGAATCGGTTCCCTTCCTCTGCGCGTAGGCGTTGGTGCGCCGCAATACGTGCTCGACCTTCTGGAGTCTCCATCTCATGGAAGTAGACGTCTTCGGCGAAGGCCTCGGCACCGAATTCATCCTCCTCCGAGCAAACCAAGTCGTCAGGGTCCACAGACGAAACTGAGTCGTCTCGAGCAGCACGATGGCGAGAGTTTCGTCGACTGTTCTCGCGACTTGAAGCGTCGGGCTCAGTGATGTTTGTGTTGTTGCTCGACGCATTGAAAGATTGGCTCGCAGCCGAGCTAGTAAAGCTGCTCTCGGCACTCGGGAGGGTGGCATCCGGAGTGATGGTCGTGCGCATAATCTCCCATCCATCCCCTGGAGTTGGGCTACGGTTCCTGTCGCCAAGGCCGTCAATCTCAGCTGGTGATTCAGCCCGCCAGGAGTTGCTAAGAGGATGTGATCGACGACTTGCGCGGGCTTGCATCGAGTCACCGTCGTCCACCAGTAGGACACCGTCGCCTGGTCCAGATGTGTCCAAAGGAGGGGTTGGGAGGTTGCTCCTCCTCGCGCGATACCCACCGCGTGAATCCGGTCGCAAACGAGAGGACATGGGCTCAGGCGACCGAATGATGCGGAGTGGCTGCCCTGGGTGTAGCGTGATGTGGGTTTCGTCGTCGGGAGCTTCAACATCGAAGAAAGCCCGGATTTCAGGCCCTCGTCCTGCAGCTTCAGCCTCACGTATGATCTGGTCACGACGTTGTTCGGATGTTTCCACGCGCGCGCGCAGCTCAGCCAAGTCTCGGTTCATCTGGGCCTCTTCCTGAGATATGTTGTCCATTTCGCGTTGATATAGTCTACGCTCCTCTTGGTGCAAGGCATCTAGATCTGTATAGTAGTTGCGCGATTCGGGGACTGGAGGTGGTGGTGGGGGAGGGAGAGGAGCGGCGCCGCGTCGGTCGGCAGCCTCCAGGAGACTCGAGATAGGAGGCACGCCCCTTTCCTGTCCGCGGCGACTCTCGCGCAGGCCATTGAAGCCCACTGACGGGGGAGGCGAGCGTTCAAAGCGTGGTGGGAGAAGAGTAGGATCTCGTGGCAGGCGCGTGCGAGTCTGTCTGCGGCCGTGGACCGAAGGCCGGCGACGGATTGAGGAGCGCAGGCATGCTGTCGGGTCTGGCTTTGCGTGCGACTTGGACGACTTTTTCTCGTCGGGGTCGCGCCAGATTCTTGTTGTCGGACGTGTCAGCCGAAAGTTTTAGTGCTGGAGGCGAGGCTACGCGCCAGGCCGGAGTCGAGACGGGCGTGTTTGGAGCGAGACTTACGGGAGACCCATGGGGGGCGGAGGGGGGAGATAATGATGTCCAGCGGTCGGCAACCGGCACGCGACCGTGATGAGCGGAGCGGAGAGATGGAAAGAGCGGGGTGGTGGAGTGTCGGCGATGATGGGGGTGGTCGGAGGTGGTCATCACAAGGCAGGCGCGACCCATCTTTGCGAGCCCCAGCCGCCGCCGCCCATCCAGGGTTAGCTCCACGCTAATGCTCGACATCGCTGACATAATGCGCCAAGACCTCCGCCTTCTTCTCCGGGGCAACGTCGACACTAGTGACATCTTTCTCGCACAAGCATCTGTACCATTGCTCCATACCTCACAGCCTCACCTCATTCACAAGATGCACACTAATCACGGATGTCAAGCCTTGTTGCTTTACCAAAGCAAGGGCGACAAGGGAGACGTTCGAGCGCTTGAAGCTCTTCGCCTTGTTTTGGCGGTTAAGTGCCCTGCGTAGAAACCACATTTTAATCGAAGTCGCAGGTGTATTTGTTTACCAGCGCATCGCGAAACGGCCCTACAGAGATATATCGAGGATCAATGCGCACGATGCATAACATATGCGGTACATAGGTACATGTGGCTACGCATCCGCCTAGTTTCCAACGTATTTCCGTAACTGGCCCCTCACATAGGATGTATTACTCTTTCAACAGCAGACCTTAATGTTTGGTAAACACAGGTCTATTACCAGGTGTCAGTGTTCGTCATGAAGGTATATGGGTCACATCACAAGGATCTTGATGTCCCTCAACTGGACGTGCTAACTCTCTTATTTGGTACGTCAACCTTTTCTTCCGATGGGCTCTCTATAGCTGACATCTGTTGCAGAATCCGACTGGTGTGCCGCAGAAGAATCTACGAAACTTCATGTCGAAGCCGCAAATCCACGCAACAGTATCACCAAGGCCGAATCCCGAGATGTCGTCCGTCGTACGGCCCACACTCTTCGTACCAAATATGGAATCGGTGCTTCGCAAGCTGGAAGCGACGTTGTCGTCTGCATAAGTGCAGGGAACCCTTTCATCCCCGTCCTATTCTATTCCATCGTCGCCGCCGGCGGAGTATACAGCGGCGCATCGACTGCATTCACAGTGAACGAACTAGTGACGCAAGTGAAGGACGCAGATGCCCGACTTCTAATATGCTCTCATGACTACGAACAGCCTGCAATTGAGACAGCAAGAAAATGCGGAATTCCACTTAGTCGTGTCCTGGTCATCGATGCTTTCAGACCACATGACTGGAATTTGATATCTGCTGCTGACCGTAGCAGAGTCTTGGACCTTGCCGATGGATTGATGCTGGAGTGGACAAGACTCACCGACCAGGAGGCCCTGCAAGCTACAACCACGTGCCTCATGTACTCGTCAGGGACAACAGGACTTCCGAAGGGCGTCATGATATCTCAATGGAACCTGACCGCGGCCAACGTGTGCGGGATGCACATCACAAAGAAGTTCAGGGACCAACGTGAGCGTGGAGGGAATCCATTTCGCTTCAGCACCATTGCGCACCTTCCTATGGCACACATTGGCGGTATTACTTGGTCTTCGCTGAACCCTTTCTATCTGGGCGGGACAGTCTACTGGGTGGAGAAATACGATTTTGACACGTTCATCGAATATCATAAGCAGTTCCGCTTAACATGTCAATGGAGCGTGCCGCCTATCTGGCATGCCATCGCCAACAGTCCAAAGGTATCCGACCATTTCGACTCCCTCGATATTGCTGTGTCCGGTGCAGCTCCATTGGGTCCAGAGCTCGCAAAGGCTGCCGCGAGGAAGCTGGGCTGTGGCAAGATTGCAACGATCAGTCAATTCTGGGGTCAGTGATCAGGTACCGTCATTGACTATGAATGTTGAGGTCTGACTCGTTCCTGTAGGCGCCACGGAGACTACAGGTAGCATCACTGGCGTAGACTGGGACGTTTTGGATCAGACAGACAGCACCGGCGCTCCGATACCAAATGTCAAGTTACGCTTCATCGATGAGAACATGAAAGACGTGGAACCAGGCCAGCCTGGCGAGGTCCTCGTGTCAGGTCCGATAGTATGCCAAGGTGAGACATCTCACACCCCAATCAACAGCACCCTAACCAACGATACATCTCCGTAGGCTACCACAACCGCCCCATAGCAACCCGCGACTCATTCCTCGACGGCTTCTACCGAACCGGGGACGTCGGCATCTGGAAAGACGGATACGTCCACATCATCGATCGACTCAAAGAACTCATCAAATACAAGGGACTCCAGGTGGCTCCCGCAGAGCTGGAGGCGTTCCTCACCACTCATCCCAAAATCCAAGACGCCGCCGTCATTGGAGTTGAAGACAATGTTCAAGCTACGGAAGTGCCTCGAGCTTTCATTGTCTGCAAGCCTGGAGCTGAGATGCAGGCCGATGAGGTGGTGGAGTACGTGCGTGCTAATCTTTCGAACCATAAGCGGTTGAGGGGAGGTGTGGTGTTTCTTGATGCTATACCGAAGAGTGCTTCGGGGAAGATTTTGAGGAAGGAACTGCGGCAGCAAAGCGTTACGAAGGAGAGACGAGCATCTAAGCTTTGAGGGACTTTTTACCAGTCCTCGATCTGGAGGGCTCATCGCAGTAAACGTATCTACTAGAACGTTGTCCGAACTGTAGTCATGGAGTACTGATCACGTGATGGGCTGCGCTAGTAACATCGACAAGCCTTTCCCGTCAACCTCACTTCGTCCCACTCGGCTTACATCAATTTTCCATCAATGCCAATGAAACTCTCGAGATAGCCCTGGAGTCGGGACTTATCATGACGCATTCTAGCATTTAGCGTGCTTAAACCCACTCCCTGCTAAGGACCTCCACAATGCCGTGATAGCAAGACCACATCGAAAAACCCTCAAGACCGAATCTCAAGGCCCAACTCTGCATAGGACTTCACGCCAAACATGATCGAACTTGGCCTTCAGCGCATCTCCAGACTGCTGGCACCGATACCACTGCCATGGCGAGCCATCCACATCGCCGGAACGAACGGCAAAGGCTCTGTGTGCGCTTATATCTCCGAGATGCTGGCCACATACAACCGCTCCGCCTACCGCCAGCACCTCGGCCACCCACCCATCCGGCATGGGCGATATACAAGCCCCCACGTTGTTGATCGGTGGGACTGTATTACTTTGAGTAATGGAGACGGAGAGGGGATGGAGGTCGTGAAGAAGAGCGTTTTCGAGGAGGTCGAAAGGGACGTTCTGAAGAGAAACGAGCGCCTGGAAATCGGCGCCAGTGAATTTGAACTCCTCACCGCGACTGCGTTTGAGATTTTCACGCGGAGTAAGCTGGACGTGGCGGTCATTGAGACGGGCATGGGTGGGAGGTTGGATGCTACGAATGTTCTTGGCCAACCCCCGATCTTCGACGATGATGCGGACCGGAAGGATTTGGATATGGATATGCCATATTTCCGACCACCGCCGCTTGTCACTGGCATTACGAAAGTGGGATTGGATCACCAGGGTTTCCTAGGCGATACGATTGAGGCGATTGCGCGAGAGAAGGCGGGGATTTTCAAACCGAGGATGCCAGCTACGTGGGATACGACGAATCTGGAGTCGGTGCAGGATGTACTGAGGGATGCGGCAAGTAAGACTTTGAGCGAGACGTTCTTTTTGTCTGCGCCTGTTTCGGCGACGAAAGACGATCCGGATCATGTCAGGGCGAATATGGATGTGGCGTATGCAACGGCGCAGAAAGCGCTTTCTAGGCTGGGGAGGATCAACGGCGATGCCCATGCGTCCAATACTCGAAGTGAGGAGCTAGAAGCCCTTTACGCAGAAATGGCAACATCCCACCGCCGCGTCGTCTTCCCAGGACGCCTCGAATGGATCGACATCTCCAACCTGACGGAAAGACACAACCCAGCCCTCCTCGACGGCGCCCACAACGCCCAATCCGCAGAAGTGCTTGGTCTCGAAGTCGAGAAGCTACGCAACACCAGCCCGTCTACCAAAGTGACATGGCTGCTCGCAGCCTCCGACACGAAGGACGTCAAAGAGATCCTCAAGCCACTCATCCGCGAGGGCGACAGCGTTCTTGCCGTCGAATTCGGCCCGGTCGATGGAATGCCGTGGGTCAAACCGATGGATGCTTCAGCTATTGTATCGACTGCCGAAGAGCTGGTGCCATCTTTACGAACGGCAAAGGCATGTGGAAGCGATGTCCACGCGGCTGTGCGAGCTGCGGTGCAAGAAAGTGGGAATGGAAACTTGGTCATCGCCGGGAGTTTATACCTTGTCGGAGACGTGCACCGACTTTTGCGGTCATCCAAGCCTACGAAATGACGGCCATGAGCACAGACTGATCACCGAGACTTGTACAACGCCCACCAACAACAAGTATATCCGCACATTACAGCACAGTCTCACTCAACAACTCACCTCATCGCCAACCTGCCAACTTCCTTCCCTCCCATTAAAGGCAATGCTCAACTCCAACTGAGAACAGCAAAATCCAATAAACACTCCCCCTCAAACCCAGAACGCCGTTTGCCAACCACATATCCCCGTCCACGCAACGACCACAGATCCCAGCCATGTCCATTGCGTACGTAGGCGCGGGCGAGCCCAAGAAGTCGGGACTAAGATCGACAAGGCAGGGAAGCCCTGTCAACGCAGGGCTCGGGACGGGGAGCGATGACTTGGGTTGACACTTTGCGAGCGAGTACGAAAGTCAGAACTCGGAAGGCTGGATGAGGGGGGTGGAGGGAGGCGGAAATGTGTCTAGAGATGTCGTTCCTCAACAGGTATGATGAAAGCATATCACAGTCGAGGACGTGAGTGAGCGGGTGATGAGACAAGGCACTGACTATTACTACTGCAATATTATCGTCTTCCAAACCCACAGCCATCTAGCAGCCAGCGAGTCTTGACCACATACAGCCCTAGTTCCATCAACAAACCCCATCACCTCCCAAACCCCCATCACCATCCCTCCAAGGAGACCAGAGAACCCTCCCACCCCCTCCCCCTCCCCCTTCACCACATCCCATCTCCAATGACTCGACGGATGCCGGGACCCGAGCCCACGAGTCATTCAAAGAAGGAAGTTCGGTCGGACCGTTTCATCGTCGAAAGACGGGTTCCAAGAGGTTGGGACTATTGCATTACAGTCCCGAGAGGTTGGTACTATATCCCTTTCCATCTTAAGAAGCCGATCGCACCTGTTTTATGAAGAAAGTCTAGAAAATCCGGGAGGTTGGCAACTCTATAGCAACCTACATTGTATCTCCTTCAGCGTTCGCCAAGAAGAAAAAGAGGAAGGGCCCTGCGGGTAAGGTAACATGTCTGTTTTTCAATCGCTGATTCCTATTCTATTCATACACACTTTCTTCCACCCCATCTCTAACGTAAGCTATAAGGGTTGCTTCTTCTCCTCGCTGCAAAACTACAAAGAACGTCGAATGTCGACGCAGTTTCGAACATCCACAGTTGCAGCGATCTTCTCTCTCTTCTCGTCTCAATGTACTCTTTCCGATTCCTCTTGCTTTGCTTTGCGAATGTCTGTTCAGTGAATCGATGCCCTCTAATCTCACTGTTCACCGCAGTGCCCATCCAACGATTGAGGAACATCTATGCCAACAGACTCACCATCACACATCTGTCCATCCCCTTTGCCTTCTCCACGCAAAAGTCCGGCCGTTGCATTGAGAAGAAGTCACTCCATCTTCATTCACGCTCTAGTGGAAAGAAAACCTTCCCTTGGACGCCATGATGCGCCGTCGCTTTTTGTGTCGTGCCGTATTTGCTCTCCGCCGCTGCTTGCTGCCGCTGTCGATGGGAAAAGACACAGAAAAAAGAAAATACTATACATACCATTAAGAGATGCTCTTTGCAAGTCATCTGTGTTGTCGGATCGCTGTTCATGAGTCCGCCGTCTGCGAGCTCAGACCCAGCATGCTGGCGACGGGCTTCCGCTTCGTCCTCGCTTGCTGGAGGCGTGGGGCGCCTTGGATCGAGCGTGGCTCTTTCATGAGCGTGGGATCCAGTTTCGCGGGCGTGCGGCCGCTCTGAACACGGACATCTCCTGGGAAGCGACTCGAGGGTGGTGTCGCTGCAGCCGAGCGCCAGAGGTGGTCCGAAGTGTCGGACAAGAAGGAGGTGTCCGATTTGGAGAAGAGCGATGTGCGGCCTCGGTTGCGCTTCGAGAGGATGATTTCGTCGAAGAGCTTGATTGATGGATCCTCGGCGCGGGTCGATTCGCGCTCGCTGATGAACTCGTTGAATGCCTGCGTCTGCCGCAGCATGTTCATGTACTCGCTGTCGCCATGTGGGACACTTCGAAGGAAGTTGTCCATGTTGAAGTGGTAGATGAGACCTTGCTTCTTGCGCTCGCTGGAGGCAGGGTGCATAAAGCGACGGTAGGTGTAGAAGAGAGATGCGAAGCACCGGACGAATGCTGCCCGCACCTGGTCTGGTCTGAATGCGACTGGGCAGACGTGACAAACTGCAGGCGAGCAACGGCCATGGACTGAGATCCCGCATCCTAGAGAATGTCAGCATAGATAGAGCAAACTTCTATTTCCAAACTCACCACTGCATCTGAACAGCTCGTCATCACACCTCTCGTCGCAAATCGTGCAGTAAGTCCTGCTCTCTGGGCTGCGCTTCTGCAGGCAATGTCCCTCTGCCCACTTGGTCGTCTCATTGTCTCGAACATGCTGCACCATGGCTGGCTGCATGATGGTGCTGGCGGCAAGGGTGCTTTGAGCGTACACACTCGGCGCGTAGCTTGATTGCCCACTAACACCGAGGGTAGACGTTGACATGGTCGGATGATGTCCGAGGACTGGCGCACTAGGGCGGCGAATGGTGCTCACACGCTCCACATCCGGCGTGTTAGTCTTGTCTTGCAAAGGATGGCGAGCGTTGAAAAGGGAAGTTACAGCAGAGTTGCGTCTAACAAGACCTTCACCGAAATGCCCTGATCTCTTCTCGCGCAGAGTAGCTTGCAGCGCAAATCCAGAATCATTTCGCGAGACAGGCGTGTTTGGGAAGCTGCCAGAAACGGGGGAAGGTGCGGTGCCGGGTGAGGGTGGCGAGCCTTTCGAGGATTGGCTGTTAGCGCCGGTGCTCGTTGAGCTTGTTGAAGGTCTGTCGTTGTGCCGATGTCCAGAATCTGGTCGCTGGCTTAAAAAGGCATTGAAGACGGTCTGTCGCTGCAGCGGGTGCATGTTGCTTGCATCTCCAAAGTTGGTCGAGCTTTCGCTAACAAAGTTTGCCAAAGTCGCAGGGGTCGATCTGGAGTTGAAGATCTGGGGACTCTCCGAAGAGAATGCATCACATGGAAAGGTCTCGATGGCGTATGCAGGAGGGCCGGTGGGCACGCCAAAGCGAGTGTGGTGAGGTGCAGCGGCTTGCAGAAGCGCCTGCAATTTCCTCCTCTGCGGTCTTGGCATGGGTGTGGGCGGCTCGGTGCTCTCGATAGTATTCTCATCGAGATCCACCAAACAGAAGTCATCGTCTGGGAGGTCGAGCTTCTCGTATCGCCGCTCAACGCCTGCAATGTACGGGCAGGGTGCCTCGAGCGCTTGGATAAGCCGGTAGGGTAGGACAGGGATCAAGACGCCTGTCCACTTCAAGGGATAAAGGAGACTCGTCAAAGCCGCGCATGCCAGTTGCAGCATTGATGTGTGAGAGGAGAGCAGGATGATCCGTGACTCGGCCAGAGCGTACTCGAAGAGCGTGATGATGTTGGGAATCGTCAAACATCTGAACAAAGCGTACAGGTCGGTGCTTCTCGATCCAGGGATCTCGTTGATGGCCTCTTTTCGTGCGTACAATCGTAAATCCCGAATGGCGACCTCAACTTGCGTGATGGAGGTGATTGGACTCAATGCTTCTATGCAAAGGTTGCACACGTAACGTTCGAGAGGCTGCCAGAGACCAACTTTGGGCGAGCTGGGCGGTACTCGCAGGACTGCACCGTTGGTCATGGGTACCACAATCGCCTTTAGCCACTCTTTCCAGAAGCTGGTCAAACTCGCGTCTCGCCCTAAGATACCATAGGCACGTGGGATCCAGAATCCGGATTCGCCTTCTGTGAGACCGTCGATCTTGGAAGCTGCGCCGTGCCTGACTGGTCTGAGGAGATCCGTCATGAGTCCAATCTTCTCTTCAACCGCACTGATCTCTTCTTCCAGCTTTTCTCGCTCGTCAGATCCAGACGTCACGTTGGGAAGTTCAGCCAAAAGTCTGCTCAGCTTTGCTCTCTCGTTTGACAATCTCTCCCCGAGACTGCTGGCCAACTCTCGCTCTTCGTCACTCATGTTTGCCTTTCTCCACTCTTCACACTGATGTTCCAATGCATCAGATGCAGTGTCGTTCAAAGGCACCCATACTGTCACAACCACACCATAAAGCTTGCTGTTATCTTGATTCGTCATGGCAAAGCCGTGCCAGGTGGATCTGGGTCGCTCGTCTGATGAGACCACCGTCACATCGTTGGGAAAGGTGAACATGGGGACATAATCCGGGAAAGTCGTTCGTCGCTTCGATTCATCAACCATTGTCTTGGTGGGATATCGATCCAAAAGAACCGGCTCGTACCGCCGCTTGAGCGGATGCATATCAGGCGTGGTGTGGAATGGCTGAGGCGATGGGATGACGCTGTTGTAGCCACTGAGACGCTTGGACTGCCTCACAGAGCTTCGGCTCATGACAGAAGACGCTCGCTTCATGCTGTTCATGGTAGACAGTCGCCGACGCAGACTGCCCACGCCACTCTTGAGCCCATTGCCATTGGGCGTTAACGAACCCTCGTCTTGCGTAATCCGAACCGTCCGCGGTCTCGCTCGCTTCTGTGGGTTGTGTGTGCTGACGGTTCCAGCAGAGATGTGGTTCTCCTCGATGAAGCTGTCCCTCTCCGAAGCAAACTTCTTAAGCGCTTCTGCAAAGGCATCATCCGTCCACTCGGAGCCTCCAATCTGTACTGCCTTGATGGTTGTGCTGCTGCGGTTGCTCGCCGGTACCTTCTCTTCTACGGCATTTATGATGCTGCCCACACTCTTTCTCGCCTCGAAGCTGTATCGTGACCTCCTCTGCACTGTATCCGTGGGTGAACCTGGGGTGGTGGGCCGATTGCTCGCGCTGTCGATCTCTAGCTCCCTGTCCTCATCGATGGTGTCCTCGACAGGCGCCGCGGGAGGGGCAGCATTCGCCTTCTCGTCGTATACCTGCGACGACTCGATGCCGGCTATGAAGAAATACTCGGCGAGGGGCGCGGAGGTGTCGCCGGTAGATTGGGTGGCAGAAGCATTGTTACTCGATTTGGCGGGCGCCATGAAGCGAAGAAGGGCGAGAGGTCAAGGAACGGACGTGCCAAAGCGCACAGTTGCAGGTGAAGGTGGGCGTCGGGCGTTGTCGAGCTACCGCATTCGAAGCTGGGCAATTTGCAAATTCGCGCGAGTGCGCGCCGGCTGCATATGACGGTCGCACAAGCACGGAGGGCGTGTCGCGACAGGTGTCAGAGGGCTGCGAGCGGCCGCCGCGCAATGGCAGAGCGTGCGACGGTTTGGGGCGGATGTCGCTGGAGTGTCGGCGGGAGGGTGCAGTGGTGTGTTCCGGGTGAGACTGCAGGCGTGGACGGCCGTTGAGAGCGTGTGCAACGTCCAACGTCGGACCACCGTCGATCGAGTGTATGGGCGTGCGTGGGTCGTATGGGTGTTGTCCAGTTGAGGGGGTGGGAGTTCAGTTCAGACGGCGGAATGCAGCGCCAAAAGCCACGACGGCGACTGGGACGACGACGACGACGACGACGACGAGGTGGTCGGACGGCGGGCCTGGGGGGCACCTGGGCTGAGTCAATCTGAGTCTGGCGTGCGTGGTGCTTGTTGGAGATGTCGTACCCTGGGCAAAGGCAGAAGCAAGAAGGGGATCCCTGGGGGTGGACAAGCGATACCAGAGGCCGCTATGTGCCTCGCGAGCTACGCAGCGCTAGAGCATCCACTTTCAAATGCCTGCCACGACGCGGACACCGACGTAAACGCAGACCCTGGCCTGGCGGTAGCGGCTTGTCACTTCGAATCAGCGCGTCTCCCTCGGCGACCGCGTGCGTACGAGGAGGGAGGAGGAGAGCGGACGTCTTTGCTGCCGGTGGAGGAATGCGCTGCTGGTGGCGTTTGGAGCTTCAATCCTTCACTCGCAGCACACGCAACTCTAACGCCGCCACGCCAGAAGACTTGCAGCCGTAGTGCCTTGTCTACCAGCACCACTGCTGTGCTAATCGCCCAGTCGTATGCACCTCACCACGGAGCTGCTCACGGCATCGGTGCTAGGGGGCTCGTCTACAAACTCTCACCTGGACAGGCTCTCGCCAAGGTGTAGCTGCAGGTACACGAGCCGTGGGTTATGCAGTCCAGCCTGCACCTCTGTCTCGCAGCGCAGTAGCAGCAGCAGCAGCAGCAGCTTCACATGCACGCAATCGTAGCTACAGGACGTGTGCATTCAGCTGCGCCGTCGCCGCTCTCCACACCCTCACGATACAATATCACCTTCACACGCCCCCAATCGACCCTCCCATCGTCACCCACACCAGCAGGCCGCTGCTGGCATTACAGTTGGGGTGGGTTGAAAGCTTCCAGCAATCATAGCGCAAGGGTCCCACGCATCGACGACACCCCCCCTGTCGCTCCAACTCCCGAGCAGGGCAAGCGCGGCAACACGGCAGGCCGACACCTCCAAGCTTCTGACCATGGCCGCTGCTGCTCTCGTACCTGCAGCAGCACCAAGCTCCTCCTCTCCGTATGTTCCAGCCAGCGCTTACAGCCCGTATTCCCAATCGCAATGCCACCCTCAGGAGAAGATCGCAGATACAATGCCTTTGTCTACACGCACGCGGCATCCATACTTATCGACTGAACAAGGGTCCTTATCTCCCTAGCCACACCTCTGCCACATGCCATGCTTGGCGACTCCCGCAACTCAATCGTCTTGACCCGACAACACCCACCCTACACTTCACCAGCCTACCACAACATCCCACAACATCTCCTGTTTCAACCTCTTCCAAAACAACAAACACGTGCACAACAATCATACGAACAGTGCGCTCGCGCACACACGCTTTCAGCGAAATTCGCGAGACAGACCAGAAATCTCCGCGCGGGCACGCTTCTCGAAATAGACTTTCACCATCCATCTCGCCAGTTCGGATCCACCATGCCGATCGAAGGACTGCCCGTCTCAGATTTATTCAAATCTGTGAAGACGAAGCCCCTCCCTCGTTTCGCTGCATCCTCGAAACGGAAATGCTTGAGTCGTGTGTCTTATCTTTCACGTGGGGCCGCCAAGAGACACTTCATCACCGCACCAAGTCCATGTCTTTAAGATATATGAAACCAAAAAACATCTTCAATAATCTCGGCGCATAAGCACAATTGCCTGCGCCTTTCCCTTCAGCCACAGCAACCGGCACCAAGCGAAACTCTGCAGGTATTTATATGGCTTTCGCAAACGGTCGCGGCTGTTGTCTCCAAGTCCCGAGCCACACGTTCGCCCATGCCGACCTTCTCGCTGGATGGATCCACAAAATTCCTCTCCCAAAGTTCACCTCGGCTGTCAATAGTGCGCTCGTCGACCAGGCAGCGCGACGGTCCACGAGGTAGAGAGCCAGAAAACGGAACAGCTTCAAGTGGTACGCCTGATGACAATTCGTTTCAACACGAGAAGGCTTCGCATGTCTGCTTTTCGAGGTCTGAGAGATGTCCACGTACAGTACGCATTTCCCTGGCAAGATTTCTCTGTGGATGCTGGTGGTCTGGATCCTGCAACGACCACGTTGTGTCATCGTCATGACCCCAGGTTCATTATTAGCCGTTGAAAGCATGTTCTGGCCTCAAATGAGATCATCAACCACCATCGTCACACCGCCGCGACCGTTGCGAGCGTTCGCATATGACATGGGTTGATCCTGATGGATATATCTACCGACGACTTGGTTCCATACGAGCGGTGAGAGGTTTCCAAGATTTGGAGCAGGCCTGCAATCACTGCTGGTAAGTTCGGACAACGTTCCAGATGGACATGCTGTCGTCTCAGATGTCAAGTTTGTCGACATTCGAATTTCATCGCCCTCGACTTGCCAACCATCCAGTCGTCAAACTGCCTTGCTCCCCCATTGCACTTCTCCAGTCAATGTTGAGCTGCCCCAGCGGCACTCTACTGGTCAAGTCCTCAGGCTCCGTCTTCTCCTCCAGCAAGAACATAACTTGTTCGACATCAGAAGGCTTCAGGACCGTAGCCTCCTTCCCATCATCTCCATTCACCGCCCGACTACTCACCCCCTCCCTCTCCTTCAACACCACCCTCTCCAACACCACCGACGCCTCCCCAACATTCTCCAACTGCGCCTCCAAAATCCACTGCCTCCCCTCCTTCCCCTGCCTCTTCCGCTCCGTCACCTTGGACCTCACCGCAAGCAACTGCTGCGCGACAAACTGATACAACTTCCTAAACGTCCTCACCCGTCCTCCACTCGCCGGCCCTTCCCGCCCATGCAACGTCTCCGTATACGTCACCGTCACCGCCAGCACATGCGGTCCCTCATCCTTCAGCTCATGCCGTAAAGTCCTCTGCAACGTCGCGCCGGGCGCCATCATATCCCCTCCATCCTCCTCATCCCCATCACCACCACCAGAAAGCTGCAACGATACCCCCTCCTGCTGACTGGGGGTCTGCAACTCCGCCGTAATCTTCACCCCACTCACGCCCTTCCTATCGCCCTCCAACAACTCATTATTCGCGCACAGCGTGCACGTGAACGTCTCCCCGACGTACGCGGCGCCGAAAGCCGCAGGCAGTGTCAAAAGCGGCGTCAAGGGGAATGAGGAGGTTGTGTCGCCCGAGGGGTGGGCGAGGGAGGCGGTAGGTGGGATTGAGGATTGTGGGAGCGGCGTTTGCGTTGCGAGGGAGGGGCGGGAGAGGCGGAGGACTTTGAGGGTTAGGGAGTGCGGGCCGGAGATTGTGCCGGAGCGGGTGCGCGTGTGGGTTGCCATGAGAGGGTGCTGCTCATGGTGAGTAAAACGTGAAGGCGAAGGTAGGTGTGTTGTGACGGCGAGGACGCCGGGCTCCAGTTGTGTGGCTCTTGCACGTGGATGTGGGGCGGGAAGAATGTGGAGAAAGCTTCTTTCCAGTCTTCTTTTGCTGGGGTTGATGATGATTTTCTATTTCTTGCACGAGGATTGCTATCGTCTTTCGTCGTTCGTCTCTTATTTCCTTCGTCTTTCGCATTTCATATACAAATAGAAAAATGGCCATCGAGAAGTCTCCCGAGACGAAAGAACCGCCAGCGCCAGAAAGTCTCCCTCTCGCACGTTTCCCGCATCTGAAGCTGGTGTTCGATACACCCAAAGGTACGCCACCTCCAACACCAAATCCATCCACATAAAAAACCCCAGGCCGGCACCCTAATACCCATCCCCAGGCCGCGGCGTCTTCGCCACCACCCCCATCCCCTCCGGCACAACCATCGACATCTCCCCCGTCCTCCTCCTCACACCCCAAGAAAACACAACCCACATAGAAAAAACCTCCCTCTACCACTACACGTACAACTGGCCCCTCCCTTCACCCACCTCTAACAAACCCTCTACCACCACGACGCAAGCCGTCGTCCTCGGCCTAGGTTCCATGTTCAACCACTCAGCCGCTCACCAAAACGTCGGGTGGACGCGGGACTTGGAGCGCGAGGTGGTGGTTTATACGGCGCTGAGGGATGTGGCGGAGGGGGAGGAGTTGTGTATTAGTTATGGGGGGCGGTTGACGTTTGTGGATGTTGAGGCGGAGGCGGAGAGGGAGGGCGTGGAGGGGCCGGAGGAGGTTTTGGGGCGGATTGAGGTTGATGGGTGAGGGGGTCTTGCCCCTGCTTGACCGACTGCATGCGTGGCGAATGTGACATGGGGACCTGAGGGGTAGACATTCTCCGCCTCTCTCCGCCGGACGAGCGTCACACCTTTCTCAAGACGGCGCCCCATCACATCACTATCAACACTCATCAGAGTCCGGGCCAAATATCGGCCTCGAAGATCACGAGTCCTGTCTTGTTGGGCAGCAATGTCGCCATGGACGAGAGTGACGCCATCGGATATTGCGACTTGTTGAGCTGTAGATCTGGTGGGTGTTTTAGTCTGGATCTGAAACGGACTGCCGAGTTTGCACCGGTTTGGGGTGGGACGTCACTTGTTGGATGTGGTGGGGGAGGGGAGGGCTGGGCGTGGGAGTGTTGGGATGCGATGAGGAGGAGTCCTCGTTATAGGTTTCGGAGAGGTGACGTTTGGATGCAATTTGGTTTCTGTAGCTTCGTCAAGAGGAAGAGAGGTTTTCTGGACCATTGCCACAGATGAACTGAGTTCGCTGACCCTCGATCAGCGCTCTAGCTTTTGTCTTCGCCCTGCAATGCTATGTGTTGCAGCTGCAGCCATGTCGAAACCCTTACGTGCTTCAAGCCTGACGACATGCAACTTACCTTCGAGAACGTAGCTTCACCTGTTGGGTATATGGTATAGTGTTGCAGACCCACTTAGATCACGGCGGCCATACGGCGTACCTTTAAGATCCACAATGGCTACGCTCTATCGAGGCTGCGGTCACTACGTCTGCAACGATAAGTACATGTATTGAGGTACCTTACCTACGCTAGATACCCCGAGATCCCAACCCTCTATACGCCGGAAGGGGGTAATGCACGGACATATCACTACAATCATTATCGCAACATGTATTAGCCGGAGTAGGAGTCACAGTAAACTAATTCCTAGCCATCCATGGATCCGACGGATTCTCAGTCGACCGTGAGTCAAACAACTCTAAGATAGTGTTCCGCGGTTGGAGATCCAACGGATGGAGCAAACTATGCGAGCCTCCAACTTGTAGACCTATGTAAGATCCAGCCGACGTGATCTTAATCTTACACTCGTCGCAAGATCACCTTGGACGGCACATTCTGTAAGATATCCCCATAGCGTGCAGTGTTCGCTGGTGAAGCACGAGACCCAACAACCTAACACCCTATGTACTTGAGAGAAAAGTAAACCTAGGTACGCAGGCCGAACCGAGCACACCTCCCTCAAATCCCAGCCGGAATCTATATCTCCCACCATGACAGATCACCAACACCACCACGACATCCTCATCACCGGCGCCGGCCTCAGCGGCCTCAGCGCCGCCCACACATTCCTCACCATCGACCCGTCCCTCTCCCTCCTGATCCTCGACTCGAAACCCAGCCTCGGCGGCGTGTGGTCCACTGAGCAAATCTACCCGGGCCTGCGCACGAACAGCGTAGAGCGATTCTTCGAGTTCTCCGATTATCCGATTTTGAAAGCTGGCGTGGGCGTGAAGCCGCGGTGCCATATTGAGGGATGGCAGATGCGGGATTATTTGGAGGGGTTTGCGGAGAGGTTTGGGATTCGGGGGTTTGTGAGGTTTGGGGTGGATGTTGTGCGCGCTGTGGAAGTTGAGGGTGGGGATGGGGGTTGGGAGGTTGAAACACGGAGTGGCGAGGAGCGGAGGAGGAGTTGCATGAGGTGTAAGAAACTCGTGCTGGCGACGGGGACTCACTCTGCGCCATACAAGCCTCCTATCGAGGGATTATCCTCTTTCGCGGGAGCAGTCGTCCACACGCACGACCTCGGCCGAACAGCCCGTTCACTCATCGACAACACCAGCATCCAGAACGTCACCGTCATCGGCGCCGCCAAATCCGCCCACGACGCCGTGTACATGTTCGCTCGAGCTGGCAAACACATCGACTGGATTCTCCCCAGCCGCGGCGCAGTCCCCATGGCGAAGCCGTCTTCGAAGCTGGGCTTCTGGACCATCTTCGTCGAAGCGGTGCTCATGTTTCGGCCCATAACGTGGTTTGGGCCGGCGCCGTGGAGTGATGGTGATGGGTTTGGCTGGATTCGAAGGTTCCTGCACGGGACTCGACTGGGGAATCTACTGGTGGGGGCTTATTGGAAGGCTTTGCATGAACAGTCGCTGCGGGAGTCGGGGATTTGGGAGAGCGAGAAGGTTCGGGGGTTGGTGCCGAGTGAGACGCCTATGTTTTATGGGACGCAGTTGAGTGCGCTCAATTATGAGACGAATTTTTATCATCTTTTCTTGGATGAGAGTGTCTCACTGGTCGAGGGGCGGCTCGACTTTGTGAGCAACGGTCAGGTCCATATGGAGAACGGCGTCGTTCTAGACAGCGACGCTATGATCCTCGCGACTGGGTACGAACCCAACGCGTGTATCCCATTGGAGCCGGCATCCCAGAACCTCAGCCGAGGGTGTCCCGTTGATCGGTCCAAATACCCGGGCACCATCTACCCAGATCTGGACACGGCATCAGACAAGCAGATCCTGCAGGACTTCCCACTGCTGGCCCACTCCCCATCCAAGCCCGACCGTTCGCCGTCCTTCACATCCTGGCGACTGTGGCGCTTCCTCGCACCCCCCTCACAAATCAACCAGGGCTCCCGCGGCCGAAACCTCGTCTTCTCCAACGCCATCGCCTCCTTCCAAAGCTGCATCAAATGCGAACTCACCTCCCTCTGGGCCTACGCATACCTCTTCGATCGTCTCACCGTCCCCACTCCCACAGAGATTGACGCGAGGCGTGAAATCTCGCTGTGGACCCGCTTCAATAGACTTCGGGCGTCGCTGGGTATGCAGGGCAAGCAGGCGGATTTGTTGCTTGATGGCTTGCCCTATTATGATATCTTGTTGAGAGATCTGGGGCTGAGGAGTTGGAGGAAGGGACGGGGATGGATTGGGGAGGTTTTCTGGGGGGCGTACACGGCGAGAGATTATCGAGGTGTTGTGCAGGAGTGGATGGCGATGCACTGTGATGGGGATAAGGCAGGGAGGACGAAGATGTTGTAGATCGAAGAGGTGAAGTCGAGCTCCCAACCAGCCACCTTCTTTCCTCCGCCAAGCCCCCCGCGCTCCGCACTCCCCTCATCACTGATTACACTTCGAACCTCCCCTCTGCGACGTTACATCAACACCTGCACGTTGCCCTTCAACAGGATCGACGACCTAACCGCAAAATGCCATCCACCACCGCCTCCGCCCGCAAAGCCCTGGTGGAGCGACGTTGCTCTGCTGCGGGGTGATACGATGCATCTGGTCATGGAGCGGGTAAATTGCATGAACCTTGGATCATGATCATGGCTGCCCGAAGCTTTCCTCATCTCATCTGTGTTCCTGGTTCCTGAGATTGAGCTTGTTTCGACTTCTCTCTCACCAACTCTTCGTTATGATGTTGACACGTACGGGTTTGGTAGTGCTGGCGGTCGCTGGCAGCTTGCCTCAAGTCGCCGTGGCCGCTCCTAACAGCACCAACCGCAGTAGTATCTTGTCGCTGGTGGATCCCCTCATTGGGACTACGAATGTGAGATACCCCCAAGAACATCCATAGCTGAGGCATCACTGACCAACGACATCCTGCAGGGCGGTCATGTCTTCCCCGGAGCAACTCTACCGTTCGGAATGGCCAAGGCCGTCGCAGATGTCAATGTGGAAAACCAAGGCGGTTTCTCGACGGGCGACGTCACGGGCAACATTACTGGATTCTCCCATATGCATGACAGTGGGACGGGGGGTGTAAGTGCTGTGTTTGCGGAGACTGGACATCCCTCGGATGATGACAATTCTTTGCCTTGACTTCTATGTGGAAGCAACTTGTTCATCATATTTAAAGTTTGTCTGAGTGTTCGACTGCTGTCTGCCCAGAAGACATGAAGATCTACCGCTTGGTAGAGAGCGGTGCTGATGGAATTCACAGTCACCCTCGCTGGGAAACTTCCCACTCTTCCCACAAACAGCATGTCCTGGGGACTTGATCGACAACTGCGTCTTCCCTATCCAAGACCGAGCTGTTCCAAGGATCAATGGCACTGCAGAGGCTCACCCTGGTTACTTTGCTGTGACCATGGAAAACAAAATCCACACCGAAATGACGGTCAATAACCACACAGCGCTATACCGCTTTACGTTTCCGGAGGCGAGCTCGACGAGCAACAGCACCATCAGTCCTTTGATTCTCGCAGACTTGATCGATCTCCCGCAGTCTAGAATTAATGGCTCTGTATCCGTGGACGCTCAGACTGGCCGCATCTCAGGATCGGGTGTTTTCAGTCCAAGTTTTGGAATCGGAAACTACGCCCTTCACTTTTGCGCTGATTTCTCGGGAGCGGATGTGAGAGATACTGGTGTGTTCCAGAATAACAGAGCTGGAACCGATCCGAAGAAGCTGAGTGTTGTCAACGATGGCGTCAACAACTCTCCAGACATTCTACCTGCAGGTGCGTGGACGAGGTTCCACGCGCCAAAGCGCAACAACCAGATTCTGGCCAGAGTTGGCGTCAGCTTCATCAGTGACCAGCAGGCTTGCCACAATGCTGAGCGTGAGATCCCTCACTTTGACTTCGCTGGTGTTCTTGCCGCAGCTGAGAAGGCTTGGGAAGACACGCTTGGTGTGATTCAAGTCAAACCTGGCGGCGTCAACGAAAGCCTGCAGACGGTCTTCTGGTCTGGAGTGTACCGTGCTGGCATCTCGCCTCAGGACTACACTGGCGAAAATCCACTCTGGAAGAGCTCTGAGCCTTACTACGATTCGTACTACTGTATATGGGACAGCTTCCGGAGCATTCACAGCCTGATCACGATCGTGGACCCGTACTCGCAGATTCAAATGATTAGGAGCTTGATCGAGATTTACAGACAGGAAGGCTGGCTCCCGGATTGTCGCATGTCACTTTGCAAGGGGTTTACGCAAGGTGGCTCGAACGCGGATGTCGTGCTCGCGGACACTTATGTCAAGTTCGGGAAGTTGGCTGCTGAGTATGGAGTCGATTGGAAGACTGCGTACGAGGCACTAGTACAAGACGCTGAATACGAGCCAGCGAATTGGGCCGTTGAAGGTCGTGGTGGTCTGCACAGCTGGAGGAGTCTGCATTACATCCCCACCGACGACTATGACCCGTATGGCGTGGGACCTTTCACGAGGAGCATCAGCAGGACTGTGGAATATGCGTATGATGACTACTGCATTGCTGAAGTTGCTCGAGGGCTCGGCAACCATGGAGACTACGAGAAGTACATCGGGACATCGGAGTACTGGAAGAACATGTGGAAAGCCGACCAGAACAGCTCAATCAACGGCACCGATACTGGATTCACTGGCTTTTTGATGCCGAAGTTCCTGAACGGCACCTGGGGCTTTCAAGACCCCATCTTCTGCAGCCCCCTGCTCAACTTCACATCCTGCTACCTCAACCCGGACGGCCACGAGACGTATGAGGGAAGTTCCTGGCTCTACTCGTTCTTTGTGCCCCACGATCAAGCAGCTCTTATTACGACCATGGGAGGACCTTCGACCTTTGTCAAGCGTTTAGACTACCTCCACGAGAGTGGACTCCTGTACATTGGAGACGAGCAAGGATTCCTTCCAGTCTTCCAGTATCACTACGCGGGACGCCCAGGCAAGAGTGCTGAGCGAGCTCACTTCTACATTCCTTCGCAATTCAACGATACCATTTCCGGAATTCCTGGTAATGATGACAGTGGTGCCATGGGGTCTTTCGTGGCACTGACGATGATGGGAATATTCCCAAATCCCGGACAAGACATCTACTTCATCACCCCTCCATTCTTTGAGGAAGTCAGCATCAGGAACAAGCTCACCGGCAAGACCGCCACGATCCGCAATATCAACTTCGACGCTAGCTATCAGAACATCTACATCCAGAGCGCTCGTTTGAATGGACGGCCATACACGAAGAATTACATCCAGCATAGCTTCTTCTTGGAAGGCGGCATTTTGGAGCTCACACTCGGACGGAACGAGAGCAGTTGGGGAACCAGACCAGAGGACCTCCCGCCGAGTCTTTCGACGGGACATAACATTACGGGATACATGTTCTGAGCAACATAGTCCTCGAGCAAATCGTAGACATCGTAATCATGCCGCCCAAGAACAGCTACTTTCCCTCCACAACCACCCTCTCCTTCTCAACCCCACTACTCGCCACACTCTCCCCATCCCCATCCCCCTTCCTCCCCCCACCGAACCTCTTCTTCCACCACCCCTTCACATCCCCACTCCCCCTCGGAATCAACTGTCCCTGCGGCTTATTCTCCTTCCCCATCAACCGATCCGCCTCACCTTTATCCCCATTCTTCAAGGCCGCCATCACGGCGGCGGATTTTAACCTTGCGGCTTCCGCTTGTGAAGAGGGCATGCTCTCGCGGTCAAGCGTGTTGGTGTTGGGCGCGAAGGCCGGCCCTGCGGCGTTCCAGGGGGAGGAGGTGCCTGGGCCGCCCGGGTTATTTTTGGTTGACATTTTGGTTGTTTTGTTGGGGGGAGGGTGGTTGTTTAGTTGGGATGAGGTTTTGTTGGATTCGGTGTTCGATCGCCTGTGAGTTTCTTTGTCCTCGTCCTAGTCTTCCTTTTTCGGCACGAAAGTCTTGTTGTAATGAAAATATTAAAACCCTCAAGGAATTGAGCTTCGACGGAAGAGCGACGAAAACAATTCTGTTCTTATGTATATATATTTATGGAAACCGCCCACCTCACACCACCACCACCACCACCACCACCACCACTGCGTAGTCCACCTGACCATTTCAGCTGCACCCCCCAAGCAAGGTGGCTGAATAGTTTTAGTTCCCTCCTCCTTTCCCCGGATTGGTAGGGACAAAGCCCGAGAGGGCGACCGGGTGGAGGCTGTGCAGACGTCATTGTGTTGTATTCGCGAGCTACTTCGCGTTTTTCTAGAACTTCACTTCTGGCTGAGGACTTGCTTGTAGTAATGAGGAGGCAGTATTTCCACGTATGAGATGTGTCGGTTTGAGGCGGAGAGCTATTTTTAGGATTGGAGGATGGTTGGAGGGACTTGCTATGCTCGGCTTAGCAAGTAGTAGGATACATTTCTGCTCAAGTAGTAGTGGTGATGTGTCGTGACTACGACTCGCCGTCTGTTGTAGAGTTCTGCGTCGTCGTATGGTTGACGCTCCGCATGAACAGCGCTGGCGAGTTCGTTTTGCTCATTTCTTCCGCTTGGGGTCTCATACTTCCACATGTCGTATGAGAAAGTCGAAGGCTTTCGCCACTTCCTCATACCCCTCCTCTCCCTCTTTCACATCCTCGTCAAACCCATGGTCTCTTCCTTCGACGAGGATCAAGTCGCATTCCACGCCCTTCCGCCTTAGAATCTCCCAAGCCCGTCTCGCGAACTTCATGTTCACAAGACTATCCTCCCCTCCGTGCAAGAAAGAAGTCGCCGGACACTTTCCGTCCCCGATATCGTTGAAGATCGCCACCGGGTCCAGAGTGTCTGTATCCCCACCCGTAATCTCCTTGAACGTCGTGCCCTTAACGCTGGAGGAGAACATCCACGCGAAACGGGGCCTGTCAAAAGAGATTCCTTCTGGGCCCCAGGGGACGGGGAAGGAGGTTGGTGGAGGGAATTCGGAGTGGACTTTCTCGATGAAGGATGGGGAGAGCGACGGGAGAGAGGTGTAGCCTGGCGGGAGGAGGCCGGACGTGAACCAGGGGTCGCCGAGGAATTTCTGGCCTGCGATGTCGAGGATTTCACGGGGTGGGTGGGGGGATTTTTTCTGCGTGATGCGTTAGCAAGTAGATCAGCGAGCGTGGAAAGGGGCGAGAAAGGGACGTACCATATGATGCGCAATCGTCCCACCACACGAAGTTCCCAGCGCGACGAGTCTCTCTGCGTCGAGCGCCACGCCTTCTGCTTGCAGGAGTTGTGGGAGATCTCTCCGAGCCCATTCGTAGCAGTCTAGAGAATCCTGCACGGGGCCTTCGGTGGCGAGGATGGTGGGACAGAGGCGGTAGTTGGGTGCTACGATGACGAAGCCGTGGCTTAGGAGGAGGTCGAGGTGGAGGGGTGAGATGTCGTCTTTGGAGCCGACGATGAAGCCGCCGCCGTGGAAGTAGAGAGCTGGGATGGCAGGTTAGTTGCTAAGTTCTCTTCGAGTTGGCTCTTGTTGATGGTTGTCTTACCGATGGGGCGTGCTTCGGGGGATTCATTCTTGTGTGCAGGCGTGTAGTAGACATTGGCCTTGAGAATCGTTGTTGTTGTGTCGTCGTAGGTCACCGTCTTATACGTAAACTCTTGCTTCTCCATTTTTGCGACAACGTATCGATTCAACGAAGCCTCCGACTTCTGAAGTTCACTTCGCAAGTAGTCTTTGAGCGCAGTCACTTCATCCATCCGATCGTGGGAATTTCAATGTATATCTGAGTTGCTCGAGATTGATACGGCACACAGAAATTCCCGATCCCGAATACTCGATCAATGTTGCATGCCTAACGCAGTCTTAAAATATTGGTATGACTTGGCGAGGCTGTTTCGAATGCCGTCCGCGCGCTCCGCGAACCAGCTTGGCACACGAGGCTATCAAAGACATGGCATGCCTAAAGAGTCCTCGATTTGGAACTAGATTCCCCGGTTATCGGGCTCGCACACAAGCCGGAAGCAGGATATCCCTGCCCTCGGCCATGGTGGTAAGAGGGTTTAGCCTGTCATCGTATGCTTTAATTCCCAATAGTTGCCAAATTGGTGCTCGGTTTCGGATAGGTGATGGATAACCCCTGACACAAACCGATGGGTAGCGAGTTCCGTATGCATGGATGAGTTGATGGCGTCGTAGTGAACTGAGGTCCGTCGCGTCCCGAGGGATGGAGAGTCTAAGTGGATGGGTTGAAGCAGCACCATGTAGACATAAAAACGTTGACCCTGAATACGTACCTGGACACCAAGAAAACACAAACTACGAACTCCCAATCGCAACATACCAAGAAGTCAGCATCAGTCAGTCTAGCTTGAAAGAGCCCCCAGACATGTCAGGCGTCGACGTGCTGGCGCCAACGGGGCTGACCATATCACATCTCGTGTTTGCTGCTGGTGTGCTCGCAGCTACGGCGTTGGTCTGGTGGAATTTCTATGTCTTGTTCCTGGATCCACTTCGGGATGTACCTGGTCCTTTCTGGGCGAGATGGACTCGTCTTTGGCTATTGAACGAGATCAGCAGTGGTCAATCGCATTTGACGTTCCCCAAGTTGCATGACCAGTACGGTACGTATCAGTTGAACAACCGATCTCAATGTCTTTCCAAGAGTGGTACTGATGGGCTCTTACCAGGTCCCGTCGTCCGCATAACCCCGGATCTGTACTCCTTCAACTCGCCCGAAGACCAAAAGAAGATCTACAAGTTGAAAGACCCACTCGCAAAGACAGCATACTACGAAACTGGCGGTGATCCGGGAGTGCCCAACATCTTCACCATTTGCGATGAGAAAGAGCATTCAGATCGTCGCCGTCGGATCGCCTCGCTCTACACGATGACCTCCATGGTCCATTACGAGGAGCCTGTGGACCGGATGAACGCCCTCTGCGTGAAGAAGTTTGAACAGTTTGCTAAGCAGAAGAAGAGGGTGAACATTCCGCAGTTCATGCAGTACTACGCTTTCGATGTCATTGGCGAGATCTCGGTATGTTCAGTATGGTCGCGATGCGTGAGGAGTCCTGCTGACCAGAGTAGATCGACAGCAGCTTCGGCATGATGGAGAACGAAGGCGACGTCGACAATATGGTGAAGATTGCGCATTCTGCCGCCGTCTACCAAGGTCACGTCGGAATCGTCCCAGAAATCCATCCTCTCTTCTTCCAGCTGCGCAAGATGTTAGGCTACCTCAACGGAGGCTCTGCCACGCAAGATCTTGTCAATCGCCAGCTCGAGAATCACCACCAAGCACTGAAGGCCGAGAAGACGGATCCGAAGCAGGAACCTTTCATTACAAAGATACTGAAGCTGAAGGATTCCGGTAAAGTGGACGACCTTCACATTTTCGATGCCATCGGAGGCAATCTCGCAGCAGGCTCCGATACCACTGGCATCACACTCGCAGCAGTTTTCTACTACCTGTATCGCAATCCGGACAAGTTGGCCACTTTGCGACGGGAAATAGACGATGGCGCCGCTGTTGGAGAAGTCTCAGACCCAGTGACTTTCAAAGAAGCGCAGAATCTCCAGTATCTGGGCGCCGTGATCGAGGAGACACTTCGAATCCACTCTGCCGCTGGATACATCCTCGAGCGAACAGTCCCGAAAGGAGGCGTTGAACTCGCTAGCCGCTTCTTCCCCGAAGGCACGCACGTCGGGTGTCAATCTTGGGCTCTCCACCGAAACAAAGAAGTGTACGGTGCCGATGCTGACGAGTTCAGGCCGGAAAGATTCCTTGAAGAAGGCAATCCAGCCACCACAGTTGCATCATTCGCTTTTGGTGGCGGAACGAGGGCGTGTATTGGCAAGAACATCTCGTTGCTGGAGTTGTCCAAGGTGATCCCGCAGATTGTGAGGAGGTTCGACCTGGTCTTTGTGGACGAGAAACCGTGGGAGCTGTATACAAGCTGGTTCGTGTTTGCGAGGTACAGCTGTGAGGTAAGACTCCGAGGAGAGTGATGGAATAGATCTCGTCTCGATTCGTAGATTGGACCGCGTACGATGGAGACGAGTCCGCGCAAAGTAATTTTGTTCGAACGGTGGCCCAAATGGGTTTCTATTACCCAAGAGCGAAGTTCGTAGCCATAATGGCTCATGGTGAGTCATTTTCAGAACCTGTTCGACATTGGTGAAATAGATGAGACTTGCCTGCATTTGGTTGCGTAGTGATACCTGGAAGATATCTTGTGTGTCGAGCAGAAGATACCTGACCGTGTTTCGACATGTGGCTTGGCAGCCATGTGAACTCCCAAAGCCTGGGCTGAAAGTTGATCAAAGGTGTGTTTCTCCAGTCCTTTCCAGTTGAAAAAGCATCCAGGCATGATGATTCCTCACCGCGGCTTCCGATAATTCCATTGAGCGATATCAACGACAAAAGATCAAGCGATACGATCTGACCATACGTTCCGTTTCTGTTTTCGTGTCTGTGTATCTGCAAGATCCACGCTGACAAATTCGCGGCAGGCAATCTGGATCGTGCAGAATATTTGCTGAGAAGTCGATCATGTGAAGACCAACAGTCTATCGCAGTCTCCGAATACTGAGTGACGGATGGGGTGTAGGGGAGGGAATGCAAGAGCAGGAAGACGCGAGGTCGAAAAGTTATGCAATAGAACTAGTTGACGCACGGACCGTTTGTGCAGAGCCTTATTTTCGAACGCAGATGCCGTGTACTACTTTTGTGCATGACTTCAGGCTGTTGCTAGTCCACTTTAAATTGACGACAGTTTATTCAAAACTCATTGACCCGTTGGAATACTTGAATCGGAAACACCGCTCTTGATGCTCCAACTTTTGCTACCCGTGCGCAGGGAATGGAGATACTATTCTTGTGTTGTGCTGACATCACGATTTCCAGCTCTTCTGTCGCCATTGTCTGATCTTGCCTTTCGTCCCTTCCGAACTTTTCGGTTGCTCGAAGGCCACGTCAGTCTCATGAGAGTCTGTAAGCTTGCACTCTTCCATTCTTTCCTCTATTGGTGCTGGAGAACAAGGCCATTTTGCATCGACATATTCTGTGCCGTTGTCCATCTCGACTTGCTCGAATAGTCTGGCTTCCAGTTCAAGGAGATCATCTGTAGTCACTTCCACTTCCAAATCGTTCAGACCGGTGGCAGGATCCTCTGTTGGACTGCTTGGCATCTCAGGAGTCCAGTTCTTGTCTCGCTTCCCTCGTGTGCCAAGATACACAAGTCCAGCTCCAGCGCCAGCTATAGCGGCTCCGGCAATGGGATGCACGAACATGGCCGTTCCACCAGCTTTAAGCATACCGCCACCAATTGAAGCAGCTTTAGCAGCTCCAAGTCCAGCGCCGTGCAACCCGACGTGGCCGAGACCAGCTGCTTTGGCAGAGAACCCGGCCTTTGCGGCCCCTGATGTTCCGGTCGTCGTACTCTTGGCCACTCCAACAGCTCCGGCTGGATTCGCATGAGCAGTTGCAGTCAAAGAAGCATGAGTTGCCTGAGCCCCAGCACCTTGAGAGCCGCTGGCGACGGTGGCAGCGCCTGTGCTGCCTTCAGCCAGAGCGGTGCCGGCTGCTGTTCCCTCAATCGTATTCGCAGCTACACCAGCGGCAACGAGGCCACCTGTCTGCCCTGCTTCGACCACGCTTGTCAATGCAGCGAGGTATGCAGCATGTGTGCCGTACATCGCTCCACCAAGGAGCGTGGCTTGAGAGCCTTCTGCAAGTCTATGGCTGACTGGGTCTGGCATCTTCATCCACGTCTTCTTCTCTTCCTCAATGACCTCAGGATCGTCTTCCGAGACAATAATCTGTTCAAAGACCATCTTTACGAAGTTCTGGCAGTTTTGGATGAGGAAGTCGTAGCGACCCTGGTTCCAATTGTTCCAAATGTCGTCGACTGAGAACTTCGTTAGCGTAGCAAGATTTTGAGGTCAGAAGACCTACTGCACGCCATGATTTCTTCTTTCACCTTCCTCGTTTGCCCGATCTTCCTCGTCTCCGGTTCCACGCCAACGTATCTGGCGTGCCACTCTTCCGACGGACATGGCTTTGGCACACATGCATCCACGAATATGCCGAGGCCTTGACATTTTTCGTTGGGCGAGACCTCGTAGCATGTGCCATCGATTTCAAGAGCCCAGTGGTAGAATTTACGTAGACTGCCTTTGGCTCTGCTCGGTAACCGGAACCCCCTTTCAGCTCCCCAGGACTGGTCAAGGTCTTTGTTGAAATCGACACGGTATTTCGCTGCGAGCGGAGCTGCCATCCAATAAATGTCTTTGAGTTCAGACATGTTGCCAGGAACGACTCAAAGGGCTTTGGCAGTAGATTCAGCTTCACCTCGTATCACAAAGGTCCACAAGCCAGCGAAACCGGACATTATGTCGCCCACATACCAATATGCCAAGACTGGATGTCGGACGGTTGGCAGTGTGAAGATGCATTTGCTACGGCCGGTGGCTGATGCCTTCTTGCATACAAGCCCATGGCGTCCAAAATTGAGCGATTAGCTCTGAAGCAAAAGTTGAGGCCATTCCTTTCTTGTCGCCGCCAACACGGAAAAGCAGCTGCACATATACAGCAGCGGCCGTCTCAGAAGACGAAGCTGGTGCATGCTGTGAGCGAAGGAATGGTCTGGAGCAGCGGTCGAGTGCTCAAACCAGTGAGAGGACGGCAGCCATCCATCTCGGCTGTGCTGTAGGGGCCAAAATCATGCCGTGTGACGCAAAAGCGCTATGAGAGCTCAGCTGTGTAGTCAGGAAACGACGGCGCTCCGCAGAAGTGCTGTGAAGATCGAGACTGTGGCAGTATGAAGCCATCAGAAGGATCCAACAGAAGGATCGCCGCGTTGCTGCGGCTGTTGGCACCAAACCACTCTAGGGGAATCCTCATGCAAGCGAGGACACGGGACGGCAAGCATCGCCGTGGGGAGAGATATAATTAACCCGTAGCGTAGTGCTAGACAGAACATGGCTGGAGAGACCCGCCACCGGTCTGGCACTGCTACACGTGCTGTTGAAAGGTCAACTCCACGATCCTAGTCATGTTACAAGAGTACTCAGCTTCAGCCTGATATCGGTAGACTTTGCATTCAGCAATTTCTCTTACATCGTTTTCATAACAGGTATTGAAAATGCCCACTAAAAATTCTCGTACGTTGAGACTGGCCAATGAACTGGAACTGTTCGTTCAGAGAATCGCCACACTCTTATATCGAGAAATCTTCAAGCGCAATACGATATGGCCGATGCAAGAGATCATTCACGCACCTGACAAGGACCGACAAGTGCAATTGCTTCGCAGATGGGCCCAAACCAAGTCAAACGAATCTTCCTACATACAATTAGCTGTAAGTCCCGCAAAGCATCATGGCATCTCTTACCCTTGAACTCATTGTTTCCAAAGGGAGGACTGTTATTCACCACAGTCTCTTCCTGTCTTCAATGGCCGGCCACCCAAACGGGACATTGGTCCGCCGCGGCTCTCTTCTACAGCAGCATACTGCTTTCGCTTGTTGCAATTGTGTCTGGGTCGCAGCAGTTGCTTCTCCTTCCAAGGGAGAAACCACAAAGCCTATTCGCTCAATCGTCAAGCACAAGAAACTTAGCGCAGCAACACATCCTCGAGGAGGGCCTCGTCGGGGACGTCCATGCCGAAGCTGAAGAGCGAGCCTACCTAGAAAAGGTCGTCGAGGTCATGTGCATCCGTCGACGAGAGGACCGGCCAAACAATCTGCAGGTTTTTGCGCTGCAGATGCCTTTGATGTTGCTGTCTTTGGCTGTCGTCATGTTTCTGGCCGGGATCTGTTCTGTGGTCTTCGCGCCTTTGGCGAGAGACCTGGCTTGGAACGGTGATGCAAAGACGGCGGTGATGTTTGGAGTCGTGGGCATGTTTAGTATTGTGCTATTTTACGGTACCTCTCAGATCGTGCACGGCATGTTTAGTCGTGACGAGCATGGTCCGTGGATTGGGTCCAGGATTGCTAGGATACCAACATAGATGTGATAAAGCTGCCACATACGGGCCTTCGGCGTCTCATCTGCTGCGCGTGCCGCTGTCGAAATTTGGCAGGTGTCGATTGCTATCGTTCTGTTGGGCTGCGTGCGTTCGCTTCCCAACCACGCCACCCACTGTCGAGCTCTGCTCTCACATTCATTCGATCGGCCTCTGCGGGTATGGCATATCCGTCGGCTTCCTGGACGCCATGAGCTTCTGCCTCAACTGCAGAAGTCTTCGCATGATCAACTGCTCCCTCGCCGCTTAGTTCAGCCTTTTCGTAACGCGTAGAATCATGGACCCGCCCATTGACATGGGTAACAGACCTGCGTCGTCGACGCCAGGCGACGAATGCGAATGCAACTAGAGCAGCGACAAAGGCTACCACACCGATCGCAATCCCCGCCTTCGCGCCCGCTGAGAGGCTTGAGGTGGGTTCTGTCCCTGCCGACGTATTTTGTGCGGAGGACGTTGCCGTTTGCGAAGTGGTTGACGCTGGGTTTGGAGTAGGCGTTGCCGATGACGAAGCATTGTACGTAGATGTTGTACTTCAGTCGGCGGAGGTGCTGAAAAGGTTTCGTTGGTCACGCCTCCGCTACATCCGCCATCGCCACAGAATTGCCAAAGATCCGTCGATGAATCCCATTGTATATATGTGAGCGAGTTGGAACCTGCGTAGTAATGAGCAGTTAGCTCTTGGCTGCTGGGGGGCAACGTACCGCAGCTTTTCCTGCACACGGAAGCTTCGTAGTCTGGATCGTTACATCCAGCTACGTACCAGCGGTCAGTGCCTGAGGACGATGCATTATAGCAGATCGAGTCGGCAGTGCACAACTCGCCATAGGCACAACACGCTGTAGTTGCAGATGATGCTTGATCATCACAATACACCAATCGGTGGGCACTCGTGCCGGCGAAAGAACCGACGCCATCCTGAACCTGCCCATTGGCAAGGTACCGACAGTCCGGGGTGAAGTTTGCGTAGGTCTGCAGCAGCAAGAAAGCAATAACGCCGCAGCACAGGGGAATGCCGCGCGCCATATCGTTGTCAAGAACTGGACAGGTGCAGCTTCGACTCAAGGATAACCGCTCGATGAAATACGCCTGTACAAAGGATGCACGCTGTCGTTGGCGCAGCCACTAGAGTGTGTGCGATCGACCTGCCACAAGTAGCATGCCGTCAAAACGGCACGCGATATCTCGATCGCGTAAGGAGTTGGGGGCCAATACGTCTCTGCGACGCACCAGCAGAGTGCTTCGCAGCTCTTTCATCTTGTTCACTGTGGCAATATCGTGTTTGTGTAGAAAGGTTTCTGAGATATGAAGTAAGATCGAGAGCAGGTTGACGACTTGGAGAGGAACCGACGTTGTTACTTGGCCCCCAAGAACGGCGCTAAGGATCAAACTCACGTAAGCAGGATGAACCATACGCAACGAACCCTTGTTCTGGCGCACTTATTATCCCGTAGGACTTCCTTCATTCTGGAGTGTTGTTTGTTTTCATCATTGTATGCTTCGCACCAATCGACGCGAGGAGGCCACTTCGTTCCACTATGCGATAAAGCCTGTCAGCGATTGTGGGCATTCATTCGAAACGAGACTGCTCGACATGCAGTTCCTGAGTCCAGTAGCAGTCGCTGAGCTGATACAGCGCCTTTACGAGCGAGCGTGAAGACAAGATGAAGTGGGTCCCTGAAGTCTGAGCCTCTGGGGTATTATTCAGAGGATCGACCGCCTTGATACAAACATGGCGCAATCAACCAAACAGTCTGATTTGGACATCAAATGCGCCAAAGCTCGGCCTTGGGTGCGACGTTTCGTGGAAGAATATCAGGATGGGAGACCGTGGGGTTATGGGATGTTCCAGGATCCGACAGTTGGCGATGAGAAGATGGACGAGTGCATGTGCAGGCTCGATCTTTTACTGCAGACTGCGCAAGGTGCTGTGTTTGGTCGCAGTCTTGACGAGTTTCCAAGTTTTCAGTGGGAGTACCTGGACTGGCCAGAAGGGAGTGAGGATGGAGATTTGGAGGCAGATCCTGAGATCGAAGCCGCGCAAGAACAGACGCCGCTCGAGCCCGAGGCCACGGAGGAGAAACCAGAGGACCCGGAGCCAATAGCGAACGCATCTCAACCTGGGAAAGCCGCACAGCAGCAGTCTGAACGTGGCATAGGCGCTGGAGGTATAAAAGAGGACAATGCCGATCTAGAAGATGGTGAAGAGGACGCAGAAACCGACTTGGGCTCAGAAGATACAGAAGAGGATCTGGACGAGGATGGCGACGATCAGAAAGAAGTCGAAGACGATGCTTCTGAAGAAGATGACGAAGACGAGGACGACGCCGATATCGACCTGGTCAAAGAACTCCCCAAAGTCCGCGCTCATTTCAATTGGGTCTGCCATCAGAAGAAGCGACGCAAAGTCCACGAATCCTTAGATGTCGACCGCAGTGGCATGCCCCGCGGACTTCTTCGCGGCGTCTTTATCCTTATCGATGAGGATGCGGCAGACTCCATCGTGGCCACGTCTTCTTATGCCGATAATTCCTGGGTCTGGGCTATCGATCCGAACTATACAGGCGATATTGCATCAATGACGAAGAACGGCCTGAAGGATGAGTACTACGGCTATATGCGTGTGCGATTGCAGCAGCTGGTCAACAATTTTTGGGTCGCGTTGCGTCAGGACAATCTGATTTTGCCTACGCTGTGGGAGGCTGCAAAGCAGAGCCTGAATTGTGCATTTGTATCGGTTGATCCTGAGGAGGCACAGCTGTCATGGGGAGGCAGGAACTTGGGCAGCGCCTTGAGAGCGTACCCGGTGGGCCATGAACTTGGACCGCGTGTTATACAGGGGTAGCCTCTTGAATCCTATGGGACATGAACTCGGACATCGCATTGAAAGCTTACACGGCCTGAACCGCTTTCAGAAAGCCCGAAAATCTGACGAAAATCTGGTTGCCGATTAAGAGGTCGAGACTTCCGCGATCTCGGCTGATGTTGATGTTCCAGGACACCAGCGATAGTCATATTGTCGTCGGCGCAACGTTGCTGCTGCGAGGCCTGGAGTGGGTCGAGGCGTTGAAGACAGTCGCTCGTACAGACGGCGGCGAGGTCATCGCTACTCGAGAAGTAGACGTTGAATTCGACTGAGGGTAAATTCGTAACCCACGTCACAGATGTGGAAAACGTAGAGCTGATATGAGTGAAGATGGTGCGTACATGTATTGTGTGAACCATATATTATGGGGTGATGTGGGCACGCACTAATCCCAAATAGGGTTACCCTTGCCCCACATGCAGACCCCGAAGTACAGCTACGGTAGGCACCACCAAGATTCATGTTGTCAACGTCAACACCCCCCATCACTTCCACTCGTTAAGTTCCCGACATCCTCTCCTCACGATGCCGGCGTCAGTCACCATCGCCACGACCGTAACGAGCAACAGAAGCGACGTCAAGAAGCCAGTGCAAGGACAGGAGAAAGAGCAGGTCTCGCCACAAGATGACTTTTTTTGGACATACACAGAAGAGCCGCACAGGACTCGGAGACAGGCCATCATAAAAGCACACCCAGAAGTCCTTAAGCTCTGCGGGCCGGAGCCATTGACCATACCATTGGTGTTGGCCGTCGTGGGACTGCAGATCTACTGTGCATACGCTTTGCGAGATTCCCCTGTTCTTTCATGGCAGTACCTGCTCACGGCGTATGTGATTGGAGCGACGGCCAACCAGAACTTGTTCCTGGCTATACATGAGATCTCGCATAACCTGGCGTTCAAGTCACCACTGGCCAACAGGCTGTTTGCGATTATCGCGAATCTTCCTATTGGCATTCCATACTCAGCGTCCTTCAGACCGTATCATCTTACGCACCACAAGTCGCTTGGTGTGGATGGTCTGGATACGGATCTTCCTACCGCCTTGGAGGCATGGTTTCTGGACTCTGTTGGCGGTAAAGCCTTCTTCTGCACGTTCCAGATCCTCTTCTATGCGCTGCGGCCAATGATGGTATACAAGTTGCCCTTGACTGGCATCCATGCATTGAACATTGCTGGTCAAGTGCTCTTCGACTATGTCATCGTCACGGCTTTTGGTGGCCGGGCGTTGGGATACTTCATCATGAGCTCTTTCCTCGCTGGCTCACTCCATCCATGCGCCGGGCACTTCATTGCAGAGCACTACGTTTTCTCGCAACACCAACGATCTCTGGAAGCGAAGGCTTCGCCGTCTGCCAAACTCGCTCCTCCGCCTGAGACATACTCATACTACGGTATTCTCAACATTCTGACATATAACGTTGGACTGCACAACGAGCATCACGACTTTCCAGCGATTCCATGGACGAGATTGTGGAAGTTGAACCAAATCGCCAATGAGTTCTATCGGGACTTGCCATGCCACTACAGCTGGGTTGGCGTGATTTGGCAGTTCATTATTGACAAGGAGGTCGGGCTGTGGTGTCGAGTGAAGAGGAAAGAAGGCGGACGGAAAGTTGGAGCAGGATCCAACGACGAGAAGGCTCACGGGCAACCTGTGTCTGTTGTAGGCTGAGCGATAGAAATTACACGAATAGAGTCATGACTGGTCTTCATAATGCTTCCAAGACATTGTCTTCCTGTTGTCCATGGTAACTGTTTTCTCAACATTCACTTGCACACAACCTGTGATTGTTAATCGACGCTGCACCGAAAGTGACGGAATTTCCAGGGACGGATAAAGCTTAACGCTAGCGTCGGCAGTCTAAACCTAACTCCGTCATCGATGCCTTAAGGCTCACATCTCGTGCAACCACCTTCAAAGCGCCACCACTCCTTCGCTCATCTCTCCTCGACCTGAGCATCTTCCCACCAATACTGTCGCTGTTCTTCAACGCAGGCGACAGACTCTCCTCATCGCCGTCATGGATTCCACCCAGTCCGACGCCGACAAGGTACGCTATGCCCGCAGGCTGTCCCTCGAAGGTCCCGCTTCTGGTGGAGGATTGTCAAGAGCACGTGAAGAGCTTGGTATTCTGTATTACACCTGTTGCCTTGGAAGAGATGGATGGACTTGCAACGACATGCTCTAGTTGGGGCGGGACTTCGAAGCGCGGACCTTTGTCAGTACTGGCGACGCTGAACTGACAAATGTGATAGATCCGGGCAAAGAGACTCGCCAAGTTGGGAGGACAGGGTAGTGGGAGCGCATCGCCTGCTGATCAGAACGGATCAGAGCAAACGCCAGATCAACAATCGACAGCAATCCAACCTACAGCACCATCGCAACCTACCGAGAAGCACGAGACTCCCTCCACGACCGCCGAGAACCCTTTTGCGAAGCTCAACGTCCAATCAGAAACCGAGAATAAGAAGCCAACCACTCCTCAAATCAACGTAAAGCCTCGACCTACCTCACCTGCAAAGCGAGAACGAGATGGATCTGAGCGGCCGCGAACGAGAGTCGCGGAGCGCCCATCCGAGAGCTTCGAGTCGTGGCAGGATAGAAACCTACGCCAGATCTTCAGAGTCACATTGAAACCAGAAGAGCTGAAGGATTCGCACGGCAACAAGCTCACTCATATCCCCAACACGAAGGAAGAGCTGGTAGAGTCGAACAAGTCGCTATTACTCAGCACGGACGAGTTGGAGGGTGTCATCACAGAGGCGACCGGTCAGGTAGCGGCGACAAAGAGGTTCGAATACTTGCTGCAATGTTTCAAGCGGGCATCACGGGCCATTCGGAACAGCAACTTCAGCGGACAGGACGATCCTAAGCAGAAGATTCTCAAGGAGGCGCGACGCATGAGCATGAGCTACAGTGTCTTTGCTGTAACTATGCCTGAGATGTTCGGAGACGATGTCCCAACCTCAAATCGGCTGGTTGACCATCTACTGGCGGAGCCTGAATGTGATGTCGGCATCTGCACAGACTTCCTGACCGAAGCGAGTAGTCGTTTCGATGAGGATGACACCATCAAAGAGGCGATTGTAGGCGCGGCGGAGGAGCTGAGCAGGCAGCTTGCGGAGAAAGACATGTTGGGTGAATACCAGAACTATGTTCGTGCTCTGCGGAATCTGCTCAGATTTCCCAAGATCGTTGAAGCTATCACGCAGTCTCCCAAGTGGGCACCTGAGGGCGTCAAAGCGCAGGAAATTGAAACAAAGACGATGCTCGGGCCCTTCTTCCGACTGTCGCCCATGCAGCAAGAAGTAGCGAACAACTACTTCTCTGCTCCACGAACTCGAGACAGGGGCTTCATTGCCAACGCCCAGAACGCTGTGCGTATGACGCTGCGGACACACCAGAGCGAGCTGTTCGAGATCACCAATGGAATCGTTCGATCTGGACCTGCCAACCGGGAGCGCATGCTTGACTGGCTTGCTCTTTGCGTCAACCTGAATCACAAGAAGCGGGCGATGCGTGTCGACTACCGCATAGTCTCCAGCGATGGCTTCATGGTCAACGTTACTAACGTGCTTGACCAGCTGTGCGATCCCTTCATGGATGCCAAGTTCGGCAAGATCGAGAAGATCGATGTCGACTATCTTCGCCGCAACCCTCGCGTCGACATCAGTGACGAGACGAAGATCAACGTGGACCAGAAAGCTTCAGACGAGTTCTACTCAAACAAAGCCGAAGGAACCAACAACTTCATCTCTGAGATTTTCTTCCTAACTGTTGCGGCACACCACTACGGGACCGAAGCAGCTCAAACTCGGGTCGCGATGATGCGCAAGCAGGTTCAGCGAATGGAGAAGGACCTTGTGCAGTTCGAGGCAGAGCGACATAAATATGTCAACGTAAGTGCGGCTGCTTTCTGGAGCTATGTGACTTGTGCTCATGTTATTCATAGGACCCACGGTATCTTGCGCGATACGACGCCGAGCACGCGAGATTCAAGAAGCGCATCGACGACGACTGGAGTACGATCCACGCCACTACCGGCGTTCTTGTCGACGACCTCAACCAGGCCCGTTCCATGCAGTTCATGCGATATGTCATCGTCTGGTTGCTGCGGATAGCGTCAGGACAGAACCTGCCTAAGGAGCAGATCCAACTGCCGCTCCCACAAGAGCAATCACTGGTCTTCAAGAGTCTGCCGGAATACTTCCTCGAAGACATCGTGGACAACTTCAAGTTTATCACATCGCACATGCCGCAAATCATCACCCCACAGCAGAGCGAGGAGATTCTGCAAGTTTGCGTTACTTTCCTGCGAAGCAGCGAGTACGTGAAGAATCCAGGCGTCAAGTCTGGCCTTGTCACGATTCTCTTCTACGGCGTGATGCCCTTCTCAAACCATGCGAGAGGTGTGCTCGGCGACCTTCTCATCGGCTCATCGTTCGCTCACAAGCATCTCTTACACGCCCTGATGAAGTTCTACATCGAAGCTGAGAGCACGGGCACGCACACGCAGTTCTTCGACAAGTTTAACATCCGATACGAGATATTCCAAGTCATCAAGAAGATTTGGGTTAACACCATGTACCGGGAGAACTTGGCCCGAGAAGCCCGTGTCAATACGGAGTTCTTCGTCCAATTCGTCAACATGCTGGTCAACGACGCCACGTTTGTGCTTGATGAGAGTCTGAGCGCTTTCATCAGGATCAACCAGCTCACAGCTGAGATCGCTGACCAGAATGTAATGCGTGAGCTGACTGAAGATCAGCGTAAGGAGAAGCAGGAACTTCTCGAGGATCAGAAAGGCAAGGCCAAGAGCTACATGCAGCTGACTCGCGAATCTATGGAGACATTGATTCTCTTCACGGAAACACTGGCGGAGTCCTTCACCATGAAGGAGATTGTCACTCGTCTTGCTCACATGCTGGACTACAATCTGGATCTCATGACGAGCAAGAAGCAGACTACGCTCAAGGTCGAACATCCCGAGCAATACGGTTTCAACGCAAAAGAGCTACTCGCCGATATCATGACGATCTACACCAACCTGGCCGAAAAGGAGAACTTCATCAACGCCATTGCCGACGACGGTCGATCATACAAGCCCGAGAACTTCGAGAAAGCCGTCGAGGTCATGGGTCGCTTCGCAAGAAAATCGCCAGAAGAGGTCCGCATCTGGAACGAGCTGGCCAAGAAGGTCGCAGAGGCCAAGGCTGCCATTGAGCAGGAAGAGGAGGACCTTGGCGAGGCTCCAGAAGAGTTCATGGACCCGCTCGTGTTCGACCTCATGACTGATCCAGTCATCTTGCCCCTGAGCAAGAACACGGTCGATCGCTCCACGATCCGGAGTCACTTGCTCAGCGACCCCACGGATCCTTTCAATCGGACGCCGCTCAAGATTGAGGATGTGATACCGAATGTGGAGCTCAAGCAGCAGATTGATGCGTGGAAAGCGGAGAAGAAAGCACAGAAGGCGGCGAGTAGGATGGATACGAGCGAGGGATGAATGAAAGGATAGGGATGGGAGTGACATGATATGAGGTTCTGGGGTGGGCTCATGGTGGCTCTAGCATGATAGACTCTCGCATAGCTACTTGCGCCTACAGATTCCTAGATGCACTAGGAACGAAATGACAGGATGATGATCATAGAATGCTGCTGTCTCAATTCGGTGCAAGAATCACATTCGTTCCACAGGCCAGCGTAATCTTCATCATGATAAGGGGCATATTTCACTCGCATGACAGAAAAATCAAGACCCCCTCTCATCTAATCAAGCAGTAGGTAACACTCGCTGCACACGAATTCCTGAAAGACGATAGCATCCAGTAGCATACAACACCTCCACATCCACTTCACATTCCACCTCACAACCAATCCCCCACAAACACCACCCCAACCTCCACCAACTCCCTCCACGAAACAACACCTCCCTCCCGCTTAACCCACGTCTTCCGCCTCGACCTATACACCCCCGTCCTCTCATCCTTAACCAAATACTCCCTCCTCTCCCTCACGCTCGGCGGAAAAAGCATATACCTTACGGGCGTCGCGGTGGCGCAGAAAATCTCCACGAGGCGCAGGATTGCGGCGGTGTGGATGTACGAGTTCGGGGGAAGGGAGTCTTGAGTTTTGGAGGAGATCATGGCGGCAAAGGTTTTCATGAGTGCGAGACTTGCGAAGAGGAAGTAGAGCGTGTGCATGAGGACGAGGGGGTTCGAGAGGCGCTCGAGGAGGGGGCGGCGGTGCGAAGGGGAGCGTTCGTCGAGGGGCGATTTGAGGGTGCCGGTGGCGGTGAAGGGGGTGTTTTGGGGGGTTGTGGTGAAAGACTGCAGGAGGGCGGTGATGTGGTCTGTTTGTATGTGGATATGTCAGATGAGGGATTGGTCTCAGGGGGAGTGTTTTTTGGGGATGTGGGCTTACATGGAACGACCCAATAGCGGTTCCGGGAGATGTTGCTTAGGTTTTTGGTGCCGACTTGGCTGAAGATGAGGTACTTCCAGATTTTCGAGGAGAGCCATAGGAAGAGATAGGGGGTGCGAAGGGCGCGGCGATCGAGGGTCTCGTGTGTCGATATGAGTCCTGGGGATAAGGCCAGTAGAGGGAGCAGGATCAGGGGTAGGATCAGAGCCGTGCTGAAGTATGTCTTGAATGCGTGGTGCATGCCGAAGAAACGTTGGGCGGATGATAGGGAGGACTTGTTGAGCCAAGGTAGGAAGAAGTTGAACTTCCGAGCGACGAGAAGGCTGCCGGCTGTCTAAGGGGATGGAAAGACATGTCAGCATTCCATCACTGCCATGTTTACTCGCTGTTAAAACTTACCCATCGCACTCGTTGAGCAGCATACGCATGGAGTGAGCCGGGCGCCATGCCAAATTGCAATTCATCTTCGATAAAGGCAGCTTTCCACCCTGCCTGGACAAGCACATACGAGCACACGATATCCTCACCAACATTGGACAGAGGCCAGCCACCAATGCTGTCCAGAGCCCGACGACGCATCACGTACCCCGAGCCAGAGCATTGACTGCAGCCGAAAGAGTCTCGAATCGGCTCCATGATCAATTGGAACACGTTGGAATCCTGGCCCAGTTCGTCGCCTTCGGGAATGTTGTACGACAGCTGAGGGGGACTCACAAGAGCCGTGGTGGGCGAGCGAAGGAGATGAGGGACTGTCTTTGCCAGCCAGTCCGCCTCTGGGATCATGTCTGCGTCCAGAGCGGCGACGAACTCGGAGCTGCCGTACAGCTCCTTACTGACTTCATGTCCGAATCGAAGGTTGCCGGATTTATAGTAATGCGGAATGCCTGGTTTCTTCTCGCGGTCGAGATAGCATACTGGGTGGTGACTCGTCCGTTTCAGTCGCTCATTGAGCCTGTCTACGGCGAGACGAAGCCGATCGTCCTTGGAATCGTCCAGCACAAAGACCCTGTAGGAAGACTTTGGGTAGTTCTGTATCGCGGCGGCGTGGACAGTGTCCATAATGATGTCGACATCTTCGCCGCATACCCTATTGAAGTTTCAGCATGTTACAACAAGCAAAGGCATCTGCCAAATCGTACGTGACAAAGACATGGACCATCGGTGCCGTGTCACCCCTGAGTTTAAGGCTCGGTCTCCTGGATGACCCTGCCGCTGCAAAGCTCGTGGTAATCTCCATGATTTGCAAGATCTCTGGACATGCCTGGACGACTTCACACAATAGGATGAGCCACTCATAACGGTACTTGGCTGCTGTGGTTGAAGTCGAATACCAGCATGCTCGCAATCTCGCGTGTAGATACCAGATCCAGGCTAAGCACAGGGCGATGTGTGCTATGGTCCCTAGAATCGATCGCAGGGAGGTAGCCTGGGTCGGTCTCGCATCTTCCTGTATAGCACTGGACCAAGTCGCGGAGCCTTCATAGTCAAAGTTCTCACTCGATCCATTGCATTCTTGAATAATGGTAGTTGCGCCGCTAGGCAGTCTTCGTTGCTCACTGGAGGTGAAAGCTGTAGTCATCATTGCAACATTGCAGCGTCGTTCTTCTTAATGCGCATTATTCAAACTGTCCGACAGAGCCGTGACTTTTGACCATATGCGTTGGCAAGAGAAGGAGGCCACTCCTAATAGTTGAGAGGTGAACTTGGGGCTGTGGAGCATGAGGCACATGGGTGGTCGCACCGTTGAGCTGTGGCTTGGTGCGAGGAGGGACCTGTGACGTTGAATGTGTTACCAACAGGCCCGGATGGATGTATTTCAAACGCAGAGCCGCGCTTCTTGCAAAAGCTGACACCGGGCGACATGGCATTAAACTTTCGAAGAGTGTCGGTAAAACAGCTTCTCTCGTTTTCTACCGAGACGAGGTCGATCCAGCTGTGTGGAACAATCAAGACTGTATGTCGAGATGGGGATGATCTTGAGTTGGAGGTCTTCGACGGATCTTCGTTTCACGCGATATTGATCGAAGTCCCGAAAGACCTCCACATGGGCGAACAGCTGACACAATGAACAACGATTGAAGTACACGGCGACTGGTTTCCAGACATGGGCCGCATCGTCGCCAGCCAGGTCCGCGTCTTTGGAGTCTCGGATTCCTCGTCGAACCCTTTGAACGCTGGTGCACTCACCGACGGCAGCCATTCTCATTTGCGACTTCAAAATCCTTGGCACTCTCTATTGATGCGATTCCGCTCGGAGGTCATATCAGCGGTACATGGCTATCTTGCGACTCATGCCGAAGGGCCATTTCATCAAGTGCATCACCCCGTGATCACGCACACAGATTGTGAGGGCGGAGCCGAAGTGTTTCCTGTCTTGACACAGAAGAGCAAGAATGACGATGCGGCGCAAGTCGACGATTTCTTTGGTGGTAGGCGGTTCTTGACCGTCACTGCGGCCATTCATGGCGAAGCGTTCACTATGGGATTGGACCGGGTCTGGATGCTGGCACCATGCTTCCGGGCCGAAAGGTCACAAGACGATCGTCATCTGGCCGAGTTCCATATGCTCGAAATATCGATGAACTATTCGGAGGAGCTTGAGCCACTGATGAAGCTGTGTGAGGAATTTCTGCGGGGCCTAGTCGAGAGATTGAGGAATTCACCCGCAGCTTGCGAGGTTTTGGAAGTCGTTGGCCGAAGGGACACGACGAGGGTGAGTGCCGCAGAGCTCAGATGGCGATGGGAGTTGTTGACGCAAAGCGACTGGCCTCGAATCACGCATGCCGACGCTATCCGCATGATGAAAGAGGCCGAAGCCGTCGGAAATGCAAAATTCCAAATGAGGCCTAGGCCAGAGACCGATCTTGCCACGGAACACGAGATGTTCGTGCTGCATCATTTCCAACGTCCAGTCTTCGTGACGCATTACCCGTCCAAGATCAGACTGTTCTCGGCTCTGCAGTCGCCAGCCCCACAGTCACTAACTGGCATTCAAACGACCGAGTCAGTGGACTTGCTTCTACCAACCATAGGAGAGGTATTTAGCGGTGGCCTTCGCGAGCATCGTCTGGAAAAGCTCATAGAGGTCATGCGTGAGAAGGGCTTCTTCCGCTCGTGTGGTGCAAAAACTGGAGTAACAAAGGGTGGAGAGTACCCCTTCTTACGTGACGACGAGTCACTCGATTCGCTGGAGTGGTTCGCCGACTTGCGTCGATGGGGGACCTCGCCTCACGGAGGGTTCGGAATCGGGTTTGAGCGTCTGCTGAAGTACTTGACAGGAGCAGAGTCGTTGCGAGATGTAGTTGCATTTCCTAGGTATTACAAGCACTGTCAAGCGTAGGAAAGGGTCCGTAAGGCTCTCACGCATTGGAATCGCGAAAGACCCCCTTTTCCTTGTGAGCGTTCTGATAGCATGACACACTGTCCGGCGCCGTGTCTCTACCTTGAGTCGAATTTCAGGAGCCAGTATGTGGTAGAATAAGTATCATGGGTGATGGAGATGGTTCGATCTTACATCGTCAAGGATAGGAGAGAAGCATCTACATGTGGGCGAGGTGAGGTCTCCACGACTCTGTCCCCACCGGACCGAAGCGGGGCTTTTCCGAGAAATGGAAGGCTTGCCATCACTGAGGTTCATCAAGGCATAGATATCCGCACAAACGTCTTCATACGAGCAGTCTCAGCATGCTGTGCAAGAAAACTACTCGTAACATGAGATATCTCCACACGTATAAAAGATCATATTTTCATTCCACAGGTCATATCTCGTAACCGGGTATCCATTTCACTCGCAAAGCAATACACGCCATTAATCAATCCACCCCGCGACAAGGAAACGGCCTCGTACTCCCACTCTGACTCGAAATCTCTCCAACACTGCCATACAATCCCAACCCACTCGCCACCAAACACAGCAAAAACAAAGTCACATTCACCCACACCAACACGTTCCTCCTCCACCCTCGCCACCCATCCTTCTCCCTCCAACTCCCAAACAACCAGAAAATCGCCGGAAACCCCAGACAGATCCACGTCCCCACCGCAGCACCTATCACAGCGAGGAGGGAGTTGAACCACGGAATGACATTCCCCACGACCCATGCGACGGTCCACAGCGTCACGACGATGGCGATCCAGCTCGTCCACGCGCGGGCGGTGTTTTCGTCTTTCACCTCCGGGCGGTGTTGCCAGGTTATATCGTACGCGCGTTTCGCGGCCACGAGGGCGGCGATGACGCCTGCGACGATGATGGTGGGGACTGCGAGGCCGTAGGCGATTTTGGCGGCTGTAGGGGTGGCGGAGTCGAGGGCAGGGGAGGCGACCGTGGGGCCGACAAATTTATAGATTATAATGCCGGCGAGAGCGTAGAGGGCTATAGTGAAGAAGTTTGTAGTTAGGAGAGCTTTGGGGAAGTCGGATGGTTGGCGCATTTCGGAGATAATATTGAAGTAGGCGACTGGAGGAGGGATGTTAGTTATCTGGTTCTTGAGTTTCTTCTTCTTCTGAGACTTACTGTGCCCGGAGAAGGAGACGAGGATGTTAGAGACGGCGGCGCAGGCGGCTGCGAATGTGTAGCCTTCCGTACCTAGTTGGACAACGGTATCGTACTTGACGGGATGGTCGTGCGAAGCCTGGATCACGCTGGCCATCGCCGTGAAGGTCGCGGCGATAATGGAGATGCATGCTGTTGGAGTGTTTGTTAGCTAGTTCGTCCACAGCTAAAGCGAAGAGCCGAACTTACAGAAAATCGAAAACCAGGAATTCGTCTTCAACGCTCGCGGCAGCGTACATGTGATATTGATGACGAGCGCCAACACCGTCCACCAAACTCCACATATATGGTCACCGGACCCCTCCGAGAGCTTAAACGCCATGGATCGGAATATGATGATATGTCCGGCCATCATAAAGACGAGCATCGCCATCTGCATTACTTCCACGATCCAGCGGCCCACCGAGCCACCAATCAGCTGACCGGCTTCTGCGAAGCTGCGAATTTGTGGGAAGCGCATCTTGAAGCGGTAAACTTCGTGGCCGGTGTAGGTGGTTATAAAACCGCAGCCGAGGATGAGGATGCTGCCTGGGAGGATGCCAACTGATTTCACTGCGGAGGGGAGGGAGAGGATGCCGAGTGACACTGTCTCAGCGAGCATAACTGGGGAGATGTTAGCTAAGTTCACTTGCAGTGTCGTCCGTAAACAAAAGCCTTTGGTCTGTGAGTAAGACTGCACTCACCCGTTGCGGCCTGCCACCAGTTCATCTTCTTTTCCTCCTCGCCACCATGGACAAGACCTCGTCGGCTAGTGCTGGTAGTAGATGCCTTGCTCGATGGTAATGATGGCATCCTTGCTGATACTGGGTTCGTGCCCAAAGTGCTGGGTACGGATTTTGAAGAGTTCGATCTTGATGGTGGGACCGGCAGGGCTTGCTCGTCTCCATTGCTGTTGCCCTGCTCGAGGTCCTTCTCCGTGATGTAGGCAGAGTCAGGAAAGCGTGGTGCAGCCATCTTCGCGACTGGTGTGTTGTTTGATAAGATTTGGGTTGTAATGCTCTTGAGTATTCATGAAAGTGTTGAAAACAACCTGGAGAGCAAGATCTGAGAAAAAACTGAAATGAGATTCTCGCGGCCAGTGATCTATATGCCATTCCTGGCGTATTGAGTTCGACGCCAAGCATGTCCTTTGTAACTGACGTACACGGAATAAATCATGAGCTTTCTCGCAGACAAGCTAAATGGAAGCTGCCGAAATCTGAGAGGCTTTTGGGTAAATGCAGCGAGACTGATTGGCCGTTCCGTCTCGCTACCGTCTTTGGAGCGGTGTAATAGAATGGACTCGGGTAGAAAGTGATGTTGTTGCATAGTCCTGATTTGGTCTCGTCGTCTTGTTGCTTGCGGCCCTCACTGGTTTTCTGATGAAGTCCGCTCGCAACGGCTAAGAAGTGTGGCATGGTGGTGCGGCTCATGGTGGTGGCAAAATCTTATCCATCGATCAGTCACATGTACACCTGTGACGTTAGGATTCGGTTATGATCTTCGATAGCTTGTCCAAGGTGACAAGATAAGCAGCGTCGGTATGGGTGTTCTTAGCGCAGTCAAGGAGTTGAGGGAGTCCATAGGAGAGCTTCAGAGCGCATGCAGACAATGTATACTCATAGGCCAGCAGCGCACCATTCTCTCCCTACCAAGGCCCAACCAAGCAGTCCCCGCATTTTCAAAGTCGGTCGTCCACTGAATGGGCATCTTTTACCATTTCGCCTCCGTGGCGTGGATGATGTGGGCTGGAGACGTCATATCCGTTGAGCTTCCAGATTTTGGTACTCTCATGACGATAACGGCTCGCGATGATCGTATCATCTGGTTGGCTTTGGCGATTATCTGATTTTTCGAAGAGTATCTCACCAGTCAAAGGCATAGACGAGGCAAGAGTAAGTGAGAAAGAGGGCAGCGTCAATGGTGAAGTCAGAGCGGCTCCACACGCTAGGCCCGGGACGTTCCTTCACCTCAACGCTAACGAAACTCTCGGGACAGCTCGAATCAAGCTCCAACATCTGGAGGACGTATCCGCCCGCTGCCCTCGCAACCAGGATGGCGCATACAGTGCTTGCGGCGGGAGTGCGCTTAGCCCCTATTCTGGTTGCACCCATCACGCCTGCTATGCAACCAACGTGTACACGGCCCAGCCTCCTCCCTTAGATTCTCTTCGTTCCTCGTTCTCCCCAGCTCCCTCAAGCTCCCGTCACTTTCCCCCCAACCTCATACCATACCCGACTTTGACCCCGTCACTTCAGAGTCATAACAGAACAATGGTCGAGTTACGCAAGAGACCCGCTCCACCCCCACCGCCACCGCCAGCGAAGAAGCGAGCTCCGGCCAAACCGAAGCCAAAGAAAGACGCGCCAAAGGCCGCTGAACCGGAGGAAGCTCCTGCTGCTGCTGCCGCGCCGGCTGAGACTACAACGACGGAGAAGCTTGCGAAAGCTGGCGCGCCGAAGGTTGGCGACTCGATAACGCTCGAAGGCTTCGGCGGCGAGATCGAAACCAACGATGGCGACAAGACCACCCTCGCCAAGTTGGTGAGCGAGAGCAAAGCCGGCGTCGTCCTCTTCACCTATCCCAAAGCTTCAACGCCAGGATGTAAGTCATCCATAGTATTGGCATCGTCGATGTGCGTCGTTAACATTGGTACCAGGCACTACCCAAGCCTGCCTGTTCCGCGACTCCTACGAGCCCCTCACCGCGACTGGTCTGAGCATCTACGGTCTCAGCACGGATAGTCCAAAAGCCAACACCACCTTCAAGACTAAGCAGAACCTGCCATACCCTTTGCTATGCGATCCATCTGCGACATTGATCGGCGCGATTGGCCTCAAGAAAGCGCCAAAGGGTACCACTCGAGGTGTGTTCGTTGTTGATAAGAGCGGAAAGGTCTTGGCTGCCGAGCCAGGAAGCCCTGCGCCTACTGTTGAGGTCGTGAAGAAGGTTGTCGCATCGATGGGTGGTGATAGTGAGGCTAAAGGTGTCGAGAAAGCAGAGGAGCGTGCGGATGCGGAGGATGATAAAGAGGCTGCCGATACTGCTGCCGAGGTCGCGGATACGGCCAAGAAGGTTGATGGCGCTGCTTGATGGAGCGGCGTCTGCTATTGATTACGAGTACGCTTGTCGATTGCATGAATGTCATGTCTCTCAGGGCGTCTAGACAGCGATCAGATGTCTTGTTAGTGAAGCGTCTTTAACACAACCTTTGCCGTCATACCAATCTGCCAACACCAGCGTTCGTGACATACATTTCGCAGCTACATTGCTAAGTGAGGCCGACACGGAATAGAGAATGTGGTGGGAGGGCAAACATTCATGCCTTGGTGCCTTGCTTGCATCGATCGACGTCATGGCTGGATTTCGAAACCGCATGCGCTTGAACTTCTGCCACTCCCATATCTTGTTGACGTCGGAAACCACAATTTGAACGAATCTTTTGAAAAGCTCCCTCTTTCGTGTTCCTCACCTGGGCAGTTCTAGCCACGTACAACTGCTATCTCATCAGAGAAGAGACGGCCGCACACGATGTCGTCCCGCGCACTGCGCAAGGCGCAACGCGAAAAAGAAGAGCAGGACCGCCTGAAACAGCTGGAGGAAGAGGCACAGGACTTGGAGGAAGATGATGAAGATGAAGAGCCCGCGGCGAAGGCACCTCGGAAAAGCGCATTTGCCATGCTACAAGATGAGGAAGAGGCGGACGAGGACGAGCCTGGCGATGAAGCAGACGGGACAGAAACAGCACCAGCAGAAGCACTACCCGCTCATGTGACAGCTAAGAGCTCGTCAAAAAAGAAGAAAAAGAAGAAGGCAAAGGCAAAGATCAATGAGCATGCATCAGACGAAACTCCATCAGACAAGCAGCTCGATGAGATAGATGCTGCTTTGAAGGAACTTTCGACCAAGGGCAACTCAGCACATTTAGGTATCACCGCAGCAGGTGTTGATCCTGCAATGGACGAAGCTAGTCGACTCCTTGTCATCGATACGAATCATCTACACGCGCAGAACGAGATGCGTAGGCTGTTTGGACGTGCTGCATTGGAGTCACAGGAAGAGGAACAACCCGAGCAGCAAGCAGTGGGTGGGAATCGGAGGCAGCAACGACGTGTACAACAAGTGGGTCTGGCACAAGCCCTTCGAGGACAACGAGCAGATGGACGATCGGGTGGCCTTGCTGCTATGGCTCTTCGTCGCAACATCTTTATATCCGGCAAGGAAGAGTGGCCAGTCGCAACAGGTGGTGGGCTCGGCATGGAGGTCGAGGAGAAGCGTGCTGATGGCACCGTGCTGTATCGCTTTGTCCACAACACCGTCTACCAGGATGTGCAATCGCAATTCGAGACGTGTGTGGCATCGATGGACCCGAATCGTCTTGTGGCATTGCTTCGACTGAATCCGTACCACATCTCAACACTGCTCCAGGTTTCAGAGATCGCCAAGTCAGAAAGTGATCACGCCACTTCTGGCGATCTCCTCGAGCGTGCATTGTTCTCATTCGGTCGTGCCATCCACAGCACATTTGCAAAGAACCTGAGCGAAGGCAAGGCACGGCTCGACTTCAGGAGAGCAGAGAATCGCGAGTTCTGGCTCGCCAGCTGGAGGTACATGCAGAACCTTACAATGCGTGCGACCTGGCGGACTGTCTACGAGTGGGCTCGGCTACTCCTGTCGTTATCACCTGAGGATGACCCGTACGCCCTGTGGTTGGTCCTTGACCAGTATGCGCTCAGATCTCGACAAGACCTGGATTACTTGAACATGTCGAGAAACGCTTCCTTCAAAGGCGTACACAATGACATGCCCAATGTCCAGCTCAGCCAAGGTCTGGCCGAACATCGGGCCGGCAACCAGGGCAAAGGCAAGCAGGCACTCTTCACAGCGATAGGCCGATTTCCGTGGGTCGTTGCAAGACTCATGCATGAGCTTGGGCTGGACGCTCCGCCTGCAGTATGGGGGAAAGAACCTCGGACGCAGAAGGAGAAGTTTCACGCTGAGCTCTATGCGATTTACGCAAAAGACTTGTGGAATACACCAGAGGCGTCAAACCTTCTGGTCGAAGTGGCAAGTGCAGTACCAGCTGATACTCCCGCGGCCCCTGTCAACGCGGACGAAATCACTCGAAATGAAGCCCGTCATGCTTTGCTTTCAGACAATACCACCTTGATCGCTCTGGTCCCTCGCAAGTTCACCGCACAACTCGAAAGCTCATCAGATCCGTTGCCACCCGACGATGCCTTCATGTCGTACCTGTCTCGTAGGACGGGCAGGTCTCGAGGAGGTGGCGGTACCATGGGTCTTAACCAGATCGATGAGAGCGTGCGTGAAATCCAGAGCCTCCACAGGTTCTTCGCAGAGCTTTTCCCGTGGTTCAGGAGGCCTCTGCAAATGCAGGCCGAGGATGCTGAAGACACCGATGGCGCAGCTGACGAGGCTGGCCACCCACCCGTGAGTCACCGGGATTTGATGCGTCAAGTCGATGCAGCTGGTGTTCCACGACAAGTCTTCCAAGATCGTGCGCAACGACTCGTTCAGCTTCAAGGTGAACTTTTCGGCGGAGGTCCCGAGGTCGGCACTGAGATATTCGAGAGGCTGGCCACGGATGCTCATCTTGGCCCTGATGACGAGGCAGACACGGGGAGACCAAACCAGCCGCGAGTCGAAGAAGGATCCGACGACGAGTGATGTATCAGTCCCAGTCAATGTAGCCTAACCTGGAGGATGAGACACGCTGCTCAGGGCGCTCGTGCTGATTCTCAACCCCACTGGTGCGTCCTACACGCAGTCCAACCGCAACAGTCTCCCAAATCTGTCGACCATGGAGTGTCCACCACTGCCATGTGCAGTCCTGGCCACCAAACCCCACAACGATTTGACGCCCGCCTGGATGACGCTCGACATACTCTGTCACGTCCAGAACGACGTCGTTGACGACAATCCCTGAACAAGTCAGCTAGAACAACACGACAGATTTGAGCAGGCAGTATATGAAGGACCAATAGATGCGGCGGCAGAACGATCAGATAGGTACGTACACAGCCTCTTTGATCCCTGCCCGTCCCGTTTTGCGACTTCTGCTGCTGCAATGTTTGGTAGGTCTACGTCTTTCGTTGTCCTTGGCATGAAATTGTGTTCAATCTCAATCTCCATGTGGCCTTCATGGTCATCTAACGATCTCTTCATATGCTCGACTTGGGCATCTTCCTTGATTTTCGGCTTCTCGTCTTTGCACTCTTCTCCAGAACGAAAAGACGATAGATTGATGAAGCCCATCTTTCATCACAATGCAGTCTTCCGACACTGCTGTTGATTCCCTTTGGCTTTATTCACTCCACGATCATCAGCTCTTTGCACTCCCTGCTCGGCTGGCCGGCACTCGTCCAGATACATTCACGAACCCCGCAAGAGGATCGTCACTGGGGCTTTGTCCAACATGCGAATATTTCCCTGGCTGTTAGGGATCACAGCCAGTACTCGGTGGGCCGTCATTGAAGATAGTCGCAGGTAAGATCCTCACGTCTGCAATTCAATTCAATCACAGCTTGATTGAAATCATGTCCTCTGGTCGGCTTCACAATTGGATCGGGGATATCGCGGCCAAGGACGGACACAGCACACTTCTTGACGCCTTCCCAAAAGAATGAAGCGTCCGTCGATGTTCGAGGTTTCTGATATTTGCCGTTGTACATGGAGGCCTCCCGCAATATATCCATCCCTTCGCACGATCAAGACCGGCTGTTGCGAATCCAATGGGGGCTTTTCCAGTTGAGCCTTACCCCAGACCTGGGGAAAGGGTACGGGGATACATGCACAGGCAGAGCTTGTTGCTTGCATCCATCTGAGCTCAGCTGTATGAGCTCCTTCGCCGTGTCACGGTGGCAAGTACGGTCTCGCGGGATCACGACCCCGCTGACGGGGTATCGGGTCTGACCTGGCAGATCTGTAGAGCAGAGCTCTCCGCTGTGAAGGCATTGGAGAGGGGAAGATATGGGTGGCGAAGGCAAGTATATTTGGTCGTTGTGACTTCTTGCTGTATTCTTAAGTATTTGCTACTTCCCATCATCTTCTATTCCTACTCCTCATTCGAGGTCAGTCAAGATGGCACCGTCCGCCATCGACCAACGGGGACTCATGACGAATGGCATCAACGGCCATAGCAAGTGGCAAGCACCTGCCAAGGTCGACACCATGAACCCCCACGACCAGGTCTACTTTGACCCCAAGCTGCAACCCAAGACGTACCATATGAAAGACACAGACTCGAACAGCAAGATTCTCTTCCGCGGCGTCAACATCATCGACAGCACAGGCCAAGACCCCTACAAAGGCGACGTGTACATCGAAGGCGAGAGAATCAAATACGTTGGCGAAGTCCCCAACGTTGACAGCCTCGCTCAGGACTTGAAAGTGCGGACAGTGTCAGGGCGTGGGCGAACGTTGATGAGCGGGCTTGGAGATGCGCATACACATCTCACGTGGGACAATGGCCAGCTATCCGGGTTGGGCGATATGGGTGTTGAAGAACATACTCTACTGACTGCCCAAAGCGCGAGGACATATCTGGATAGTGGATACACGATGTGTTATGGCGCTGCTAGCGCCAAGGAGAGGTTGGATGTTGTGATAAGGGATGCGATCAATGAGGGGAGTATTCCCGGTCCTAGGTATCTCGCTAATGGAAAGGAGATGGCGGTGCCGAATGGCGATTTGTGAGCTTGGTCGAGTGGGAAGTCTTGGAGATGATTGCTGATTGTCTGTTCAGGGCGCCTGGCATCACGGCTTTTGCGAGTGGTCCATTAGAGATGCGGGAGATGATCCGACATCACATCAAGTTGGGCGTTGATAATATCAAGCTAAGCATGTCAGGGGAACAGATCACCGAGACAAGGGATGCCCAAGACTGCTATTATACCGACGAAGAGACCGCAGCCTGTGTAGACGAGGCGCACAGACACGGCATAAGGCTTTGCGCTCACGCAAGGGCAAGGGACAGTGTCAAGATGTGCATCAAACATGGGGTGGACGTCATCTACCACGCCTCCTGGATCGACGAGGAGGGCATGGACATGTTAGAGAAGAACAAGCACAAACACATCGTCGCTCCCGGCCTCAACTGGCTCCACGCCACAGTCTACGAGGCTGGAGCCTTTGGCTACAGCTTCGAAAAGGCCGAATCAGTCGGCTACAAGAAGGAGCTGGACGTCGCAATCGAAGGACTGAAAGAGATGCACAGACGAGGCATCACTGTCCTTCCAGGGGGCGACTATGGGTTTGCTTGGACACCTCACGGAACCTACGCCAAAGACCTTGAATTGTTTGTAAAATACCTGGACTTCACTCCGATGGAGTCTATCGTAGCAGCAACCGCCGGCGTAGCCAAACTCTTCATGCGAGAGAACGAACTAGGCAAAATCCTCCCAGGCTATTTCGCAGACCTGATCCTCGTCGATGGTGACCCTGTGGCCGACATCGGCGTGCTGCAGGAACACGACAAGCTCAACCTCATCATGATCAATGGCCGCATTCACAAAGCCAGCTACAAGGAGTTTCTGAAGCCCGAACAGCTGAATCCGATCATGGCACCGCTGGAGAAGGCGAGGCTTGATAACTTTGTGGCGTATAGACTCAGCGACGGCATGGGACGCACGAGGATTGGACATTTGGATCGAGAGAACGGGACGATTACGCCTGTTTCGTTTGAGAGTGGGACGCCGGTTGAGAGTCTCTACCAGGTTATTGAAGTTGGAGAGGAGAATGTTATTGCTGGAGATGAGCCCTTCCCAATGACGGAGGATATCGACATCTTGCCACCACTGTCCGGCCGAAACGTCCTAGCCGTAGGCAAAAACTACTCCGAGCACGCAAAAGAGTTCAACGCCAGCGGTTACGATGCCTCTGATAAAGTCGACATGCCCAGCCATCCGGTCATATTCACGAAACGGGTGACGTCGATTATAGCGAATGAGGAAGATATCTTACTACATGAGGGGTTCACGGAGACGCTAGATTATGAAGGCGAGATCGGCGTAATCATTAGAAAGGGGGGCTTTGGGATTCAGGAGAACGAGGCGGATGAGCATGTCTGGGGGTATACGATTGTTAATGATGTTACGGCGAGGGAGAGGCAGAGGGATCATAAGCAGTTTTATATTGGTGAGTGTCTTACATATGGCTAGTGACAGTGATGCTGATACGATTATAGGCAAGAGTGGCGATTCGTATTGTCCTATGGGTCCATTGGCTCTGCCCAAGAGTGCTTTGCCTCGAACACTACAGGTGACGACACATGTCAACGGCGAATTGAGACAGAAGGGCACAACGGACGACCTCATCTTCTCCATACCCAAGCTCATAGCCACTCTGTCAGAGTCGCAGACTTTACGACCGGGCGATGTAATTGCGACTGGGACTCCAGCGGGTGTCGGGTTTGGTCTCAATCCACCGCAATTTCTGAAGCCTGGAGATGTTGTCGAAGTGAGCATCACCGGCCTAGGAACGCTGCGAAACAAAGTTGCGAAAGCTGAGCCGCAAAACCATGTCACGAAGCGTGTTGAGCAGGAGACGAGCATTCCGACTTTGAACTTGGAGAGATCGAATGGTGGCGTTGGATTAACTACATTGCCTTCTGGAAAGCAACTCTACGCAAAGATGAGCGGGAAAGGACCTTCGACGATCGTATTCCTCCATGGATTAGGAGGCACACATTTGTTCTACAGCCCGCTTGTCAATATTCTCGGCCTGGACCAAGAAGACCAACCACAGTACACAAGCCTTCTCTTCGACATCGAGGGCCATGGACTTTCGCCGACGAAAGCGACCTCAAAAGTGACGATCGAAAGCTACGCCCAAGATGTCAAGGACCTGATTGATGTCCTACAACTACCCACCCGAAATGGAATCACCCTGATCGCACACTCAATGGGCTACCTCGTAGCCTCACTCTTCGCCTCCCGACACCCAGACCTAGTCTCCCGCCTCGTCCTGCTCGGACCCGCCCCCTGCCCCCTCCCCGCCGCAGGCGCAGACGGAAGCCTCCAACGCGCCGCCGCCGTCCGCAAAGGCGGCATGTCGAGCGTCGCCCAAACCGTCGCCGCGAACGCCACGAGCCAGAAGACCAAAACCTCCAACCCGATAGGCTACGCCGCAGTGCAAGGAAGTCTCCTCAGCCAGGACCCGGAGGGATACGCGAAAGGTTGCACGGCTCTTGCGGGCGCGAGGGATTTGCGTATTGATTTTGGGAAGTTGGGAGAGAAGGTGGAGGCTTGTATTGTCACGGGCGATGAGGACAAGATTTCGACGCCGGGGCATGTGAAGAGTTTGGCGGAGACGATGGGGAAGGGGGCGAGGGCGGAGGTTTTGGAGGGGGTGGGGCATTGGCATTTGTTTGAGGACGCGGAGGGGGTGACGAGAATTGCGAGAGAGTTTCTTGGGCTGTAAAATGGCTTTGTGGAGACATGGTGAGATGTTGTGACGTTGCTGAGGAAATGGCGGTGGTTCTGATCATTCACTCCGCAGAAACGCTATCATTGCTAGCGCAAACCTTACTCAGGCCCCCTTGTCTGCCAAGACAGCGATACACACCAGACATACATATAGGCTATAGAGATGTATCTTGAAAACCTTCGAGTGGTGGTTGCCGGATCGCGCCAGGTTGTATTTCTAGAAAAGCTCAGCGCACACACATGCCAGTCAAGCGGAGGCTATCCGCATGGACACACCATGTATGAAGTATTATGCAAGACTTAAAGGCATGACGCTGATAACATGTGAGTTTTCACTTTTGCCAGAACGATGATGCACCAAATCTGCAGTTCAGAGGTCGATGCGACTGCCGCTCACTCGTGTCTCACTTTCACTTGCGCCTGCCGTTGAACTGGCATGTTTGACTCTGCGCTGGATGCCGCTCTGGGACGAGTAAAAGCTGACGACCAAGCATAGGAGCGGAAGGGATCTACGCCGTTATCTCAATGCCTGCCCACACTTCCCATACAGACAGACAGCAGACAAGAACCATCTCGTGCAGCAGATGTATCGACTTCATAGAGGGCTACCATGCTACGACAAGTGGGGGAGAGAGGAGATGATACGCTTCATTGCCGCCAGGTACATATTGATCATGACGCTAGCAACACGTTTTGCCGCTGACATTGGAAATAGGAAGATTCCATATCGCGAATACATTCCACGCCGCATGACAAGGAGCGACCTTGCTCGCGTCCTAGAGCGAGCGGACGAGTACAGGTCAGACAAAACTTGTCTGTGTTGAGAATGTACCTTTTGACACATGCTAGAACCTTCACCAAGTTCCTCGAGCTTCCCACTGAGCTTCGCGTTCATATCTACCTGCTGCACTTCGCCGATCTTCCTCCGGTTCCTATTTCCACGGAGTCGCCGCCCATCACGCAAGTCAGCAGCCTGCTCCGCAAGGAGGCACTCCCTCTCTGGTACGAGCCGAAGAAGCTCATCGTCAAGTTTGTCCAATACTCGAACGGGAGGTTCAGGTGTAGCGGAGCCAGTGTCTTGCTGCATGCCCCCAAGAGCGTGCTGCCACACGTCAGAGTCTTCCAAGTCTGCGGCTCGGTTCAATCTCTCGAGCTGTGCTGGGAGGTTCGATTGGCGAAAGAGGAAAAGAAAGAAAAGCAATTGTTCCGCAAGGAGAAGGAGAAGGAAACGCCGCCCTATGAAGTTATACAACGGCATGGTCAGACAGGCTATGCCAAGCTTCTACGCGTCGCGAACACGATGGAATTACGTCTGAGAGGAATCATCGATGAGCGCTTGAGAGTTGGGGGATGCTTTCAGCCGCAGAATCTGGATCAGGAGACATTTCGAATGGTCTTTGTTCGAGCTCTCGCTCAGTACAACGAATAGACGGCGGTTGATCGGGTACTGGAGACAATAGTCATTCTCTGGCGGCCAGGGGCGGACACACGTTGTCGTTTTAGCTCAGCGCACCGACCTCCTCATCATCAATTGAGGCACAATTATGATCACCCCCAACATCCACGATTTGTGCTCCACTTGTGCCCTTCCCTGTAAGATCCTACCTCCTCCAGAACTCCTGACCCCTGACCCGCCTTTCCAGAATGCTGTCCAGAATGAATTCCACTGCCGCAGTCACATTCGCGTCCAAAAGTCTCTGAATGAGGCGGAAGTTGTAAAAGGCAATATACTTGCTGAGCTGTATCCCAGGATCCGCCAGATTCTCCAACGCAGTAACAAAGCCACGGACATTCGTACATAGCACATTGGCCTCCACCAACAGTTGTTGCAGCGCAACACCACGCGTATGGGTTTCGCGCAGCGTATCCTTCCAGCTGTTTGCAATGTCCGTCTCCTTCAAGTCAATGCCTCAACTTTTGTAAAGATTGCAAGGAGGGTGAAGAAGTCCGAGAAGGAGATTTCGCGCTCCCAGATGAGGAGTGTCGTCAAGTTGTAGCCGTATCGCAGAGTGGCTGCACGAAGAGCTGGCCGAGCGAGCTTGGCCTCGAGACTAGATTGATTCAACCACATCAATGTCAGGCTCCTCATGTTTGGGATTTGTGTCAGCAGTCTGGGTACGGAGACTTGCTCGTGCTCGACCAGTTCATCCAGGAAGTCGTTAAACGGTTGAGGTGCATGCCGTGTCATACCATGGGTGGGTATTTCGCCTCCTCTACATGACGCGTGATGCCGGCTCTCGAGTGCTGGCGGAGAGCCAGCAGGCTGACTTAAAGATGTAGGAAATCGCTGTCTACGCTGGTTGATTGCGAGATTTGGAGGGTATTCTTCTGCTTTGCTTTTTGGGCGGCGTTCTAAAAGCAGATATCTTTTCGAAGCAAAAGAGCTCCATCGCCCATCGGCAAACACAGCGAAAAAGTCTAATGTTATCCGATCCATCTTGAAACGCCCAAATATCTCAGAGTCCACACTTTTGCAAAAGAACTACATCAAAAAGTACCTAGTACCGAAGTTTCGATGCAACACACACTCTCTCTCATACAGATATCGCGATATATCGATCGCGACAAACGAAAACAAAAACACCAAAAGAACTACAACCCCGTGCCAAAGGGGTCGTAGAAAGAAAACCACTTTCATGATTTTGCTTTTCGATTTTTCGATCCGCACTATAGTCAGCTTTAATAATACCTTTTTCGTAGACAAGACAAGGAAAATCATCCCTAACGGGGATCGAACACGCACACTTGATGTCATTGCGGTTTTTTGCCTATGGGTCAGTGATTCTAACCCGCTCGACCAAGGTGGTGTTCGATGCTTAGGTAAGTTTCAAGAAACCTATAGACCTTTGGGGGGTTGGGGGCCGGGGTTTTGCCGCGCTAGTGTGGGAGGCTAGGCTTGGGTGGGAAGGTACGGTGCTTGGCGGTGATGGGTTCTTCAAGCCAGTTGCTTGCGTCAGCAGTGATTTTGTTACTAGAATACGCGTCGAGGAGGCCTTTGTTTGTTTGTTTGGTAGTCTGGAGGCATGCGCGGTCACAGATTAGGGGCTTGTTGGGCTCGAGTGGAGCTATGAGACGCCGAGATCGCAAGCTGAACTTGATACCTTAGGCAGCTATGGAGGTTCCATGTCTATTTTATTGAACCTGATTAGGTTCTTCGAAAGCCTCCATGTCGTGAAGTCGATCCAGCTTTGTGCATGAATCTCTTTGTGATATGCCTCACACGCATCAGCCTAAACAGATGCGTCATCATTCTTTGAGCCTCAGTCTCAAATCTCGATCCCGTTCTTGCACTTGCTGAGCATGTCCTCGAATGCCTCATTGCCAACCAAATTCCGCACAACCTTCTCGCACGCGTACTTGACGGCCAGTTCACCACTGGCCTCCACCGACCTTGGAGTGATCCTGTAGCTTTCAAAAGTCCGAAACAACTTCTGGAACTCGCGGCAGGTCTCTTCATCTATGTCCTTAGACAATAGCCGCACCATCGGGCCCAGGCTTTTACTGATGTGCAGGCACTTCAGTGATTTGCCGTGCACGAGGATGCTGCAGATGACCGACGCCCAGTCATTGATGATGGTGTACTTGCCGTCGATGTGCAATGTCGTAGTGGCGTCGAAGATGGACAGAACATGACGGATGTCGTCTGCGGTGATCTCGCAGTCTTCGAACACCAAAGTTTCCAGCTTGGTCCCCGCTGGCGTGATGGCCGCAGCCAGCGACAACCATGGGAGTTTCGAGGACAAGTTGGCTCGGTTCAGCTTCTTGAACTCGAGTCTGCCCAGGTTCGGGAATAGCGCGAGCAGTTGTGACAAATCCACCTCTTCGCAATCTGTATCGTAGGTTGCCTGAAACCCGGCTTGCCATTCATTGAAGGCCTCCTCCGAAACTTCGAGAGCGGTCCTGTGTGGTTGACCGGTGCTGCGCGTCTCCTTCTCGGTACGGAAGTGCTTCACGTCGTCTTCAAGTGCGTTGAGATAAGATACCACTGATGAAAGGTGCTGTCAGCAAGCCCACTCGAGCCACGAGTCGTTCGAAGATCGCGGACAACTCACAAGTATGATATCCAGGAAAGTGGAGCTCCACATGCTTGACAGTCTGGCGCAAAGTTGGATTTGCAAAGATATCGGTCGCCGCATCTACTTTGGACTTTGTGGCAGATAGACAGATTTTGGCAAACCGCTGCTCTGCGTAAAACTTGGTGGCGACCGGGTGGACATTGCGACAGACGAGGCGAAGGCTCCGCAGACTATCCAGTCCCCAATCCTCAATGAACTCGACGATATTCTCGATGAGCTCATTCGGAAAGGTTTGCAAATGAGACTGCCGAGAGCTTGAGGTCGCGCCTGCGGTCATGATGGTGGTGGTGATGTTGTTGTTTGGAGGTTGGAGTTGTTTGTCGCGTTTGACTTGGGGAGAAGAGGAAGTCGGAACAACTTATTAGTGAAGCGCCGGCGCTAGTTCGGGAGTGAGACGGCATGTGAAGTCGCCCATTCACTTGAAAGGATTGTTCAGACTGGAGCCTAGTTTGGCGACTTCACTTTGTCTCAGTCGCTGCCTCCGCCTTCACCGTACCTATCGCCTCCCCCAACTACCCCTCCCACCCCAGCCCCACCCTCAGCACACCCTCCACCGCCACCCCAACCGCCAACCCCTCACTCGCCAGCACCAAATTCTCCAGCACCAACAAACTCTCCATCGTCCTCAACCTCGTCTGCAGCTCCCGCTCCCGGAATTCCATCACCCCGGGCGGCAGGAAACTCCAGCCGCGAGGTCGATCGATGGTGGGTGAGAGGTCGATGTGTTTGAGCGGTTTCGCGTGTAAGGAGGATCTGGAGCAGGGCCGAGGCCCAGCTGGAGGTGATGTCGCCGGCGTGGAGGGAGAGACGGCGGAGGTGTGGGAGGGTGGAGAGGAGGAGGAGGCGGAGGTGGCCCGAGGAGAGCTTTGAGCCATCCACGGCATGGCAGTGAGAGATTCTTTCTCCAGAGCTGAAGACGCCTCTAACTTCTAAGGCCCGTAGGTGTTTGCTCGAATATGCTAGCGCCTACCCGACAAAGATAGGAAGCTGCGATGGGTTTTGTTTTCGTCCAGGTGGAGGAGCCGATAGTTGGCGTAAAGAAGATTGACAACATCAAAACCTTGAAAGAAAACATACGTCAGATGTCGCGCGCTATCACAAAGATTGAGATACTCATTAGCTCATTCAATCCGGACCGTCGACGGGTATGTACGAATTCTCCTAGCGAACAGAGCCCAGGCAACCCTTCGTCGTGGAAGTTAGAACATTGCTTTCGAAGCAACACTCAACAACCAAGCCGCATCTTTCCAACCAGCACCTTCTCCTTGGCCCTCCTGCCCGTCACCTAGCGGTGCAGGTGGAGGCTGAGAGACAAGCTTCTCCTTCTCCTCTCGCCTCCTCTTCAACTCAGCAGCCATTCTCTCCTTCGCCTCCTCCAATGTCTCGTCATCGCGTACATGTACCGATTCATCGTCCGTAGTTTCAGCACCATCATCGGCCTTGAACAGGTTGAAGTTCATCAGGCGGTCCACGACATTGCCCATGCCAAAGGATTTGGAAGTGGTCAGGCGCTCTACTTCCAGCTGGGCCTCGAGCTCTTCATTGCGGTCTTTGGGATCGAGGAAGCCTGGTTCTTCCTCCGGGAGATCGGGTTCGTGGTTGTCAAAGTAGCCCGCGACATCCGCGCGTCTCGGTGTTCGTGTCCCTTCTGGACTGGCGAGGCGAGATGTGCGTCTGCTTACCGATCGGCTGCCATATTTACTACCCCAACCACTCCTACTGACTCGGGTGCTGACCGGGCTGCCGCCATCGAAAGACGCCAGCTGTAGCTTTGCAGTGCTTGCGTTCAAGGCTGCCATTTCTTCGTAGTGGTCGTCGTCTTCGTCGTCTTCCGATTCAGGTACAGCCAAAGATGTCGAGGACTCGCGCGACGCCAGCCATGACTGCCCTTTACCCTCTTGGACCAGGGCGGAGGTGATGGCTCCGGTATGGGTAAGCCAGCTATCGTCAACCACAGCAGACTCTCGCTTGGGAGTTTGCACTCCGCTCTTCGGTCGGCCAGTATATCTATGCCTCTTCGAAAGCGGCACACCTTGTCCAGCAAGTCTTTCCCTATCCCGCCTCTGTTGTCCCTGCGCCAGAAGAAGCGCCGCATCACTCTTCGCCTTCGGAATCTGTCCACTGCCCACGTCCGCTCGCTCCCCTCCAAAGTGCCGCACAGGCGCAGCATAAGAATAGCTCACTTCATCATCCGCATCATCCTCATCATAAATCGAGCTCTTCCGACTCAGACCCGCACCAAGATTCTTGCGACTCGAGCTCCGGCTCAAAATCCCCGGTGTCGACGGCGCGGACTTGCCGTGGATGTAGGAGGAATGCTGCCGCGTGAAGTAGGCATCAGGCGTTTCATCGTAAGGACTCTTCGGGGTCTTGCGGTCCTGCGGTGGTTCCACGAATCTGGTGGAGAGCGGTGCCAGGCGCAGGTCGCTTAGGTTGGTGGTACTTCGCTTGGAGCGCGAGCGGGAGCGTGGTGTGCTTGTGCCAGACTGTGGAACTGGTCAGTATTGCAAATACAGGTGATCAGGCTGGAGACGGACCATTTTGGTGTTGTCGTCTGAGAAATGGACGTGTAAGGCGAGGAGTGAGGTTGGGAAGGCCATGGGTTTAAACTCCCCACAGCCGAGGCGGTCAATGCGCGATGATGCAGGGTTCGAATCGTGGGGGCGGCGGTGGATCGGTTGATTTTGGGACACGTTCCTGGCATGTGACAACACGGGGTTCTTCTTTCACTGTCAGATATCTGCGAGGACGAAGAGGACAGTTGTATAAATGCTCATCATCAGCACCAAAAATTGGCATTTATCGAGCGATTGACTCCGCACTGCACAGCTCGTGGAGAGGTAGCAAACAAGACATCCCTATTTCACCCGGCAGGGATGAGCACATCTCAAGTCATGTCACGATATCCACCTACCAGTACGGTGGACGTAGTGATTTTGGCCAGTATATGAGTGTTACCATATCGTTCGGCCCAAAGCTCATCAAGGGCGAAAACTATCCCGCTGTACAATCCCACGGCAAGCAGATGTCTTTCGAGGTCCCACGATCTTCTATGATCGCTTAGTGTCATAAGTATTTACAGAGATATGATGTATCTGCGAGAGTCTCTGGCTCTGGCCATTTTGCCTGGAACACCTTCGCCAGTGGCGGTCCTACTCGTCTCCATCGTCTCAGCCGCGGCTTCGTTCAGCCATCACGCCCAACTCTTCTCGCTGCCGTATACGCAGTAATATACAACTTCTTCCACCCTATAATACACCTCCTCTCCCACACAATAAACCCATCATCTCCCCCACCCTCACTTCTCCTCCCCCTTCTCCTCCCTCGTCCCCCGCCAATACGCCCACCCGCCCGCAACAGCATTCACCGCACAAAGCCCCAACGTCGCACCCCTCACAATCCCCCTCGTGCCAAACTTCCTCATAATCGGCGTCCTCCTCCTCTGCGCCAGGATGAAGTACGCCATCGACCACGCGCTCGTCAGGCCCGCGCTGTCTTTCTGGAAACCTTGCACGTTGAGGTAGCTGCTGAAGAGGAGGATCGGCGGGAAGAGCATGGGGAGGGCTTGGAAGGGGCGCATGTGTTGGGCGGTTATGAGGGTTGCGAGGAGAGTTGCTGGGAGGGGGTTTTCTATTCCAAAAACATATTAGCTCAGCCTTGTTTGAGGATGTAGAAGGGTGTAGACTGAAGATGTGACCGTACCTCCCCATGCTTTGGCATATTGGAACACGCCTTGCTTTGCTTCTTCTGCATCGGGGGCTTTCGATGGCATTGGCATGTTGTCGGTTGTAAAAAGTCTCGAGCCCAATAAGAGATCGATTGAGATTATCAGACTGGATTGCAGCTGTGCGAATGAGTATTCCGTCGGCTGTTGTACGATCCCAAACGGGAAGCTAGACGCTTTGTCACGAGACAAAAGTGTCGCGCCGAAGTGAATGTTGGAGCTTCGCACAGACGTCATGAGGGCCACGGGCCACGCGATTGGCCGCAGCGGACCAGGGTCTGGGGCCTTCTCGACTGCAGCACCTGAACGGGAGATCTGGCAACTGCAGAGCACCGCCCAACTCTGTTAATTTACTACGAACCACTGCATCTGCGTATACAAATCCACCACCCTCTCACGACCACCCGCCCATGCCCGCACCTCCCGAGACCTGCATGCGATAAGCCACACCACCACCACCACCACCATGTCCGAGAAATCCCAGCCGAACGGCCACCACAAGCACGACGACGGCTCCGCCTCGCGCGCCTTCACCGTCGAGCAAAAAGCCGCCGTGATTCGCGTGCGCAAATGCAAGACGACCGACTTCTACGACATTCTGGGACTCGAGGAGAAGCGGTCGACGTGCAGCGACTCGGAGATCAAGAAGGCGTACCGGAAACTGAGTCTTTTGACGCATCCCGATAAGAATGGATATCCTGGTGCGGACGAGGCGTTTAAGAGTGGGTTGACCACATGAACAGGATGGGGTGGGTGATTGGGAGTCGAAAGGCTAATGTGTGTGATGTAGTGGTATCAAGAGCCTTTCAGATCCTCAGCGACACCGACAAGAAATCCAAATACGACAAATTCGGCGGCGACCCGGATAGTCGCTTTTCCTCCGCCTCGGCGACCTCCGGCGCCTCGCCCTTTTCAGGATTCGCATCGCAACGGAGAGGGCCGCAAGGACCCATGTTCGAGGAGGAGATAAGTCCGGAAGAGCTATTCCGACAATTCTTCGGCGGAGGCGGAGGACCGTTCGGCGGGATGGGAGGAGGACCTTTCGGTGGGGGATTTGGTGGACCGGGATTTGTTTTCAACATGGGCGGAGGACCTGGGATCAGAGTACAACAATTCGGGGGCGACCGACCGCGGAGGAGACCGCATAATCACGAGAACCAACAGCCCGCCTCGATGTTCCAAGCGATACAGGGACTTTTACCGCTCCTCCTCCTCTTCGTCTTACCTTTACTCTCCTCCCTCTTCGGCGGCTCCACACCCACCGGCCCGTCAATACGCTTCGACGCCCCGAAACCCCCGCACACACAAATGCACACGAGCAGCGGGATGCGCGTGCCGTATTGGGTGAACCCGACGGAAGTCAAAGACTACACATCGAAACAATGGCGGTCGTTGGATCAGGTCGCGGAGAGAAAGTACGTCAATCAGTTGCAGGTCGAGTGCGAGTCGGAACAAGTGCAAAGACAGCGGTTAGCGCAGGAGGCGCAGGGGTTCTTTTTCACGGATCAGAGTAAATTGGATCGCGCAAGGAGGATGGAGATGCCGAGTTGTCGGAAGTTGGAGGGGCATGGGTATCGCTTGTATGGATAGGGTGATGGGGGTTGTATATGTTGTTTGATTGAATGAAGAAGCATTTTCTGCCAGGCGGCATCTCGTTCATTTCAAGAAAGAGACGGGACTCAAGAGCTTCTATCTCACGACAACCTCCCAACCCACCCCCTGACATCCTCCACCTCGCCAACCCCCCAAGCAACCTCACTCGCCCTCCTCGCCCCCTCCACCCCCAACACCGGCCCCACCTGATCCACAAACTTCCCCCTCAACTGCTCATCGCTCATAGGAACCTCCAAACTCCCCACCGCATGTCTCACATGATTCTCCAACCTTCTCCCATCCTTGAGCACCACAACCTCATACGATTCGTCCGCCCCGAGACTCTCGTCCGCCGTCGCGGAGATTCTATTCCGGAGGGATATGACAGAGGGATCCTGCACGACCGCGTCGGCGTACTCCGCCGGTCCGGCTTTCCCGTAAAGGAGCGCGACGGCGACGCCGTGGAAGACGGAGAATTTCGCCTCGAGGCCGTCGCGGGGGGTTTTCTTGCCCGTGAGTTCCAGCACAAGCGGATGAACCCTCAACTCGACTTTCTCGACATCCTCGACTTTCAAGGCCTTTTGCGCGAGTTCGAAGTGGAGTTGAATCCCCCCATCCATTCCCGGATGACACACGATCCCACAGGGAAACGGCTTGAACGCATTCCGCTCCGTCTCCCACACGACTCCTAACTGCCCCACAAACTCCTCCAGCCGCGGCGTGCTCCCGCAAACCAGCACATTGCCCCACCCCCGCCGCGCCTCCAGCGCCGCCGTCGAAGACGTAAACCCCCGCTGCGCGAGCACAGCCGCGAGCAACCCATTCTGCGCCGCGCGGCCCGGATGGAAACTCTTCGTATCGGAGCCGAACATCTCGCGCAAACCCGTCGCCTGCGTGGCCGCGAGGCCGATGGCGTGCGCGGTGGCTTGGACGGAGAGGTTCATGAGTTTTGCGACCGCGACGGCGGCGCCGACGGAGCCGGTCGTCGAGGTTATGTGCCAGCCGACGTCGTAGTGCGTGGGCCAGAGGGCCAGGCCGAGTTTGCAGGCTGCTTCGATGCCGGCGGTGAGGGCGGTGAGGAGGTCGAGGCCGGAGATGGGGGTGGGGTGGAGTTCGGCGTAGGCTAGGAGGGCGCTTGCGACGGGGCCCGTGGGGTGGATTATCGTCGCGAGGTGCGTGTCGTCGTAGTCGTGGACGTGGCTTGCGATGCCGTTGAGGAGGGCGGCGTGTTGGGCGTCGGTTTTGGTGGGCTGGGGGTCGGGTTTGCTGGTGGGTTGCGAGTGGCCTAGGAGGGTGGAGGTTGGGGGGCCGAAGAAGAGGGAGAGGGCCGAGAGGGCTTTTGTTACGGTTGGGTGATTGGAGCCGCCGATGGCGCAGCCGATGTAGTTGTAGAGGGAGCGTTGGGCGGCTTTGAGGACGGAGGGGGGGAGGCTGGTGGGTTCGAGGGCGACGGCCCAGCGGGCGAGGGTGAGGGTTGCCATTTGAGGACTTGGTTTCGTTGGAGTTGGTCGCTTTCCTTGTGGTTTTCTCAAGGCCTCAGTGTCTTGCAGGACTGCTTCCAATGCTCAATTTCAAGCCAGCCTTCTTCCCAAATATCTTGTAGATCTCGTCCTTTCACTATCGTCCCCTCCTTGTAAAAAGTAGATACCCAAACAAAAGAGTCAAGAATCCAACCCAAAAACTTCTCTCTCCCTCAAAAATCCACCGCTTACCTTCCTTTTAATTCAAATACCAACGACATCCGAAGTCGGCAACCACCACAGTGAAGACGTGACGTTGAAACGATCGGCACATCCGCAGTCTCCATCGGGTTTCCCGCCCTGACAAGCAAGCTCCATACCTTCAGCTAGAGCTGTCGTCGGCCAAAGACCGAGGAATTTGAAGACTGCTCGTGTGAAAGATTATCCGGCAGTTCGTACACGACAATTCCACAAATGTGAGCTTCGTTCCCTGAGATGGAGAGGACGATATGACTGAGGTTGTGATCAAGTCTGAAGCTCATTAACCTTGAGATTATGGGCGACAGTGTGAGGGGGTTGATTCTGCGGGAGTTAACAAGCTGCAAGTCGGCACAACTCTCGCCGGCGGGAGGCTTCATTGCTCGGTGCTAAGAGGAGATATAAGTATTCGCAATGAGAACATACGATTGGAATGACCTTGCTGACGAGATCGCGAAAAAAGCAAAAAGCATTGGCCATGGTAAGAAGATGAAAGTACGAGGAAGTCGCCTCGACGCACCTGGTAGGTGATTGTGGATTGTCGGTCCTTCTGAGTGTTTGGACTCATGAGAATCGTAAATCGTGACAATGGACATCCTCCTCAACATCCGCGTCGCCATCCTAAGATTCCTGTTCAATTACAACGAAGGCCTGGAGCGGAAGCAAGAGCCCCAACCACCAGCACCCACCTTCATCGAGACGATTCCTTCGTCTTCACCACAAGGTTCCGTGGCGCTGCACTTCTACACTCCTCCAGGGTTCCAGAAACGACATGGACAAGTCTCCAAGACGAGATATCCTCTGGTGATCGACTTCCACGGCGGTGGCTTTACGGCAGGTCGTCCAAGTATAAACGCTCGTTGGATAGCATCTCTGCTTGCGAGTGATGCACAGCCGGTCGTTGTTGGTGTCGATTATGGTCTGGCTCCTGGAAATCCGTTCCCGGGTCCGATTCAAGATGCTGTCGTCGCGATCCTCTGGCTCGCGAATGAAGGCGCCGAGAAGTATAGCCTGGATCCGAAGCGCATCGTTCTGACGGGTTTCAGTGCTGGTGGGACGCTGTCCATAGTGGCTCCCATGTGGATACAAGACAACCCAGAGGGCTCATCTTCTGGAAGAAAGCTGCCGTACCCACTGCGAGGAATCGTCTCCGTCTATCCAGGTATAGACTTTCGCATGCCTCGAAAGCCACCTGCAGACATGCTCGGACGATTCCTGAGCGGCACATGGGACCAAGCGTTCTACCAGAGGTCACCACTCGACTCGCCTTTCGTATCTCCCGCTGCAGCCACTGACGAGCAGCTGAAAAATGCTCTGCCTCAGCGAGTCGGGTTGTATCCAGTGGAAAACGACGATTTGATGAAGCCGTGCGAAGACCTCCGCGAGCGTCTCAAAAGGCTCGGAAAGCAGGTGACTGGGGACATTGAGCCGGATGCTTTCCATGGGTGGGACAAGTATCCTGCCAAAGAGGGAGATGCTGCGAAGTGGGAGAAGAGAGAGGCGTGGTTCGCGCGGATGGCTCGAGATATAGAAGCCATGCTTCGGTAGTAGCGAAGAGCGTACAGATCTAGGCAAGCTGGGTTACGACGTCGTATGATTTTTGACCCGGCCTCACATGCAGCTTTTTCGTTTCAGCGGCCACGTAAAGCGAGTGGCATGTCTCGTACATAATGAATCCATCCACCAGAGGTTGTGTTGCGTGTGCTTCTATGCGAAAAGGCGATTTTCGACTGCTGACGCTGCTTTCCAAAAGGGGACCAGAAGTCTGGCACCCGCACCTTTCAGTAATACAGTCATCCACTCTCCCGGGATACCAGGTATGCTGCAAAAGGCAGTCATTCATGACCGGACTACACGTCGTCCTTGGTACGCTTGCTCAAGACAGACAGCGAGAGAACGATTCCCTCATTTATATCCTGCAAAAGAGCCTTGCGGAGGACACCCGTTAGTGCCCAAGGAATTCTTCCAGTCGCATCGCTTTTATTCCGTGAGCATGTCCCAAGTTCCAGGGCGTTGGTATGAGAGTCTTCGTAGCTTCCATATATTCAGGCTCAGTCTGTTGTAGTCAGTTCAAAAAGACAGACATCGGTAAGTTCGGCCCGGAGATAGGGCCGATGAAGGGCGTCTAACCAGATCCGGCATGCTTCTCGTTTTTTAGCGTGATATCCTCAGCCGCTCTTGTTGTTGGACCACTTTGCGAGGCTCCTGTGCCACCTTAGGTCTCAGGCCGCCCGTATGTCCGATATAGCTGGAGAGATGTCGTCTGTAGCTCTCCTTCACTCACCACACAAGTGCCGAGAGTCGAGAACGAACATACCAGGCACCGAGTTCGCCATCGGCTGTAACGGCCGTTCACAATGGTGTATCGCGGGAAGTTGAGTAAAGCGTGCGCAGAGTGCAGGGCCAAGAAGACGCGGGTATGGCTTCTGTAGTCCTCATGTCGCCAGAAATGGCATGCGCGATGTAGCTTGCTGACCGAATGCCTTTCCAGTGCGACGCCGCAAAGCCGACATGCAGCCAATGTAGGAGAGCCGGCCGCAAGTGTTCGGGATATCGAAATCTGGATGAGTTACGATTGGTTGACCAGTCTACTGAGGTGTCCTCGAAGGTGAGGAAGTCCAAGCGGAAGACGGCCCAGCCTCCTTTGGGCTATGAAGTCGAGTCCTCGCCGTCGTCGAGTTCCGCCACTTCGGAGGAGTTAGTTGAGGTCAACTCCGTCGTGAGCGCGTTCCCGACGGCATCGTTCTGGTTGGAGGGCAATGCCAAGAACATCTTCTTCCAGCAGTATACCTGCGGGCCTGATAAATCGGAGCTCGACTTCGCCAACTCGGTGTACAGGTCGCGGCAGACCACAGGGATGCTTGAGAGCATCATAACCGCCTTAGGTTTGGTTGCCTTGCCCAAGGAAAATAGGAACATGGCGATGATGAACCTGGCCTCTCGGAAGTATCTGTCTGCTCTGCAGCAAACACAGACTGCATTGCTAGAACCGAGGCGAGCGAAAAGCGATGAGACGCTGGCCACTGTGCTTTTGCTAGGTTTACATGAGCTCGTGGCTGTTGATGACCACCCATCAGATCGCAGTCGTTTATCAGTCCACCTCAACGGCGCCATCAAGTTGCTCGAGTTGCGCGGTGATCACCAACTCACGAGCTTTTGCAACAGCCGGATGTACGACCGAGCCTGTACACAAATAATGTACACGAGCATTATGTCTCGCCGACCGATGCCGTCTGCCATGCTGAAGGTATCCAGAGGCCTTCGACATCAGATGCACCAGGAGGAGATTTCCGGCGCCGACCTGCTGGAGATGTCGGCGCGTTTGTGTTTGGCGCTTAACGCGGTAGACCGAGCAGCGACTATCGAGGACCACGTCAGCATCTTTCACGCCCTGGTCGCGCTCGAGAATGAGATTGTCGCGTGGGAGAACAGTCTTTCGTGGCGGTTCGACGTCTCGAAGCAACCAATCGAGAACCCCGACAAGAGCTTCCTCAGATTCCAGGAGAGCTACCTCAACCGGCTGGCAGGCTCATCGCGGAATAGATATCGCTGTGTCCGAATAGTCATCAACGAAGAGATCGTTCGTCTCGCCGAGACACATCCACAGATCCTAGACCTGGCAGGCGCAGACGCACCCTTCACCGTCGAGCGTGCGAAGGCGACGATTCTCTCCATGTCTCAGGAAATCTGCCAGAGCGTGCCGTACTTCCTTGGACAAGACTCGTGTCGTGACTGGCGAGAGGAGTCGTTGGATCCGCCCACGATGTTTGGAGGCTCGGCCATGTTGATGCCTCTCTATTTCGCTGCCAACCCGAAACGTATATCCCCTGCCATGCATCAGTGGCTACTTCAGCAGGTGTCGCGCATTGGTAGGGAGACTGGCCTTTCGAAAGTTGGTGAGATGTTTGCGGATCGGGGTGTTGTTGAGTTGACGTGAAGGAGAAGATGAGGTTGAAATGGAATGTGCATGTCGATGTGTGGCGCCTTCCGTAGGAGTTGCGAAGACTGTGGTGCCTGCCTTGAGCAGATGAAGCGTGTGGCAAGCGCAAATGCCATCCTGCATGGAACCGAGAAGACAACGAGCCCGGCTGGTCCATTGATCGGTTCATGCGAGGGGCTGCTAAGGGGCATGAAGATCATGTACGAGAGAAAAGAACTTGATGGACGAGCCTGCGAAAGATATCGATCATAATGGCCGTGAACAGAAGCAAGCAGTAGTTACACGAAGGTCATCCCTGTATAGAGGGTATCAGTCAGTCAGCAACGGACAGCGCACAAAGTATTAAACATCTTCCACACCCCAAGCACACTTCCTCCAAACTGATGGCTCGATAGCAGTAGTCAGAGACCGATGCGTTCCCGTTCAGTCTTGTTGAATCACGGCTCCGCCCGTTTCAAAAATCATTCCAGGTCGTAGCATTTCGCTGGTATATCCTTTCCAATGGCTCCGTGAACTCCGAACCTGCTAATCCCGCATAGCACGCTGTACAAACAATGAGAGGCGATGTAGTGGTTTGATCGCAGACTATAATGCCAGGATGCCGATAACACCTGCGAGTATCGCGGCGCCGCCCATAATCACTCCTGCGAGCGAGTGGCCGTATTGTGTCGACGCGCCGCTGACGTGTGCCAGACAAGCACCGCCATTCTTTGTGTGATCGGCGCCAGCAGTGACTTGCACACCGTATTGGTAGTAGGCGTTTCCAGTCAGGTTGTAGTTGACGGTGGTGGTGATGTTCGAGCCGTATCCACCTGCGACGATGGTGGCCATACACGAAGCGGATTTCTCAGAGGTATTCAGTTTACATGTCTCGGTGACGGTAGCGCTGGTCTCGGAGTAAATGGCAGGGGTGGTGACGATGAAAAAGTCGGAGCCTTCGGTGATGGTTGCAGTCTGGTGTTGAGGTTAGTAACTGTTTGCATGTGGCAATATTCTAGTTTGAGACGGACCTGAGGGCTGCATGCATTATTCATGGGAGCTGACGTGCATGACAGAACATAGGTGGTGGAGCCGCTGCATGCGTTCTGTACTGAAGCTGCCCATCCGGCATTGGGATCCATGTTGTCGATGAAAAGCTGCACGGTGTTGCCGGAGATGGCGCTCCCAGTCGTTTGGGCGTACGCATATCCAAGCGAGGCAAGGACTGTAAGGAATCGTGGGAAGACCATTGTCGCGGCGTTGTTCCAATTGAATCGGCGAGTTCGAAGGGTAGATCGTGTCGAAGCGAAGCGGATTACGACGTCGTGGTTGAGAGTAAGGACTGACTCGAGCGAGCGACTGGAAAGTGACGTGCGGTGGTGACAGCAATTCGGAACGCGCTGGCCCACCTGGCGCGCGAAAGGGCAGCGGGAGAGTTTATGAGAGATGGGCTGCTTCTCCCCCAGCGATGGAGCTTCCTGGCCTTTCGCACCGGCACCAACGGGCGCTGGGCGTGAAGAAGACTAGAGTTTCCATGGCCCAACGGCGGAGCTCGAAATGGGCAGGAGCGAAGGGGGCATGGATGTGCTCAATTTGCAGAGATTCGAGGCCGGTGCGGGAGGCCGAAGGAATTCTAGGTGTGGATGAGGGTGTGGTACCTGCGTCGCTAGCGACCCTTTAGACCAACGTCTGCCTTGCTGGGTTGAGCAGAGTCTTCGGCGAGAGGGCCAGTATGCCTTGGCAGCAGCAACAATGGCAGTGGTGTTGGCATGGCTGTACCCATCCGCGGATGCTGCTCTGCCAGCCGGGCGAGACTGCACGGCATCATCACTCGACGTTGGCGCGGTGTTGAACCAGCTGCACCGATTTTGGTCGCCAAAGTGTCGCCAAAGTGAGGTCGCGCCAGTGGGGCAACCCTTGCCGTCGCGTGGCGTCGATCGTCGCGGCCGCAACGAGCCGAGCGGGCGCAGGGGCCAGGGAGACAGCCCAGCTTGGGACGAAGGCGTAAAATTAGATTCCTTCTTTGCACCCTCCTGGGCTTCCTCCACCTCGCTTCGCTCACACTAGGAGTTGTCACCAGCAGACAACACGCCGATTGGACAGCACGCCGCGAATTCTGTCCGTCTTTGCCTGTAAAGGGACGTGAACTTGGCAGGTCTCCAGGCGCTATGTCGGCGACAGGACAGCGCTATACCATCTTGGCTTTCGACGGTCTTGTTGATGAGATGGTTTTCTGAAGAAGGGCACTTCTCGCTTCATGGCAACCACAAGGCTGCAAACAGCTGCATCTCACACCCGACAACATTCCAGACCTCTGCATTACCACATTCCACCGGCAACATGTCTCAAACGCGCAGTCCTTTATCAGGGGGCCACGCAACCACCAGCCAACGGAGATGGCAACAATCGCACGAGACGCAAAACGGCGAGGAGTTGCCCACTCGACCACCTCATCTCGAACCGCTTCTTGCCAGTCTTGGCCATGGTCCTTTCCAGCAGCCAAGCATTTATGTTTCAGAGCTTCGCCATGTCGAGAACCTTAAACGTGGCGTCGATCTGCAGATCGCTGTATACGCTGCTGACAATCTAACGGTTTGGCACTTTGCGGAACCTCTTTCGGTCGAGGGCGTTCTGGTCCAAGACTCGTCAAACCGCCTGTCTGCGCTGCACAGGCGAGCAGATTCCTCATCAGTGATATTCGAGTAGATTCCAACAATGGTCTGTCACTAACAACGACTGCGTGGACGACGGCGAAAGGACAGCAGCCTCACCGTTGGATCTGGCAACAAACCTGAAAAGCCGCAAAACCCTGGGGGCTTTGACCGCTTGGTTGCGCAAGTTGTATGGCAGCAAATCAGCCGCATCTCGTCGAGGCTCGCTCCGTCGCGGCTACACCATTCGAATGCCCCTATTCCATGGTTACCACTGTACTGCGACGATGGGGCCGAGTGTTTGTATTGCAAGCACGAGCTTCTGACGGCAAGAATATCAAGCCACGGTGGAGGACCCTTGATCGAAGTTGCAAGAAGGCCATTCCTATGCATTCGTACAGACTGATCGATGCCTCGTTAATAATGTGAAGCGACCACAGACTCGGCACAGCTCTAGATTCGACTGCGAGATGCTTAGCGACAACAAAACAAGAATTATTACACGCTATGGAATCTCGACGCCTGCATCACCACTTCGTATCATTGGACAGGCACCCCAGGGCATCGTTCTGGTCTTCTGGATCAATCACGCCAACTCTTTCTCAAGGATCTCGTTCAGCTCAGACCAAACCCTCTCGGCAGTCGCCTCGCCTTCTTTACTTGTGACCCAAGATGCAGGCCTATCACGAGAGTGAGCATAGTAACAAGAGACAGAACGTTCGGACTTTGACTTACTTCTCAATCTTCATCTTGTTGATGTACTGGCCATGCCTGTCTTCGACCTTGGGGACAAGAGCAATTGCATCGACCAGCATTCGTCCGCCCTCATCCTGTGATCTCTGGAGCAGACGCTGCGCCACGGCCACAGCAGCCCCCTCCCTCACATTTAGTCCAGAGGAGCACCATCCCGGATTGACGAAGTTCAAGCAGACTTTCGGCTGGGCAGACTTCGACAAATGCGCAGCCATTTTCCGGCCGTACAGAATGACGAGGAGCTTCGTATCATTGTATCGATTGTCGAAGTCCGTGACAGGCTTCTTGAGGCCTTCGAAGATGCTTTTGTCTTTCTTCGCCGGCAGCTTAGCAAATTTATGCAGGTCCGAGTCGACTATGCTAATTCGAGCGATGCTCTGAGTCGCTTTGGCGGTCTCTTGCATCTTTGGCAGAAGCAACATTGCCAGGAGGAAAGTCGAGATGACGTTGATGGTAACACATGCTCTGCGGAAAGTCAGCATCACTCTTTATCATAACCGTGGAACGACATACTCATGCCCCTCCGCCAAGTCAAAACTCTTGGGCCACATGCCGGCATTCAACAACACAGCGTCTAATCGGTCCAGGCTCTGAGCACGTTGTGCGAACGCCCTGACTGAGGCGAACTTGGACGTATCAACTTGCCATACCTCCATCACCCCTTTGCGCCCATACTCCTGCTCGATGGATGCCTGAGCTTCTTCGCCTTTGGAAATGGTTCGAACTGCCAGGATGACGCGGCTTGCATTCAATCTGACGAGATGCCTAACAGCGTCGCGACCGAGGCCTGCATTCGCACCGGTGACAATGACCGTCTGGCCCTCGAAAGATTCCGTGGGTAAGGGAGCACGATAAGTGGCTTGCGAGGAGAGCAATCCCAAGACTGCTCCAGGTGTAGGACCCGACATGATGCTGTGTCGCGAAGAAGAGTTCCAAGGTGGGTTTCTTGTTGTCCTAAGGATTTCGACCAGATTCTCAACGGATGGCTTGCTTGGGATAACGACGTTTTGCTTTGTTTGCTCTCGGACGCAAGGCTGTGGGAGTTCTTATACTCGCTCGACCCACCTCAATAGCAGGAATGCGCCACCGCTCGATACCCGCGGGAACCATTGTTATCGTCCCTAACAACGAGCTCTAACAAGACGGCGTCGAAACAACAGCTGAAGAATTCTGCTGCCTACGAGCACGCTTCTTCCGACGTTCTTTTTTCTTTAACTGCCCGGACATTGCATGGGTGTGGAGTTGGCCTGAAGCTGCAAAGCCGGAGATGCAGTGCTCGAGTTCCTCCGGTGTGGCTTGAAAGGCGCACACCTTGGCTCTGCAAACTCGCAGAAACAGCTGTATGTGCCTGTGTTCACTAATCCTTGGCGCATTGGGCTATGTGAGCGCTCCCCAACCCTACATCTGCTGGAGTTGAAGAATAGGTCGCTGCGGTCATCAGGCTGGCCACCTTGGCTGGCTGCAAATAGGAGTAGTTCGCACTCGCGGCTTTGGCGATAGAAATTCGCCCCCGAAAAGGCAACCAAAGGATTGCATTTCCATCGACTAGGGCCCTGACTGCTCGGCACGCGCGCGTCACAGTCGGTGGAATCCTTTGGGCAAGTCTGATGCCATGATGAAAGATCGCACCGTCGCAGCGAACAATACTGGATCTTGCCGTGGCCAGGCATGTCGCATGTCTGGATGGCTCACAGCATACGTCTCTGAATTTTGCTCACGACCAATCTCCGCAACCTTGACCGCTTGTTCGACGTTGTCGTTTGACGGCAGAATTCCTCGCTTCGTCGCCGCGATAACCAATGTCCTTGCCCGCCATGGCTGCGGCCATCCATCTGGCGACAGCGAGTCTACAAAAGTCTCGCGGATTCTTTGGAGGCTCCTGTCCTTGGGATCACCTCGTGGGATGTCGGTTCCGTCCAGAAGCCAGCTCACGAGGGACCGTGGCATTGCATCCTCGAAGCGCGAGTTCGCCCAGATTGCGTACGGGAGAACCGGCGTCAAGACCGTCTTGGGCAATTTGAGGAATCCAGATATCAGCATGGTGTCAACAACCTCGGGATACATCGAGCCCAGCTTGAGGGCAACACTGGCGCCGAGACTGTGGCCCACGACGTGCGCTTTTCCACCGATCGCCTTCTCACTTATGAGCTTGTTCAGGAAGCCAGCACATCGCTCCAAGGAGAATGGCGCCAGATGCCTGGACTTCGCGAAACCTGGCAGATCCGGTATCAGTAAGTTGAAGTCCTTGAGGTGCGGCTCAACCAGGTTCCAATCTGCTCGGCCACATCCATTCCCATGTATCAGCAAGATGGTTGCTGGCGAGTTTTCGTTGACAGAATCGTATGAGAGCAGCTCTTCAACAGAGTCTGTTACAGCAGCCATGGGTCTCGAAGGCTCCTTGGAGACTTTTCGTTGATGACAACACAGAGAGCTGGCGGGAGCTGAACAGCTGAAGGAATATCACCAAAATGACGTGGGACTGTACCCTGTTCCGCCACAGCGCGTGCCATACGGTTACGAGTCTGGTCCACGCTGCTCGATCTCCAATGTTTCGAATTCTTTAAAGCGGCCAAAATACCTTTGGCTCTTACGATACCTTCGCAGCAATAACTGGCCTTTCCAACCTCTGCAGTCAGATTCACTCAAAGGACTCCTTACCTTTGACGGCGGACTCCAGGCTGGATCGAAAATAAGTAGCCGACGTTTACCTGATCGCATCTTCTGAATTCCAACGATTGTTATTGAGTGTTGCGGGCGTTGCAAGAAGATTGGCATGCGATTCGTTCGATTGACTCGCTGAGAAGACGATGTTGAGTCTGAGAAGTACGCTTCGACGGAATCGAGAAGTTGCGTAGATGCATCTTTTCCAGAGAAGACTTGACCTCTGCATGGAATGTCAAGGCTCAAGAAGAGTGCTTCTGCCTAATACACCCGTCAGGAAATTGAAACAACAGATCGACAAAACTCACCTCAGAAGTTCCGACATGTTTCCTCGTCCCTTTAATCCCGCCAGTCAAGATCCTGCCATGGTCATTGATCCCAACATCCCAAGCGTCCTCAATCAACGCCTGCAACTTCAGCACGGTAGGTTTCGCCGAACCAAGTCTCGCATTCATCGAAGCCAACACAGACCACAGCATCTGCATGTTGCGATATCCACAAAAGTGGGCACCCTCGTTCGGCAGCTTCGAGAGTTGGACCGCATTATCTGTGCAGAGATATGCTTTTTCGACGTCGCTGTCATGCTCCAGGAGCTGTGCGAGATTTGGCACGACGCCGGCGACGCTGTTGGAGCTGTCTTCGTCTTGTAGGAGCTTGGCTATGTCACCGGGCATCTGCTCTTCGAGGGCATAGGGGCCGAGTTCTTTTTTCTGGCGAGACGTTAGTTGCAGCGTTCCGAACATTGGTGTGGAATTTCTTACTCCCAGTCGTCGAAACTCGCCGTTTGCGACCGCCATTGATTGCAGCTTTCCTAGCAAGCCATCAATCCGATTATTGTCGACCTCAAATCAGTCAGACGCGGAGACCACGGGCAGTGCAGCAGAGCGCGTGGCGTTCCAATGGCCAGGTCAAAAGACCAAGCCACACCGCCGACGAATGACTTCACGCGTCAATCTCGCTCCCCATGCCAGTCAGCCGCATCAGCGCATCCAAGCCTGTTTTCCGCTGCAGGTCCTTTCGTTCAGCGATCCATCCAACCCCCAAAAGCAGCCGGGATGACGCGGACAACAAGCGTTTCATCGCCGCGATTGGATCATCTACCAAGCTTTCACTGCCAAAGCTTGGCCCTGTGCTTTCGTAAAAAGTGCCGCACTTATATAAGGGAATGGAAGCGCCATTATCTCTCCAATTTCCCACCTGTTCTGATCCGCATCACTCTCGCTGTCACTTACACGATCAGACACCAACACCGCGAATATGGTTGCCCAGGTTGCCCAGAACGACATCGAAATGCAGTACCAGGCCTCCACGGAACAGATGAGCCAAGCTCAACCGCCAAGTGACGCCGGCGCTGCGGAACAACAGGCGAGTCCCTGGCCCCCTTGGTAATTCCCGGGCTGGCTGGAAAGCTGACTTTGCTTGTTTCCGCTTTGCAGTGCACGCAGAACACCACGGAGGAGAGGCCAAAGAGGACGTTTTTGGGCATGAGGGGTGGTGGTATTATTTGTACGTCGGACACCTGTGAACATATAAGCATGAGGAGGATGTTGGTGCTGACGGTGCGACACAGTGGATCTCTGCGCCTGCTTCATCTGCTGCGAGTGCATGTGAGTACATACCTTTTGCGAGCGAATTGAGTGAGCGGTGGCTAATGATTTCTTGTAGGGAGGGATGCTGCAACTGCATCGATGACTGCTGCTGCTGCTAGAGCAGCTGTGTTGCTAGTAGGCTTGTTACGAACCCAGATACCTCTGAACCCGATGTCATAATACGATTGAATTACGAACCCAGCTCAAACTACCTCACAACTCCACAGACAACACACGACATCCGGTGAGTAGCCCGTCGTCGCTGTTGCTTTCGCGTTTGCTCTGTTAGTTCCTTTCTCTCTTACTAGTCATCCGTGGGATTCACTAGTAAGAAGAGGAAACTATCCCGCATGTGGCCTACAATCGGACTGAGCGAGGATCCGAGTAGGATTCGAGCTGAGGTTTGGACGGTCTGCTCCTTTCGCTACATATACCTGAAACCACCCTCCTGCTTAATACTTGTATATTCCTGTCAGCATTGTCGCTCCGCTCTGCAGCTGCGGAACTCCCGTTACCATCGCAAAGGAACCCGGCCGACTCGAATAGCAAAAGCTGCCTTGGATTCGTAGTCGCGACTGGGGAGAGAACGACTGCACCACTTCGCCCGATAACAACAAGACATACCGCCCAACAACAAAAAGCCCCATCACCACAACCATGGCATCCGGTCTCCTCTCCCACTCCCCCCTCCTCCTCAAAACCGCCACAGCCCTCTCCCTCTTCCCCCTCTCCCTCGGCCTCATCGGAACCCTCTCCCCATCCTCCGGCTACAAAATCTTCTCCATCCCACCCCCTACACAAAACGCCGAAGCATACTCTCTCGGCACGCACCTCTTCCTCTTCTGGGCGTCCCGGGACCTCTTCATGGCGGCAGCGATTAACATCGCGGCGTGGAATGGGGATCGGAGGACGTTGGGCATGGTTTATTTGGCCATGTGTGGGGTCGGCGCGTTTGATGCGTGGACTTGTGAGAGGGTGGTGGGCAAGGGGAAGTGGGCGCATTTGGGGTTTTTGCCGTTGCTTGTTGGGGTGGGTGGGGGGTTGTTGGGGTGGTTTGATGGGTGGTGAGGGAGGTGAGGTGGTTGTGAGAGTGTGAGGATGTGGAGGAGGGAGGGGTCGAGGGTAGCAATAAGGGTTATAGTAATGGCTGCAGTAAGGACTTTATTAAGGGCTATTGCGAGGGTTATGTTGAGGGCCTTGGACAGGGATCAGAGAAACGCAAACGTGTCTGGTCGCCCGCAGCAACCTTCTTAATCAGTCGATACTTTAGAGAGTCGGCGGATTTGTACGGCGTCATTCTGAAATGCAGCAGTGCAACCAATACTCGCTCCTCGCATTCCGGATCAGAAGCCCTGCCCTTCGATTGAACAGAACCCATCACCTCAAAAAAGCCGTCAAAGTCCCCTTCCACTCAAACCTCATCCTCGCCTCCTCCTCTTCCACCCCCTCCCTCAAAGCCCTCACCCCCTTCATCCTCATGCTCACAACCCTCTCCCCCAGCCCCACCTCCCAAACCACACTCTCCCTCAACCAACCCCTATCAACATCCCTCAACCCCTTCCACCTCCCCAGAAAATTCTCCCGATAAAACTGCGGCCCCGCATCATCGAGCTCGAAAACCACATCCTCATTCATGCCCTTGACTTGAGTCTGCGCTTTGCAATACCGGAAGGTCGCTGAGCCGCGGATAGGGTTCCGGGCGTCGTAGCTGGGCATGATCATGGGGAGACTGGCTTTTAGTTGGGGCAGGAGGGTTTCTGCGAAGTATTTTTCGACGCAGGCTTGTGTTTGGCGGTTTACGGGGCGGAGGGAGAGCCATGTGTTGCGGGGATTTGTGATGTGGGTGATAATTGTGAGCCAGATTTCGTTGGGGAGGTGGGGTGGTGGCATTTTGGAGTGCTCGGTAGGAGTTGGGGAATAGAAGCGAGAATAGTAGCCGTATTTCTTTTGGATTCAAAACTTCCAGAGAGAATGTGTGGAGTGTGGAATATTTGAAATAGGTAGGAGAGCTGTACGATGCTCGGTCGAAGGGAAGCTGGAAGCTTCTGCATTCAGCTGTTCCCTTCCAGTACAGACCACAGCTTTTGTACAGGAGGAGACACGATACGCCAAAGAGATTCACTTCTAACTCCACGAGCTCTTGTCCCAGGCTCTGCAGAATGGTGAATGAAGGAGTTTTGTACGTTATTCCTCTCGCCGGCAATTCCCCAAACGGCGTGCCGACATCATAGATGGGAGAAGGGACTTGCCCACCTTGTCCTTTTGATGGGGGTTTCAGAGCTATGTCTGCTGATGGTTTGGATGAAATCGATGGTTTGAATCAGAAGTTACATGTACAGGTCAAGGATGTGGAGAGCCCAGTGAGATGTTACAGGCTTCCGTACAGAAAGGGTTTGTCCAGTTAGCACTTATAGTACGACGTTTTGATCCTTTCCTTCTCAGCTGCATCTGCGGCTGCTGCGCTACCTCAACCTGGGTTCTATTTGTCCTCTGATAGGATTCAGTATTTCCCACAATCTCCATCGCAAACCATATCATTGTCTCGCAAATCCTGTCAGAAGCTACATGCACATTGGAGACGAACCATTGGGGACAAAATGCCGCCTAAACAACCCACCCCAATCCCATTATTCTATCGCGTGGCCTTCCTCATCATCGACCCTCTCATCGCCGTCTGGGGCGCGTACATGAACATCTTCACGCCGCAAGTGACAGTCAACGCTTTCGTGCCTTCATCCCTCTCGCCATATCAACCGCTTCAATCTTTCCTGCTCCACCAAATCGCCGGCGGCCTGCTGACCTGCGCCATTCTGGACGTCTTCCTACTGCGGCAGACGAATGAACTCTGGATCTGGCGGACGCAGCAATGGGCTCAGTTGGCGTATGATGTGGTCATTTTGGGAAGTCAAGCGTATTCTTGGGGGCTGCAGGGGAGGTTGAGTCTGGCGGTGTTGAGAGTGGAGGACTATGGGAGCTTTGCGATTACTGCGCTTGTGGGACTTGTGCGGACCCTTTTTCTTGTGGGAGCTGGGCTCAAACGAAAGGGCGGCAAATTGCAATGAGATGGCGAGCCGCTGCGACTTTTTACTTCTGAACTGACGGCCGGTCCACAGAGTGAGTACGAACGCGAGTTCCACAATGTCTATATCGCAGCTGTAGAGGACCACGACTGACTGTCCGTCTGAGTTCTGGTCTCACAAACACAAAAACGATCCAAATAGCTCACAAAGCCACTACAATACGATTGCGGACGCTATGCTACTATGCATCGCTAAGACTACGTTACAAAATCATCACTGGCAACCTCGATCCCTTCCACCTCGGATCAAGCACCTTCGTGTCTGTCTGGTCGAACTCGTGCAGCACCCACCAGCAACACAATCGAAACATCAGAATCAACCATATGCCCTGCGGCGGCACCATCGTCCGAACAGCTGAAGGTCTCCTCATAGTCGGGCTTATCGAATCCTGCGAGGAGATATGTTCCATCACATCTTTACGTATCTTGTTGAAATAATGTTCCATGAGCGCTTCTTCGTTGTCACTTTCCAAGGTACTGAGAACCGAGTCCGGCCTATCCAGCTCATCAAGAATCGCTGTGATGTGTGCGTTTACCAGAGGAATCACAGCAGCTTCGCCGCACTCCTCGATTAGGTACTTGGTGCACGAGTCAATCACATCGTGGACAGCTTCCCTCATCTCGATGTCGATATCTCTCTCGTTTGCTTTCCACACGTCAGCCAGGCGCTCCTTCCACTTGCCGCGGATGAAATGTGTTTGTGCTGACGGATAGCCCTGGTCTTCGAATTTGCGTACGTTCTCCTGGAACTCAGTCATGAGTGCGCAGGCGGAGAACGTATCGATCCAAGGGGTCCGAGTTGGATTCGGCAACATCCTGAAGTTACTACCCCGTAAGCGGAAGACATCTCCCAGCATGGCAATGAGATCGAAGTCCGCTGGGCAGCCTGATCAGCACGATGATACACCCAAAAGTAGATTAGACCCAACATACCTGATCGGATGTTCCTCTCCACCTGCGCGTATTTCCGAATGCTGGCCTGTCTCAACTTCAAGTACTTCATCGTTCGCCGGATCGCGGTATCATCCCCAAAGTTCAAGCTTTTGCGATTGTCGACACCATCTCCTCTGGCATTTGGATCTCTGAAGATGATTGGAACGGTGCCGAACAAGATGTCTTTGATATCGTAAGAAGGTATTATGCGATCTCTGCCAAATTCTGAACGGCCAACGACGTGGAAAGACACCACGATCCCGAAGCCCTGTACGATTGACGATGACAAGGCGAATCCATTCCCTGACGCTTGGAGATTCGCGTTGTCGATATCGAAGGTCACCCAGGACAAGCCTAACATCACACACATTTCTGCAATATGGCTGGTGGTTGAAGTGGCGTACGGGCGTAGTACAGACTCTGGCATGAAGTCCCAGTTTCGATTTCGTCCTTGTAGTTGAACAATCATCGAATAGTCCGGCACTGCGCATTGTGCTTGTTTAGGAGGAGTTCTCAACCTCTCCTCCTCGTCCCACTTCCTCGAGTCCTGCTCTGACTTCTGTAATTGAGCCAGAAGTGTAACCCAAGTTGCACGCTCATCGTCAGCCGTCGAAAGTCGGTAGTTCAATCTAGAAGGCTCCTTGTTCGGATCGAGAGCCTTTTCGTTCTTAGGCGTCCAGGTCAGGGTATCTGCCCGGCTTATGTCTGTGCCATCGACATTGATCGGCTTGCCTGCGATTGGTCCTCGATCGTTGCTCGGTCGAGCTACGAAAAAGACGGGCGTCTTGAAGTTAACTGCAAAGCGCAGCTCTGATGCATTGAAGACTCGCTTTCTGTATTTCACCCATGGTCCGACGACCGACTCGGCGCACTTTCGATAGCCTTCAGCTGTGGAGATGTACTGCTGGAGAGCTTGTCCGACGGAGACAACGAAGGCGATGATGGCGATTATAAGTGAGACGATGGTAGCTGCGTCCACCATGTTGATCGAGAATTGGGCTGGCTATGTTTGAGCATTTTCGATGGTACGACTGGAGCCAAAGGATAGGAACATGGAACTGGAGTCGCTGTCAGGAGCTGAGGCTGAGGGACCGGTGAACCCTAAGCCTGAGGCGCCGGGGCACGCGGGTTCTCGGGAGCTACACGAAGGATGGCGGCTGGGAAAAGCCAATATCTCTCTTTGACGGAGACCAGCAGACAAAGACAGCTTGCGTTTTATACTGCTTGGCCCAACATTGGACGACGGAGAACTTTTGAACGGCATGACTCACACACAACGCCACGATCAATCCACCTTCGCATTGGGCGCAACCTCTTGTTTCAGCAGGCTTCACAAAGCCGATTTTGTGGCTCTTTCCAGGGGCCGGGCGTATATGCTCGGCAAAGCATGAAAGCAAGAAGACAAGGGCCATGATCAAGAGAAATGGAACCACAATTTCTCACGACCCGGTGTCCAGAAAATGCCGCTGGCATGTGTAGTGCACAGGTAAGTGAATGAATTGAAAATGGGAGACGGGAAGCCAATGTAAGCTGCCTGATGCAACACTACATCATCGCGGCTAAATCCCGACCTCGGGAATCCCTGTCCCGCCGCAACTTCACCTCTTGCAAGACCAGACCCCTGGACAACAGCTTCCGTACATTTTCGAGCCACAACAGTCCAGCAATTTTGTCCAATGAACCGCTACTAGTCGAGCAGTGGTGATCGTTGTGTCTCAACAACCAGTCGACTCGGTGTTACATTCGCTGACAGAGACACGAAGCCCTCTTTGGATTCTCAAAACTGTAGGTCGAATCGTCCGGGCCTTCAACAAATCGAAGTACATCAGTGCGACGCGCTAGCTCCAAGAGATGCCTCTTGTTCAATCGAACTGACAGCCGGCCAGCGAATGGGAAAGTATTGCTGCGATCTCATAAAGCTCCTTCAGCCCAGCCCTCAGCCCGGGATTTACCCGATTCTGCTCCTCAGGATCTCGGACTCTACTTCCCTCATAACAAAATGCGGAAGATCAGTGTAGTTTCCGGACTCCAAAACATGCATAGGTCGAGTGCCTCAATGAGCCCTCGTCTGGCCAATACAACGTATGTTCCTTCATCAAGACATCTCTCGTCATCCTCTCGAACCAAACCTTATGCTCCTATGTTTTGCCTTTTGCGGGCTATTTGGCAGACTTGGTCCCGTGGAATGCTTGTGGTCTCCTAAGTGTCGTGAATCGTACTTAGTTGGATCTTGGAAACAGTAAGATGGAAGATTCGGCGTGAGAATTGATGAATCATGGACCCTTTTGGGAACACATGGTTTCCTAATGCAACGCTATCAAAGGCTAGGAAGCGCTTGCGGTGGAGCTGAAGAACTTACTGATTTCCTTTTCGATCAGATAGAACATGCTGACATGCAACGTCGCAGATCTTCGAGGTCATCGAACATTGAACAATAGCTGCTAATGCAAGCCGCGTCACGCTGTACATGACACGAACCCTACACTAGCAATAAGGAACTCCGTAGGGAACCACGAAATTGTGGAGATGTGGCCCCGGGAGACCAACAAAAGTCCGCGTCCAAGCATCAGCAACGCTACACTATGGCTGCAGCCAGAACACTATGCTTAAACAATAACATCCTTCATTGCGACTTGATGCATCTCATTGCGAGTCGCAAACAAAACCCTCACAAGGAGCTCATTGATCCAATGAAGACCAAAGTACTCATTGCGAGTGGGCTCACTCGATTTTACTTTTGTTGGATCCATACTGTACTCCAACAACACCTTCAGTACGAAGTCGCCCGCCATTGCCAATAGCAATGAAGGACTTCACATAGTGCTCGTGGGCTTCATGAATTCGAGCAATCTTTGCGAATCTACTCTCTCAATCTCTTGCCGTTTCAATCCATCAGGCAGATATAAAAGATGTGATACATCTTACCAGAATCTGCTCTCATCACAAACAGCCTTCACTGAATCTACTACATGCTTCTCCCAACCGCATTCAAAATGAAAGTCTCCCAGATCTATCTGTCGATTTCGACCTTTGCAGTATTTGCTGCTGCTGCTCCTGCAGTCCCAGCGGCAGTCGGAAACAACCTCACCGCGGACTACACGAACTCCTACTGCACATTCTACGCAGACTCTGGGTGTACTCAACAAGTTGGCGACGTTGCCTTCGACGTCTTTAACGAAGGCTGCTTTACCAACTCTGGAGGCTACATACGATGCTCTAGCGAAGCTGGGGTCGTCCCACAATTCATCCTCGTCCAATCCCCGGACTCAGACAACAACTGCTACTGCCAGACGGACTGTGCGCACTTTGGAGATGGCGGACAGATTCCTTCGCCATGGAACACATGTACTGCGATCGACTTGAATCCAGCTTACAAGACCTTTCGAATTGAGCACGATATGGGCAGCTGCGCGGCCAACAACTGCTAGGTTCCGAACGAACCTTAAACTCCTGGGTCAAGGCCATCTCTAAGTGAACGGAAGTGGGTAGCAACCAGGGGATGAAGTCTCGGTCTCTCGGAAACGTAACAAGGTATGGACGGTGAAGGATTTCAACACTAGTTGCAAGAGGGCAAGATTGTGATAGCGAGTCGGTCTGGATTGGAATGTTGGAGACACACTCTTTACATGCTCATCCTTTGCACGTACGTAGACTTCCAATCGTTAATTTGTTGGCTTTGTGATTCGAACGACGTCTTCATTATCACTTTCACCGTCCAGTCGTGCCTTCAAATTGGGCACAGAAAGCCTGGAACGATCATATCCTCGCTTTCCTGGTCGTTTACGAGAGATTCAGCTGAGTCATTCATGTAGTTCTGGCTACGAACACGAAAAGATTAGATGACAATCTACCCCCAACAGCGTATCAGGCTGAATAGAGCTCGGGTCTCAAACAAAGAACGAGTTGTGAAATTTGGGGACCAGAGACGAGACTTCATCTGCTCTTGGGTCAACGGAAAAACGTTGGAGTACTCTACATGTTGCAACAATTATCCTGCTCTAAATGCATGACTCCAAGCACCAAACCGGGAAAACGACAAAAATACGTAGTAACAGCATGTATAAAGGCTTCTCAGCATTGAAAAAAGCAATCCATGTTCCTCTGCGCCTTTTGCGAGATCCGGCCGCAAGATGGTCCTTCCCTGGGATCCCAACCACCATTATTGCAGTGTGCTACCGTGACAGTACCGTTCATCATGGGAGTCTTGTTGGTCCAAGAGATACGTCCATAAGTGAACTGTACATAGTCGCCTTGGTGCTCTCCTGTGACGGCCAGGGGTTCGAGAAGCTTGCTATCTAGATACAGCGGGTTGTTGGCATCGATGCTTGCAAAGCCCTTCGTGTTGCCTATCTCAGCTTCCGAGTTGTCCTTGAGCAAGATGGAGGCGGAGAAATCTTCGGACTGCGAGACGCAAGGGGCCTCATTCTCGGCCATGTGGAAACTGCAGACACCGCCAGCGTACGGTGATGGGGATGGCGCTGGAGGGCCTGCCGGTGTTGTCAATGATGACCCCGCGAGATCACGGTTCGCCTTGATTACATCCATGAATGAAGTGGCGTAAGGTGCATAGGCAGATCCCTTGGGATGGAACATTCGCCGGAAATTCTCGCTGAGCCACGCCTTCGCGGTCGCATTGTCGCCAGTTGCTTTATCAATGGCGGCATAAAATGCTTCCTCGTTGCCGAATGCCTCTGCGTTGATAGCGGACGGCGGGTTGGAAGCGGTCATAAGGGCTTGCTGGCTCTTGTCAGGCATGAGGTAATCCAGCAGCAGCTCTCGGAGGCCATTTGATTCCTCGACAGTCGATGGAGTGTCGGGACCTTCACCTCCTGTCTCTAAGTCATCAGACAGGTGGTGCCAAAACCAAGTGTCCTTCCCGACAGGCTTTGAAAGATAATTTCGCGGCGCTGGCTCACAGAAGCGATGGGTATCGTATGATGATTGGAAGCCATCCACGTATATCACGCCCAGGCCAGACATCTGCCTTGCGACCGATTTTATCTTTGCGTTGAGTCGATCCACAAGAACATTCATGCGATGGCGCACATCAGTCGTCAACTTCGGTGTTGAAAACCCCCAGAAGTTGTAAGAAACATCATTGCAGCCTGGGTCATCGTCATTCCAGAATTGAACGTATCCCGCAACGTATACCTGAAAAGACTCTGGTGGAGTAGCTCCCTCGGCTTGCCGTCCAGCTGCGAGGACATGTGTGAAAGTGTCGATGAGCGAGTTCTGGAAGCCCTGGCTGTCAATCTGACTAGCGACGTTGGCGAGCGTAGTGTCGCAATCGACTACTGACAATAGTTGGATCACACAATTATTGATCACACTAACAGAAGATTAGCGTCCTCGTACACGTACGGAACCCCTGTTGTGACTATATGTACTCACGTCGAGAAGCCAACATCGTTCCCGCTTATGGTCATGATGGAAATTTGAGGCCTGCCAACTGCAGTGTACTCCAGGTTGGGATTTGGATCGCCTTGCTTCAGCTGATCGTCGGTAAGCTGTTGCATTTTGGCCCCTGAGCATGCACCAAAGATTACATCGGGCTTGTCAGGGCCCCAGAGTGGGTATGCTTTTTGTACCGACTGCAGTCGTAGGAGTCTTTGAAGCGGTCGGGCAATCCATTTGATCCAATGCCAGCTGTGTAGGAGTCACCGATGGCCAGGATATGGTTGACCACCTGGATGGATTGATTAGCGAGTGACCTTTTCACCGCACTGTTGGGTATAGGTCAAGACTAGGCGAAAACTCACCTCAGATGGCTTCCTGTACGGGATCTGCGATAATAACCTGGTCAGCGAATTTCTGAATCAGAGCCTTGTCGATGAAAGCGACTACATCTTTGCCAACGTCGAGCAAGACATGACAGCGGGCCAAGTCGGTGATTCAAAGTTAGAACATTCGTGCTTGTTGGGAAGATGCGTACCAGAGAGGCGCTGGCTGCTGCAGCCGATACCTGGGACGACAAGGCTGTGTCGACCTGGGGCAAGGCGAATGCGGATGTTCTTGACGCAGAGTGCAAAGCCAGCACTATGGCAAGAAAGGCTCTCATATTGAGAAGTCGAAAGCAAGTGGATGAGGTAGAAAAGTCTTTTGCAGCTTCCGGATGAGAGCTGCAACTCACAATTGTTTTCTATTCAGCTCACGATCGCTAATAGATATACTAGAGTTCTCGGTCAACGTTCAAGTGCTGTGCACTGCCGCAAGACCCAATATTTGAAACGATAGACTTGGTATTCAGCGCGTACGCACTCCAACTGACTATCAATAGTTGCGGCGGGTTTCTTCACAACATTATAAGGACTTTTAATCTTGCGCCCCTTGAGCGCTTAGACGCTCGACTAGCCTTCAGTCCGTGGGGCGAGGCTAGCTTTTGTTCACTACAATGCACCAGCGACGCCAGATGCTCTGTTCTTAATCTGTTTGCTCGCTCCGTTGAGACTTATCGTTGTTTGAGAAGCATCTGAACGGCACAGCAATGTAGTTGCAACCGCCATGAATTAGTCTCTTCCATCTCTTCTCTCATGCAGCCTGAAGACGATGAGGCTGCGGCGCGGGTCTCAGTCTGCATACCAACGCGATGTTGCATATATCCAAGTGTATCAGATTGCATAAGATGTCTCGCCAGGAAGTCACCGTCACCAGAATGTTCGTGGCGCTTGCGGCGCCTCTCTGTGCTCAGAATAGCACTCTCGAGTAAGGCTGCGAAACTCAATCGGCTTAGCGCGCGCTTGCTTGCATGTTGGTCGACAAGAAGCTAAGCTCCTACTATTGCGACCAGCTGTGCTCTTCTCTTCAGGAACATAAGTAACTTGCACAGCCGTCAAGCTCTTCTGCTTCACTCTACAGATCATTCATTCAAGGTCATGAAGCCCGCGGCATTTGCCTGTTGCCTTTTCTTGTTTCTCAACGACCTCACGCTCGCGGTGATCCTTCGTACCAACCCAAGACAAGACCTTTTCCAACCGTCCCCTCTTTTTACTATGACATCAAGTCGCCACCGGTTGATTGGCGACAACGATGCTCGCTACTGCGGCGTTCCCGAAGAAAAGCAGCTTTTCAAAATCGGAGAACTCAGTATTTCTCCTCGGCCACCAACAGTGTACGTCGAAGTTGTGTGCACAACATGCAGAGCCCAGCATGCTGACAGGTCAAATAGTGACACGCGGCTATTTGCACTCCTCAAAGGCGGAGTAAAGGATATCAGCGAGTCAGACCTCGAAGAAGCGGTCATCAACCTCACAACCAAAAGCAGCAACGGCGGGTCCTGGGTTTTGGACATGAAGTTTTCGGAGTTCCCTCAGATCATAGTGAGGCATGAACGACAGTACAGCAAGTACCTGAAGCCTGGCGTCAATGAAATTATTGGCGACCTCATCCTGCCGGGTATCTTCACGACGACGGCGACCTATAGCTTCAACGTAGAAGCTAAATTGCCTGATGGACGGACTCTCTTCTGTTTCGAGTTTGAGTATTATCTGGAGGGGGATTTGTGATGCTGTGCTGTACATCAGATCAGTATGCGTACATCAATCGCCAGCAGGCACACGAGTCTGGTGGATCAAGTGATGGAAGATATGATTGTAGGATAGGCAGGTCGTAATACAATGACTGTGATAAATGAAAACAGTTGAAGATTTGCGGCCGAAGCATGTCGATGTGATCGTCTCAATCGATAGTGCAATCGCAAAGAATCCCAGCCGATTACTGAACATGCATATCGAATTGCAAATACCCGCGGTCCAAACACGACACCAAGGCATTTGCAAGAGTCCATGCCTTGCAATCTTGTGCCGCTTTGCAGGTATTGAAAAATGGTTAAGAAGGAGGACCCCAAAATATTGCTGACATTGTCTGGTCTCACAAAGTTTCGTGACTGCAGTCAGCAAGTAGTACTCCTGCCATGAGTAAGGTCAGCAGCGTCGTCGAATTAGGGCCAGCACCTACAGAGGTTGCTGACTCTCCACGATCACTCACCAATGCCGGACCGACATCTCACGACGACCAAAAGGGGTCGCCCACCACTGGTGAAGTTGCAATTGAGTTGCAAGAATGGGAGACCTTGGAGGCCAAACCTTTCAACTGGTCGCTCGGCAGAAAATCCTGGCATGTCATCATGGTCGGCCTCATGTGCTGGTTGGTCACTTTCGGGACTTCAGTGTATACCCCCGGCGCGGTTGAGATAGCCCGAGAGTTCTCTGCGTCGAGACAGGCCGTCACTCTAGGATTGTCGCTGTACTCTCTCGGTCTTGGAGCCGGTCCCTGCATAGGAGCACCCCTGAGCGAAACGTTTGGCCGATGGGTAGTCTTCGTTGTGTCGGTACCGGCAGCTGCGCTCTTTACTCTGGGCGCTGGCTTCTCGAAGTCGCTGGGCTCTTTGCTGGTATGCCGCTTCTTTGCTGGGCTTATGGGTGGACCTCCATTGTCCATTGGCGGAGGTGTATTGGCAGATTTGTTTCCAGCACAGAAGAGAGCCATCGCTGGCTCCATCTTTATCGCTGCGCCATTCCTAGGGCCATGTACTGGTGAGCTTATCTCGCGTCCATTCACGGTTGTGTTGTGGCTGACCCATGTTAAGGTCCCATTATTGGCGGATTCGTTGCTCAATATGAAGGCTGGCGATGGACACAGTGGGTCGCTCTGTTGGCCGTCCTGCCAATCATCGCAGGGATCTTCACGATGAGGGAGACCTACCACAAATTGCTCGTCCGAAGGCGTGAGGAAGCGCTTGGCCTGCTTCCTTCGATACCTAGCCCAAAGCTGCGGGTTCTTTTAACCGTCGTCTTGGTCCGGCCCTTGCACATGATCTTCTTCGAACCTATCGTGGCATGCCTGGGTATTTATACGTCGTTCATATTCGGTGTCTTGTACATCTTCTTTGCTGCGTTCCCGATCATCTTCCAGGGAATTTATGGGTTCACCATCAGCCAGCTTGGGCTCAGCTTCACGGGGACGGGAGTAGGGGTGTTGATTGCGGTGGGGACGAACATTCTCATTGACCGAATGATCTACCAGAAGCAAGTCCGCCGGAGCTGGGAGCGTGGCGATAGGGGCGTCGTGGCTCCAGAGCATAGGCTGTACTCGGCGATGTTTGGCAGCTTCACCATCCCGATCGCCCTCTTTTGGTTTGGCTGGTCAGCTCGAGGAGACATGCACTGGATATCTCCCATCATTGCGACTGTGCCTTTTGCCTGGGGTAACTTGTCAATATTTGTAAGAAGTGCAAAACACTGAGTGTGATCCCAGCTAAGAGCATCTCATAGCATGCAGCAGCGCTGTATTCGACAGACGTATACGGCGCCGTGAACGGAGCTTCTGCGCTTGCCGCGAATGGTATGATGCGCTATATTATTTCGGCGGCATTCCCTTTGTTTGCTGTACAACGTAAGTCTTAGTACTCTGATCAGAAAGCCACTGTCTTACTGGATGATCCATAGTGTACAACAGTTTGGGAATCGGCTGGGCTTCGAGTCTACTCGGCCTCGTCTCGGTTGCGTTCGTTCCTTTGCCTTTCATTCTGTTTAGGTGGGGCCCAAAGATTAGACAAAATAGCCATTACGAGACGATTAAGGCGTGATAGAACGGTGTGCTCACCCTTGCAGGGCTCGAATGTTCTTCAACAGGGGTCAAATGCATGCTTTTGGCACTTCCCACGGTGGCCCTCGAACTGTTTGTCGACTTTCTTGAAGCGTATTGACGAAGAATCAATCGAGAAGAAGCATAAAATTGCTGCAGCCAGCGTCTGCGGAATACTGCGGAATCAGTAAAAACGAGTCTGTTACTCATCTCTCAGTTGATCATTCAGTCAATCAGAATCCCCCTCAACCCATTAAACCTCACACACAACCATCTTGTGCCAATCATCCGCCACCTGCTCTGCCACATCAGCCAAAAACGCCTTCCTAGCGCCATCGTACAACAATTAGAATGGCAACTTACTCAAACTCCCCCACACTCCTCCTCACCAACCCCCTCGCCTTCCCTTCACCCACGATAAGCCCCCATTCTCCCACACTCGTCTCCAACCTAAGCACATCCACATTCACAAAAACACTTCCACTTCCCTCCTCCAGATCCAGACACGTGGTGGCATTACTCACATTCATCCGGTATGCCGGAAACTTCGCCGCGGTGTAAGCAAACAGGTCCACGATGCCCTTTCGATCTATACTCGACTTCTGCGAGGGAGTGGGAGGGATCTCTTTGTTCAGATCGACCGAGGCGCAGGAGAGTAGGCCAGATCGATCGGCGCGGAAGGAGGAGTGCAGGAACTTCCAGGGGGAGGGATCTTGGTCGGAGTTGGAAGTCGGGAGGTCGAAGTCGCGGGCGTTGATAGCGGCGACGAAGGCTTTCGTTCGGGTTTCGAGGAGTGTGGTAATCGAGGAGGATCCTTCGCTTATTCTTGTCGTCGAAGGGCCTTCCTCTTGTGAATCGATTGCAGCTCGATGTTCCTTTTGCATGCTTCCTCTTCTTCGTCATCTGCTTGGGCGGCGGGAAGCGTTTTTCAAGGCCACCTGGGCAACGTCGTATCATAATGTCGGGATATTTTACTCTATAGACATAGCCATTCTTTAGTGCGTGGAACGGGATAAGCTGACGACATATCGTTTTGTGATTGGTCAGATAGTTCATGAGTACCTGGTTAAGTAAACCGTTCCGAGTCTTCGTGCGAAGCTTCTGACGCTGGGTTCCAAATAGCCTGGTGTTTGTTGTCCAGCACGCAGAATACATGGACATGCACCTGGAGTTGATAAAAAAGCTGTCATTGCTTGTGAGTGATTTTGCACAGTTCTGCCTCGCTTTTGCCGTCCTCAGCACCTGCAAGATGGTATCACGCATAACAAGATCCAACAGAAACGCCCTTCCATCTATTGACCTTTCGACTTCTGCGCCAAGACATTGAGAGCTGACCCGGCCAATATGAACGCCCTCTGATCTTTGCTCATCGTATGCTTCACGGGTATGCGATGCGTCTCGCCGCTGTCTTTCTTCTTGACCACGACAGTTATATCTCCATCACCGCCTTGCAAGACATCGTAAAGGCCCTCCGTGGAAACTTCGTCACAGCCGTTCATTTTGTCGTAGTCTGCTTCGTTGACGAACGTCAATGGTACAACACCCTGCTTTTTCAAGTTCGTTTCGTGAATTCGAGCGAATGATTTGGTGAGGATGATCTTGCCACCGAGGTATCGTGGTTGCAGAGCCGCATGCTCACGAGCAGATCCTTCTCCGTAGTTATGCTCTGCAACGACTAACCAAGGCTGGCCTTCTGATTTCCATTTCGATGCAAGATCGGGGATAGTATACGATTTGCCATCGACGTCAGTCACGGTGTTGACAGCGCCAGTGTCTGCAGAGATAGCGCCAATGAGGGTGTTCTCGGAGATATTGGGAAGATGACCTTTGTATTTGAGCCAAGGACCAGCAGCCGAGATGGTATCAGTCGTACACTGTCCCTTCACCTTGACCAACACCTTCAGACCTTGCAATTCACCTTGCGGGAAAGGCTCGAAGGGCTCCAGCACAGCAAGGCGATCAGAAGAGGGATCAATCGCAACTGAAACGGTTGCATTAGGCACCGGCGGGCTGGGCTGGAAAAGAGGGTTGCCTACTTCGAAGCCCTTGCTAGGAAGGTCGATACCAGATGGTGGTTGGAAGCGGAACTCCTTTCCGTCAGGCGTTGAAAGGCTGTCAGTTATTGGGTTAAAGTCAGTGCGACCCGAGTAAGACATAGCCGTGACGAGCTCGGGCGAAGCGAGGAAGTTCATCGTCTTGCTGTTGCCATCATTTCGGGCCGGAAAATTGCGATTGTAGGAGGTGAAGATGGCGTTGGCTTCGCCTTTCCGAACCCCATCCGTGCGGCTCCATTGCCCAATGCAAGGACCGCACGCATTTGCCAGGACAAGACCACCGGCTTCGGTAAAAGTGCCCAGAGTCCCGTCGCGTTCGACCGTGGCACGAATTTGCTCACTACCAGGGGTGATGAAGAAGTCAGCCTTGGGCTTGAGACCAGCAGCGGATGCTTGTTGGACAAGGGACTCCGCACGAGTCATGTCAGCGTACGAGCTGTTGGTACAGCTGCCGATAAGACCTGCTCCAAAAGTTGCCGGCCACTCATTCTTCTCGACTGCCGATTTGAATGCTGAAAGCGGCGTCGAGAGATCCGGCGTGAAGGGTCCATTGATGTGAGGTTCCAGCTCAGAAAGGTTGATGGTTACCAGATCATCATACTCGCATCCGGAGTCGGCAGCCAGGAGGTTGTGCGGCCCAGGCGAAGCAGCAATTGCGGACGCTTGCTCGGCGATGGATCCGCGATGGGTTGCTTGCAAGTAGGGACTGTGCGAATTGGGTGTGTATGGGAAGATGGAGGTGGTTGCACCGACTTCGGCTCCCATGTTGCAGATGGTCGCCATTCCGGTACAGCTGAGTGACTCCAAACCAGGGCCAAAGTACTCCGTAATATAGCCAGTGCCTCCCCGAACAGTGAGCTTTCCAGCAAGTGCGAGAATGACGTCCTTTGGCGAGGCCCATCCAGAAAGCTTGCCTTCCAGTCTCGCTCCTCGAATCTTTGGTGCCTTCAGTTCCCAAGGAGCATCTACCAGAGCATCGACAGCATCGGCACCTCCCACTCCAATGGCAATAGCACCCAAGCCTCCTGCATTTGGCGTGTGACTGTCCGTGCCCAACATCATCAACCCGGGCGCCGCATAGTTCTCCAAAACCGTCTGGTGAATGATGCCCGCACCTGGAGGCCAGAACTCAATGCCATATCTCTTGCCTGCACTCTCCAAAAAGTCATACACCTCTTTGTTGCCCTTGATGCTGTTGGGTAGATCTGTATCCGCACCTCTCTCTCCAACGATCATGTGGTCACAATGAATGCTTGCAGGCACAGCAGTGGTCGGCATTCCGCAGCTCATGAACTGTAGCAACGCCATCTGCGCGCTGGCATCCTGCATAGCCACTCGGTCAGGCTTGAGCTTGAGGGTAGCCTGGCTTCGAATGTTGGCCCCATTGTCTGTCCCTTCCAATAACGACTCTTCCGGGTTGTCCAAGTGGGAGAAAAGGATCTTCTCGGCGAGAGTAAGCTTCCGTGAAGGCGATAGTATTCTTCTCACTTCGTGCAGTCGTCGTAGCAGTTTTGAATACGGCGGCGTTCGTGCAGAGACATCGCTCGCAGTGGGAGTTCGATCGGTGGCAGGAGTCGCAAGACCTCGTTGTTGAAGGTATACCCCTTGGCGCAGAGCACCCGGAAGGGCGAATATGCTATGATTCGGCCTTCCTCGCCTTGCCGCCAACATCTTGAGTGTCAATGGCAAGTGAATGTTCGTTCAGACGAGTGTGAGCAATGTCGACGCCAAATCGACCTCCCGATTTCGCTTACCACTCAAAACTCTAAACTTTCCCGCGAGCTGCAGCCGAGGGCCGACCCGAGAAGCTTGGACATCCTCCGAGGACTGCACCTGCATCAAGATTTTTTTGCACTTCCCCAGCCATCACTTAACAAATGGCAGAGAGGCACCACTGGGAAAGCTTTTCGGATCTACGAGCCATACCAGGCGTGGAAGTCTCATTCGCTTCACCTTGTATGATGTTGGCCGATGTGCACTTACGGTCGCAACGGCATTATCAGCAGTGACTCCGGACCACAGCTCCCTAAGTCCTTGCTCGACAGCGTATCGATCTCTCTCGAGCGCAATGGGGCTTTTGCAATATTGCACTTCGGTTGTTACGGCATTCCTCTACGTGAGGTGTTCCAGGGTGCCCTTGATGGAAATCGATCGTCTCCCCGCCGATTCAACCACACCGACACTACCGAGCCGCCTGCTGGCATCGAAGCCATGCCTACGGGGTGATTGATGCTTCAAGACGGTCGTGAAATTGGACAGTGTGTTCGACCGCGGGTCGAGGCGGGTATGTAGAAGCAGAAAGTCCAGCATGTTCCCAGCACGGCTTGGGTGAGAGTTCCCTTGCTCGCCTTGGCGCACTGAAACAATGACAGATAGGAGAGTTTCGCCGTGCAGCTCTCGACGGGGAAGGGCAGTCTTCTAGATCATGCATTGCAGCTGTCCGCAGTGACCACGATAGAGAACTTGTTCCAATCGTCCGCGTCTGTGGCGCCAGCAAATCAAACCCCAGAACAATTCGCTCTCATGCCGAGAACATGGCCCTGTGGCAAACAGGCTTTGCGCGGCCGCTGATACCACACGATGCAAGCATCGTCCCCAAGCCCACCCAACCACCTGTGCAGGCCGGTTTATCTCCAAGGCAATTCCTCGGGCAGGAAACATTTGTAACTAAATCCTATCGCCGTCTATGCATATGTTGCATGGAACGGCACGTGGCGGGATCGGACGTATGTCGTCACTGCCAAACAAACTTCATCGCCCTTGCGTGTCTTGGAAAGGTTGGCGGAAGATAAGTATAAAAATATGTTCCTTCACTTCACTTCAGTTTCGTCCATCAAGGTTGCAATCCTATCACCGCACTAAGGACTGTACTACCACACGACGACAACACTTTGACGATGGCATCCACGGATTACAAGTTCGAAGGCTGGCTCGGCCATGACCCTTCATCGGTCAAGGGTAACATGAAATGGGGTGAATTCGAGCCCAAGAAGTGGGATGTGAGTGTTCTCCTCCATCACTTAACCAATTGTTGTTGAAGAGTGCCTCTGACTTGCAAATAGGAAGATGATGTCGACATCAAGATCTCTCACTGTACGCAACACATTATACAAACACTCAACACCCTCGTATCTAACATGGTACAGGCGGAGTCTGCGGCTCTGACACCCACACCCTGTCTTCCGGCTGGGGCCCCACACCATACCCCTGCTGCGTAGGACACGAGATCGTAGGAAAGGCTGTTCGAGTGGGCAAGAACGTGAAGAGCGTCAAGGTCGGCGACCGAGTTGGTGTTGGCGCTCAGGCTGACTCTTGCGGCACCTGCGCGGACTGCAAGAACGGCAATGAGCCACACTGCTTCAACGGCGTCAACACCTACGGCTCTCTCTACAAGGCTCCGAAGGAGCGAAAGTCCATGGGCGGTTATGCCACGTACAACAGAACGCCAAGTCGCTTTGTGGTGAAGATCCCTGACGGCCTCGACTCGGCATCGGCAGCTCCTAGTAAGTTCTGCACGTAATGCAGGTCTTGGAGATAAGAACTGACACATGCAGTGCTTTGCGGTGGCATTACCGTCTACTCGCCTCTGAAAGCAAATGGCGCTGGACCAGGCAAACGAGTTGGTATCGTCGGTGTTGGCGGTCTTGGTCACTTCGCCGTACTATTCGCCAAAGCTCTGGGAGCAGACGAAGTGGTCGGAATCTCACGCAAGAAGACCAAGGAGCCCGAAGTCCTCAATCTTGGCGCTGACCGCTACATCGCCACCGACGACGACAAGGACTGGGACAAGAACAACGCCCGCTCGCTCGACCTTATCATCTGCACGGCTTCCAGTGCCAAGATGCCCATGGACGGCTACCTCAAACTTCTCGCTGTTGGAGGCACGCTCATTCAAGTTGGTGCCCCTGATGGTGGCGAGCTGCCACCGATCAACGCATTCACTCTCATTTTCGGCGGCATCAAGGTTGGAGGCAGCGCGATTGGAACTCCCCGAGAGATCGAGGAGATGTTGAAGCTGGCGGAGGAGAAGAAGATTCACCCATGGATTGAGAAGAGATCAATGAAGGAGGCGAACCAGACGATTCTCGATCTCGAGGCGGGCAAGCCTCGATACCGATATGTGCTGTGCAATGAGGAGTAGATAGGTACTTGTCGCTGCGGATGAAGCAGGCGTTGAAACAGCGCGATCAGGCGGCGCCACGGTAGAAATTGGAGGCATTCCATAATTTTCATACTATCAGAATTGAAAATCTGATATCTCAAGCAACACATTCTCACATACGACGTCAACGCTAGCATTTCCATAGTCTTTGTCTGCCAACCACTGTCTAAAATATCAGCCTCCAAACTCAATGTCGACTTCACGTTGACTACATCCGCATCTACTCGCAATTGGAAATGATGTTCCTAAGTGGCTACCGGACTGCCTTTCGACAGAGATTCGGAACAAGCCCATGCCACCATGCTTGCATCTTTAACGAGCTTCTGTGAAATGTTTTGACACCAGCATCCCTCTCCTCGCACATGCCCCTGTGTTCGCCCCCCGACTAACGGTCCAGTGCTAGCAGTCCCTGAAGTCCGTGAAATGCAAGGTCTGGCCACATAGGAGGATCAATTCTTCTGTCTGCATAAGAAACTTGCCACTCATCGTGTCAAGCTCATCGATCTACCTTCCCCAACACAACAAAAGTCTCAAAGCTGCATGGTTCCGGCCTCTCGGCATCCACATCGGCATTGCAAGCCACAGAAAAAAAGTGGACACCGGCATCTGAAGGCACAGACGCGGACGCGGACGCGGGCCTCCACCCTCGCCTCTAGTCCTCTCAATCAACTCGCCGAGAACCAAGTGCCACCATTTGATGCACACGAAGTCGTGCCATTGCCGTGGTTCTACAGGGACATAACCCATTAACTCCTACCATACGTCCTAATACCGGGACTAGATCTGTGTCTTCGTTCTTCGGGAGACTGGTTATGGCTCCTTTCCTCCCAATGCTGAGGTAGGAGCAGTAGTATAAGTAAGATGGGAGGATTCGATCGTCTTTACTTGTAGTAGAACAAAACTTTCCTCTCAAAATCCTCCAATTTCAATCAAGATGGTCAAGACCCTCCCCTTCGCAGACATCGAGGTCCCAACGCCCGGCTTCGGTGCCATGGGCATCAGCTTCGGGCTTGGGAACAACCTCACGCTTGAGCAGGCTGAACCGGTGCTTTTGAAGGCTATTGAGCTGGGGTGTACGTTTTGGGATACGGCGGTACGATATACAGACATGGAGATATGAGTGTCGGTTCCATCTGATGGTTTGAATAGGTCGTCTACCAAGCAGGTGTCAACGAGAAGCTGTTGGGAGATTTCATCCGCAAGCATAATGTCCGGGATAAGCTGTTCAGTGGGTCTTCAAGTAACACGGGACGTACTCGCGCGTGGCTGACAATGTGCCTTCAGTTGCATCAAAGTGCGGATTCAATTGCCTGAACGGTGGCGACGGAAGCGTGACCAATTCGGCTTCCCACATCAAGACGTACATCGAGGGTACGATCGAAAGGCTGGGGTTCACGCCAGATCTCTATTACCTGCATCGAATTGATCCCAGTAAGACCATGAGCCCTTCGATTCATTCGGAATGGCACTGATGCCGTGACAGACACGCCCCTCGAGGAATCGATCCCAGCTCTCGATGAGATCCGCAAAGCCGGGAAGACGAAGTACATTGGCCTGTCTGAGTGCTCTGCAAAGACGCTGCGCAAAGCGAACTCCAGTAAGCTTCCCGTAACCCCCACTCCCATTAGCTCTCCGCTGACAATGACCAGTCGCCAAAATCGACGCCCTCCAAGCAGAATACTCCGCCTTCGAAACCCTGCACGAAACCGACGGCCTCATCGACGCCGCAAAGGAGTTGGGCGTGGCCTACGTCGCCTACAGTCCTCTTGGCCACAGCTGGCTGGTCGACGACTTTCCCTACCAAAGCCCAGACGACTTCGCCCCCGATGACTTCCGCCGAACTGGTAAGCTTGTCAACGATCAGCCATGCAAACAAATACTGACCTTCCCCTCCCAGTCCCCAAGTTCCAGGGTGAGAACTTCTACAAGAACAAGCGCATCGTGGAGGAGATTAAGAAACTTGCTACCGCCAAGGGCTGTACGTTGACGCAGATTGCGCTTGCTTGGGTTGCTGCTCAGGGCATGATCGCCATCCCGGGGACCACGAAGCCGCACCGGTTGGAGGAGAACTGGAGGTCGAGGGAGGTGGAACTGAGTGAGAGTGAGAAGGCCGAGTTGCGGAAGATTGTCGATGCGGCGAAACCGGTTGGGAACAGGTATTCGGAGCGGGCGCAGGCGATGGTTGGGCACTGAGGCACTGAGAAATGATATCGCCGGCCTACAGACACCTCTTGCGAGATGAAGTAGCTCGAATGACCCGTTTTCGAAATCATTGCTTTCCATTTCAGGGGGTCAGACCTCGCTTTCTCGAAGAACGAACTATCCCCACCAAGCTATCGGCGAGCTTCCCCGACGGCTTATTTTCCTGCGAAGCCGTTGTGATACCTCAACAGACTCATTGCACACCGTTCGCCTTTTCCCTTCCATGCCCATTGATATCCGGAGCCAGCCGTTTACATCATACATCGCTTCATGCCAAGTCTCTCATATCTCGCCTCGTTCGCCAAACTCCATGCTCCCGTAACCCGTCGTATGCCTGTGCCAACCCTTATTGCCGTATCGGCATGCCCTTCTCCTCGGCCTCGGCGGTCACTTTGTCAATTCCCTGTAGCTCTTCGTTGTCCTGCTCGTCCACGCTCATGCCTCTCTGCAGGGTACTCTCCTTGACTGGGGAGCCGGATGTAGGTCCAGCGCCTGGCATGCCGGGTGCGTGAAGTGGTGGGGCGCCGGAGATGGAATTGCGCTGTTCGTTCGGGGAGCCAGTGGCGGGGGTGTTGCTGGCGTTTTGGACTTGTGAAAGGTGAGGGATGTTCTCTGGCCTGTAGAACCATATTGTCAGCATATAGACCGCCATGGGGAGGTAGTTCCTCTCACGTTGGGTGCTCGCGGCCCAAGCCACCACCAAGATCGCCGGCGTCTGATTTGCCGGCCTTTGAGAGTGCGTAGTCGCCTGAGTCGAAGTATTTGCGCTCCTGCAGCTTCTTGGAGAAGAGGTCCTTCTTGTTAGGCAGTTTCCCATACAGACGGAAGAGCTTCTGCTCCTCCTCCGAAAGGGCCTGTGCGACAGTTAGCTGACTGAATGGCGTGGACGGACGCGTTGTTGCGGGGATGCTGTTGTGTTTGGGGGTAGCACCTACATTGATGTCGACCTTATTCTTTTGATGTGGATTCAACGCCATGATGTATGATGGTGGGTTGGAGCAGAGTCAATGGGTCGAGATAGCCAGACTACGGGGGTCGAAGCTCTTTGTGAGCAGTCACGAGGGGAGGGACGTGCTTGCTGTCGTGTTAAGGTTTAGCGTGTCGGCGAGCCGGCCTGCCGGTACTCGCCAGCCCATCCCTGTGCGACGCCGAACGACACGTCTCTCGAACACCGCATCCATAGCCTGGACATCGAGAAAGCCACGGGGATGGATGGTATTTCTTGTTGCTGTGGCTATTTCACATACATATCCTCGTCTGGGCTTCTTCAGAGTCGCCGTCTCTACCCATCTCTATCGTGCACATCCCCATCCGTTGCCGGACGACAGGTCTCTCGAACAAGAGGGATGCTCAACTGGACAATTCGAAGAGATTCGATTGCAGGGCCAGAGGGCTTGTAAGTCTGCTTTCAAGACTCTTTGTCTCACTCCTCTGCACATTGACTGGACAGTTAAACGCCACACTTAGATCTTTCACGTACAGGCCATGATGCCTGATCCATCTACGTTATTGATTCTTACGTATCAGATTCTGGTCTTGTTCTGCCGGTTGAATTCCAGGGTCAAACTCATTCATTCACGCTTTGTCACAGTCTGCAAAGCTGGCATCAACGCGTTGAAGCGTGGTCCGCGGCTAGACTGGACAGACTATGCGAGCCTAGATACAAAGGACTTCCACACGCCTCAGCAATCCAACAATACACCGAGACACATCTCGACCACATCGCATCCCATCAACACGACAAAATCTAAGTCATGCGAACCGACCGAATAATCTTGCCCGAATTGTTGGTATCGACACAAGCACCCCCGGACCACTTCACAACCGGCGAAGCATCCTGCGAACACGCCTCGTCGGAGAAGACTTGTATATTCCCGTGATCGCCGGTCGTCAAGAGTGCCCACCAGGAGTAAGCGTGCTTTTCGTCCACTATCTTCACCTTGCAGCAGCCGTCAATGATGCCGTCACAACCGCCGCCTTCGATTGGTCCGCGGATTTAGTTGGGAGCGGCGCAGGTGCCGCTGCCGGCGTTGATGGCGGTGGTGGAGTCACGGGTTTGGAGCGGGTTGGCTTGCTGGTGGGGTTCAGTTTTGGGGTTATGGGAAGGGTAGCTGGACGTGACTCACTGCGCCAATGGCCGAGAGGGCGGCGATGAGGACGAAAGAGAGCATTCTGGTAGCAAGTAAGTTGTTTTTGTTCTGGTTTGTTGAAAGTTGTTAGAGATCTTTTGTTTTAAAGAGCAACATGTTACCCATCTCTCGCCGTATTTATATGCGCTTGAGGTCGATTGCTTCTTCGTCTTCTGACGTTGAGGTGCACGTACGAGCAAGCTCCATTTTTTGTGCTGAAGCATAGCAAGCTCAGCAAGTACATATCCCGACACTGTTGTCAAAGAGCGCTGGTCTGGCGCTCGTTTACCACCCACTCAAAATCATCTCCTCTAAAAGTGACGGACATGTGTCACGTCTCCTTCCCTTCATCCATCTAGCAAAGATTGTTCGAGAAATACGTAAAATCCGTGTGCCACACATGATTCTTCACGTCACCCATAACATCCGCAACAAGATAATCACTACTCGTGATATACGCTCGTGCAAACTGCTCCTTGTCATCGTGCGCATTCTTATCAAAAATCCTCGCGGCAACGTTCGTCGAGTCCCAGTTGTAGAGCGTGCACGTATACTGTCTTGCACCTATCATTGTGGCACGTGGACTGCATGTGTCTTCATCGCAACATGCTAAGGCTTCGTCCAAGTAATGTAGTCCATTGTCGTAGTGTGGTCTCGTTGACGTATCCGCAAGTAGCCTTGCTGCTATGCTACGATGTCGTCGGCTAATGTGGCTGCAAGTAGAGGCTCGTCCGTAATGCTCGGCGCACTCAAGGGATTGAACCTATGCATTTGGGATGCATACGGCAATGTGATCCTGTCATTGTACAATGATCAAGCTCCGTTGGCACCGGAAGACTGCAACAGGTTCCTGAAAAAGTCGGAAAGGCTTCGCTGGCTGTCAGAGTATCGTTCGAATGATGTGACGCCGAGGGTGCCGAAGGTTCACTAGGAGGGACAATTCCTGCCACCGCTGCTCCAAAGTGTCGTATACAGGCTGGAGCAAGATCATACTGACCCCTGCTAGTGTAGGGGAGCTGGAAGATGCTTCTAGAGCCAATTACAGCGAGCCCTTGTGATGATTCTCCACCAATTAAGGCTTTGTTGACGGCTCTCCCCATGGCTTGTGGGTTAATGTGATTCTTGCTCCAGCCTGTACATCAGCCTATAAAGCAACATGTTACTTCGGGTTTTTGTATATTGATAGATAGAGGCTTCGGCTCGACCAAAGGAAAAGTCGGCAATAGGGGACCTCCCCAGCCCTGATATCCGTGCGTTTCTAACTTCATCTCGTATTCCGAAGCCTCTTCATCTCTCCTTCCTTTTCCACCATCACTTCCTCATTTGTGCCATCTCGTCCCGCGTGAATTTGCAATAGACGCAGTCCCATCGGAGATCCTGGCCTTTGCCCATGTGCTTAACTTACGCCTTTGTCGGTGTTGCCAGCTCGTCTATCCGGCAGTCTCCTAATCGTGGATGTTTCCAAGTGCGAGCAAAAGTAACCTCTCTCAAGGGTCTTTCGTCAATGACCTTGGTCGCACTGCTCGATCTCTACATGTAGGTCCAACCGCTTGCCTGCTTGTGTAGAGGATGTAGTAGAGAGAATGAAGAATGTGTTTCACACGGTAGGGTACCTGCAACCAGCAGTCGAAATAAGGTTTGAAAACTTGTCGCTTTGACTTTTCTAATCCAGCCAATCAGAAGACAGTCTTTCAACTGCTCTTCTCCTACGGCTCCATCATTCTATTTCACTCTCAACAACCCCAAGCCCAAAATGTCCCCAACCGGCCAAAAGCGAAAACACACCTTCATCGTCGAGCACCTCGACCCAGAGCTAGAAGACTGGCAGGCTCTCGAATACAACTGCATATTCTCCGAAAGCCAAGCCGCAGATTCTTCCTTCCTTCTATCAGGATTGACCTCATCTTTCGACTCGGCGGAGAAATTGCAGGTCCTTCAGTCAAGCAAGACGCAGCAAACTGTGGAGGCGCTGTATCCGACTGCCGAGCAGAGACAGAAAGTCTGCTTGTTGGACCCCAAAGCCGAGAAGGATTTGAGTCCGGAGGATGGCGAGTTGTTTGAGGCGTTTTTGTTTGGTGGAATTTTGGGTACGTTGATCAACCCTCACATTTAGATCAACATCTGACAACATCAGGCGACGACCCCCCAAGAGACCGCACAGGCGACTTGCGCAAGCTGGGCTTTCCGGGCCGGAGACTCGGTCCTGAGCAGATGACGACAGACACCGCGGTACGCACTACCCGAATTGTAGTCCAGGAAGGCCGAAAGCTCGAGGAGATTGAGTATGTCGATCGACCGGACTTCGACGTACCCTCGCAGCCGAACGGTGATGGGAAGGCTGGTCCGGCGGAGACGGTTAGCATGCCTTTCAAGTACGTCAAGGGCGCGGATGGCAAGCCGATTCTTCCGAAGGGCATGTTGGAACTTTTGGTTAGTGATGCCGACAAGGATATTCTGGACTTGCTGTAGGCTCTTGGGATAGGATAGTAATCTGATGGAGCGATGTGCGGGAATGGGGCAGGGATATCACCCGCAGGAAAGGCTCTGCATCGATGCAGGAGGGAAAGAAGGCTGCGAAGGAAGACGGGAAGTACGTAAACGTTGCGATTTGGCAGCCAACTACGCCCATGAGAAATGCTCCATATGCAAGTACAAATCCCTCTTCATATCCCTGATCTGCTCCTTAGCCACCGCATTCGCAACATCATGCTGCATGCTCAGGGGTCCGCAAACAAAGACACCCATAGGCTTGTCCTGATCCGCACATTCCTGCCTGATGACGTCTGGGAGATAAGGCCGGGACGGGAAGTCTCGCAACGACAGCGCAAAGCGACCTCTTTGCTCATCCTTCTCGTCCGTGTCTGAGTCTGACGAGCTTTCTGGCCCGTTGTGGGCGGTGATAGCCACGTCTGCGTCTGGCGCTTTCTCTGGGTCGTCGAGCTTCTGCAGGAACTGGCCCGTGGCTTTGGGGGCGTTTGCGTTGTCCTCGCCTCCGGTATAGTGGACTTCGACGACGAGGCCTGGCGGGCACTTTCCAATCAAGGAGGAAGATACTAGCTCGTTGACCGCTTCTTCGAACCAGTTCCTCGTTGCCAGATCTCTTGTCGCAAGGATCACTCGCATTGATGGTGTGTTGCAGTCCTTCCCAACGTCGCAACATTCGGCACAGTCTTTCCTTCGTAAGAAAGACTCGATCAACGGTAGACACCATCCAGCTCCCGAACCCCCTGCAAGGACGAGCATCTTCTCGGGGGACTCGAGCTTGGGCATGTCAATGCCGCCATATGGTCCGTCGAGCAGGACTCGCATCGTGCATCCAGGGTGTTTCTCTGCATATTTCGCAAGACGAGCAGTGAACCCTCCTTGTGGCCGAATGTAGAAGATCAGCTCAGATTCTTTCGCCTCATAGAAGTGTGCCTTGGTGGGGAGGGAGCACGCCGTGAAAGGGTGAGTTGTCCAGGCGTGGATGCCGAGACCCATGAAGCGGACAAAGAAGTGTTGACCCGCACGCCAAGTCGACTGCGTAGGAACGCTTACTCGAATGAAGCCATTCGACATGAGGTGTATAGTCGCCGCCTTGCCAATGCCATGCTGGAAGAAGACGCGGATGAAAGAGTGCAGCCAAGACAGGGTGTATATGACTCCGGTCGCAATGAAGTAGTCCCAGCTCGAGAGGCGGAAGTCGCAGTGGAGGAAGAAGAACACGACGAATACCAGAGCAGCAACGAAGTGGCTGAACTTGAACCACTCGTAGCACCAGTTCCTCAGGGGAGAGAACGACGCAAAGGTCAACCAGGCTTGTGCGAGGACAGCCACGACGCCAGTCCAGTACACAACGGATGTATTCCACTGGTTCACCATATCACCCTTCCACACGTGGAAGACGATGAAGGGAAAGGTGTGTATGAGTGCGAGGACGAACATGGCGTAGCTGATCCACCGATGAAAGACTTGCAGTCTCTCGTGGCTGATGCCCGTAACGGCCGTGACCATATTCGATTTGGAGGATGTTGCAAAGACGAAAGGAAGACATGCCAGAGACATCCAGCCTGTTCGAGTCGCAATTGGCGGTGAGCTCCCGAAAGACACCGGTGGTGACTTCGTGTTAGGCCAATAATACGGTCGCGGACCAAGCGTCATCGCGAAGAAGAAGATTGTGCCGACTGCGCCTAGGAGAAGGACTCCCAGAGGTGCAGAGTTCCAGTTGAGGATATCGATCCGGAACTGTCGATATGAGAGGTATCGGTTCAGGGTCAGTCCTCTTCGTAGAGGTCTTGCGGATGCTGCCCGGGGCCAGATCGAGGTGAGGATGAAAGGAATGGCGAAGAGGATGATTGCGACCATAAAGAATGCCACGGTCGGAAGAGCGTATCGATGGTCTGCCTCGTACCAGAAGCGCCAGTAGCCTTGCTGCCATTCGCAAAGCGTCTCGCTCTTGAGAGAACACTTGTACTTCCTCGAGGAGTGCAACATCACTGGTTGGTCCAGCCATGGCGTGCCATGGGTCATCTCCATGTCCATCATTTTGACGGCGTCTTGGATGGAGTTGTCGATGCTGTCAACGACTGGGGCTCAATTTCAAGGAACGCTTCTCGAGATGTTCACAGGAACCCAGAGAGCAAAGTAGGATGTCTCGCGGCGACACCTTGATGTCGACAGAAACGGCTCCCACGCGGTAGGATTGCACAAGAAAGGTAAAGACAGTGGTCAGAAACAGTACCTCTTGCACTCTGTCGGCCAAGAACTGCAACCTCGTGGCACGGAAGGGAAACGTTCTCATTCTAGCGCGCTCTCCGAACGTAATACGTCTGCTCCCGGTGGTCGCTCTGTGCGGCGTGGGAGGCACGGCTTCGAAAGACCCATAACAATGCCCATCGGACCACTCACAGCGGTGTAAATGACGTGTGGTTTTCGAAGTTGTGGTCTGGCCTCGTTCTGGTGGTGTGAAGTAACATGTCCGCTCGTAGGAGAAGTCCACAGCAGAGGTCGAAGTCCGCGTTGTCCGAACGAAATACACGAGATGTTATGTGTGATTTCCATAGCTATTAGCGAGAAGGTTGGTGAGATCCGGACCAAATATCCATAATTAGAGTTCCGACAAAGCCAGCAGGGTATATTAAGTGGTGATTGCCGTTAAATCACAGTGGATCTACGTGAGCCCACACCTTTGTGCAGATCTGAGCAAGTTTGCGAGCTTTAATTCTTGACAGTCCCAACGCCGGATCCTGCGCGAGCACGTTACATTCAGAGTGCAGGCCAAGAGAGCCGACCATCCTCGTGCAAAATTCTGTCCTGTCGTATGTGTTGGCCTTGCAGAGCACGTTTGAGCAGCGATTGAGTACGATTCCCTGAGGCAATTTCCGGCATTCATCAAGAACGAGAGGTCGCAGCACTTGTTGGCCCGCAGCGGTCGAGACTTCTTGGGCGTTTTCAACGGTCTTCACGTTGCCCGTCGATCGGATTACGCCTCGCTCAGACCCTTGCTTTCTTCGTTCTTTCGCCAAAGCCATCCCAGTAACAACCTTCTGTTCGACCCCGAATCAACACCTCAGACATTGAAACCGGACGCCTGGACTAAAGCATTGGCATACGACGTCGCATCCAGTCTGACCACATCTCTGGACATTCGTCGAAATGGATATGAGCAGCATGTCAAGCATGAGCATGCCCACGTCAACCGCGATGTCGGGGATGAGCGACATGTCAGGCATGTCCATGACGATGACCTCCGGTAGCATGATGCCCTCTTCGACTAGCGACTCGTCCATGTCAGGCATGGACATGAACTCAATGGGCATGATGTCGATGGGCGACATGATGATGGTGTTCTTCAGCTCCATCAAGACGCCACTGTACTCCGAAGCCTGGTCGCCTGGTACTACCGGTCAATACGCTGGAACCTGCATCTTCTTGATCGTCCTGGCCGCCATCTTTCGCGGCATCATTGCGATACGAGCCAACTTCCCCGCGCTTGCCGTCTGGTGGGCGCACAGAAGAGACACAAGCATTCTGAGGAAAGATATGCAGGAGGAGATGAAGTGGAATCTGCTGCCTGGCGCAAAGAGGCCGTGGAATATCAATGAGGCCTTGGTGAGGGCGGTACTGGACACGATCCTGGCTGGTGTGAGTTACTTGCTGTAAGTCAAACCCTCTTCTGTTTTGATGAAGCATCGACTGACCCGTAATCAAAGTATGTTGGCTGTAATGACGATGAACGTTGGATACTTCTTGTCTATTCTCGGTGGCACGTTTCTTGGGAGTTTCATCATTGGGGACTGGTCACCAACGTCGGCGATGCACTGCGATGCTCATTAGGATGATTTGAATGTCTAACGATGGTTTAAAGATTATGGACTGGACGTTGGGTAGCCTCACACTGTGTGGTAGTTGCTTATATGCAAGAATCAACTGAGATTTAATCTCCTGAGTCCAGAAAATGGTTATTCAACGTCAACGTCAATGGCGTGGTGTTGTTCCCTGCTATTTCCTCCACTTCTGGACTGGCTTGATAGCTTGGTGTCCTGGGCTTGAATCTAGGGAGACATTACGAAGCAGAACAGCCTCCTGGCAAACTGCATGTGGGCGTCTAGAAGCTGTTGTTGTTGGCTGTGTTGGTTGTGCGACGATGTGTGGACTGTTGGATTTGAGCGAAGTGATGGGCAGATTCATCTTGGGTCTTCTCTCTCTCGTCATTAGCCAGTACTTGTAGGACGTGATGTTGAAGTCAGTGAGTGACGGCGAGAAGAAGAGCTATCCAAACAGCGCACAAATGCCTCAACATTGCAAGGGCTGAAAGCAGACTAGCGCAAAGTCAAATTTTGTCTCAGCTTCAACCTCACACGTCTGTCTTGGACATGCCTCCTTTACCGCAACATTAGCATAGACGTAGTGCAATTTGGACTGGCCATCCATCTCTTGCATATTTATGTTATCTTACCTCTCGAATCGATGCAGACCGGGCCCGTACGGACAAAGATCTACTCTCTCAAACCCAAGACCACATAGCCAAAAGACCGTAACACCATTTTCAGACGAGAAAGATTGCTATATGTGTACTCATCAGGATCCATTCGACACTTTCACCTCTCCCTGGAGTCTAGCTCTGTACACCAGTCTCCACTACAATTCTCTGGCCGAAGTCACGAAGGAGGTTTGACGGCAGTTGCTTCCACTGAGGTCAGGAGGCTTTCCAGATACAGCCTAGTGTACACGCTCGTCTCCACGGCGACTTCAGGGACTCTTTGTTACGAGTCCCAGCTCAGTTCAACAACTTCGATCTGATATTGCACAACTCCACCATGGCGAATAGGTCTCTGCACGAGCGATTGCAAGGTACCTGGAAGCTGGAGTCTTATATTGCCCATCCCGCAGCAGACTCAACGGTGCAGCGGCCTACCTATCCTATGACCAAGAACGTGACCGGCCTCATCATGTATACGTGCGATGGCTACATGTCTGCGCAGATGCTCATGCCTGGACAGAAGGGCTTCGATGGTAGTGCAGAGCCTCAATGGGCCGAGGCCGGGAAACGCTCATTCACGTATGCTGGACCCTACTACATCACCAAGGAAGGCCCAGAAGAGCAAGAGGTTCTAAGGCATTCGTTCGAGCTGTGTATTTTGCCAAATCGAGTTGGCGAAATTGAAGTACGATCGCATCGCTTTGAGGAAGACGATCAAGTTCTGGTGCTGGGAGGCGAAGAGACGACTGTCATCAAAGGTGATGTGAGGATCCCTGTGCTGCGTTGGAGGCGGGTTGCGAACAATGCCGGAGCTGGACCACCGCCTGCATTGCCGGAGATCAAGCTGGAGTAGAAACCTGCGTTGGCTCAATCTATATCATTTCTACAGCTGTTTGGCTGCAACAGGCGGGAGGGAAACGCCTATCTCTGCGCTCCTGAGCGACCTCTGTGCGCCTTTCAACGGGGCCCATCCGACACAGAAGATCCTCCTCATATCATGTACCTATATTGTGGCCGTCCAGTCTCCTCTTCGACCTTGGCTGCCTTCTTGTTCTGGAGGTATAGATATGTGCCAAGAACGGCAGAGCAAACAATCCCCCCAGCTGCGAACGAGGACAACGTTACTCCGCCAGACCAATACTGCGGTGCGTCAGAGTCCGGGAAGAAGTACGACCCGTACACATTTGAAAGATTTCCGAACATGTTGACCAGTGCATACGCGATTCCTCGCTTCGTGCGGGTTCGGGGAATGGTGCTTGCAACCCATGCTTGGACGACGTTAAATGCCGAGTACGAGCCAGCGCACATCAGGAACATGCCCGTGTAGCGTACTGCTGTTGAATGGGAGCTTATGACCATGACGTTTCCCGCGATGTCTACGAGCAGAGGCCATACGATCAAAACTGCTCGCCGATCGGTCTTCGCTGCGATCAGCGAATTTCCAAGAGCTGTGAAGAAGCCGAAGAAGTACACCGGTGCTGTGATTAAAAGGGTTACTGTAGTGTCGAAGCCTAGAGTTTTGACGATCGACGGGAAGAAGTACTGCATTGAAGGGTCAGCACTGCCGTGAGCCAAGCCTTCACACGACTCACCGTCCAGGTCTGTGCTGTCAAGTTCATGTTCTGAACGAGCACAAGCATCCAAACTTTGGGGTCTGACAGCGCAGCTTTGAGACTCTCACGCACGCCTCCATTCTCATCGGTCTCGTCATTCGCTGCCAGTGACATTCGCCATTCCGCCAAGCGATGCTCCTGTGGCGTCAGCCAACTCTTTGAGCCACTGCGAGGAAAGTCTGGAAGCAGCCAGAATGCTAGAACTCCAGCGACCATGGTCCCAGCTCCTTCGATAATGTACAGCCAGCGCCAGCCCTCTAGCCCACCGGCCCCGTTCAAGCCATCGAGAACACCAGCAGCAATGAGACCGCCAAATGCGTTGGCAATCGTGTTGCCGCAATACATGAAGGCGACACGAGGAGCAATCTCACTGGGCTTGTACCATGAGCTGATCATCAGTCTGTCGCAGCATTAGCTTGCCGCTGAATAACGTTGAATGCCCTGCACCTACAGTGCTCCAGGAAAGAAAGGACTCTCCGCTATGCCAAGGAAAATGCGTGCTGCCAAGATACCGGAGTAGTTCTTGAGTGCAGCAAAGCACAGGGAAATGCCACCCCAGATGAAGATCACAGCCGGCAGATAGTACGATGGCCTCAGCCGCGTGAGGATGATGTTGGACGGGATCTGGCCCCCAAGATATCCAGCAAACTAGGCATGTCAATCCATGTCCTGTAATCGCCTCCATTGGGATGCTCACCATTACTGCCACGGCCGTTTGGTATTGGGTATCTGTCAGGCCCAGATCTTCTTTCAAGCCTCCAAGCTTAGCATTGGCGATATTGCTCCTGTCCAATATATTGAAGATGAACAGAAAGAAGAGCGGTAAGATGAGATGAAGGTCGATCTTGCGCAGCACTGGATTTTCGTCAACGGTCTCCTTCCGAACGAAAGCTCATGTTGTCAAACATACAGCGCTTCTCGATCTTCCTCGTCTCTTCATACGACAAACCATCGAATCCCAGCTGGCTTCTGGCATCCTCCGCAACTGGCGACTCGTTGAACTCAGTCACCGGCTTGTCGTCCAGGCTGTGCTTGTCTTCGTACTGCGCCATTGTGATTGCACGTGGCAAGAATTGGCATGAAACCAAGCACACTGGCATCCTAGGCGATGCCTTGGCTCTTCAAATACTACATTGTCAATTCCCCCGCTTGATCCTCTCCCACCGGCGCTACTGCTCTGGGGAGCGGAGACGATGATTGTGTGGAGTAGGTGAATGGAAAGACGGGCGGATATGTCTCGCGGATTTGCAAGCGGAAGCTCGGAAAACCAACTCAACACCGTCAATCACGATTTGCCGCCGTTCGCCGACGTGGAGGCCCCACAGAGGGGTCTTTCATTCACTAAACATCCGCCACTCAAAATCTTTTTTGTTGCCATTGAGAAAGAGGTTGATACATTTCCGCTGCATCCTTCCGCAAACCATGCGCCAGACCTCCCCAGAGCTCTCCGCTGGTGGATGCGGTCGCAATTATCCATGGCCCTACTCTGCGGATAAACACATGTCCAGCACGACATCGGCAATGTATCGGCGTCCCAGACGATAGGCCAGCCAGCAAGGTGGAAGCTCCCCAGCATCGGTGTTTGTAGACAAAAGATTCTCTCCACTTCGCTACTACTTTTCTCCTGCTCTCATAACGAACGTTCTCTCACCCAGCAGCACACGACAAGATCGACAAAACCTCGCAATGCCTCTCGCCGACTTCTTCAAGCTGAAGACCGGAGCAAAGATCCCAGCTGTGGGCTTTGGGACATGGCAGGCAGCTCCCCATGAGGTCGAAAAGGCTGTGGAAGAGGCATTAAGACAGGGTTACCGTCACATCGACTGCGCAGCGATCTACCGAAACGAGAATGAAGTCGGCGCCGGCATCAAAAAGTCTGGTGTGAAGAGAGATGAGATCTTCCTGACTGGCAAGCTGTGGAACACCAAGCACCGACCTGAGGATGTTGAGGCAGCGCTGGACAAGTCGTTGAAAGATCTCGGGACGGACTACTTGGATCTGTATCTTATGCATTGGCCAGTGTAAGACTCAGTCAGACCTACAGGCCTTGGATAACCGCTAACGACATGCAGGGTCTTCACCCCAGGCGACAAATGGTTCCCGCTCGACGACGAAGGCGTCTTCAAACTCTCCGACACCCCTATCGAAGAGACCTACAACGCCATGGCAAAGCTCCTCTCCACCGGCAAAGTCAAGGCCATCGGCGTCTCCAACTTCAACATCCGCCGACTCGAAGACCTCCTCAGCAAGACCTCCGTCGTCCCGGCTGTCAACCAGATCGAAGCCCACCCATACCTCCAACAGCCCGAGCTGACGCAGTTCTGCAAAGAAAAGGGCATTCTCGTAGAAGCATACTCGCCCCTTGGAAACAACCAGACCGGCGAGCCACGCACAGTCGATGATGCGAAAGTGCACGAGGTGGCGAAGCAATTAGACATGGACCCAGGCACTGTTCTAGGGAGCTGGGGCGTTCAGCGCGGCACGGTCGTCCTTCCGAAGAGTGTGACTCCCTCGAGAATCGCCACCAACCTCAAGGTCAAGGAGCTTCCGCAATCTGCGTTCGATGAGCTGAATGCTTTGGAGAGGCACAAGCGCTTCAACAACCCCAAGAGGTGGGGAGTGGATATATTCGGTGAGGATGGGGAGGAGACGGTCAAGAAGATTGCGAAGGAGAGTGCGGCGGAGAATAAGGTGAAGTTTACAGTCTAGTTCGAGGCGGGATGCAGCTTTTTGGATCTGTAACGATCTAGGTTGATAGACATGGAGTGAAAAGTAAGAACCATATGCCACACTCTTCCAAAAAGAAATTCCTCAAACGAGAAATACTTCCAAAACAGTAAGAAGTTCAAGGCTTTGGTGATGGTCTCTATGCGAGCTTGAACCTAAAGAAAGGATCTGATTCGCCCTGGAAAGACATCTACAGTGCAAAGACGAGTCACCATCGAATGGCAAAGAGTGAAGTTGGAGTGTTTGCAATCCCCGTGATCGTCTATTCACCATGTATAGCTGCCACATATCCGCAGCCCAACTACCTACCCAATGCTAAGGGCTATTTCCTGCACTCCTTCACAAACTCCCGACCTCTCTCAAGTACCGCACAATCTTGCCAACAAGCTCTGCGTCAATGACACTTACATGCTTCAACGCTTCCGATGCCTTCTTCGCAACCGTAGTCTCGTGATTTAACGAAGGCCGCGCCTCGTCAGTATCGTACTTGCTCGCAAAGAAGTCGACCAGCTTAATGGGAGGATTCGCCATCGGGTCTGGATTGGAAGCCCTCAGCCGCCTGATCCACTCCCTCTGCTCGACTTCTTCGAACTGTACACCAGCTTGCTTGAGCAGGGGCAACAGGTCTTGGGTCCAGTGGAAGGAGTTGTGATTCACGAGGTTGAAGAAGCGCTGCTCTGTGTTCGAACATCCGATGTCGATGAAGGTCTGAGCGACGACATCGACTGGAAGCCACGAAGGCTTTTCGTCGAGTCTGGGTAAAGCGCCAACGGTCTTTGCTGTTTGGAAGATCATAGGGATGGCCTCAGTGGCGTTCCAGACGCCGTTCATAGTATCGCCAATGACTTGACCGACGCGAAGGACACGAGCGTTGATGCCTCGTTTTCGGCAGGCCCGATCGCAGAGGTACTCTGTTACGAGTTTTGATTGAGCATAACCCATGCCTTGTGCATATGCAAAAGACTCGGGCAGTGCTTCTGGAACGATGCCTCCTGGTGTCCGGACAGTAGCACTGACGGATGAGCAGAAGTTGAACGAGGCTGGTTGGGGGCGTTTCGCTTTGAGGCAAAGGTTTATCAGATTCCTGGCTCCTGCAATGCAATCTGTCTCGAAACTTTCGAGATTTTTGTTGAAGTTGACAGACCAGGCGAGGTGAAGCACATGTGTTAAGTTCTGGGCGATCTCATCGTACAATCTCCAGTCAAGTCCAAGCAAACTCTTAGAGAAGTCGGAGGGAATCGCAACAATCTTTTGAAGTGCTTCCAGGCTGAGTTGGTTGTAAACTCGACGAGCTCGCAACGATTCTTCGACTCTGGCAATCGCCGATGAGGCTGACGGAGCGCGGACAAGGCAGTAAATCTTTCGGACGTGCTCTTGTGATACGAGTCGTGCCACAACATGAGCACCAAGAGAACCCGTTGCACCAGTCACCACAACGTAGTCGCCATCGACTTCCCGATCGATGCGCTCATGTCGATCAAAGTCGCTGTACTTCTCGACCAGAGCTGCCATTCGATCTTCCACACTCACTTTCGTCTTCTGAGGCTGGCTGGTCTGACGTCGCAGTATCTCGTTTGCCATAAGGTCGAGAGTCGGGAAGTCGAACACGAAGTTGCGGCCCAGCTCCTTGCCACCAAGATCGATGTTCTTGAGTATCGCGCTTCGAATTTGAATGGCTTGCAAGGAGTCAACGCCCAGGCTGAACAAGTCCGTATTGTCGTCGAAATCTATGTCGCCTTTGGCGGCAAGCCTACTGGCAAATTCGTTGCGCAGGAAAGTGGTCAGTTCGCCTTTCGACAGCCGGAGGGAGCCTCCTTTTTCATCGACATAGCTCGCATCGATCTGTTTGCCGAAGTCTCGGTAGAATGCCGCCCGAATGACAGTACCTTTGTCTGTTCTTCGATAGTCCGTGTCAGGTGGCAAGGTCTTGATCATGTCCCTGGACAGCTGCGAATATGCGGGAATTTCCTTGTTCATTTGCTCAATCGCCGGCATGACTGAATCTATGATGGCTTTGCTGTCCATTTCAGTTTCTGGCTTGGGAATGACAAAAGCTCCAAGACGAGGCTTGCCGGCACCAAAGACGACTGCTTCTGAGACGTTCCGGTTTTGTCGAAGCACGCCTTCAACAAGCAGTGGATTAGCTTTTTCTCCATTTTCCAACACAATCGTGTCATCCACGCGAGCATAGTACCTCCACGTGTTCGGCTTGGTCGGATGCGGCTCGAAAAGGTCTTTTGTAGCGTAAGAGCCATCGTCGCGATTAGTTGCGACCTTCGATCCCCAACCGTCGTTCACACATAATTCAAACAAGTTGGGTCCTCGTGGCTCCATGCTGAGGAAAGGCAAAAGCCTGTCTGGCACTCGCAACCAATCCCACAACTTGTCGCTCTTGAAGTCCCGGAAAGAAGTCATAAGCTGACCAACCTCCGTTGCGCCATAGTGACCGACCAGGTTTACGCCGTTTTCGACCAAGCTGTCTCCGATCGGCTTTGGGCAGGCTGAGCCACCGAACATGACAATGTCGAGCCGGCTCAAAAGGTTTATGCCCTCATCAGTCTCTGCTAGAAGCTTGAGTGCGTATGGAACGCCGTATAAGATTTTGATCTCCGGGTGTTCATTCAGAGTGTTCAACAGATGCTGGGAGGCCAGAGGTAGCTTGGCGTTGTAGAGGTAGATCTTCCTCCGCGAATGAATTGCTCTGAATGTGCAGCAGATGCCATGGTTGTGGTACAGAGGTAGAGTAAGATGACCCACTAGTCCGAAGTGCTGGGAGTATGTGTAAAGAGAGGCTCTGTGGGTTTGATAGATTGGTTTTGGCAAGCCCGTTGAACCGCTGGAGTGGATGATGAATGATCCATTCTTCGTTTCTCGCAGTGGATTTAGTGCTGCAGAAGCAAGTCTTGCTGTTCTTTTGCCCAAGTCCTTGCTGTCGGAAATCTGTGCTGTCCGAAGGCCAGGGATCGTTGCAGCAACTGTTGACGCAGCTGAGGAGAATGATGATTGGTAAAGCAGTGCCGTTGCCTTGGTGCTCGACAAAAGCGACTCGTAAGCCTCGTCGGTGATCCTTGTAGAAAGCAACAGTGCAGTGTGGCCAAGTCGAGATATAGCAAGCAGTGAGATCAGATAGCTCAAGTCAGAGTCTCCAAGCATTCCGACCACTTGAACAGGCTGATCCGAGTGTACTCGCTGCGGAATAACTTCGGCATAGACACAGGCAGCCTGATCGACAAGTCGGTCGAGATCCTTGGGCGTGTATTCGATGTAGTTTGTCCCCTCATCAGGGTAGCAGATAATTGGCTCATCGTGACCAGGTTGCCTTGCTCGCAGTCGTATCAATTCATCGATAGTCCTGGGTTCTTGCTGCTCCAACTCCAGCTCCGGGATGGAATCGACATCCGCAACTTCGACAGTCTCTACTGATATTGACTTGAAGCCATTTGGGTGGCTCGCGGCCGGTTGTGAGAGTACAGTCGCCATGTTGTTAGAAGCGACTGTCGATGCTGACCCAACTCCGATAGAAACGTTTCCTGGGATATAGGACATGACTGCTGCTCAACATGGATGTTGTCGTGGCCAGCATTTCCGCGTCGACTGCCCAAGACGGCATTTGTCGCTTCCGGTAGCGCTGCACCTCCAAATTCCGAGATCGAGAGCTTCGAGGCGAGGTGGCGAAGAGCCACAAATCAAATCCGGCGTCAGGCCAAGCGCTTTTCCGCAAATCCGATCAGCTGCAAATCCACGTCGAGTGGATCCAAAGCGCAAGCACAAGTCCTCAGTCGGAAAGTCGTCCTATCGCTAGGACTTTCTCCAGGGCAAGACTTACTGCACGCTGTGAGCTGCTCTTTTCATGCTCGACTTCAGGAGTTCTCGTTTTGATTGATTCTTCTCGTGCACAATTGCACCAGGAGAACGCTCAATCAGACGAAGCTTGATGCCTCTCGCCATCACAGTTCCTCCAACACATCTCAAAGAATTCTGCAGCTGCATTTCTGCGGGGCCTATTGGGTATCGTGTGTTGATTTCCGAGCATCGGTGGAGGCCGGACCCGTGAGCGGAAAACCGTTCATGGTCGTTGCAGAGCAGGCGATTCAGCTCAAGCTATCAACCCTTCATCGCGCCAGGTATCCTTGAGTTCTGTCTAGCGATGGCAAAGTCCCAAAGCGGTGTTGTAGTAGGTGTCCGGTCATAGCCCGGGAACGAAGCACACCATAAAGTTGGTGTCTTGCAGCTATCTCGCGGACTCGGGTCCGTATGCTGGCCATCCAATCATTCACCTGGTTTCATATCAGCAGGCCCATGCTTTTCCAAAATAGCAACGTCATGCGACATCACCTCATCTTCTCCATCCACGAGAATGCTTCCCTCTCTTCTCTACCACAACTTGGGCAGTCCACGACATGGCTCAGCCATCAAACGATGAAAGTACAATACAATCAGTGGCGAAGTTCACGCCCGACGACCCCGGGAATCCTCGAAACTGGCCTGCTTGGCGAAAATGGGGCATTGTGCTCAGCATAGGTCTTGTCGACCTTACGGTTTCCTTTGGGGCGTCAGGGTACTCTCCGGCTAGTGGCAGCTTTGCGGACGACTTCCAAATCGACCATGAACTCGCACAACTTGGCTTGTCGCTATATGTCCTTGGCTTGGCGTTTGGACCAATGTTCATCGCTCCCTTGAGCGAATATTACGGCAGAACCGCCTTGTACCTCATCCCCTATGCTACTTTCCTGGTCTTTCTGGCAAGTACGGCCGTTGTGCAGAGCTTGGCCGGATTCTTCGTTCTGAGGTTTCTATCGGGAACATTTGCGAGTGTCACGATTGCCAATTTCGGAGGGACGATCGCAGACCTTTGGCATAGAGATCAAGTCGGCCCGGCAATGAACATCTTCCTCTGGGCGGCAGTTTGTGGCAGTCCTCTTGCGTTCTTTCTGATGTGCTTGGTGGCACAGCACCATGGCTGGCGGGAGGTGTTCTGGGCGCTGTTTGGCATCTGCGGTATCCTGTGGCTGCAGATGGCGATTGTCCTGCTTGCGTTCAACAATGAGACAAGGCATTCGGTCCTTCTCCGTCGACGAGCGAAACGACAGAACGAAGTCATTCCCGGCGAAGCACAAGCTAGGTCGCTGAAGGAGCTGTTCACGGTGACGCTGGCGCGCCCGTTACGGTTCTTGAGCACGGAGATGATTGTGGTGTTTGGTGCTTTGTACAATGGCTTCCTGTACGGCCTCTCTTTCATGTTCAATGGTGCGTTCAGCATCGTGTTTGGTGGCGCTGGGTACGGATTCGACACGCTCGGAATTGGCTGCACGTTTCTCGGACTGGTCTTCGGCATCAGCATCGCCCCGGTCATTGGCATTTGGCAGGAGAGGTATTACCAAAGGAGGGTGCACGGCGACCGGAAAACGTCAGAAGGCTCGGAGTCAGACGCTCTTCTCGGTGGTAACGACACTGGCAAGGCGCGCTACGATCCAGAAGCTCGCGTGCAGCTTGGAAAAGTTGCCGCTGTCCTGTTACCCATTAGTCTCTTTCTCTTCGCATGGACGTGCCCGCAAGAGTATGGTATCCATTGGATTGTACCCATCCTCGCAACCGCGCTCTTCGGCTTCAGCTTCTTCACGCTGATCTTTATGGTGGCGATTTACAGTGAGGAGAGTTATATGCAGTACTCGGCGAGTGCTCTGGCAGGGATCGGTTTGGTGAGGAATGTGGCGGGTGCGGTATTTCCTATGGTGGGGGGAGTCATGTTCAGGAACCTAGGATATCAGTGGGCGGGAACAATCATTGCGGCGCTCGCGTGTTTGCTGGCGCCCATACCGTTCATTCTCGAACGATATGGGCCACAGCTGCGCGCGAGGAGCCCGTTTGCACGGAGCCATGTGGAAGACGATGAGTAAATGATAAATGTGGAGCGGAAAGAGCTCGATTCTCCGTGCTATCTGCTGTGGCCAGCTTCATTGCTGCCTCTGCAGCACTCTGGTCGTTCATGATGTGGTAGCGATTTCTGTAACGATGTGAGCATTTGTGCGGTGTCTTTGGTGGTGGTGTGGTGGCTTACGCTCAGCGCCCTCCTCGCTGGTGCCCGAAGGCCTTGTCTCTCAGGAGACGCGTGGGTTTCTACTCTACCTGTCAGCGCCTGTTTGCCATCTTGGTATTGATATGATGACGCTCACCTTCCGCCCGGGAAGACCTCGTCGACTTGCCGGATCCAGAGGGGCACCGGCTCGGGGACCAAATCCTCGTCGGGGACGCCGAAGCAGCAGAGCAGCCGCATTTGCTTGCGGAACGCCGTGAACTTCTTGCCCATTGTGATGTTGTTTTAATTTAAGAATTTGAAGTTGTCTCCGAGGATTGCTTGGTGGTGGTGGTGCTGTTGCTGCTGTTGTTGGTATGGTTGCTGGCAGCGTGATGGGGATGTCTTCAAGTTGAAGCAATGTGCTCCCTGCTGGGCTTGTCTGCCTGAGGCCGGCAAGTTCACGTGAGCCGGCCACGCTCCTTCCGAACGCAGAAGCCCGCGCGTAGTCCTCAGACCGTACCAGAAACACCGTAGTCTGGGAGCCCCTGTGCACGGACCTTTTCGAAAGTACTTAAGCCAGCTCAATCTCGTCCTCGAGCCAACTTTCTTCCTTCCTCATACTTACCTTGCGAGGGTGGGCTCGCACATGAATGAGTACCACCTAGCATTCCTCTGCTCCATTGCACAGCGGGGCCAGAGGATGCTATGAGTGTCCTAGCCAGGCCTCAGTCGCATAATTTTTGATGGCGCCCTCGGGCAGGAATGCTTTTTCATCATGTCGTCGCCGCTGGCGCAGGCCTGAAGAAGATGCTTACCCTCTTCGTCCATGTATTGATGTTGCTGCTGTGTTGCTGTGTCGTTGTGCTCGCCGTGTATGTGTTTGCTGTGCGCGTGGTGATCAACGGTGCTGGCTGTGCATGCCTTTGAGCGCGTGTAGGACTATCTGTAGGCTCTTTATGAGGGTCAGGTACGTTTGAGGTTGTTCTACTGGCTTTTATGATGCTCCCTGTAGTGTTTGTGATGACCTTTGTCTACCGCGTGGCCGCGCCGTTGCTGCCCAGGGCTCGATGGTCGACGCGACGGGGGCGGTGGTCGTGCGACCGGTGCGGATGACAGCCCACTCCACGACGGCGCCATCATGCAGACAATCCAATAGTAGTAGAGGCTGACCACAGAGGCCTATCAGCTCCGTGGATATCGCTTGGCCGTCCTCCAGGGTGCCATCGCCACACGCGCGGACGGCGTCACCTATCCTCAAATCGATCACCATGGCATCTATGAGGGTTCAGAGCTGGCAATAACCATCTCCAGCGACCTTGACAGGGCCTCATCGTTATAGCGCTGGCTCTGGTGGCAATAGACGACTTCCCGCATACACGACCTCCGCCACGCAACCACGAGCAGCATCTCCTAGGCCCTTCTCGACAAGCTGAAGAGGCACTTCATGCTATCAGCAAGCTCATGAGTCCTCTTGACACGCCCTCGAGGCATTCAGATGGCCGTACTACGCCACGGCAGGTACACAACAGGATGCCCGACAACCGCTTGCACGACGGCTGCAAAGAAAAGCCTAGCAGTTGAGGCACTAGGCACAGTTTTGGCGACTCAGTACTGCTCAATAGCACAGGCTGGGTTGACAGGCCCTCCGCGGCAAGAAAGAGACGGCATTTGAGAGACACCTCCAGCTACACCATACCACACCTTAATCCGCGACAGCGACCGGCTGGGCCTCAAAGAGTGGGCGACTACCTTCGTGGCAGCTCCAAGGATGGCGCAGGTCTTGCATTTGCCTCCTCTTGGGCCCGCGAGTGTTGGCCGTAGGATACAGGATTAGCGTACATACGGCACCAAGTTGCCACCGACTGCCATCGCAGCAAAGCCAGGGGTCTGCCACCGCAATCTCTGACTTGAACGTAGCTCCCATTTCAGGCCTGAAGGAGGTCTGAAAGGACCGCATGAACCAGCAAACTCGCCACTCGAGCATCACCTCCGTCCCCCCGCCGCATCATGATCGGTACGCAATTGACCTTAGCCAGCCCTTAGCAAGCAGCAACGATCACGAACGCCACGACGTACTCCGAGAGTGTCCGAGCCGGCCACTTGAGCGATTGATGGGGAAGACTCCAAAGCTATTGTTCGCCACAGATCGATCCACCATACAATCGTGCTGCAGCAAGAGGAGGATCGCAAGAGAAGGACAGCAGGGCTGGGAAGACCGAGGAATGCAACACCTTCCATCGGAGGCCATGCATCTACGGAATTTGCTTCCATGCGACGTTACTCAGAAAGAGGCGGGAGATCCAAGCTTGATCATTGGAAGGACTAGTCATGGACTGTCTGCAGTGCCGCGCCGCTTTTGTCGCACCTCGACCTCCTCTCTTGCCGGTGTCTTTCACTGAGATGGTAGGCAGAACGACTGCATTCAGGTGACCCGCTCTCAAAGCCAAAAATTCGATGAGAACGTGGGACCGACCTTGCAGCGAAAGGCACCAATGCACAACTGTGGACGCGATTGCGGATACGCCAAGTCGGGAGTTATGTGCAATGTGTAGCATATAAGGGTGTACTGCACGAGGCCAGTCGTGCCTGCTGTGGACATGATGCTTGGAACATACAACTCAGAGGCATCGCCACTGCATCGTTCGCAATGGCCTTTGCCCGCCGGCACGACAGCAAGCAGGAGTCAAAGGTTCTGGACATTCAAGCAGAGCGCTAGCGGCGACGTCGCTTGGGAGATGGAATAATTCGACAAGAGGCTCTTCGCCGTATACAGGACTGCAGTCCCCGCCAGAGCAAGGTCTCCACAGACGGCAGCTCATTTCATCTCCTTTCCAGAACCCGGCCGCCTTGGTGGGAATCTTTGAAAGCTGCAAATTAGACAGGAAGAAGCTCGGCGGTTGTTTTGGGCTTTTGGGCGAGACTCACACATCGTTTGCGGTGAAGAAGCTGAAAACCAGATATCGACCATGACAAGGCTGGGGGTGTCTCTTCTCTATGAGCCTCCTCAAAAGCCTACAATATGGAGCATGCGCTCACCACGTCATGTTGGCGCAGGAGCTATTGCCACAGCGGAGCTTGAATAGATCCACAATGCCTGCTGCTCCGAGCGAGCGTGGTTGTGAGGCTACTTTCGGGATATACAGCAGCCTTCTCGGGTGCGCCAAGACACCGGGCCCATAGTTTGAGGTATTGCCAAGCGAACTCGAAGTGGCTTGAGGTCGTGCGGCAGCAATCGGAAACCCGAATTGAAGAAATGGTCAGGAAGCGCTTGAAGATTTTCAAGTTTGGGTGGCGATAATGATGTGCCAGAGAGCATCGAGGTCTGCGGCTCATGCAGACACATCGTTTCGCCTGTGGGAATCTGAGATACATACTGCCGGCAGCAGAGCTCAGGCGGCCGCATTTAGGACTGGACGAAGACACTCATCATTCGAACGCATCTCGTTCGGAAGTGTTCAATCGCATGGCGAGCTGAATCCGTGCAGCCGCAGATTGGTATCGGTGTTTGAGAAGTCGAAATTGTACAGCTCGTACGGATGATCGCTGTCGTCAGACCTTGGTTCCAACTCGTTTTGAGACTATGGCACGTCTTCCGAGCAGCCAGATTTCCGAATACTGAAGGCTCTCAAATCGTATCTGCTTCGATTGGTAAAGAGATGGAATTCCGACCGAGGAATTAAGAAGTCATAGCCTGGGGTCTGCGGTCCATGCATACACATTGTGAGCCGCACTGGTTTTAAAGCACGGAATCTCGATTTGTTGTGGGCACTGATTTCATTCGAATGCGGCTTTCGCTCCATCGAGCTACACTCCAGTCGCGCTGGTTGGCGCCTGGTGACTATCGACAGCGGAGCTGGAGGGTCTTGAGGATACCTGATGTTGGCTGGACGTACATTGCGCTCCTTGGTATATGCAACGCCTGACGGGGAGGGTCTTTGTTCGATGATTTGTTCAAGGCCTTCGACCATCTCCTCGGCCTGAATGCGCTTTGTTGTACGGGTTTGAAGTATTACCAGGACATGGTAATTACTTGAGTTCATCGCCAGAAGTTGCTTCGCATGTCATGCAGACGTCCAGAATTCCAGCTCCCAGTGGCTCTTGGGTCAGACTTTTGTGTCGCTATCGACCATGATGGATCTTGGGCGCTTCCAATGCTGGCCTGGTAGCTCGGCGCTCTGTATTTGACTGAGTGTTTGATATATCGGAAGTGCGGATCGGATGGTTTCTCGAAGGCTGCTTCATGCCAGCGGATACTTGATGGCAGCTAGGCGGAATCCTGACACCATATTCATGCCTGCTTCGACTTGGATGGTTTTTGAGGTAGTGTTGTGGCCCTCTGACACCTCTGGTCGGTATGATCGGTTGTGAAGGAGTGTCTGGGTGTGTGGTGTGTGGTGTTTGATACTGCATCTGCCTCCTATGCGATTATGTGTGCTGCTTGGTCTCGCTGTCGAAGATGTCAAGTACGATCTGGTCGTAGCAGCTGCCGAAATCTGCTGGAGATCCTTGGCTGGAAGGAAGCCTTGTGGACCCAAGCCATTGCCGAATTACTAAGCACTTGCTGCTCAAGATCTTTGAATGGTTGCTTGCTGTTTCGACGAATGGCGATACCAACGATCAGTTTGTTGAAAATCTATCATGTCGATGCTTGTGGGCAGCTGAAGGCCTCTCGGTCATGGAATGGTCTTTGTGGGAGGTGTCATGGTCATTCGGCTTGATCCAACATCTGCTTCCTCCTCTTATGGTTATGCATGGTAGTCTGCCATGCCCCTGAAGCCAAGATCCTTTGCCTCGGCTGATCGATATCGTCCAGTCTCTCCCTTGCTCTTTGCTTTGTTCAGGACAAAGGATGACGCCTCGGACGCGACTGTTGAAAACCAGCGGTTTTCTTTGGGTGGTGAGTTGTCTTTGTTCGCGGCCAGGACACCTCGTTGCACTGCCCTAGTCGCGTCGCTGTGCTGGATCGTTCTCTTCCTCGTCGCGTATGCTGGTCGTCGTCGCGGTCGGTCTCCGCGCGAATGCTGTGTGCACTTCTTTGGCGCTCGACAAGGCGCTCGTTCTCGCTGGTGATGGACCTAGCGGAATCCACCTACAGAGAGCGGGCCAGGAGTGTACTCACCGAGCTGGATGTTCATCCATTGCGCTCGCATCGCCGTCGCTCGATGGAGAGCCGCGGAGCCCACCCAGTAGCCGTCGTAGTAGTCTCGCGCCCGATCGGCGGGATATCTGCTGCTGATGCGGACGAGGGACATCCGGTAGTTGTGGACTACGTGGTCGTAGCCGGGGAAGCGGTCATCGTGGAGGCTGATGACGCCCCTGCGACGACCGACGAAGGCGCCTCTGGTGCCGGGCCAGGGAGTGACCTCGTTGCTAGACATTGCGTGGCTTGGATGGCTGCGGTGTGTTGTGGATTGATTGAAGTTGTGGTGATTCTCTCGCTGGTCATGCAGATGTGGTGAGCGCAGGTCGGTGTGGTGGTTGTTGGCCGTCTGCTGAACACGCCTGGGCGGCGGGAGGAAGACCTCCTCCAACGAACGAGCCCAGCAGCGATGGAGAGCGGTACTGCAAAAGCCTGTTCACTGCTACACACGGCTGCGCAATCCTCGAGAAAGAGCAAATACTCGTCTACACGCTGGTCTTCACCTGCGAGACCCAATCCAACCTCTGCTCATGCATGGGCACTACTCTGGGGGTCTTCTCCTGCTCTGCAGCGCGGCCGCACGGCCGAAGTTCGCCGAGAGTGAGCGGCCAATTCTTACCTATATAGGGTGCGCGGAGTTGATGTCCTTCGCCTTCGGGCACAGGTACGTATATTTCCTTTATCTTCAATGGCGCAATGGCACGGCGGCACGGCGGCAACGGCATTCGAGCGACAAAAAACCTAGTCTTAACCACTACGGGCTAATTACCCTGAATTAGTGGGACGAAGGTATATCTTGAGCGGACACTCCTCAAGTTTTGCCATTTTTTGGGTTGTTGGTTGTGGTTATGGTTCAGGTTTTTGCCCGGATCGATGGTAATGCCCCAGCACTGCACTTACGGCCTTCAAAGTCGATCGAGGAACTTCGCCATAGCCATCGCAAACACCGTATCGATTTTTGGATGCACAATAAGGTGGTGTTGTGATGTTATCGAATTTTGTGCTTGGAGTGGTGATGAAGTTGAGCGATATCAGCTTGCCCTGGGGGACTACACCGCCGCGGAGGAACGCCAGACGTGCATCACCAACACCACTACCACAGGAACTCCCACACAATAGTCATGAAGTGCCAGTAAGGGACAAAGGCGGGACTGCAGGTTGAGGAATCGCGGCCAGTCCAGCTACTAGGCAAGAGGAGTGCAAGACAAGCAACCTTGCCGCTTACTCGAACGCCCCCATCAGAGGCCAACGATCGATCACATAATTTTTCGAACGGTCGGAGGGGATCCTTGGTAGCCTTCGCAACAACCTCCATGCCACAGTTATCGATTACAGAGCATGGTGAGGTCGTGGTGAATTTTTGATGCTGGTGGGCCTTCACGCTGAGCAGCTTTCGCTCGTTCACCGGGCGCAGCTTAACCATATCCGCGTCGTCTTCTTCCCTTCTCCGACAACAACATCCAACAAGCACCACCCTCGGCAGCCTTTCGACACTTGCCTCGATAGCACAGACACAGATCCAAAACTCGAGAACAGCGCCATAAGATGAAGCTCCTCGTGCTCCTCATGCGAATCACCACCGCGCTGCACCGGAAGGTGTCCGTCGCCGTCGCGCCAAAGACCTTCGAGGCGCAGGCAAAGGGCCAGGAGAAGCCCTGCCTCATGGACAGTGTCCGCGCTCGGCGCCAGGAGAAGGCCAACAGAGAGCGGGTAAGTCGCCTCGCTCGTCCCTGACGTACAATTGCTGAACATCGCGAATGACCGCTCTCCACCTCCATCTCCACCACACACCCCTTTCTGAACCCGACATTAGTCGATTCGTTCGCCTGGAAGAGCATTCGATAGGCAAGATACTCCAGGGATAAGATATGGCATCATTGGCACCGCACAGTTTGAGACATGGTACGTCCATAGGAAAGCGGAAGTGGCCAGGAATCGTTCCAGCGGCAGGCTACATCGAAACATTGGCGAATTCTAGGACCACAGCAGGACAAAGCGACAGCGAGTCATCGGCATCGATCCTTTCAGCAGTCATAAAGGTTCCCACGAGGAGCAACAGTGCACTCCTGGGCTGCGTCGAAAGAGTATGATACCGCGGCTATAGACCTACAATGGCTCTACCTGCGATACAAAACATTCGGATGATGCTCATTCGGCCAGGGTTTCGACCGCAGAAGAGCCTGGGTAGGCTGCAAAATGACCATGCCGAGGCTCTTTGACCCATCGCTTCTCCATCCCTCGGTATCCGATGCATCATCGAGTCCATCACCATGCAGAAAGACCTCTTTGTTGTTACTCTCCGTGCATTCCCCCTGCTCTTAATTCCGAGCCCATCATCGTTCTTCCGCATTTCCACGCCATTGCTCTTTCAAGACATTCTAATTCCCTCTCCAATCCTTTCGATCGACATGCATTCGGTCACCAGTATGGGAGAGGTATGAGAAAGGGCATGAGATGCGAAAGTGTTGTAGAGGTGAGGTCGGAAAGCCTGTCTCCACTTTGCCCTTCCTTCGCCCCGGAATCGGTAACGTGGCTGGGGCTCCCCTTGCTCCATCTCTTTCGCCAACAACCTCTTCGACGACAACATCGCGCGAAGCGTTTGGCAACCATCCGAAGACGCGGCCCACGTCATGAGGCGACAGTCAATATGCTGATGACTGTAATGAGACCGTCAGAGGATCTCGCCATCTGCCTTGGCCGCAACTGTTGTCTTGGCTGCCACAGGAAATTCTCCGAGGCCACGTCCTTCCCTGGCAACACCCCAAGATCGCTGCATCATCAATCAGGAAGAGAAGAAGCCGACGGTGTCCTCATCAAGACGCGTTTGTAATGCTAGACAAAACGTCCACGGCGTAAACTGCTTTGCGACCCAGTGCACGGTTTGTCAAAGGAAAACTACGAGCCTTGGCACCTCGCGTGAGACAAGATTACCATAAGCACTCTTCACGACCTAAGGCTCGCGAGGCACAGCATCCACAGCAAAGCCACTTCGACTCAGACTACGGCTCGATGGTAAAGGCGACAAGCCGGATTGTCCGTCCCCTGCCTGCTTTGCCAAGTGCGACGATGTCGAGTGGTGGCCGCGAAGTACTGTACTTACGACCCGTGTCTGGGGCACTGGCCTGCTATTGATGATGTTTGCAGTAATTAAGCCCCAAAGCCTGGCAGTACTTTGTGTGGGCTTGCACACCTGCGGCATTCCAGACCACTCTTCTTCAATTGCTTTGGGAGAAATACCTGCAATACCGCGAGTGCTTCGACGAACCGCAATGCGGCGGCACAGATGCCAATGTCGTCAGCTTCTCCTAATGATGATATAGAACGGCCTGGGTCTGGAGCTCAAGAAAGGCTAGAGAGAGCTTGACTGACCGTCGCTTAGAGTTTAACTTCCTTGCCAAGTTCAGCTGCCCCTTCAGGCACTTGGCGGCTACATCTGGCCAGCACTAGGCTGCGTACGGTTGGGACTGACCTATGTTCTTACCACGCCGAGTTTCGCCAACAATGCCATGCCCACGTTGTGTATGACACGCGCATGCTGCGCCCCGGATTGCCCTGAACCTACCACTGGCAAGTTCCGACGACCATTCACGCCGGCCTCTAGCTCGGGTACCTTCTCACTCTCCATTGGAGACATCTCTTGCCCAGCATTGCCAACACCGCCGAGTGTACGCTTTGCTGTACGGCTGCACACTCTTCCGCCTTGACAGCCCAAAGAGCCCGAGAGTCATACTGACAGTATGCACTTCTTTCCAATCTACATGACCAATTCCAAATGTACCTTTGTCGGGGCCATGGCACACGTTGATCCTCATGAATCTTTGGGACGCCCAGGAATGCATTGTGCGAGATGCCAATGCCAGAACGACGTAAGATCCTGATTGCAGCCCCACCGTGAGGAGGCGTTGACATTTTGCTACATAAGTATCGAAAGCCCTCCTCTCTTCTCAATCACTTCATTACAATCAGCTTTCGATCACCATAACAACTCATCAATCGCTTCACTGCTTCCAATCGCTAAACGAACCAACAAACCAATTCGAATAATCTCTATTCATAATGAAGACCTCCGTCATCGCCCTCTCCCTCTTCTCGGCCGTCGCTTTTGCTCTTCCAGAAGCTCACGGTGGCTGGGGTGGAAACGGAGGATGGGACGGCAAGGATAAGGGCTGGGGTTGGGGTAAGGGAGACTGGAAGGGCAAGGGCAAGGGCTCGGTAAGAAGAACGACTAGATATGGCTCTCTTATGACTGACAGTCATTATCCAGGACTACTGGAAGTTCACCTCGACTTTCTCTGTCAAGGCCACCCCTGACCAGGTTGTGAACGGTACCACTCCAACAGGCGGACAGCCAGTGAGTCAAAACCACCGTCTTTGCAGTAACTTGTCCTGGCAGCTGACCACTTATTCCTCACAGGGCGCCGTCGGCTACTACGAGTTCGGCCTCAACTCCCAGAAGAACTTGTAAGACAATATCTGCCCTGTCCTTCTCCTACGCCTCTGCTAACACCAGCTCCCTCAGCATCTGCTACAACATCCGCCTCCAAAACTTCGGCTCCGCCACCTACCAGTCCCCAGCGGACACCGCAACACATATCCACGAGGCTGCCCGCGGCCAGTCTGGTCCACCACGCATCGCCTTCCCCAACCCAGCATACGAAGGCAGCCCAGAAGAGAGAGTCAGCATCGGTTGCCTCCAGGGCCCATTCCAGACGGGTGTGATCAACAACGCTACTGGCCAAGACACCGGTGTGGGTTTCAACGTTGCTCAGATTGAGGCGAACCCATCTGCCTTCTTTGCGGATGTGCACACGAATGTGGCTGTTCCTGGTGCGGTTCGGGGACAGATTGCTTAAGAAAGGATACGTCGTTTATGTACATATCTATATGACGGGTGGTAGGGGAAGGATGGCAGTGTAATCATAATCTGAATGAACATCTTGGTTTTCAGTGCCAGTCATCAAAGGCTACGGTCGGTTTGCTAGCTTGCCCTTCAGTTTACAGTATCGTTGAGTTTGCGCCTCCGTCCATGATCACTATGCAGTCACGGGACAGACTATTCAGGGAGCATTGAAAAGACTATTACAAGTGCCCGTGGTCTTACGATGTCATGCGTTCGGGACATACATGTGTGATGTCTAGTGAATATATTGGGACTGGTACTTCTCTCACAGTTCTGAATAGCTACCATCCACCACCCAGAACTTTCAGGTCCATCGCTGCGCTGTCGTATGTGGATTTCACTTTGTTCTATTAGCTCGCTGTCCTCACTGTCGCCTTCGCCGCGCTTGGGAAAATCAACGCTGCTTCAACAATCCAAAGGCTGCGGCATGGGCAGCTGATTCAGACTCGATGAGTGTCAGTCTCGGCGTATTTACACTCTGAGCTTACACAAGTTTGAGCGGTTTCAATGGCACACCACGGGCTCTGAGGTGATCTGGCAATAGCCTTGGATCTCCATTTATTGTCTTTCCTGTGGCCAAATCGCGGAACCTGACAAAGTGTAACGGGTCGTTCGGAGTTCGGTCTGCCTTGATTCGCACCCACGAAGAAGGGACTTCTCCCAGCCGAGGATCCTCGCTGACTGTCTCGTTGGTTGCAAGATTGCGGAAAGTGACTCCACCATACCATCCTGACGAAGCTCCGACTTGCACAACAACGCTTTGAGGAAGTGAACCCAGTACACCTTCTGCATCCATCAGGCCGTGGATGTAGGCTGGTCCAACGACTTGGTAGCGGCCAGAGCTGTGGGGGCGTAAGATCATAGGTAGGGGACATCCGAGGATCACACAGACAATGTCCAATTCTTCAGGTTCGGCAGAAGTCATTCCCATGTATCCACTGTTCAACTCGATATAGACTCTTCCAAGAGCTTCTCTGTATCGGGATTTGTATGAACGTTTGCCTGGATCAGGACGATTATCAGTTGCCTTCTGCTTGTTCGGAGCGCACAAAATCTCCCTAATAGCTTCTGTTGCATCGTCCAGTGTCAAGGTCGCGTTGTCTAAAGGGCACCGCTCACGGAGTGTGTTCCAGTGGACCGTTTTCACGAACGCATCCAGAAGGCTCTCTTTCTTGTTGATATACATTTCATTCTCGACGCATTCCGGGGCCCAAGACCTGATGACGGGCTCCAGACTTTCCAAGTTATCATCATGCTCAGGTGCTCTTAATCTCACGGAAGAGATCGTTCCGCATTCGACGCCCTGCACAAGAAGTGTAGGTTTTGGCGTATTGGTGAGTTCTGCTGTCGAAACCGAAATACTGCTGGCCAATGTTGTACTCAGGAGCCAACGAGGACTCAATCTTTGTGCCACAGACCAATCCGGTACCCACGTAGGGCCCGGTAATGAACGATTCACAAGGTCGCACGCAAGCAAAAAGTCGATGCGGCCGGTAGCCTCGCACAACGCCACAACCGCATCTGTGTATACCTCTTCTGTACTTTTGTTGTAATCGGGTACGATCTTGTCGGCAACTAGAGCGGGGGCGAGTCCGAGAGCACCGTATATCTTGTCTCGAGGATCACGGCATCCTTTGCCGTTCAGATGCAAGAGGGTGTGGAGAAACGGCTCATCAAACTGTCGCAGCACCGCGTCGCCTGCACGAAATAGGGGCCCCATTAAGCCCGGTGGAATTGTGTTGAACTTCGAAGCAGCACACCAGGCAGCTGCTCCGAACCGATATAGTTCCATGCTCTTCTGGCCGCACTGGAGGATTGATTCGTCGCTAGAAAGCTTGGCCTCTTGCCACACCCATAGTCGTTTGAACCAAGTTCGATCCAGTAACTTTGTGATTGACTACCAGGTCTCCCTATCATAAGGCAGTGGAACCGCGGTCCTCGACCAATTTGGCTCCAGACAGCCTGGTGCATTCACTCGCCATGATCCTTGGTTGGTAATCTCAACTTGTCGACCCAAATACTCTAATTTGGACATCGCACGCTTGCTGTCATCGTATTCCGGACCAATCCAGACGATGACCTTTTGAGCAAGCTTGTAGATGTGTCCCATATGCCGGACCAAGTGACTTCGTTCCGAAACATCGTCTTGGTTAATACAAATGTTATCCACCCACAGCATCCTGGACCGATTCTTGTGCCTGAGATGTCTGAGCGCTGTGGCTAATTCGCTTTGTATCGATAGGCACGATATGCCTATTTCAGGTTCGTTATCAAAGCATGCTCGTGAAATATACTCGCCTGCGATTATGTCATTCTCTCCGTTGCGTATTTTGCTTCGCTTGGCTGATTGAGGAATCGTGCAATCTTCAGCGGACCTTTTGTTGCTCTCGTTTGTAACATTGTCCTTGTGCCTGCTGTGATTCGCATCAGACTCTACCGAGTACTCGATAGTCGTTGAAGTCTGCTCGATAATCACAACTGTCTGATCTTCTTTCGGGCCCCAAGCATGCGAAAGGGCCTCATATTGTGGCTTTGTATGAAGAAGGTTGTAGTTGTTCGGAACAGGTTCGAATTTGGCCTTTGGGTGCTCCCAAGAGGTTTCATAAGGCTCATCTGGCCTGTAGTCCTTCTTCCTTTCGAATATGAATCTTCCATTGATGGTTTCACGCACTGTCCAATCGGGGGGAAGATCTTTTTGTAGGTCGCCAACGGCGAAGCCTGATAGCTCTGGTCGGGCGCCATTTGAAGAACTCAGGGAGACACAGTGTATCTTGAGGTGTATGTCGTCATCGTATTTTCCGGGAAGGAGTTCGGCGAGCCTGGTCTCTTTGATCGAATGATTCAGGGTCGCGTATTGATATTCCGGTATCTCAGGCAACGACGAAGGTGTCACATCCATTTTACCGCCCGCTGCTCCTGAAGTCCAGTTCAAGCTGGAACCTCGCAGCCTCCCTTTCAGATTTTCGTGTCCTCTACCTTCGCCCAATGCTCAAGTGAACGGTCCAAAAGCGTTAATAGGAGAGCGTACGCCGTGTCTATTCTTCACTGTCGAGAGAGCGCCGTCCTTTGGACAAAATACTGTGATGGCCTTTGCTAGTAACAGTCTTGCTGGCTTGAAAAGTGATCGAATGGCCTTACAAATGTGGTGTGAATCTTGATGTAAGTGAGCCTCACCTGTGATTAGCCTTCGCGTCCTCAATGGCAGCCCTGTTGAGTACCAGGCGGCCTCCGTGGCTTTGCTCTTGATCAACGCCCGGCTGCAGCGTGTCGAGATACAATTGGTTGCTACAGTCACACACATGCTTGTGCGCCGCCACCGTAGCTGCACGTTTGCCTGAAATTGGAACCAGCCACCTTCTGCGGCTCCGGTGAAGCAGCTACGAGCGAGAGGTTCGCTATAAAGGACATTACTCTGCCACTTTCGATCGCTTGCACATAGTCAGACATACCTGAGCCGGCCTTACCACTGAACAGCATGGGTTGGCAACAGCCGTGCTATCTGGCTTTGTTCCAGGTCAGTCGCTCGTAACTGTTGAATCATCAAATCAATGCTGACCTATGAAGGACCCTCACGACACTGCACCTGGTGACGCAACCAGAACAAACGGTGGAAAGAGTCGATTCACAACTACGTCGTACAATCGGGACGAAACTAGTGTCAGCCGTGATCCGAATCCTCGTGATCCAGGACCAGATTGACGGAACATGCCCACTTGGCCTCGAGAGGCTTAAATCTTCTGGTATTTCGCTCTTCACGCCATACGGGAAGAGGCGACTCAAGAGATTGGGGGCATATGGTGATGGCATAAGCGGGTTGTTGATCGTGTCTAAATTAGGGCACCTCAAATACATACAATACACCAATCGTTCTTGCTGAAGACGGGAAGTGTCAGATCTTGAGAGCAGTTCGGATGAAGGATGTGCTTCCCGATGCTAAGCAGCCGCAGTAGTAGTACAGCTAGAGTTGCTACCCGCTCCAGCGCCTCCCGCCGGAGGCAAAGTGCAAGTCTGCGTAGAGTTCAGGCTGTAAATCGTCCCCGTGCCCTCCAAAGTAGCTCCACTCTGGCCACCACAAATCTCAACCAAGAATGCCATCTCATTCAAGTAAGCATACTTGGGATCCTTGGTCTGGATCGAGGCGAAGCCGGTGACCTGGACGCCAGCTTGCTGGGCGGAGCCGAGGGGGTTGGTAGGGCCCAGGGCGGTCATGCTCAAGGGGACGCCGTCGGTCGTTTTGAAGATGGCGAAGAGGTTGCCGAACTGCGCAGTACTATTTCAGATAGATGATAGAGTAGAGTTCATGGGATGGGATTCCTTACGCTCTGCTGATCAACGAAACTCGGCGTGTCGCCAGCATAGGTGACCTGGAGCTCGAAAAGCGGAATCGTGCCCGAGATGACGCCGCTGAAGTCGGTGGTTCTGACTTGTTGGAAGCGACCGAAGGCGGAGCGAATGTCGGAGGTTGGGTATTGGGGGCTTAGGCTGGCGCTGAATTGGAGAAAAGGCTCGATGGTGAAGGGGGCGGTGGATTGGCGGGTTGCGAGGGTGGGTGATGCAGTGATCGAGTGGAGGTAGGTTGCCAGCAGGACTGCGGCGTTGGCGAGGGTGGTGGTGAGCATCTTGTCTGGTGGATTGCGGGGGTTTTGTTGTGAGGATGGGAGAGTTGCTTGCTTGACTGGCTGTTCTTTGGCTGATGATGAAGGCTTCTTCCCATGGTTGCAGTGTACGGCTTATATAGCACTCTGGAGGTAATGACGCTTGTTGTGAATTGCGTCCAACTCGTAGGCCCCATGCATGTCAATATTGGTGACGTTTGGGAGTTCCAACACTGAAACAATTCGAGTGGACTCAAAAGATACTGCTTTAAGACGTGGCCAAGAGCCAGCTTCTGAGCCCAGCATAACTTCGCATTGAATCGCGCGTCTTCATTCATACGCAGCTGCCTTTCTGACGGCCGTACAGGATCATCAATGACATACATCATCAACCCAACAGGCACCTTGACGTCTTCGATATTAGCACCAGTAGCATTGCCCCTTTTCGGAATCGCGTTGCTTCTAAAAGGTCCCGGCCGTAGCTCCACGCAGTAAGATGCTCGCATTGGACGATCCGCGACCAGCACGATGTCTGAGATCCTAGATCCATCAAGATCAGATCTCTTTCCTGGGGCCGGATCAGCAGAGGCTCATCTGGGGAAAGATCTCGCAGCTGAACCGCGCAGATCTGTCGGTGTTGCTCGATCCGGCGGAATTGACTCCCTGCTCAGCCTCATTCTTTCCTTCTGCAGAACTGAATCAACCGGATTGCTAGTTCTAGCACCTGTGCAGGATCAATTTCTCAAAAGTTGGCGCTTTTGTTGGTGCCCCAGCCATCCAAGTGCATATCCTGGGACCTATATTCCGAGCCTCACCTTGCCTCAATTCAGCGCCTCACGCCAAACCACCACCACCCAGCCCAAGACACAAGAGGCGCATCAACCCAGAACAGCGCAAGCCCCATAACAAGCAAGGTAAACGGCACAGCCGAAGTCCAAAAAACCCACTGTCCGTAGCCCAGATCCCTAAGGTCCGATGTATTCATGCCAAAGATGCCAGCCACGAATTGCAACGGGAGGAAGATGACGGTGACGCTCGTGAAGACGACGGCGGCGTTTTCTCGCCAGTCTTGGACGCTGGAGAGGATGTCTTCGCACTGAAGGGGGAGTGAGTTAGCCACTTGTACGGAGGCTCAAGTGTAAAGGGTTGCATTTACCTCGGAGCGGTGCTGCGCGCATGCTTTGAGCCAGGAGTCAATCTGATCGATCTTGGACTTCAGACTTGCAGTGCATTGGTCAAAGGCCACAGACGCCTGTGAAAAGCCTTCGTCGCCGAGATAGACATGTTCGTCCTCGTCTTCCTGCCGCTCGATGAGCCTGGTGTGCAGTTCCTCGATGACTGTCAGCTGCTGTTGCTGCACGTGTCGAAAAGCCGAAAGCTCGTAGCGAAATACTCTGATCTTCTTCAGAGACTTGCGAGTTGCCTCCCCCGTGCCAATTTCCGCAGACTAGGCGGGAAGGGGTCAGCAAGGGCCACTTCGTTATATTTGATTTAGTGGACGTACTAAATTCTCGAGGTATTCCATGTAGATTTCCATCGCTGTTCTTCCCTCATAGACCTTGAGGTCCATGATCGAGTGTGACAATTGTGCAAGGACTGCATCAACCTGGCCGGCTTGCATGGCCCTGATATTGCAGCCGTCAAGGCGGCCTGGGAGTGTATCGAAGCATGAGCGCAGTGACTCGGAAGCTTTCTTGCTCAGAGATGGAATCTCATGGAAAACCAGTAAACCTTCCCTCCGGTGACCAACGTGCCGACCCAACTTGATCAAAATTTCTGTGATCTGCTTTTGCACATCCAATAGGTCCCCGGGGACTGTGACTCCACGCTCGAGGAAAACAGAACGCTCTAGGCCGTCGTGATGTAGCGAGATCGCCGTCTCGAGGACTTCCTCTACGGCATCCCAAGCGGATTGCGAGACATCGTAGGTTAAGCCCAAAGCCGGTACTATAGCCGTCCTGCCTCCACAATACAGGTCACTTATTGCTTTGAGCAGTTTGCGATCTGCTTTCTTGTGAGTCTGCATCGTGTTGCCCTTGCTGCGTGTCCCGATGAACAACGAATAGACGGATATTAGGCCTGTGACGAACTTTATGTTGAGATGCGTCAGATGCGTCCTACGTTTATTGGGCAATTTCATGTAGTGGGAGCCGTCTGGTGCCAGACTTGCCTTCGTGTGCTCTGCGTCTGGATCTGAACAGTTCATCTCTTGGAGTGTGGCAATACACCAGAGATCGAGGGATTGCACATATTCCAGGATGCTTTCTGAGTTGGAGACAATTCCGGACACGTTCCAGATCGAGCTGGAGTCAGCAGTGGCGGATTGGGTCTTCTCCAGGGATCGGGCAACCTCCCTCGTGTGCTGACGCACCCGGGTTATGAGACTGGTAGGGTCACTGGGGCCGTATATGGTGGAATACGGCGTTGTAAGAGACCTGGGGTGGTTAGCGAAAGGCTTTGATAATTATCGGGGGCAGTCGGGGCACAAACTCGCGATCGCGAATATGTAGCTCTACTGTGGAACCCAACGCTTCTCTGACAATGTCATCCCAGTCGTTGTGAGTAATGATATCTTTGTTCCTCAAAACAATGAATTCGTGGGTGAAAGAGACACAGATTTCTCCGAAATGGGAGGTGAAGTCCTGAATCCTCTTTAAGCACAATCGTTATGAATTATTCTCGTTGCTTGAGTACTTACAAGCCAGGTGAGACATTCGCTCCTCTTCAGTAACCACAACCTGCCGTTAGGTGTGATTGCACGAATCGTGGGGAATTGAGTTCCTAGCCCCAGGGAGTCGACTCGCGGCGGTAGTATTGGAGACATCGAGACAAGAGCACTCCGCAGCTCTGACTCTGCGAGTGTCGAAAAAGTGAATAGTAGGTCTGTCTGGGTTCTTAGCACACGATACAGCGTATCCACGACGCTGACTTGCCATTATTGACCTGGAATGTCCAAAGCTTCGAAACGAAGAGGTAGCCCCTATTCTGGTCTCCGCCATACATCTGCTGGAAAACCTGTTTGTGGTCCTGGCCACTGGTTCCAGTATTGCTAAAATGCTGGAACAAAGTCATGTCTGGACGAGCGGTGCTGGATGTCCGATCGTGGCCCATGGTCTTTGTCAACCCGCTGCGCAGGTGAACGAAAGGAATACAGGCTGACACTAGCGTTACTTCCACCTCACCCTTTTCGGAAATTTCACTCATTTCACTGTACGGGCTCGTCTTTTGAAGTTTGTCGCGGGAACTCTTAACTCTGTCAAAATGGCGTTCGGTGTGCTTTAGCAATGGCCCCTCCGACTGAATGAGTGAGTAGATGTGACGCTACGAGACATCAGCTTCGAAAAATCGCTACATCGTAGACTCACAATGAATTGCTCGTGATCCAGGACATTCTGTTGGAAGTGGCTTGCCAATTCTAGCAACACGAAAGAAAGACCCAAACAGGGATCACTTACACCCAGGAAAACAGCGGCTTCAGTGACTTGGATGGCGCATCTACATAGCCAAGGCGAAGCAGGAGTGCACGAGGGTCATCCGTGGTTTGGATGTGATCGTACTCCGATTGTACGATCCTGTGACAGCTTTGCAGCTTCAATGTGCATTTCGAATGATGGCACTGGGCATGCAGTTTCTCTGGATCCGGAGTGAGGCCGTCGTTACTATTATGTGCCAGTGCGATATCGTCCCTTTCCTGGCCGCTGTCAAGTCGCATATTTGATGCAGACCCGCAGAGAAAGGCAGCTTTGAGCTCACGGCCGCGATCCCGTCAGTTGCCTGCTATTTGGTGTGTTCTCAAAGCCGATGCGATCTGTTTTCGCAGAGGAAGCGAAACGGTGGCAATGATCTCTGTATCTGAGATTGCGGCCTGGTCCTCGGGGAGGGAATCTAAGTCCTCTTGACTAGACAGTCTTTGGCGAAAGATTGCTGTTGGGTCGAGCTGAGACAGATAATCCTCTCCAGTGATAGGCGGTCCAGGAACAATCTCTTCGGACGCTGGTCTTCCTTGCACCGGAGCTGCGCCGTCCACTTGGTGGATTGCGTCCGCCGCAGGGTCTCCATGTTGGGCTGGCAACCCTTGAAAGGCAGCCTCACCACTTTCGTAATCTGAATGGTGAAATGGCGTCGGCGGCGTCTTGGGCACGCCAGGCACGTGTAATGGAGGGCCCGGCTTGAATGCACTATCTTCATGTGGAATGGATGCCTGTTGTCGCTGTGGATGGTGAAAATCATTATGGTGACCAATGTCGGACGATATGTCGAATGCGCCGGGTGCACTATAACGGCGACTCGGTTGTTTTGAATGCAGGTTCCGGTCAAAACGTGCAAGTCCATTCTGGTGAAGATGTCCACGAGACCATTGGTCCACAGGAACCGCGCCAGCTGGCACCGATGATGGCTGGCTATACTGCACTGGATAATGCTGAGGATGAAAAGGATTCTGAAGGTGCTGTGCTTGATTGTGGCCGTGAGCGGGTGGTGGAGGAGCGCTGACCTGTGCGAAGGGATCAGGTACGAAGCTCGGTACATCCCAAAAATCATCCTCTTCGTCGCGGTCCTTCTTCTTGTCTTTTTCCTTCTTCTTCTCCCTTGCACTTGCTTCCGGAGGTCCGTCTGCTAGATCAACAATTTCGGTGCGAAGGTATTCATCCGATTCGTGATAGTCACTGGTCTTCTTGCGCCAAGGTTGACGCTTCAGAATCACAACGAGTTTTGCCTCCAGCGAGCCAGTCAAGTCATCTTGAGAGCTGATTTTGGTGACCCCGTCAAGGGTCCACTCCATCTTTCGGACCTTCTTATCGCCATGTCTCTCTTCCTCGCGAAGACGCTCGATGATTCTTCGCTGGGTAGTAGTCAGGCTTGCTACTCTTGTGGCAGTACTTACTCCCGTACTGGCTCTCAGAGCAGCACTCATCTCCGCGAGTTTGGAACCATCAAAAGCAAGTTCTTGTTTGCCAACACGGGCCCAGCTGCGCTCCTGATCATCCTTGAGAGGAGCGGCTCGCTGTAGGATGTAAGCCCGGTATTCGATCTTGTCGCGGGTGCCATCGTGTCTCTTGTTGCCCTTGTCACGTTTGCTACCCTTGGTGGTCTTGTTCTGTCGCAGAATATCACCGAAGTCACCGTTGAAGAAGTCATTGTCTATATCGTGGCCGCCAACATCGAACTATGGGAACGGGTTATATGCTTGTCCATCGGGGGGAAGGCCAGGTGGCGTCGGAAAACCAGGTATATCTGGTGGCGGCGGGAAACCAGGTGCATGTGGTGGTGTCGGCTAAATAGCCATGCCGTCAATGTACTTGGGCGCCATTTCTCTGAAAGGTTCTTGAAGCGTACTAAGGCAAATAGCATGAGAACCGACAGGAGAACATCAATGCGGCCGGAGCTCACCTCTCAGCCTCAGCTCAAGTCTGTTGTGAAAGACTTGCAGGCTGTCGTGTAACGTTGCTGGTGTATTCATTTTGTGGGCCTCAAGATTAGAGATAGAGCAAGGGTCATGAGGCCAAGCCTTGGGGAGGCTCCCATATGTGTGCATCTTAGATTGCTCCTGAGCAAGACAGCGTGGGAGAAAGAGACGACAGTGGTGACGAGGGCGGTGTTGGAGACATCGCGTTGAAAGGATAGGAGAAGTTCATGTACACTGCACGTGCGTTGTGGAGCTAGGGCCAGCCAACGGCCCGAGGTGCGGGGAGCAAGTGAAGCCGAAGCCGTTCTCTCCCGTTGCTGTGTCCATCATCAACAACATTCACGTCCAATGCTGTAACATAACCTCTCATATCTCTATCGGGATCTCTACGAGCATTCCCATCCTCTGTATTACTGGCCAGCTCACAGAATGGCGCACCTCACTGGCCCTACGTCCAAGTTCCTATCTGCACCCTTCAAGTCCATACTGTCCTTACCCGCGTCCCTTCGCCCTGCCGTCTACGCAACGTCTCAATCACGATGCCTGGCAACGAGTACGGATCCAAGCAGAAAGCAGCCGAAGACCGCGATATTCTTCCCCGGCCAAGGTGTCCAACGCGTGGGAATGACCACCGACTGGCTCGAAGCCTTTCCCAAGACTGTGAAACCCATGCTGGACCAGATCGATGAGACGCTCAAAGTCAACCTGTCAAAGATCATTGCTGAGGGGCCTAACAGCAAGCTGACAGCCACGGAGAATGCACAACCAGCGATTATGGCGACAAGTATCATCATATTAAGAGTACTGGAGGAAGAGTTCGGCTTCAAGATCAAGGACAGGATAGACATAACATTGGGACACTCTCTTGGAGAGTTCGCTGCCCTTGTTGCGGGCGGATATCTTCGAGAGGCAGATGCCTTGAAACTCGTACGGAGAAGAGCTGAAGTAATGGCACGATGCTCGAAAGATGCCAATGAAGAGGTCGGGATGATAGCTCTGGTTTGTGAGGCAGATCACCTCCAATCTATGATCGAAGCGATACATTCATTTCTTGGACACAACTCTGAAGGGACCAAGTCAGATTCAGGGAGCGACCACGACTTACCACCTGTACAACAAGTGCTCATCGCGAACATCAACAGCAAGAACCAGATCGTGTTATCCGGAGGCATCAAGCGCATCAACGAGCTTCTCACGCATCTTCGACAGTTCGCTGGCCACGGCCCTCGAGCAGTGAGGCTTAAGAGCGACTCACCTTTCCACAGTCCGATGATGCAACCTGCCGCTGACCTCATGAAGAAGATGCTGAGCCAGTCTTCGCCGACGGCCAAGAACGAGGATATCATCATGTGGCCAGGTCTCATGCCATGCATCAGCAACGTCTCAGCCCGACCTTTCCAAAGCCAACAACACCTGAAAGACCTTCTGGCAAGACAATGCGTGGAGACGGTGCTCTGGCACGACAGCATCGTGTACCTCCACGAGGAGGAGAAGGTCAAGAGATGGGTTGGGATTGGACCCGGCAAGGTTGGACGCAATCTTGTGGGGAAGACCACCGGTGTGCGTGGATTCGGCAAGGGAGGAGGCGTGTGGGCAGTGAGCGGACCAAACGAGGTGGAATCTTTCCTCCGTGAGTTCGAGCAGACAGATGCCATGAATGCCGCCGAAGAGTAGCGTTTCTCGCGCAGGATGTTCCGCGGTGTGAGGGATGTGATTTTGTAAACAAAAGCAGGTCTGGATACGTGAGAGGAATGAGAAATGGTTCGATGTGTACAGCGAAAAGGCCCATCCGGCGTGGGAGATGATCAGATTAGATGTTGATATTGCCCTACGAAACTCGACCGTCCGTATCTTCCCGAAGCGATGGTCAAGGGAATTGAAGGGCCGAAAGAGGACTGCCTCGACTAGACCCCAATGGCCATCTCCACACCTCCATCGTCTCGTGGGTGCGGTTGCAACGAAGCTTTCCAGCTCCAGCCAAGCACAAAGACCCCTTGAAAATGCAAAAACTCTTCCGCAGCATCCATCCCGTTCTCGCCCCTGGCCTGACAAGCCATGGCCATCAAGTCGTGTGAGCAAAGCAAGAAAACAAAGCAAACACCTGCACCAACCCCACCACGTCCCCCGACGTCGGCGCCTCAGCCTCTGAGCTTCTCCGAGCCAGCAAAGTGCATCCTGCAGGGAATAGCCCGCGGTTGTGCGGTGTGATTGGCCACTGATATCGGCGAGCTCCTTATCGCAGCTCGGTGCAGTAAACAAAAAAATGACATCGAGGTGCTTGTGGTCGCGACGCCTACGACGCTAGCAACACTCAATTCGCGGGCTACCTCTCACACACATCGCATGCGCATCGAACGAGCTGCGATGACGGTGATGGACGGAGTGGAGGTGGAAGAGTTTTTGGTGCGTGTGCATGTGCTTTTTGGGTCTGGGGCACGCGGTAGGCGCGTTTCGGTGAGGTGGTCGATTGAAGGGTGGTTCTAATACGTCGTTGTTTCCTTACTTTTCAGACTTTCTTTCTTCTCTTCATTTCTCTCACTTGCTCATCACCTCTCTTCCTTGATCCATTCCCTCGTCTAGGAAGATAAACAACAAGAATAACAGCCACCCACCATGTCCAACGTCTCCGAGCCCGAGTTCGAGCAGGCCTACAAGGAGCTCAGCTCCACCCTCGAGAACAGCACCCTCTTCAAAAAGTACCCGGAATACAAGAAAGCCCTCGAGGTCTCCTCCATCCCCGAGCGCATCATCCAGTTCCGCGTGACGTGGGAGAACGACAAGGGCGAGTGCCAGGTCAACAGAGGGTTCCGCGTGCAGTTCAATGGCGCTCTGGGCCCATACAAGGGAGGACTCAGATTCCACCCGAGTGTGAATCTTAGCATTTTGAAGTTTTTGGGTTTTGAGCAGATTTTCAAGAATGCTCTTACTGGATGTAAGTACAGCCCGTCCCGGAGCTTTGTTAGTTAAGGTTGTGAGGACTGACTTGCATTCGAACGACAGTGAACATGGGCGGTGGCAAGGGTGGCGCCGACTTTGACCCCAAGGGCAAGAGCGACAACGAGATCCGCAAGTTCTGCGTTGCTTTCATGCGGGAGCTGAACAAGCACATTGGCGCCGACACGGATGTCCCAGCCGGTGACATTGGCGTCTCGCCACGAGAGATTGGTTGGATGTTTGGCACATACCGCGCTGAGCGCAACAGGTGGGAGGGTGTCCTGACTGGCAAGGGCGGAAACTGGGGTGGCAGCTTGATCAGACCTGAGGCCACTGGATACGGTCTTGTATACTGTGAGTTCAGTCCAAACGCCTGGGGATCAGTCGGTGACTGACCATGGATGCGTTTTCTAGACGTCCAGCACATGATCCAATACGCCTCCTCAGGCAAGGAGTCCTTCCAGGGCAAGCGAGTCGCCATCTCCGGCTCCGGCAACGTCGCCCAATACGCCGCCCTCAAAGCCATCGAGCTCGGCGCCACCATCGTCTCCCTCTCCGACTCCAAGGGCAGCATCATCGCCACTGACGACAAGGGCATCACTCCCGAGCTTGTTAACTACATTGCCGATCTGAAGGTGAAGCGAAAGGCGTTGACGGAGCTGAGCGAGAGTTCCGAGTACAAGGATAAGTTCAGGTACATTGAGGGTGCCCGCCCATGGGTCCACGTTGGCAAGGTGGATGTTGCCCTTCCCTCTGCGACACAGAACGAGGTTTCCGGCGAGGAGGCGGAGAAGCTGATTGAGAATGGATGCAAGTTCATTGCTGAGGGCAGTAACATGGGTTCTACTCAGGACGCCATTGATGTCTTCGAGAAGGCCAGGAAGGAGAAGAAGAACGACGGTATCTGGTACGGTCCAGGTGAGTGCAATTTCAAAAGCCTCGCTTCTCGTGTGACTTGATACTGATGCACTCTACAGGCAAGGCAGCCAACGCCGGTGGTGTCGCCGTCTCCGGCCTCGAAATGGCCCAGAACTCCGCCCGCCTAAAGTGGACCTCAGAGGAGGTCGACGAGAAGCTCAAGGGCATCATGGAGGCCTGCTTCAAGAACTGTCTCGAGACCGCCAAGGAGTACGTGCCATCGGGCGAGGGCGAGCTCCCCTCCCTCGTGGCTGGTGCCAACATTGCCGGTGCCATCAAGGTGTTCGCCGCCATGAAGGACCAGGGCGACTGGTGGTCCAACTAGACTTGTATGTTTTTGAATGTTAAGATGATACAGTAACAGCATGATGAAGAGATTGAGCGTTTCGGGCGGATGGGCAAAACCACGGATGTTGGATATGAGATTAGGTCAGGACAGCAGATGCATATGATACCAGTCCTCGACCAGAATGCGGTCTTTTCCACTCGTTGATGCCATTGCAGATGGAAGTGATAATCGGTCAGATGCGGCTGCAGACCTCCGGTAACAGACTGTATGGCCAGCCAATTTGTGCCGTTGTAGCCTCACGGGTTCTGTGTTCTGTGGCTTGATGCAGGGCGAAACTGGAACAAGATATCGTCAGTCTCTCGACAAGGCTGGTTGGGTGAAGCTTACATGATCTCCAATCTAGTCCTGTACTCACATGCCAGCCTTCCATCGCTAATAGTCCCGGCTTCCTTCGACGGGATCGCGAAGAGTCTCGCCTTCAACCTCGAGTCTTGCTGAGCTTCAACAATAGCGTAGCTTCATGGAACCGTGGAGTCCGATGAGTCCTTCAACCAGCCTCCTCGCCTTGCTGCTGCTCGCCCTGTGCCTCCTGCATTTGCGCCCAAGCCCTCTGCTGGCCCTCGTACAAACCCATGTGATAGCCTGCATAATACCAAGACAGCATCATGTTCTTCAAGTTCTCGTCTTGGATAGCTGGAGAAGGAATCAGTTCAGGGCATCAGCGCAAAGCGAGAGACTTACTGGCTCCGATCATCGCTTGCGGCAAACCCGCCAGGTAAGCCGGCACATTTGGTGTAGAAGCAGCTGCGGGTGCAGTCGATGACTTCGGCGGTGCAGCAGGACCTATGAAATTCCCTGGCAGGGTGGTCATCGGCGACGGTCCAACATCCTCGGGGGTCTCTTTACGAGCTTGTGGCGCTGGACGGGTCCCGTTCAGCATCGCAGCGGCTTTCGAGGGCGGTGCGGGTCGCTTGGGCGGGATGTCGATTACAGGGACTTTTTCGCCGCGGGCGGCGAGAGAGTGGTATTTCTGTTCCTGGCTGTTAGTGTCTTGTTTTGGACTTCGAGGATAGATGATGGTGCGGACCTGGTATTCTTCGAGAGCTTCATTCCACGACTCGACGAGCGCGGAGTCGTCCCATAGTTCGTCATGTGTTAGTTCGCGCTGTGCGCCTGCAGCCATACTGGAATTGGAACTGAGGTGGCTCGATGAATTGATGATTTTTGGTGAAGGAGTGAAGATGTGTTTGGGGAGATGGATGCGAAGCTTCACACTAGTAGATGGTCCGTGCGCTAAAACATAAATAAGTCGCTCTGTCGCTCTGCCCTTTACTACACTCTCCAGGTTTTCGCGAAGTGAAAAACGACCACCCCAAAGTCACTGGCATCACTCGACTTCTATGGATGGCCCAAGTCTTCCGTCCATCGAGGAAATCCTCGCATCAACCCAAATCCTCAGCGCTCCTGATTCTATAACCACTGTCGTCAAAGTCAGAGAGCGATTCGCCGTCAAATATGGCCGTCTTGTGGCCAAGGTCGAGGCGGAGAACTTGGTATTGCTCGCAAATACCGACGTACCTGCGCCCAGGAGGCACGGCTTCATCGCCGACCCCGAGACCAACAGGTCATTCCTCATCATGGAATTCATCGAAGGCGACAATCTCGAGCAGATCTTGCCGTCGCTGAACCTGGTGGAGAGAAATATTGTCTTCAAACAGGTTCAGGATGCCCTCACTTGCTTGCGCAACCTCGAGCCTCCGGACTACATCGGCTCTGTCAGCAGGAAGCCTCTCAATGATGGCATCTTCTACACTGAACCAGTCGATCCCAAGCAGTCGGGACCGTTCGCCAACCAAGAGGAGATGAACAAGGGCATGCTGTTACGTCTTTCTGAGACTTGCGTGCCTTCGCATGTCCAGTTTCTGCGCAGCCTCATCGAGTCCACGCTACAAGGCCACAAGACGGTTTTCACTCACGCGGACTTGCAGCTGAAGAACATCATGGTGCACAGGGTGGGCTCGAAGGAAGATGGAAGTGCGGGCGTCTTCGAGGTCAAGATCATCGACTGGGAAATGTCGGGGTGGTATCCGGAGTATTGGGAGTTCTGCAATGCCACTGTCTGGGATGGCTTGAAGCCCGACTGGCTCGATGCCGTGCAGGAGATGATGGTCGGGTATTCGAAGGAATACCTAATGCTGAAGTTGATACGCAGTATTGTGTTTCAGCTGGGCTAATGACAGGACTGAAGGGACCAGATTTGGCCTTGTTCATGTTGGCGACGTCCAATCGAATCAGTGGTGGACAGTCCTACATTGACCATTGGTAAGTCTCCCTTCGTACGAATCTGAGTTCCAGTTCGGCAGATGACTGACTTAATGAATCTACCTCCGGGGTGAGATGCAACGCCGCGGATCTTCGAATACCGTTTAAGTCGTCCATTGCTGATATGAGTTGAAAAAGCCCAAAAGATTTGACAGCTGACTCCCCAGTCCACCAACGCGCTCGTTCAAAGACGCAACCTCTTTTTGAAGCTCGTCAATGCGTGCCCTCGCAACAGCACCATACACGGCCTCATTATAACTGTCGCTCTCCTGCTTCGGGGGATTCGCTTTACATCGGCCCTTTCCATTAAGCTTGCAATAGGCGCACGCAATGTCGTCGTGGGTGCTGAATACTTTACACGGCACCCAGATGCGTTCTCGAGTGCACCAGTAGCAGGGTTTGAGAGCATCCTTGCCTGCAAAAACACTCAGTGTGAGCCAGCCGGGTATTCCATAGAAAGTTTGTTCTTTGTCACCTTCATCCGTCTCCATGATCCGGCCAGCGGCATCACACCTTCGTAGTTGCACCAATGCAGCTTTCTTCTTCGAGCCACCTAGAGCGGCTTCTTCTTTGAACGTATCCCACCTGGCCCGTTTTATATGCCAGAAGTCTTGCGGGTTGGTCGTAGTAGGTTTCCGGAAGGTGGACATTTTTGGGGACGTCAAAGACCAGTGACAGACATTTTGCGTACGAGTGGAGAGCTGGTGTCATGGTGTCAGATTTGATTTGAGCTGTGGGAGCTTTCGTCCTGTCTACATGTAGTGTCATATGAAGAGCGGTGAAGGTCTAGCCATCAACAGAGAAAGGAGGTGCATATCGTTAGTCGGTAGGATCTGTGTGGTCTGGTGAGTTTATGAAGCGGTCGACACACTGGCCGCAGACCTCGCTGCCGCCATGCATCAAGGTGGCGAGGCGACCATAGCACAACTTTCAGCAGCGAGTGCCGCGGCGAGAGCGTGTTGTTGAACAGGAAAGGAGTGAATATGGGAGGTCAAGAGTGGATGCGACCCAAACTCATTTTCAGGCCGCCGCACACATTCCGCGGCAGCTCCCGCTACAATTTCGTCTCTCAAAAAGTTCGTCCAGAGCTTCGAGACCTTCACATTGCTACCACAAAATACAGATCCGCAAACATGTCGACAGAGACGAGAGCCAGGAAGCGCAAGTTAGGCGACGATGTCGTCCCTGCAGCAAAGAAGGCGAAAACGGCCAAATCCGCCGAAAAGCCTGCACCTCTGAAATCCGCATTGAAAAAGAGCAAGGTCGAGACGACGGTCGTGGAGAAGCCGAAGGAGAAGAAGACCAAGAAGGTCAAGAAGTTCAAACCCGTCGTCGAAGAGGAAGACTTCCAAGGCGTCTCAGACAACGATTCCCAAGGCCGCGCCGAACTCACCGCCGACCAAACCGCCGCCCTCCTCGCCGGCTTCTCCAGCAGCGAAGACGAAGCCTCCGACGCCGAAGACGACAACGACGGCGTCGAGGTCTCCAAACTCCCCTCCGCACCAACCTCCAAAGAGGTCAAGAAACAGCTCGCGCAAGCGAAGAAGAACGAGGACCCCGAATCCACTCCCGGAGTCATCTACGTCGGCCGCATCCCGCACGGCTTCCACGAAACGCAAATGACCGCCTACTTCAGCCAGTTCGGCGAGATCACGCGTCTGCGCCTCGCGCGCAACAAGAGCACGGGGAAGTCGAAACACTACGCCTTCGTAGAGTTTGAGTCTGCTGCAGTCGCGGATATCGTGGCGAGGACGATGGACAAGTACCTCCTCTTCGGCCACATTCTGCAAGTGAGGACTGTGCCGGCGGAGCAGGTCAAGGATGTGATGTTTAAGATACCGACGGCCATGAAGAAGGGCGGGAAGGTGAGGCCGAGGAATAAGATTGAGGGGACGAAGTTGAGGAAGGGGTTGGAGAGGGAGGGGTGGGAGAGGAGGGTGAAGAAGGAGACGAAGAGGAGGGAGGGGAAGGCGGAGAAGTTGAAGGAGATGGGGTATGAGTTTGAGATGCCTGGCGTGAAGAGTGTTGAGGGTGTACCGGTGAATGGGAAGGGGATTGAGGGTGGAGATGCTGAGCCTGGTGCTGAGGAGGGTGTCAAGTTGATTGAGGGAAAGAAGAGTGAAGTGGCACCTGGGGTTGAGGAGGAGGTTGAGAAGATTGTCAAGGCTGATGGCAAGAAGGTCACGAAGGAGGTAAGGTCGAAGAGGAAGAGCAAGGAGGGCAGTACGACTACTGTCACGAAGAAGACCAAGGTCGCGGAGTAAGCGTATGCTTATTTATACACCGTATCGACGCAACCACAGCTTCTTATGCGCTGTCTTCTCTACTGCTACAGCCATCTCTCATATCACCTCATCACTCATGCAATCATATCGGCTACTTTGAAGTAGTCTCTTCATCCCACCAGCGCCGTGCTTATGCTTTTGTACGCAGAACATCCACAACCACCCCTCAACCCCAACTACTGCATATCGCGGTCCCTCACTGCACCGTCAAAGCCGCACTTGGCACCAAACCCGCTTCCTTCAGCGTCATGCCAAAGTCCTCCCGCGTGAAAGTCTTTCGTGGGAAGTTGCTGGTGAAGCTCGAAACCTCAGTTCCATTTTCCTGCGTGATTGCCTCAGAAACTTCGAACAGCGTCGTCTCGGCGGGGAGCGTCTTCATGACATTGCCGTTGGGCGTCTGCAATCGCAGCCTCGCTTCAGAGTGGTTCGCCGTCTTGGGAGCAGTAGCCGCTGCAAGACCACCAGGCGCCGCACCACCTGCTGCAGGAGCACCAGGGTTGAAGGCATCGGGGTTCTGTCTCATAGCCTTCTCCTCGTCCGCCTTTCTCTTCCGCGCCGCCTTGTCCGCCTCGATCTTCTCTTTGATCCGCTTCTTGGCCGCGATATCATCTGCCTTCTCCTGCTTCTTCTTCTGCGCTTCCTTGATCTGCTCTTTCCGCTGCAGCTCCTCCTTCGCATCGTCGCTCGCCTTGGTGTGCTTCTTCTTGATCTCGTCGTTGCGCTTCTGTGCCAGCTTCTCCTCGGCTGCTTGGCCTGCCCTCTTTTCCGCCAACCTCGCCCTCATCTCGGCAAGCTTCGCTGCCTTCTCTGCTTCTGTGAGCGGCGCGAGCTCCTCCGTCGACTCGCCGAAATCAACGTGGCCGGACTTCTCGGCGTGGAACTGGGCTGCGTTCATGCCGCGGAACTTCTTGCCACACTCGTTGCAGACCATGCTTCGGGCTTGCTCGCCGACTTCGAGCTTTGGTGCTCCTTCCTCGTCTTCGCCGTCTTCGGCGGCCTCTTCTTTGAGTTGCTCGATGGTCTTGTCGGCGTTCTTTTCTAGCCAGTCGATGGCGCCGGTGAGGTTACCACCTTTCTTGAGGCCCATCTGGGCTTTCTCGCGGTCGAAGCCCATGTCCACGAGGGTATCGAGGTCGCCCATGGTTGTGGTTTGATGCGATGGAGGACGATCTTGGATGAGTTTGATGGAGCTGGTCTAAGCCCTTATGATGGATGGATTTGAAGTCAAGGCAGTAGACAGCTGGTTGATGAGGGGAGCTGTCGTTGAGGAGACTGAAATGATGAAGAAAGGGGTAGTTGTCTTTTGAGGTGTTGTGTTAATAATCGGCCGAGCTCGTGAAGTGCACATGCGGGTCGCGCATGAACCTGAAGCTCGGAGACGGGCGACGTCACCACGAGGCGTTGGCCTCAGGACTGGACCGAAGCGCTTCCACGTTGCCCATTCACTTGCACCCACCCATTCCACCTGCATTTATCTACCTCGACCGACTCCTCCAAGCCACCCTCCTGGAACTTGGCTACCTGCGTGCCTAACACTCGCGCAAATAACACTCCAGCAAACCAGGCATCGCAATTCGAAGGCGGCCGAGCGCAGCGCCCCCGAGCTCTCCTCTCCAACCCCAACCGAGCCGCAGCGTTCCTGACGTCTTCAACACATCCACCACCCTACCCACCTCTCCGCCGACCACTCCGCGACGCTCCTCGCCATGTCTGTGGAATTGCAACCTCCTGAGCTGGGCTTCAAGCGTGAGTGATTCCGCGGGCACGTCCCAGGCAGGCGTGCCAACTTGCTAACAATGCGCCAACAGGCCCCTTCACCCACGAGGTCTCCCAGGTCCTCCGCCTCCACAACTCCAACAGCGATCCTGTCGCCTTCAAGGTCAAGACGACCGCTCCGAAACAGTACGGACTCGACCACCACTACCAACCCTACAAAAGAGCCAGTGTTAATGCTTTGTAATACAGATACTGCGTGCGCCCCAACTCTGGCCGCATTGAGCCTGGTCGCGATGTCGAGGTCCAAGTCCTCCTTCAGGCTATGAAGGAAGACCCACCGCCCGATGCTCGCTGCCGAGACAAGTTCCTCGTGCAGTCCGTCGCGATCTCCGCCAGCAACGAGGCCCCCAATGTCACGCAAATCTGGCAGAACATCGAGCAGAGTGCGAAGAGCTCTATTCAAGAGAAGAAGATCCGCGTCAACTTCCTGCCAGCCGACTCTTCCGCAACTCCTGGCGCAGGTGCAGCGACCAATGGCCTGTCTCACCACGATGACGAGCCACCAGCGTACTCTTCTCCTTCGCCAATTGCCGTAACTCCACAGCGATCTAGCAACCTGCCCGACTCAAAGAGCCCACCGCAAGAGTTCCACCAAGACCTCGGTCAGTCACAATCGAGCCTCGGCGGCGCATCTGCAGCTTTCGCAAGCGCTACTGGCCTTAACCAGGACGATCTCCGACGTCAGCTCGAAGAGGCGAAGAAAACGATTTCGCGGCTACAACAGCAGGCGGCAGAGCAGACCGGCCTCCGCCAGCGTAAGACGGACGGACAGGCGACGTCTGCCGAGAAGACACACCCAGCGAGCATCCAGTCAGCACCACCAGCAGGAGGAGTGCCTATCCAGATTGTGGCACTGCTTTGCTTGTTGTGCTTCCTTATTGCCTATCTGTTCTTCTAGGAGGCCGGTGATTGCGTCGTTGGCTAGCCGTGCATCGAGGGGTGGTCAGAGAAGACTAGTGAAGCAGTGGGCAGCGCAAAGTGAGACACGAGCGATGCGCCTCGAAGAAGATCGGCGTGATCGACATCATCATGGATGCTCTAGAAGTGGACTGCTCTCTGCCACACCGGAAAAGATTGGGATTCTTGTCATACTCCACGGGAAAAGGGATGAGTCTATCAGAGGGTTGTATGGGATCAGGCTCCTGCCCTGAGAGGACTATTTCCTTCTGTACTCTGTTTCTAGCCGATGATACCGTTTTCATACACAGTACGCCTTTCTTACGCTGAGACTCTAGAAGGGAAAGGGGGAATTCAAGAACGTTATGCTTTTACCAACATGAACCAGTGCTTTATTTTTGGGTATAAGTATGCCTTGTATTGCTCCCCTTCTATCGCGCGTGTGGATCGTCAAAACCAGAAGCGAGGGCTCGCCGTGAACGCATGATCAAAAAAACAACTCAGGAGGAACCAGTGATTGTCGAATCAGACTCCCCATGGGCCTCCTCCGAACACAACACTTCCCGACTCCACGAAACCAGGCAGTCGAGGAAGCGCTCACTTCTTCTCAGCCTTCTTCTTGTCATCCGCGGCCTGCTGCTTGGCGCGCATAATGGCCGCGACATCCTCCTTATTCTTCTGCATCTCGCTGCCCGTCATGTTGTTCTTAGATTTCTACAGAGTCCTCGCATCAGCTGCAAATCTCGCGAGTGGCAAGGTGGTTCTTTTGGGAGGTTAGAGGGAACATACCACCGAAGCCAACTTGGCCTGGTTCTTCTCACGGGCCTTGTCGCGCTGGTTGCCACGAGCCATTTCGCCGTCGAGATCCGCTCAGAAAGGTTCTTCTCAAAAGGCTGGAATTTTGTTGGGTGCGATATGGAATTTGCCCGGGCTGTGTTGTTTATCTGCCGCAACGGTACGATTCTGCTGGGTCTTGTCCTCGAGGAAGTTTGCCCGCAGTCGGACGGGGAAGCGAGGTTCTTCTTGTGTAATTTTGTTGCTTTTTTGCGTTTGATGAAGGCTGGCAAGGATCCAGGGACGTTCGTGAAGAATGGCCGCTGAAAATAATACCGCAGGCGTGGATTGTGAGGTTCTGGAAGCGGCGCTAGTGTTGCACGTGATCGAAGCGTGGGGGCCGTGACTTCTACGCTTGGGTTCATCGCTGTCCTCTTTTCATTCACTCACATTTGGACGGGAAAGCCCCTGACAACGTCAACAGTCAACAGATCGGCACGATGCGGGAAGCAGGCGAATTTTTGACGCGGTACTCTCTCGGCTACAGGAATGGGATGGAAGTCTAATAACGATGGAAGACCTCAGGCATCCGACCGTTCTCGCGAAACGCACGCCAATGGGTACATGCCCCTCAAAGGCGCGTAATTTGCTTCAAGCATCTTCGCTACGTCCTTCGCCAGAAGGCCGAGCACGAAACCCACGGTCACCGACCTGCACCGCTTGTCGGAACAACGCAGCCACAAAGGGAGAGCGTTCTCCAAGCGAATGCACTTCGTCAACTCTCGGCGGCAGTGAGTACTGTCCTTCACTCGAGTATGGCAACCTTCCAAGGGGCTTCAAGACAACGACATACTGCTTAATGTCCGGAGTTCAAACCAGAGCTACGCGGCGTAGCTTCTCTCATGTTCGCTGACTGTCAAGCAGTAATGAAGGTCAATACAGCCGGCTTCGTACGATAAGCCGAAAGAGGACAATGCACATTTTCTTCTTGATGGTCATATGCACAGCAAACACCGCTGCATCTTGTTAGATCGTACCGCGCACGGGATGACGGTGTACAGCAATGCAAACCATACCAGGACGTCGCGAGTCTGACCCGGATCGACAGTTCTCCGCAAGATCCATTGAAGCCAAGAAGTATGTTCAGACCGTCTGCACCTAATTCCTCGAGAGAGGCACCGGCATCAAAAGTAAAAGCAGGTGAGGCTCCTTCGGCATGAAGTCCAGCGAGTGCGGTCAGGTGTCCGATTTCAGGCAAAGGCATCCAGAGGACACAGTCGCGAACCGTGGCTGTCGTCGTACTTTTCCACCAAGTCTTGGATATTGCACAACGAGGCGTTACCGCCCAAGCGGGCGGTAATGCTCGTTGATTCTGATGTGGGACTCAAGAGGTCACAAGACAGAAACCTCGTAACGTCACCTTAATATCTGCAACCAAGTGGAAATTGGCGGATTCTCGAAGCTCATTGGATTGATCTTGCTGGCACTTGGCATTGATTAGACGGAACCCTTCACTAATTATCTAGGCATTCGTACCGATGGCCCAATCTTCACAGCATGTTTGTGTGCTCGGTGACAATGACCTTCCATCGAAGGTTAAACGGTCTGTTCAGCATGCATGACACGAGCGGAGCTCATGCAGATAATCGGCCACGGCCCGCTTGAAGCACGAAATCTGAGATGCTGCTCTGCACCTTTCGCTTCCATGCAGTGACGATGATGCCTGAAAGCAGCTTGTGGGCGGGCAGGAAAAATCCTGATTGCTGCACTGCAACGTGAGAAAGACGTTGGCACCACGTGCTGATATGTGATGTCCCACGTTGCGGGTCACGAAATTCGCCGATGCAGAAAACGAGTAGAATGCTGCAACTATCGAAGATGTACTACAACCAAAAGTGATGTCTACTTAGGTTTGTTGACTATCGCCTTTGCCTTCTGTCAAGGTTGACGGCGCAACCGGCCGCCGACAACGCTGCTGATGCTGACGGCAATCTGCAGAATAGCAACCAGCGGCGCCCCCTAGCTCTGCACGTCAGTCAACCATGGAGGACCCTCGACCACGAAACTTTCGCGTGGAGTACGGTCGATATTAGGTAGGTATCACTACTGCATTGCTTGCGATGGCGATGGCGATGGCGTCGGGCTTGACTCTTGTCCTTGTTGACATCACATTGTGTATGAATAGAACATTGAGCGGCAATCTTGGAAGTCGAGTTATCGACAGTCTCCTGCATGCATAATCTTGCGGCGGGCTTCCGTGGACTAAAGAGTAAGCATTGAACGCTGTCGGGGCTGGCATGATGGTCATGTCGGGGCCATCGAGGAGGCAGCGTCACTAATATTGCACGACGGAACGACCGGCCATTTACTCCAACATTTGCTCTATACAAATGTGGCTGGCTGCAGAAGGGACCTGCAGCCGCAGCCTTAGCGCTCGTCTCATCCGCGCTTCATTGCTGGGACTAGACCTTCCGCACCGAATGACAGGCTGCACGATGGAGTGGTTGCAGGCCCAACCACTTGTCAATTGCACTGTCTTTCGGCTCGCCCACCATCAACCACCTTCGTACTAACTAATGCCAGGCATTCCTGTAAGCTCGTCCTCTCGGAATCGTCACGACCAGCCACCTGAGCTCCAATGCGACTGCATCATGCTTATTTGTCGATCCAACCCAGGCCGCAGGCCCGCGGGCTCGTTCTTCAAACCCTGCTATCGACGGTAAACAGAGCCGATATGGCATTTCCAGTTTTGTCGAGGAGTACAGATGGTGAGTGCCCGGAATGCCTCGATGATCTTTCCGATCCATTTCTGGCGCTGGGTCTGGACGACGATGACGCGAGTGTATGCAGCGGTGCATTGCACTGTCTCCATCTGGCCTTGGTCTGATGCCAATGAGCGTCTCGGTAATAGGAATGTGGCGAGAGATACGCGAATCCACCACGATGCAGGCGTCTCTTTCGAGCTGGACTATTGCCAACCCACCGGAAGTCGATCGGACTCTCGCAAGGCGGGTCGAATAGAGCTACGTGTGGCTCGTGACTGCGATGAGGAGAAGACTCGTCCGGTGAGCAGACGTATGTGTGGCCGTGCTGGAGGCGAGACGACATGTATGAGTCTGCCCACTCCCACCTCTTTCCACACCGCGCACACAACCTCGCCCATTTTCTCCAGTCTTTTCCGTATTTCGCCCCAACCTCACGCTCTAGCCCACGCACATCCAGAAATTGAACACGAAAACACCTCTATTCACCCTCCCCATCGAAATTCTGAGATACCTCAACTCTCATGTCATCCTAATCATCATCCTGAGGAGACAAGTACATGTCAGCAGAAATGTTCGCCTACGAACCTGGCTTCTACGTGCCAGTCAATCAAGGCTATGAGCACCCGGCACTGCCATACCACCCATTCGCCGCCCACGAAATGACGCCGCATCCTGAGTACGAAGGATACGTGCTCGTCAACCCGACCCAAGGTAACGGCTGGCTCTCGGAGTCGCATGACTATCACCCGAACAAAGTACCTCGTTTCTCTACACCGGTACTGCCTTCAGCGACCACGCCTCCTCGAGCACCGGCTGTCCCCATCAGCCCGGTATCGTTTGTGACTCGGCAGAAGTTCAAGCGGACTGCAACGGTGGCACTATTCATCTATACTGTGTTGATGACCGTGGCTAACTGATGCCTAGGCATGCGAGGAGTGCCGAAAGAAAAAGCAGAAATGCGTAAGTATCCCGATCGACGGAATATCGCCTCCATCAAGACCTCATTGACGTTCCACAGGACGGCGAAGACCCCTGCCAGGCATGCAAAGACCAAAACATCAACTGCCAATACCGCGAGGTGCCGATCAGGAAGTACGATCAGCCGTCCATCCCTACTCCTTCAAGACGACAACATACTAACGTCCCCCCAACAGGAAAGACCAAGGCCCCGAGAGGTTGATGCAACTGATGGAGCACCTACACAAACAAATCGCCATGCTGAACGACCGAATCGTCGAAATGCGCGCCATGCTGGACGAGCAAGATCGACGCCTCAGGCTGCAGACGCAGAACTGGCATCGACACAACAGTAACAACAACAACAATGCCAATGTCGGGGAGGTCTGCGCGTAATGTGTATCGCTGTGTTCGGACTGTGTGGGTATGTATGTTCATCTCCCTGCCCATCGCCGCTTGTATTGACTGACGGTGCTGTAGCTCGCCAAGTACAATACATACATACAACGTCGCGGCCGGACCGCAGTGGCTCTTCGACGGGATCCAAGAGTCGACCACTCACTGTCCCTACCGACGCACAAGAGTTGCCGATTTTACCTAGGCTAAGGATGCACATTGAGACGATTGACTGGCTGTGAAGAAGGATGAGGGAGATATAAAGTACTTTTAGATTATAGTGCGGATTATTAGATCTAATTTGATGCGTAGATGGACTGGAATTGTTTTTGGTTTTGTTCTTTGTGGGTCCCTCTTTCTTTGGGGATGTGTTGTACATGTGTTGTGGAAAGCTTCTAGCAGGCTCGAGTCGACATTTGTTCATTCGCTGACAAGATTCGATCATGTCTCGCCGGTGATGTGAGGTTTATCTCGATACAACCAGCAGAAGTCCCTCTTTGGGAATGTGATGTTCGCATGTTGCAGAGACTTCGAACAATTCAAGTCGACATTCCTTCGTCCGCTGACAAGATCCCATCATGCCTCGCCGGTGGTTTGAGGCATATCTCGATGCAGCCAGCAAACACCAGGTCGTCCTCTAGGCCATCGACCGAATCGACCTTCCTCGTAATCTGCATCTCCTCACACAGAACCGCAGGCAGCATGTAATTGAATGGATCCAACAGTCGTCCCTCGACCTCCTTTCCGCATGGTCGAGTAAAATACTCCCTCACCGCCCGCATGCCTCTGGTTTCCTTCCACAGCCCCCGGATCTCCTCACTCGACACCATGCCCTGCTCCGTCAACAAGTGGCGCCGGTCAGCAGCGTTCATCTTCGGGATGTACGTGCATGTCCATCCGTGCAGGGTCAGGTCCGGTAGTGGAAGCCCGATGTCTGCGAGGAAGATGTCCCTGCTGGTCGATTGATAGAGGGTTTCAACTGGAGAGGTGTTGAAGATCGTTTCCATCAGACACTCGCTGCCGACGGTGGTTTCCTGTTTGTTGTACTGCTGGATGGGTTCTTCGAGAACACTTCTGACCATGTCCAGCCACGCCTCTTCATCTGCCACCCACTTCTTCGTCGCCTTGGCTGACGCCTCTCTGAAGAAGCGCAGCGGATACGCCATGTCCCAACCACTCAACTCAAACTTCCACACCTCGACATCGACATAGCAATGCGCTCCTTGCGTGCCACGGCTCGTCACACCAGTACATGTGAGACACTTGCAGAACACCGACTCCTTGTGTTTGCAATGCCGAAGAAGCTCCACGTACTCGGATCGCTCGTCGTAGGGATGTTTCACCACATCCACGTGCAAGAGGTACTCGAACATCTCCTCGAGGAGAGTCTTCTTCAGCGATGGAGCAGGCGGCGTGAAAACGCCTTGCTCACGCTCGTACCAGCCCGCGAGCTGGTGGATCATGGCATGCGTCTGCCAGTGTTGGAGACGGCCATTGTAAAGCGAGGACTTCCGCAGGGCCTCGAGGATGGTGAGGTCCTTGAGTTGAGGTGCGGTCTGGTGGTTGATGGACATCGATGGGAAGCTCTTGGAGATGCGAGCGCGTTGTTCTGCGCAGAGGCGAGGGGCGAGGAATTTTACTTGGCCGTTGACGGCGCGCAGGAGGGTGTGGCATGTGCGAGCCACGGAAAAGACGTCTTTTGTCGAGGTGAGGTTGTCGACGATCATGTAGCGGAGCTCGGGGGGGATTTCCTTCAACCAGTCAACTCGTGGTTCTTGAGGCTGGCTTTGCTCTGCGGGAGTGTTGCCCTCAAGGACATGGGAGAGGGACTCGGAGAGTTGGAGGTGCTCGATATTCGGCATCTCGTTGCTGCTGTTGGTGGCGCTAACCGAAGCGGTTCTGGAATCCATCTTCTCTGTAGACAGTCTGACGTGGTTCTTGTGTAGTGCGAAAAGGGACTTCGAGCTGATCGGGGTTGTAGAAAATGTTGTGTGGGGCGCGGTTCTGGTGTAGTGCGAAGACAGGCTTCGAACTGGTTGTAGTTATGGAAGTGGTTTTGGTGCAGTGCGAAAAGGGGCTTCGAGCAGCTTTGAGTTGTGTGGAAAATGTTGTGTGCGGGATGCAGCGGAAAAAAACTGACCCATGACATGAACCTGTGTGATATATATACCCCAAGAATTTTTTTTCCCGTCGGCGAGCTACTCATCGGGATGAATGATCTTGTGATTGGTTTCGAAAATGCTATACCAGGCTTTGTCGAAGCCTGTGCGGCTTCACGCAGAGGTAAGCACATGCTTAGCGTACCAGCCTTGCGCCGCTGAAGTTTTGGTCGGCGGTAGCTTTATTTAACACGTGGAGTTCTGGCTTGTGATTTGGACACTTCGCATCTTTATCTACTGCTTCACAAAACTCGACAGTTTCGACTCAGATCACAACATCAACATCAAGCACAATCATGTCCACCACCAACGCCAGAAGGGGTGACAGCCCTCTCAAGTCCAACACTGCCCTAAAAGAAGGCACCCTCGAACTTCCCAACGAACTCATCCACCTCGTCCTCGAATATCTCTCACCCCTCGACGTCCTCTCAGCCGGACGCACATGCCACCACATGCGCGAAGTCGTCAACGACCAAGCGAAACGCCTCACTCGCCTCATCGTCCGCCGCGAACGGACACGCATGGCCGCAGGCCTCGTCATGTCCGGTGCCTCCCTCGTCGGAGCCATCCGCTCCTGGATCCTCCATCATGGGCCTCAGGCAGAGCGGAGTTTCCACGCCACGGCCCTTAGGATTGCGAATAACTACGTCCGCGCCAACGGTATCGACGTGAGAGATACGGGGTATCGAGGAGATCACTTGTTCTTCGCTCGACTCGTCGAGTATCTTCTGCATGTGAATTACATGGCGGGCCATAGAGCGCGGGATCCGGAGGGCGAGGAGGGTCTCGACGAATATGCTCTCGTTCGGTTATCCCCGAGCACCAACGTTCTCAAGAGCGTCGCTCGATGCAGCTTGACCAGCATGGAGAGCCGCACGTGCCTCTGCCTCTTGTGCTCTCCTTATCGCGAGGGGATTTGCTGCTGGGTCGAGACGGCCGTTGTCGACTTCAGGAAGACCGGCTGGAAGAACGAAGTTCACCCCCTTGCGTTCTGGCGGGATCTCAGCAGCCCCGTGACGGAGATTCTCGTCAGCGAGGAGGAGTGGTTGGATATGGTCCGCAGCATCCTCGCGGAGTCTCTGGAAGATCCCACCGACAAGGAGAAGCGCGAGATGCACAATGCTCTAGTCTCGCAGATCCGGCAAGGTTTCGGCAAGATGCGTCGGGATATCGTCAAGGAGTTCATCACGTTGGCGGAGTTGCCTAAGCAGCGTCGTGGAGGGGAGATGAAGATCCTCATACCCGGTATGGACGTCAGCAAGAAGAAGCACTCTTTGTCGCTGGGGAGCAGGCAGATGGCGTGCGAGACGTTGGGGGTGCGCGCCGCGAAGGAGTTCTGTCTGCATTTGGGCCGTGCATTGAAAGGAGAGAAGAAGTTATTGGATCCGGAGAATCGATATTTAGTGGCTGTCATGTATGAGGAGTTACGTTTGGTATCGGGAGAGTTCATGCTGATGGATGAGTATCGGGAGGGGAGTTTCGAGTCGTTCTTGGGATGAAAGTGGGATTTTGTGTATGTGTAAAGGGAGGGACTCCATTTTTTCGGCTTTTGTATTTTTATTAGACTTACAACCGCGGCCTCTGCCCCGTCTTCTTCTCGTCTTCCCAGAATAAAAAACATCTCACCTCAACACTCTCCCTCGGTGGTCCATGATCTCCTGGCATCTGCACGGCCGAATGCGGCGCCCGCCTGGCCACATCCTTCTTCGAGTCGAAGCATTTAATCAGTAATACCTCCTCCGGCGTCTGTCTCTTGGGCAGATACCAGCGATGCTGCGGGTTCGCCGCGACCTGCCAGATCTTCTGGTTCCGCACGGCGTACTGTGGAGGGCGGTCGTTATTGTAGTCATCGCGGATGCGGAGGATGATTTCCCGCAGGTCGGATTCGGAGACTGTGGCGGCGTCGCAGACGGCAAGGGGTTCGCGGGTGATGGGTTTGAGGGGACGCCAGGCGTTAACGATCGAAACGGCTGGAGTTTGCGCGGATGGTGGCAAGGTTGGAGGGGGCGTTACCGCTGTCGATGACGCTGTCGAGGACGATGGAGGCGCCGTCGTAGGATTGATCGATGTGGGCGAACATGGCCGGGGACTCCAAGTTGATCATGTCGTCGTCGTTTCGGGCTTTTTGCAGGGCTTTGAGTTCCTCCTCGCGGGAATGTCTGCGCACGACGTGGGAGAAGACGTAGGCATGGGTGGCACCAGTGCTGCATTGAACGATTTAGCTTCTGAAATTCCAAGCGAGGATGCGAGTGATGCCAACATACTGCTCCTTCATCAATCGTTCGATCTCTGGATAGTAGACTGCTTTGACCCGTTCCTCGTCGTCGAACGTCTTCTCCCTGCTGGAATGCCGAACGAGTTGGAAGCCGTTTGTGTCCAAGTTGAATTCATGCTCGCGTCCTCGAAGATCGAAGATCTTGACACGACGTGAGTCCATCGGCCTCTTTCTCGCAGCGGCCGTCCTGACGACGTAGTAATCAGGCGGGCCTCCATCAGCAGGGGGTTGGTAGTAGTTCACGATCGTTTTGACTGCGTCTGCGGTCGAGTCCTCGATGGTCGACGCCATGATATCTGATATAGTGTGCAAAGATGAAGTGAAGTGCGGAGTTGGCGTCGACTGTTAGGCTTGTGCTCAAGTTTCGTACTCGCCTTACTTTTGACTGGAATCGCCCTGCTTATATGGACGTCCGCAGCTTACGTTGGAGAACATTGTCAGGGATCAGCTTTGTTCGTTACCTCGCACCAGGTCAAAGTCAGACGACTCGGAACGGTGCGCGATTAGCTGTGCAGAGCCTGGCACACCCAGTATACCTCAGTCGCAAGGGTGAGCTACGAACGGGAGTCCCAAAATCCGACATTGATATGTTCAATGGCCTCTCTACGAACGCTTCGGTTTCGGGCGCGAGGGTCATTGGTCTGTTTGTCAAGTTGTTCACATCGGTTTCGGATTCCCTGAGAACGGGCAGATGCCATTCTCATGGCTAGTCCGCTCGATCCCAGCCAGAATCCGCCTGTCACTGTTGGCCAAATCAAGGTCCTGCTCAGGCCAGCCAACATTGTCCGAGGTCAATTTCCTTGCTCCAGCTATTGAGCTCCCTTCGCCGCCATGGTAAGTCTGTTCTTGCGGCCATTGTTCGCATAACATCAGTTATGCATTCCTTTTCAAGCTGTACATCGATTCGTCCATGCATTGTCGCTGTAACTTTGACTCATTCGTCCTGCACATCCTCGTCGTGCTCAACTTCCTCATCATACTCCTCAACTTCCTCGCCTTCCTCGTACTCTGCGTATTCTCCGCCCTTTCCATCTTCATCATCGCTGTCCTCTCCCTCCCCATCGCTCTCACCCCCTGAAGCTTCATAATCCTCTTCTTCCTCATCCTCATCGTCTTGTAGCTGCTGTTCTGCTCTCTGGAGCTCCGTCAAGCCATCGTCACCGCCATTCGCTTGCAAAGCACCAGCAGCGTCGCCGTTTGGCTCTGACTTGGGTTCTTTGTTCACATTGTATGCTTTGGCTTTGCGATCCGCTGCCATCGAAGCATCGTTCAATCCGTGTCTCTTCACATACTCGTCGATCCCTGCAAAGTCTGCTTGGTCCAGCATGCTGAACTCCACCTCCTTGACTTCGGTGCTGTTACCCTCCGTCGCCGCGATGACCAGGTTGAACGTTCGCTGTAAGACGGAGGTGTAGCTGACGGACTCGATTGCGGAGAATGGGAAGAACGACAGCGGCTTCTTGAACCCAAATACGATGCCGTTGGGCAAGAAGAAGAGGTAGCCTGGAAATCTTTAGCGCTGACAATACCCCATGTCCTCTGGTACGACCAACCCTCTTTTGTGCCCTTGTGTGCCTTCACATGATACGCCTTCTCGCCCTTGCGGTGTGCCTGCGGTATGCTGCTCGCAAACTCGGTGTCTGTCGGCTTTACGATGCTCTTCCCATAAACTTGTAGCAGCTGATCGAACTCCGGCTCTGTGACCGTCACGTACGTATCACCCTCTACAGCCGCTCTCGTTGACGAAGTTGCATCGTCTGGCTTTGTCTCGTTCAAGGTGAAGACCATCTGCTCGCATGGTGTGCCATCCTCCGTCGCTGCACCTGGCGCGGGAAAGACGCAGAAGTTCCACTGCCGTTGCTGCTTCTCCGGGACTGGCAGACAGAAGATCTGATCGATCTGCGCATTGGAGAGAGTGTGCTCTGTCGACTCCGTCTTCGGGTCTATAAGCCTGATCTCCCTCTTCCTCGAAGCTGCCTGGTCCGCGACCAGCTGCAGCTTCAGCTTCTTGCGAGCAGGTATCTGGAAGCTGACATTCTTGCATTCGAAAGTCGTCACCGGGTTCGATATGCCCACAGATCTGCTGCTACCGTTGGGTGCGGCTTGTGCAGGCTGGCTCGCATCGTCAAGCTTCCTCTTCTTCGAGGTGCCTGATGGTGCGGTGTGTGCCGATTCCCGAGAAAGGACATACTTGGCTATGTCGCCGAATAGCCCATCAAGCTGGCCTTGGTAACGCTGCGCGAATTGGTGTATGCGGTTATCCAGCGTCTGGTCGTGTTGGAAGGCGTTGTGGATGTCGCTCGCCCATTGCTGCTGGGCCATGGTGTCGCTGAGCAGGGCGTTGATGTTGTTAAGGAAGTTGGCGTCGGCTCAGGTGGACTCGTAGCTCTCCTAGTCGCGTGTGGTTGACGTGTTTAGCTCGTCGCCCCCACTGCCGGCTCGAGCTCCGTGGGAGGCTGATCTGTGGTCACGGGTCGAAGTCACCGTGGCTGGATTCACTCACGCTGCAAACCTGATCCTCGGACTCGGACTTGCCGCAAACCACCGTGCTATTTCTCGTGGACGTTGGCTCTCATCTTCCTTTGCCACGGTGGCCGGCACTCAGCCAAGCACATTGGCAAGTAAACTCAGCGAACCGATATGGCATGTTTTGTCCTTGGCGGCGACACCTGCGGCAGTCCTGTGGCATGCTAAGCCTCTGCCAAACCACGCCTCGTAATACATCGCTCACAGACGACAGGTAGGACCGCTTCTTCGTGCGAGGCCCATCTCTCCCCTTTCCTTGCCATCTATCCATGTCCTCCCTCGCGCTGCCATTTACCATCACAACTCTAACCCGCCGCGAGAACGGCTGACGGCCCAGGATGTTACGTCTGGCAGTGCTCTCGTGCCTTTTGGCCTGTGTCGCCGCGCAGGACAACACCACCAGCGCCGCAGAAACTTCAGCTACTGCTCCCACCATGGAAAGGCCGTCGTTGAGTGTGCCGACAGTATCGCTCTATCTCCCGATGGGGGCACCGAGCCAGATACATGCTTCGATCATATCCGCGGTAAGCCTCCCGGCCACGAGAGCCAAGAAAATCTCACGCTGCATCTTCCATGTGCACCCACGTGCTGACCAGATGGGCAGACCCCCAATGAAACGGCATACGCTCTTGGCTGTACCGATAATGCCACCACCTCTGGTTGTGGATACAATCCTCCGATAACGGTTACAGAAGGAGAAAGTACCATTATCTTTACCAATACCTATGAGGGAGAGTAAGCCAAAAGCATCCTCTCCCCCCAATGGTACATGTACTGATTAAAGTCCAGCCAAACGACAATGACTGCCGAGCCATTGACAATGCAATGCCAACTCGTCGGCGCCCACCTCTACGATACTCCCATGCATGGAGCCACGTCTGCGGTCTGCACTGGAGCATCGGCAATCGCGGGCTTGGGTCGAGTCCAGTCAACTTCTACCCTGGCGAGCAGCGAGATCAACTATGTACCGGTCACCATCACCGCTGGCGCTCAGAAGTTGGCTGCCGCATCCACGATGACCGTGGACCTGCCGACTGGCACAAGTACTGCTGGGGCTTCAGTGATCACTGCTGCTGCCCGGCTGGGTCTGGGCGGCGCTGTAGCTATGGCGGTCTTGGGCGTCGTATGAGAAGATTACCCAACGGACGAACTGGACCAGGCTTCGGCAATACTTCCGGCATATATGGCATCTTCTCAAACCGGTTCGTGGCCTTTGGTCTTGGATATTTGCCTTATCCAGGCTTGGGTAGTAGGCCCTCCACAGTCGACTCGGTTGACCGTCAGTGAGCACATTGGATCTCTTGAAGACCGCGCCAGAGGCGCCTCTTGGGTTTCGAATATAGTTGTTCAGAGGGAGGTGATAGACCTGGCACCAACTTCAGTCCCATCACATACCGCCATGTGGTTTGCTGCGAGGCCAATGGATGATGCTCAAGCCGGGATGATCACGAGCCGCGACAGCGCGAGCAATCGTACGGTCTCAAAGGAGATCTGCATCGCGGATGCTGTTGGCATGCAGGCAAAGGTGGAAAGCAGGTCCGACCACACCTAACCTTTGTGCGGGCTGTCTGGGCTGGGCGGACCTAGTGACATTTGCTCAGAGTCATTTGAGTATCACATGTCCTTGCTCTCACTCTCCCAACTAGCACAAGAAGATCAGCATATGGAAAAAGCAGTTGGACAATCGACTCCCACGTGCCGGTCGTCTGCACCAACCTGTCGGCTGAAACTCCCTGCATAGCTGGCGTTACCAGGGACTCACTCGTTGGTTTCCTACACCAAATTACTTTTGCCATCACCTCTACGACTCAATAAGATTGATCGAAACGTTCCAAGACCCCATATCGCGTTGTCGACGCCGTCGCACCTTCCATTTCCGGAGAGCACATGTCCGTGCACTTCGCCGAGCTCGCTTGCAGCCACCAAAACATCAAACCGAGCGCCGCCCTTTCCTCCTCTCCGTCATCCAACAACTCCCGACATCGACCGCACCGCAACCCTGACCACAACACCAACTTATCATTTGCGAGGCGGCCGTCAACATGGATGCAGACGCGGCGATGATGTTGGCTGACCTCGGCAACACACACCGTGACCGAGTGTCTGCGCCGTTGCCAAACGGTGTCGACTCCCGCACGGCCGAGCGACAGGAGGCCATCATTCGCGCAGAGAACCGCGCACGCCGAGAAGGTATCTTACAACAAGCTACGGAGGATGACGGGCAGCAGCACCGTGCTGTGATGGCCTGGTATGAGCAGTCCACGTTTGGCGGAGATGACACCGCCGACGACCTTCAGAACCGCTTCGACGGTCAAGGTCATCGACGTGAGCTTCGGCAGCGACTGGCTCAGGAGAACGATCGCGGCCGCGAGTTTCAAGAGAACAGATTCGGAGAAGAGCGAAGCCACTACACCTATCAGCGAGGTGGACCCAGCATGCCTCGCGACCGCCCACCACCATCGCGAGCGGCCAGACAGCCATTGGCAGTCACCAACCCCAACCGCCAGCGTGCACCATCTCCACGGTCATTCGGCACTCGCAAGTTTGGTCCTACTCGTCAAGGTGCTACTCCCGACGGCGGCATCCCTTCGATCACGCAGGGCCTGGCTTCTGCTGCTCAGGCAATGTCCACCTTGGCCGGTCCACCAGCTGCGAGCTCTTCGACTACGACTGCTGCGCCGGCTTCTGGCCTCGCACATGCTACCTCATCTCACCTCGCTATACAGCCTCCGGCCAGATCGGCTTCGCCTGCTTTCTCTACAGCAAGCTCGACCTCCACGACCGAGCAGGCAGTAGCTAGTGCTCAGGCTCGGATGAGAGCTGCTTTCGCGGCTCGGCAGATGGCTCGGTCTGTCACACCTACTCCAACCCCCCATACTCATGCAGCTCCGACCGTCGCCAACCACGCCGACGCCGAATCTGAAGCCAACACCTCTCACGCTACTGATGACCCTACAGCTGCATCTAGTCCTGAAGATGTAGATGATGATGAGCCTTGGCCACAATGGGAAGCACCGCCTGCTAATCGCTTCCATTCACGGCCGAGTCCAGCGGTCGCCAGGGCTCAAAATGCAGTCAAGGCCCATCTCGCAACTCAGCACAGCGGACAGTCCACTGGAGGTGCTACTGCTGCATCGTCGCAGAACGCTATTCCGTCTTCTTCTTCAGCCCCACCACACTTGGGCCGTCGTACTGCCACGGGTAATGTCGTTTCGAACGGAACTTCTACCTCAGCATCCACCGGAGCTCCTGCCAGCGCGAGGACTACTGGTCCTAGACCACGAGCCACAGGACCTAGCACCCCGTACTTTGTCACCAACGGACTCGACTCCAGTATGACCTTTCCCAGAGGTCGTGCTACCGGGGCTGCCAGCGTCGAGACCACAACCAACGGCACAGGCACCACCTCCGCCGTTCCCAGATCCCGTGCAACAAACGGCGGGCCTTCATCCCCAGCTCACATCGCTTCGATGCCTCCTCCTCCAATCACATCAGCGCCACGTTCTCCAATTGTCGACGAAGTCAGCAAGCGTGCACAAGCTCATCCGCTTCTGCTGGACGAAAGCGTCAAGTTGAAAGCTTTCGTCTCTGCGGTTATGCGCACAGCCAGAGACCTCGAAGAGGTCGAGAAGCATTACAGCGAGTTTCCTGAGCGTCGGCCGGCACTTGACTACGCCCGGCAAAAGACTGCGCGCACGGTCGTCAAGTTTGCCGCCGACGGCGACCAGAACGCAGCCGAGACCTGGGCTAGGGGCAGATTCCCAGATCGCCACTGGCTTGTAGATGCCGCTTTCTCGGCCTGGTCTGGTGCCACCCCCGAGGATGCCGCTCATCCCACTGTTCAGCAGATCATCAAGACAACGAGGGTTATGAAGCAGGAGAACGAAGCGGAGCAGGATCTCGTCACGCCCACCGCCCAGCCTACCACTTCTGCTGGCGCCGCTCCTTCTTCTGACAGCACCCACAGCTCCGCCACGGCCGATACAAACTCGACGGCTGTTTCCACTCCCACTCCGCCTCGCACCGCGATGGGCATGCTCGGAGTGACCTTTTACGATGTCATTGGCAGCTTCTTAGGCAACAGAGAATTCCAGCTGCCAGTGCCAGTCACCGGAAATTTGTCCTTTACGTCCAGAGCTGGCGACTACAACCCTCTCGGGCTGGCTGATGCCATGGAGAAGTTTGCAAGCTTCATCTCCCAGCCGACGGCAACCGTCTAGCAAGTGGATGGCTCGAGCCAGGAGGAGCAAGCCAGCCCGCTCGCGAAGCGTTCTCGGAAGACTTCGCAGTATGACACGAAGCGTTTCAAGGGCGACATGATGAAGGCGTTGCTCGACCGGAGGTTATGAGTTGAGAAGAGATCGAGATGAATGCGACACCTTTTGCTTTTGATATTGGACGTTTCCTGGCAGGGCAGCCCGAGCACGAAGGGCCCTGTAGGATAGCAGACCATGATGCATTGTGTGATTAGAAACTGTATGAAAAGCCCAGAAAAAAAAATCCCTCTTTCCATTGGCCGACTTCATTGCTTGAACGCTTCGCCTTTTTGCAAAGGAAAGCAAGGCTCATACCTCAAACGATGCCACCTTCCCTCCGACCATTCGTGAAAAGGAGTCCGCATCGTGCCATCACCTTCTACTAATTCATCAAATGTGCCTTCGTCTCCACCTATCATCCAAATGACTTTCGTGACACCCATCCCAACACAATTACGTGAGTAACAATCCCCAGAACTTGTCCGAAGACAGGACCGCCAAAAAGTCTCCGACCAGCTTGGACGACGTAATATCTGAGAAGATGCTCGAAATGAAATTCCCATTTGCCTACCATCCGCATCCCCATGACACGCCAACCGCACAGCCGCACAATCAAACACCCACCCCCTCCGCAACCTCCCTCAACGTCTCATCCCCCTCCCCCCACCACTTCTCAAATCGCTTCACCCCCTTGCGGGCCATCTCAAAATCCCGATTCCGATACACCGAGTCGATGAGCCGGACGTCCTTGGGCGAGAGCAGGAAGCGCTTGGGGCCGTTCTCGAAATCCTTGTAAGATTTGCAGGCGGGGAAGTGTTTGAGGACGTTTGAGGTGAGGGTGGTGTGGAGGGATTTGAGGAGGCGGTGGGAGAGTTGGCCTGGGGGTGGTTTGGGATTAGTGGTGGGGTTTGAGGTGGAGGGTTGTGATGGAGGGGATGGGGAGGCAAGGGTAGGGGTGATGTTATACTGACCGGCTTTGACTTCGGTGTAGGATTTGCCGCCTTTGACGAGGGGTTTCGCGTTGAAGACGAGGAGGGTTGGGGGGACTATGGCGGCTTCGAGGAGGGGGTTGAGGGCGGTTTGGGATAGGGGTTGGTAGGAGAGGTTGAGGTACTGGAGCGGGGTGGAGTTGATGAGGTGTTTGATTGCTGGGGCGGAGGCGTCGGTGAGCCAATTGAATCGAGAGTTCAGGTCTTGCGTGGCGTAGGATTGGCCGAGGTCGAGGACTTTGAGGGAGGGGTGGTTCGTGAGGGATTCGAGGAGGGAGATGCAGCCGGGGTCTTTGAGGCCGCAGGATTGGAGGGAGAGGCGTTGGAGGGTGGTGGTTTTGCGGAGGCCAGCCGCGAGGAGGGAGATGTTGTCGCCGACGGGGTTGTTGGAGATGTAGAGGGATTCGAGGCGGCAGGTGGGGTTGGCGAGGTAGTGGGATATGGCGGCGCAGGCTTTGGGGCCGAGACCTGTTGCGTTGAGGTAGACGTGGCGGAGGGCGATGGGTTTGGAGGAGATGTTGAGCCGGGAGAAGAGGGATGCTATGCCGTCGTCGCCTAGTTCGGTTTGGTCCAGGTCGAGGGTGCGCAAGGCAGGAAGCTCGGTGATGAGGCGGTAGATGTCGGTGCAGGCGGCGGTTTGGAGAGGGTTTCGCTTGAGCCAGATGTTGGTGATGACGGGCGATTTGACCATAGCGTCGACGAGCTTGTGGAAGCTAGCGGTATCGATGCAGTTGCCCGCCAGGTACCAGGTCTCGAAACGATGCGGGAAGTCGACGATGAAGCGAGAGATCTCCTCAGCGCCTGTAGGACCGATGATGTTGTTGCCGAGCAGGAAATGCTTCGCAAACGTATTGGACCGTAAGGCCTGCATCAAGGCGCCGATATTGCGTGGTCCCGTCACCATTTTGCATAAATCAACCCGGCCGTCGGCATAGAGAACGCCTTTCTCGAATTCAATGAGCTCGGCATCCCCGTAAGGCTCCACTCCGACCACGCCGTTCGGAGCAGGCTCGTGGGTACCGCCGGTAGAGAGGTGCTGGAAAAAGGGAGCCAAAGTCGTCGGGTGAGCGATCTCCACTGGCATGGGCAGCGCAGGGGCGCCGCTCAACGGTAGCGGGTCGGACGACTCGTCCCAGGGGCCTTGGCTGCTGATTTTGGTTATCCATTTGGGTGCGGTGACATCCCCACTGTTTTGCGACATGACCGTGGATATGGTGGTGGTGTCCGCCATGTTGTGTTGCTTGTTGTTCTGGGGAGCAATCTCAAGCCGCCTTTCGCTCTTTATGAGTGCAAAAGGAGTCACAGGCTTGAAGAACGTGCTGGAATCGATCTCGAATGACTGTTATGACTGGACCTCAGCTGGCGGCCTCAGGCATGCTTTTCTCGCCTGCGTCGATCGAATCTACAGTCACGTTGCAATGACTGTCAGCACAGTCGCAGTACTCTTTTCGGGGATGAAAGACACCAAGCTACCATAGAAATGAGGGATGTGTAATTGACGGCTTGCCGACTAGGTATGTGAAAGAGTACCAAAGCCCACCCACTGAGGCACTCACAACCTTCACACTCCCGCATAGAGACCTACAGAATCTCGTTTCCCCAGGTACCTACATGACCATGTCTACAACGCGCCATTGTTCGGCAGCAGACTACATCGGGATCACAAGGATCTTCGTGAATGTGAATTGAAAGTTGAGATCTCAGGGTGAACAGCTCTTAGGCGGACCCAGAATTCTGAACATGTCCTACGCATCTTGACATTCTAGACTGATTCAGAACAGCTTCTCACGCCTTCAAGCAGCTCCTCTCCCCGTCTTCGAAGCTCTTTCTCCATCGTGGTCGGATTCACGTCCAAGTCGGGACACCGCTTCGATGATTCGCGTGCGGTAAGGAGGAACTTGTCGAAGGATCGTGCTCGATTGAGCCCGAACACAGAGTCGATGGCAAACATCTGATCATTGGATTGAGTCTTGTGACGCGCATTGCGTGAGGTTGACGGAGTGAAAGGTGAGGTGAAGTTGGCTGCGTGCCTTCTAGATTTGGAGTATGATCCGTGCCATCCCTGCAGCCGATCGGCGGCTTCACCAGCCGACAAACGCCCACCCTCTGTCTCCATCACCATTTTGTGCTCATCAGCAATATGGAGGACCGCCAAAACCTCGTGGAAGCGACGGGACGAGCACGAGAGTCATGGCGAAGAATGAAAAGGTCGCACTCTTCTGAAACTCGGCGCTCTTCTCATGGCTGCCTCAAAACGTCCATCTCGAGCTATCTGAAACACTCTACGCGCCGGAGCAGCTGTGCACTCCTGGCGAATCACCCATGCTTTCAACCTCGACTTGCGGTTGCGATCCGCTCTTGCATGCAGCGCAGAAGTCCTCGTCCAACCGAGCGCGATGAACTACCCCAAGTTCATGCTGGATGCAGCCCAAGAGGAGAAAAGTCCTGCTCGAGACGCCCTGTGACACCTGCTAATGGCTCGCACAGCTTTCGCGCCAGGCATTCTCGCTGCTGGATGAAGTCAAGACCTGACAATGCATGGGTAGAAGGCGTTTCAGCATGTGCTTCGAGAGCTAGATCGCCCTGTATCCGCTGAAGAACACGATGCAGGAACGCTGGTATTGTCGAACACGCTCCGCGTCTATTCATGGCGGATCCCGGCGTCGCGACAATAGCAAGACCCACGCGGTAGGAGGTCCAGGCGTTGGTATTCTTCTCAGGTGAAGTCCCCAGCTATTGTCGTTCACTTCTCTTCTATTGTCGAGCACCTTCTATTGTTCTGTCTATTCTTCCATCGCGAAGGCTCCAACGCCTTCAAGAGGCCTTCGGACTTCTTCTCTCCTTCTACCACCTTCAACACACCACCGTTCAAAAAGCAACCTACCACTCCTTCGTCTTCGCTGGTCGATCGACTTGAAACCAAACCAAGAAGCACCAACAACCACTACAAGCACCACTTCAGACTGCCGGACAGCAATCACTTAATACCTCAAGAAGCACGGCTAACCCATGTTCCTGCGCCTCTATCCCACAGACAAGTACGTTTCAACCAACCTCTAAGCCTCCACAGCACTGACCAGCTCTCTCAGGCTCATCTACATTCCTTTCGAAAGTCAACGCATCGAAGTCCTCGCAACAAAGCTTCAAGGAGCCAAATCCAAGACCACGCAGAAGACAGACAAGATGACGCTCTCGCCCAAGTCCCTCGCTGGCCCAGGCTATATCATTCTGAATGGCATCCGTGTCATGAACATTATCGGCTTCCTCGCCGTGATCACTGCCAGCGTGGTGATGCTGGTCAAGATCGATACAGATACCCATCTGTTCTTCTTCGACGCAGTCAGCCATGTCATTACACTCATTACGAGCAGTAAGTCTTGCACAGATAGCCTTGCAGGATCGCAGCTAACATTATGCAGTGTTCCTGATCGTCTCAGAGCTCTCGCTGTTTCGAGCCTACTTCGCCCGCAACTGGCCACTGCTCAGTCCCAACCACGGCTTCGTCACCCTCGCACTCGCCATGATCGTGCTCGGCATCAATGTCATGGGCAACCTGAACAAGCCAAGTGGCAGTCAAAAGGAGCTTGGTCTTGCGTTCTGGCGCATTGTCATCGGCTCAGGCATCATCATCTTCATCCTCGGTTGGGTGAACTTGTTGTCCGTAAGTACAGCCCATGCCAGTTAATATACAATCAGCAGCTGACAGCATCCCAGAGTTACATCTTCCGCGACCGCAAGCAAGGCATCACGGCTCGTCAAGTCCGTGCTCACGGTGCTGTCGCAGTGCACAAGACACCACCATCCAGCGAAGGCTCAAGAACGCCACCAGCACCGGTGCTCGCACAGTCGTACATCTCCAACCCAATCACTCCCTCGCCGACGAAGACCAGCAACCCTTTCCGCTTCATGTCTTCAGAGCGCCGCGACTCGGTCCTTCCATCCTACCACACCGCAGCATCAGCCACATCTTCACCCGTCAAGGAAGTCGAGCGACCACTCTCCCCCACCAGCAAGTACTCTCGTCTGACGACCTGCACCAAGAAGAAGGTCTGGGGCCCCGGCGGTTTCTTCAATCGACAGAGCAGACAGAGCCTCGCTCCACCACTTCCCGTCAACCCTTCGCAACCAGGTCGTGAGATGGAGATCTCTGCACCAATGGGCGTCAACCCACAGTTCGCACACCTCGTCCAGAGACCAGATTCTGCGCTGCATCCCAGTCGACAAGGCGAGAGCGAGGCGTTCCGTTGGAGGGTATGAGCTGGATGAGAAGGGGTTTCGAGAGCTCATCCAGCGAGCCACTGCGCAGAGGGGCGCTTTTCTCGTAGCCGTTGTCTTCGATTTTCAGCGTCGAACACTTGCTGTACTTTTTGGTTTTCCTTGCGGCGAAAGAACGAAGAGATGATACCCATTCGCTCATTGATGATAATGAAGTCCAAGAATGCAAACATTGAAAAAAGTCCAACCTTCACTTCGCCAACTTCCCTCCCTTAATAGCCACATACTCCTCCTCGCCCCCTGTCGACCCCAACCCCAACCTCTCCTCAATCACACCCACAATATCCTTCCACTCCTTCATCGCCCCACCGCCCATATCCCCACACGCCAAATCCTTCTCAATCGGCCTCAAAACCTCAATCCACCCTCCCTTCTCCACACTCCACTCCTCCAACATCGCCAAATGCCTCGCCGTAACCGGATGATTCCACATGGCCGTATTCATCGCCGGCGCCACCAGAATCCCCTTCCGATCGCGCTTCTCGCCATAAGGCAGCGCAACTCCCGGCCGAGGCTTATCGATCAACCCGCCCGTCGAATCCCATGCCCGAACGACAGAGGAGACTAAGTCAGAGGATAATCCGAGCGAGATCTTTGCGAGCGAATTCGCCGACAACGGCGCGATGACCAGCAGATCCGCCCAGCGCCGCAGCTCGATGTGCAGGATCGGGGCTCCGCGCGTCCAGGGGACGAGCCATTCGTCTTCGTCGCGGTAGATTGCTTCGACGTTGGGGATGGCGAGGAGGGAGGGGAGCGAGGGTTGTTCCGGGGATTGGGATTGCAGGAAGGTGGTTGCGGAGGGCGTGAGGAGGATGCGGATGGAGAGGTTGGGGTGGTGTGAGAGGGCGTGTAGGATGTTGGGGAGTTTGATTGTGGCGACGGAGCCGGTTGCTGCGAGGAGGAGGTGGTGTTTGGCGTCGGTGAGGTGGTCGGAGGCTTTGAGGGGTGGTGGGTGGGGGAGCTCGTTGTTTTTCGAGGTTTGTGGACTTGGTTTTGGGGTTTCGTCTTGTTGTTTTGGGTTTTGGGCTTCGAGACGCAGCTTTTGGAGTTTGATTTCGTGTTCTCTTCGAGATGGGATATAAGTTATCGCGGCGAAGAAGCAGCCCATCATGATCAGGTACGGAATGGCTCGCAGGAGTTGGGCCAGCGCTTTGTCGGTCTCTGGCATTTCCATCTTGGCTATTCGTGCATGGCACGTCGTGGGTATGGTAGTATGGTGGGTGGTGGATATGTGAGGCGGTTGTATTTCGCATTACTCATCCCGTTGTTGATTCCCTGGCCGGTGCTCCGCATCGGGAAACGGACCGGAAGCCGGCGCAGCACTCGTGGCCCGTGCACCACTCGTTTGGACGACTTCACAACGCTCAACCTCGCATTCTCTTCTGCACTTCATTTCGAGACACAACCTCCTCCTCGTCCCCCTCCCGGGCACTTCGGCCGCGCTGTTCTAAGCTGCCTGCAGTCAAGTAACTAGCAACTAGGGCACAGTTACGGGATAACTGTGGTCGTCAGTAGGTGGCTAGGACCGTGACAGGAGTTCAAGTTTCTAGATTAACAGCTGTCTTCGTCGAGACTGTCACCATTTTTCTGCGCTCTTGGATACCCTGTCTTTGTGACCTTTAGAAGCTGAGAACTTTTGGCACAGTCATGCTGAGAAAGGACCAATCGCCTCGCAGGCGACCTTTTCGAGGGCCAATCATCTTGCAGGCGACCTTTTCGAGAGCCAATCACCTTGCAGGTGACTTTCTCGACAGCCAATCACGTCTCTGATGAACTTTCGACGGAACCTACTACCACCACCGCAACAAACAATACCACTACCTGTCAAGTTGAGGAAGCGTCAACAATATAATTCAATTTGGACAGGTCGCGATGTTACCTCTTTGAGGCAGCCATCAACTGCTGCGCTGATGTACTGATGTGAAGATGCCCTGCCGGCACCCCTATCCGCATCACAGCGAGCGGCATCAACAGGCATATTCGAACATGGGCACCAGTCCTGTGATTCGATATCCTTCTGTCGCACATACTGCTTTCTTGAATTTTCTTGATCGCTATGACATCGGCTATGCCAACTGACGAACTGGCCTCGCAGATTGCACTGGAGTGGGCAGACGACGGGAACGAAGGACCACCGATATAACGCTAAAAGTCACTTGAAGCCTGAGAAGTGCCCCTGCATAGAACGTGTCTGCCATGCTGTCACACCACGCTTCATCGGATCCAGGATCGACATCTTCGGAGGAATACACAGCCTGACTGCAATGCAAAGTATATATAGACGAAGCACCACGTGCATGTGTTCGCATGCACAACTCGTCGACGACGTCTACGTTGTGCAGATCACCAACAATGGGGCAGAAGAACCAAACGAACGCACGGGAACTTCATCTGAGTGAAGTATCAAATGCGAAGGGCCATGAAGCCATGAAAGATACTTATACTGGGCATTTATCGCGCTCTATTCCTCGAAATCAAGCAGCTTCGAACAGGAACAAGCTACATCATTGTCTACGATCAAAATCGACCACCGCAATCTCTTTCTGCCCTTAGAACTTGCGGATTCGCGAACCAAGCCGCTCAGTGCGACGAAAACCACTTGACGGTTGTCTAGCAGAGCATGTCTTGGCTTTCCGATCTATATAGGCGTACGACTGGCCGTGGATTAACGACACTCGGGTCGGCCCTTAAACCACTATCGCTTTTGTGGATTCTAAGTGCCTTGCCGCTACATGTGGATGCAGCAGCGGTGGCAACGATTACGGGCTCGCCAGGACATCTCTCCCCTCGTGCTGCAGCTCTCTGCCAGCCATGGGCTGATCCGGACAATGGCGTGGGGCCTTTGTGTCAATGTGGAAGTGGAGCCACGCAGACTTATCTCTCAATGCTCTCCGGCAGCAACCCTTGTCCTTACACAAGTATTCCTTCTACAGGAACTGTCAACCCGACCGCTTCACAGACAGCAATGACGACCACAACGAGTCAACCTACAAGTTCCACAACTACCGCTCTGCCGCTCTGCGTTCCCTACGAAGATCCTGATAGGCAAGGCGAATCATATTGCCAATGCGGGACCGGATCCCCGGCGACGTACCTGACACTGGTCTCCGGTAGCAACCCCTGTCCTTACACGAGTATTCCTACTACTGCAACTCTGGACCCGAGCCAGCCTCCCCCACCAGCGCCCACAGCCTGCACGGACAAAACCACATTGCCAGGGGACTCGACTGCGTTGTGCTGGGATCAATTAGGACTTACCAGCTACGTGAATGACTGGTGGTCTGCCAATCAGAATGACTGTAGCAACGATGCGTACAATGGCTCGAGTTCTTTCGCCAATTGCTGGTACCGTAAGAAGACGACCTACTCTCCGAGCACCTGCGACGTGATCAATAACGCAGCGCCATGTGTGAAGCCCGACTACTCCGACTTCTCCAACGTTACGGACTTTTGGGTGACCTGGAGCATCTACAACTCATGGGAGCTGTTCGTCAATCTGAACTCGGCCATCACAGGGGCACAAAATGACGTCTCGGACGCGGCTGGAAAGGTCGTAGGGATCCTGAATCCGCCAAATCCCTCGGGCACGACTCCTGGCTGGGAATACGTCCTGGACGCCCTGACGTTCGGCCTCAGTCTTTACTCTGAGGGTTCGGTGGCGTTGAAAGCAGCCTTTCGCGCACTGCCCCAGTCGTCGACCCTCGTCGACAAAGTCTATCCCCAAGGTGATGTCTCGGGAACCGTGACGGAGTGGACGCAGGTTGCAGACGCGGTTGGCAACTTTTGCGTGCAATGGGCGGACTCACTTGCCACTGCATTGGAGGACATCGTCAACGACCCGGTCACCTTTACGGCTTGGACTTCGGCTGGTCAATTCACTGGTGGCGTGGCAAATCTGACAGCGCTCACGGACTCGATGGTCACGACCGTGGGAACATATATGACTGCCGCAGCTATCAATGCAACCGGCTATCTAGTAACACGCACGGCAAACGTCGACGTGAACGAGCTTCAGGACAATTCTACACTTCGCTGGTCTACCGGCTGTGGTGGAGGCTATGATTCTTCCGGTAAGTCGCATTCACAACGCTGACTTCGCTAGTTGTTGGATTTGAAACCGATACTGACCTTACCGATGTAGGAATTTGCGGAGGACAGTTCTTCTACGACGGAACAGATACTTACAGTCTGATCAACACACAAAATTTCCAAGTCAACGAAACCGACATTTTCTCCCAGCTCTTCAATTCTGGTATCGATCTGGTCGACCCAAGGCTACTTTTCTCCGGCGCTTTGCAATGTAGCCAAACTTGCGGCTCGAATGGAGACTGTGCGCCGTCCGTGGATTCGAGCGATATGACATCGTTCAATTGCCTTAGCAATGCCCGAGTATGTACGTGGGGCTGGGATACTTTTGTACGTGATTCACGACGCTTGCTTTCTCGAAGATACACAATACCAGTGTATATCACAAGAGGATATGCTAACCTGGGACTGGAATTTTTAGGGCCCATTTCTTCCCGGCTGTTCTTCGAGCGATCTACCACGATTCGGGATTGCTCAGTGCACTGATACAGTGGAGATTGGAATGAGCTCGTGCATGCCAAAGGCTTACCTGGGAGGCGCGATCTTGCAGGACACGCCCTCGGGATTCTCCCACAACACTGGAGGATACTGCAACACGGGGTGTGGAGGGCTAGATTAGGGGACGAAAGGGGGGGAAATTGTAGAATATCAGGGGTTTTTATCATACTTTGTTTGCAGGGCTTGCAAATGTCATGATGGAGGACAGTAGTCAAGGTAGTGAACGAGTATATGTTATGTGGTTGATTGACGACGTTTTGGCCCCCAAATTCTGCTTTCCAATCAGAATGTCCTTGCGTCATCCGAGGCCCATGTCGAGAGCTTCATCAATTCTTTGTAGCTCGTGTGAGAGAACAACCCTCCAAACACATCACACGACACAATGTTCTCAAGGACAGCACTATCAGCGGTACGCGCGAAGCATTCCCAAACGTTCAGCCGGATGAGCGCTGACACTCTTCCAGGTCGCCGGACAGGCACTTCGCCCTCGCCGCAACCCGCTCCTCTCGCCACGATTCGCGGTTCTGCAAAAGTCCTTCCTATCGACAGAGACCCGACAAGCGATCGATAAGGCCGTCGCATCAGCACCCGTTGTGCTTTTCATGAAGGGAACCCCCGAGACGCCGCAGTGTGGGTTTTCAAGAGCGAGCATTCAGATTCTGGGGCTGCAGGGTGTGGATCCGACAAAGTTTACGGCGTTCAATGTTTTGGAGGATGAGGAGTTGAGGGCAGGTGGGTCATATCGTTCTCGGTCACGAGATGGCTGCGTAAAGATACGGACTGGAACACAGGTCGACTGACACAGCGCAGGAATCAAGGAATACTCAGAGTGGCCGACGATCCCGCAGCTTTACGTGGACAAGGAGTTCATCGGTGGGACTGACATCTTGATGTCGATGCATCAGGACGGGAGTTTGGCGAAGTTGTTGGAGGAGAAGGACATCTTGATACCAGCCGAGAGCGATTCCAGCAGCAGCTCTTGAGGCTTCGCTGGAAGGAGACAGTCTTTCTTTCAGTATGTACATATACACACTGTACTTGTCTACGTTCAGCTTTGACGGGTCGTTCCTTCCCTCTTTCGAGTTGCATGTGCAGGGAAGTCACGATTGGGCACGTGCCACTAGCTCCATTTCGACTTCACCTCACCTCAACTAACTTTCACGCACATACACACCACACCGGCAAATTTCAGACTGATCGGACAGACACGAGGCTATTCCGGGACAATGGCACACGTGCAAGCGAGGCGCCGCAAACCAATCACGATTCCAGGGTCCGTTCAGAAGGAGAACCGCAATCCACTCCGCGCACCGCCAACCAGCAAGAAGACTGTCTCGATCAACGGCATCTTCGACCATGTGAAGGGGCCCCGAAAGGCCCATGAAGTGCGAAGTGTGCTATCTCCGCGACCTGCTGGAATTCCAAAGGCCAAGGCAACACCAGGCTACTTCACAGGCAAAGGAGCCAACCTCTTGAAGGGCAAGGTCGCTCAGCCGGGCTTCTTCGCCAAGTATCGTGCCAATGGCGACAAAACTCCATCGGGCTTGCCCTTTTCTGGTGAGTACGATACTTGTCTCGAAGCATGACGTGCCCGAAGGCTAACGAATGCGTAGACCCCGTTGCCGACTATCACAAAACGGCTAATGCCAACTTCGAGCGCCGCATGGAGCAATGGCGCAAGGAGCTAGGTCTGCGTCGCGATGGACTTGATGTCAACGGCAAGCCTATGAGGAAGGCACCTGTACCGACTGAAGCCGACATCGACGCCGTGGCTAAGGAGCTTGAAGAGCTGCAGAAGCCGATCGAGGACGACGTTCTGCACATCCAGGACCCGCAGACAGGCAACGCAACCAAGACTCGGAAGCTCGGCGAGACCCTGGAGATGCTCGATCGACGACTCGAGAAGAAGTTCTCTCAGATTCAACAACTGGAGATAGAGCAGAAGCGACTGGACGATGAAGTCGAGATCCTCAAGAAGCAAGTACTTGGCGATGACAAGGACTACAAGAAGGCGAAGGATGGCTATGAAGCTCAGCTCACGCTGTTGCAGAAGGAGGTGGAAAAGGTGGAAGCTCAGGCGAAGAGTGAGCTTGAGGAGATGAAGCGCAAGGATCGCAATGCGAAGAAAGCGTTCAATCTCAAGATTCAAGCTCTGTGGGAAGGCATCAATGACTACGAGTGATTTGGAATGAGGACATAGCGACCGACGAAGAAGTTGCGGCGGACACCTCTGATGTGACGGCTATTTGGAACTTGCTCTGCCGGAATGTTGGTGCGTCGAAATGAGGGAACATAACATGTCGCTAAACATCAATGTCATATTTACACTTAGAGATGCCCATTCGTCCTCTCAAAAGACAGTACAAACTGTTCATCTGGCGAGTCCGGCTTCCCAAGGGCAACATTCGCCCTCCTCTTCTCCAGATCCATAATGATGTTGAACAGCGTCGCACTCGAGGACTTCTTGTTATCCTGCGTACGACAGATACTTCCCGGACTGTTTGCTGTATCCTTGAACACCTCAAACAACTTATCGTACGTTGGCTCACCGGGAACCTTCTTGGCCAGCTCCTCGATCCTCCCCACACGAAACTTCGAATCCGCCAGCCAGTTCTTATCCTCGACACCAGCATGCTCCAGCAAGTAATGATTCGAATGAAAGACCTGCTGCTCAGCATTCATCACCACCTTCCTCATCTCGACCGAACTCCACTCAAGCCCAACACCCCCCGTCGGATCCGCAATCAGCATATGACAAGCCGACGCAATCCCATACTTCTCGAGCCTTTGCACCGCCTCCTCCCTCGACCGACTCTCCAACACCATCCTCAACCCCAAATGACAAGGCAACCTCGTCGGATCCATCCCCTTCGCCTTGATCGCATTCAAACAAGCCCCCACCCCAGCGGAATTGAGTCCAATCTTCCCAATCAACCCCGCCTCCGTGATCATCCTAATCGTCGGCTTCCCCGCCTGCTCAATCGTCAAATTCACCAGATTCGCCTTCTGCCGCTCATCCCAATCCCAGTTCTGCGCCAGCCAACTCCCACTCCCCGTCCGCCACGAGAGCGCCGTGCATCCATCGCTGAACAGGCCGAACGCGATCTCCGTCCGGACGTTCAAGGCGATGATGTCCGCGACGTCGAGCTCGGCGCCGGCGGCTATGCCGGTCATTTCTTCGAGGTAGTCGGGCCATTTGCGCCGCATGATGGGCTCGAAGTCGAAGGCGAGGTTTTGGACTTGCGGCCAGGTGAGTTTGGCGGAGTCTTGGAATTTCCAGGTGTAGAAGGTGATGCTGCCGTGGATGGATTCTTTGGCGTGTTTGCCGTGTTGGAAGCCGATCTGGCGTATGGGTCAGTTGTTGTGATCTGATGATATGGAGAGGCTGGTACTGACTTCTCGCGGCGTGCCGCTGCAGTGAATCTCCAACATCTTCGATGCTTTCTTTTGTCTATGAGACGGAGTGTGGACTCTTGGCTGTTGCTGATATTCTAATTCTCTTATCCTCTTCTCTTCCAAACACTTAACAGTCCACAGTTCTCGCACTTGATCACCATTTGCTGCAAGAGGAAAGAGGTGGAAGGGCGTGCTTAGTGTTGAAAGCCGGACACTGGCCGCTATCGCAATGCTGCCGGCCAAGCTCGTTGGCCGACTGCTCATGAGGTGGGGCATCAGACCAACTTGCGTGCGAGCTTGATAGCTTAAGGGGCAGGAGGATTCGATGATAGAGTATCACATGGCGGGAGGGTAAGTCGCGTTGGTCGCTTTTGCAGCTTTGACTGTGTATTCACTTACATGTAGACTAAGAACGCACAGGCCACATATAACTTCCGAAATGGGCACAGGGTGCACTAGCACTTCAAGCGCCAGAAGTGTGTGTCGTCCACGATCTGCATACTCGGTAGTAACGATCTTTTTCGCAACTCGCCGCACTGGCAGCTCCATGTTCCCCTAATCTCTGGCCAAGGATATCGACTCCATCGTCCGTGCGAAGTCCTACAAGGATACAGCGTCAGGATTCTCACTCTTGGCTCATTGAAACTTGAAGGATACCATCGTGGATCTGCTCGCCAAGTCAGCGTCCATCGTCTAATGTCGCTCTCCCTCACTTGATCGGCATCCAGTCGAACAAGGAAGTAGGATCTGCTCTTTTGGTCTGGCTAGAACAATCTTGAGAAGCACTGCAGGGGCAAAGGGCTTCATCTGGTGTTTGGCCTCTCGAAGGCTTAAGTCTCAAACGGCCTTCTCTGTATACAGAAACGGGGGCAATGTGGAAAAGAAACAAGGCCGTGCTCAACCGATATGGTCTGAGCTCTCATCACATTGACACTAACCACTAGGAGATGCTAAGCGCTTTTCGAGGAGGCAAGGTGTTGTTGCAGATCATGTTTGCTGAGGGCTCAAAACTTTGAGTCTTTTGTAGCTGTCTTGCCTCCGACGGAAGAGTTCCATGAAGGAGACGCTTAAGGAGGTGGAGGAGCACAAGGCGTCGGGGTTGTCCTGACAGCCAGTACGTATCGCGGACTGCAGCGACAAGATCTCCTGGTTTTCGTCCGTGGTACGTCCTGCTCTCGGGCAAAAATTCAATGACGGAACAAATCAGCATTGTCTCGAATGCCGCGAACGGGAAACCACACAAGATCAGCCGCTGCCGAAACACTCATGCATTATGGTCTGTCTTTCGTCTCGTCTAGCGCAAACAGCAACGAGGCCAGTCCTCTTCGAACCCAATGCACGACTTCAACATGGCCGATCAAGAGCTCGAGCCAAAGTAGGGAGCCTCCACCCGGGGTCCCGTATTCCTCACAATACTGTGCGACAACTTCCAATTCCCATCCTGCAGAAGCCACACATCGTCGCAGCGGTAGTAGATCCGGTATGTCTTGGTAATATCGTGGAGAGCGCTAGGATCCCATCTCGAGACGGTGATACTGTTTTCACGCAGATGTCAGAAACCTTGTCGCACTGCTACAAAAGTTGATTGAGGGATGTAGGCAACGCTCCTACTTACTAAGTAATCGAGCTCGCGTTGGTCGGAGTATTCAACTTCTCCAGGTACAGGTTCGTCACCAGATGCTCCCAGTAGATCCCTTCGGGCGCCGTCTCTTCGAGCACAGTGCGGACTTGGTCGAGTCCCACGGCCAATCCGCCATAGCCTGCTCCGAGGGCACTGCTGTCGTAGTAGATATCTTCGGTCATGACTTGCGATAGGTTGGACCATTGCTTTTGGTCGATGGTGAGGGCGAATTTGTACCCGCCTTGAGTGAGCTTTGTGATGGCTTGGGTTGGAGGGTAGCCATAGTTGGGCGGTGATGGTGGTGCGCAGAGGGCGAGGGGGAGGAGCAAGAGTGATGCGAAAGCTGTTGGGATATGCATGCTTGATGGAGATGGAGAGGGATCGCCTTGGGGATTTGGTTGTGAATGCGACCGTGGTCAGTGAAGGTCCCTCTTATTATATCCCTAATTGAGCTGGAAGGATGCTACAGGAGCAACCCTACTCAAGCGCTACTTCCACGCTCAGTACTGCAAACGAGGCTCGCAGGGTGAGTAATAAGCATCCCGTGAGACTGAACGGTCAGCCATTGGCATAGGATTTAAAGTAAGACATCCGTAAAAGTCAAGTAAGACTCAAGTCTAGAAAGCATGTCGAGACAGTGGACCCCTAAGATCAGCGGGTAGTACGAATGAGCATCTTGTAAGAATGCGCAGCAAGCTATTGCTGTGATATCATAACCGCGTGTTCCTGGATGATCAGATTCGCACATGGCTCACTCCGACGGGTTTGAGAGATGGATGTTGTGGTAAAGCCAAATCTGAGACCATCTCGCAAACATGCCCAAGGCGCGGAAACCCTATCCGAGACGGATGATGGATCCGCGGACAACCCAGCTGCAAACTCTATATCGCATTTGTCTGCTGCCCAGGAGACACAGAATTTTGGAAAAAATGGTGCATGGCAGGGGCTCGGGTCCTGACTTTGCTTGACCAGGCATGCTCGCATGAAGCTGCAAATTCGTTTCGCCTACCTTCTCGACTGGGCAAGCGCATGTGAAAGCCGCGCTAGCACTCACCATCATCCAGATCCATCGAGAACGATAGTGACACTTCCAGCTTTATCGATCACTGAGTCAGATGCATCATCACAAAGGCGACGGAGACTCACAATTCAAATGTCTTTCCAAAGAGTCTCGATATAGCTCTTTTTCATTCCTTTTCATTCCGAGTATTGCAAAAGAACAACTGCTGAGACATCTAGGCAGTACACAGAGAACACCCATAAGATCTAGCTCTTGTGTTGCTTTTGACATAAGGCCTAGCTTTGAATGATACGTATGCGTCAGATGATTGTTTCCGGAGCATTGCCACGATCTAATTGCTGTCAAAATCAGCAAACATGTCGCTGTCGTCGTCCTCGCCGGTTTATTAAGCTATTTTCCTGGCTCCGCCTGCCGTCGGTCTCGAAGGTTTCGTGCTTTTGTAAGCCTTTGACGTTCAATGGAAGGCAAAGAGCACGCATCCATTCTCGGTGCTTTCGTCATCGTACCCAACTCCACGTTGGAGTTCCTCCGAGATGTATCTTGTCCTTCATCAAGCATCCAACGCCCACTCTCTCGAATGTCTCCAGCTGATCAATTTGTTTCAAGATAAGAACATAGTGCATCTGTGTCGGCAGCCTTGCTTCTGATCGAAGTTTGCCAATAATCACACACTTCAAGGGCCCGTTCAAGACGTTTCCGCCATCCCAGACGATTCCGGACTGCGTCTTCGTCTGCTCCTGAGGGTCCATGTCGAAATTTCTGGCAATGACGTGAAGGGCTGAAGTCGACCGGTCTCGAACAGACCTTGAGTTTCGTACTGGGTTTGATAGGGTCATAGCCCAAGGCGAGCGGTACTCAGTCTTGGTCCATTCGATTCCGTCGAATGGGAGGTTCAAGAACTTGATACTGCCTTGATAAGCCATCCAAGACCACGAGGGCACGTACTCTCGTCCAGGAGGCATCTCGATCTTCATCAGGCTTGGAGTGTCAGTGATGTCTCGCTGCCATAGCAGACTGCGTTCCAGATATATGTTGAAGAGACCGAAGCCCCCACCGGTATCAAATGCGCGGCATAATCGCCGCTCCAACCCAGCGATGGCTATCGGCTTGTCATGGTCGTTCGTGAAACGCAATCGGCAGTATTGCTCGTAAAGTGATTCGAAAAGTACGATATGGCCGCCTTTGGTGTCCTTCTCCGCCATTCGTGGAAAGTCAGAGTCGCCCAGGAATGATGCTTGCTTGCTAGTGAGCCCGTTAGTACCGAGCCCTTCAGGCACTCCCCGGCTTGCCTTCGACGTACTTGGTCATCTTTGAAAATGTCTCGCATCGGACACCTTTACCACACTCCCAGTATGTCTGTCTTTCTGCGAAGTAGATGGTCCGTCGAGCAAGCGCGCGCTCTTGCAGCACCCACCCGCGTTGGTTGAGGTGTCCTTCAATGACGTCGTGTTGAAAGTCGTCAATGTCCTCGCACAGAAATGTGGACTGATTGGGCATCAGGACTGTCCCCCGCTGCGTGCGTTCTCCAAGGAAGCCATCGGAGACGCCCTTCGCGCGGCTTGCAGCTATGACACAGTAAGCGGCACTGAAAACTTGTTCCATACGTTCGGCTTCCTCGTTGAAGTCTCCAGCTGGACCTTGTATGATGCATAAGGCGTCGACCCATAAGTAATCTAGCCCGATGTCCCGAGTCACTTGAATCGCCTGCTGGAGTAGAGCTGGGAGTTCGTCGATTGAGATCTTGTGCTTGTGTAGCTCATAGTTTGGGATTGTTGTGCAAAAATGCTGGTGTGCTGTTCTGTCTCCCCAGGGGTACGATAAAGCAGCGAATTTGAGGCTCTGCTTGCATTCCTGCCGAAGCTCGACAGATTCTATAAGTCGTACGCAAGGAGCTGATTTTGTTCCAATTTCGATTAGCCTGGTGGGCAAGTGTAACTGGCTTTCAGTCGCTGGGCAGCAGCAGTCCTTGTGATTTTCATCGCAGTCTCGTAGCCACTCCCGCAGAAGACCAGCGTGAGCAGGAGTCCCTACACTAACGAGCTGTGGGACGGATATTTGGATGTCGCCATGGTAAATAGCCGCTTCGTCATCTTTGAGACCTAAGAGAGTATAAGCCTTTTGCTTTATGAGAACTGCAGGCGCCAGTTACAACTCACTTGCTATTTGGAAGATTGACAAAGCTCGCCTGATTTCGCCATCTACTTGCAAGACGAATCTGGTTCCCTTTCTGTGGAGCTGTATGTCATATGCATCTGAGACCGATGGGCGCTTGATCAGGCTTTCACCCACGAGATGAAGTAGCAATTTGCATAGATCACAACCAGTAGATGAAGCCTCCAGCTCGACAATCGATAACCTGTGTCTGGGTCGCGGGCTTTCTACCATGTTAAGGCATTGCTGGCATACCCGTGACTTTGGCGCTGCGGAGGAGAAGCCTGACAGAGATTTGATAGATTCGACGGCTTGCGCAGCGAAGCTATTGTCCAGTGCGAAAGTCCAATCCCGCGGATCCAAAGGTTCGTGTTTGTATTCCTTTCATTCCTCATTAGCTCTTTCATTCCTCACTAACTTTTGTCATCATGGGTAACTTATCAAGATTTCTAGACGACGTACCTTCAAGCGATGTTGATCATGTATTGACAATTTTGTAAGATCCACGCCCTCTTCATCCATCGGTCGGTACGGCCCTGATTCCACTTGTTGGGTTTGCCTTGGTACAGCCCCAATGCCTACGCCCATAGCGGATGGAGCCAACAGGTGTTGTTGGGCAGCATCCCTGGACTTGACGACAGACCGGAATTTGCCTGTGCGTTCGCGACCTGTCCATAAATATCGACTTTGCTCAGGCCTCTGCGACTTTTCTACTAAAAGCGTGAGCTCCTGGACAAGCATTCCGGCGTCTATTCGCGCTTTGCCAGAAGCGATCGCCTCCTGCGTATCAGGTAGAGCCACAACCAAGAGCTTGTCTCTGACCAGAAGGACGAGCTCCCGAATGATGCTACCTTGGTCACTATTGCACTCTGGGTCGAAGGTCAGGATATCGTTCATCACCTGGCTCATCGAGCGATTGACCTCTGCCGAGAGAAAGATATTGTTTCCAAGGAGAGTGTAATAAAGCGTCCCCTGATAAACTCTTGTCTCGGTTTTCCAGAGTTCGTGCAGTCCATCGTAGCCGTACAACAGCCACACAATCGTCTCCATCAAGACGCAACCAAAGGACCAGATGTCATACAGCCGCGAGCGTGGTTTGTTCTGACCAGTCACCGCTTCAGGTGGCTCATATGCTTGCGTGCCGAACTCAGTAGTAGATGGCGTGCTTCTTCGAGCGGTTGCCACAGGGTGCCTTTTGGCCAGACCTAGATCACCTATCTTCAAGATTCCCGGCCAGGTAGATCCATCCAGCGAAATGAAGATGTTCGCTGGTTTGAGGTCTCCATGACGCCAGTTAGAATGATCCCCATCGTCAGGAGCCACAATGTGCGGGATTGAGGTATTAGAGGGATCTCCAAACTCTTGTTCATCACCATTCGTATCTGGATACAGCGTTCTCGTCCGTCCATGCACCGATTTTAGGGCGTCGGCTAAACCTCTGAATTGGATCAAGATGTTCCTGATCAATCGCGCATCGGGTCTCACATTCGGATGCGTCTTCCAAAGTTTGTGAAGGTCACCACCGTCAGCCCATCTCGAGATAAGAAGGTATTCATCTCCAATAGCTACCGCCGCTACACGATCATTCAAATGCTTGTGTGATTGCATTTGTGACAGGGCTTCTTTTTCTTTGTTCCAGGCGACTTCTGCCCTGAGCTTCTTTCACCGACCCAAAGTGCCCTTCCCCGTCACCATCGCCAGGTTTTACAATCGGCAGAATTGTGCCTTGCGGGAAGTCGTATTCGAACAGATCAAATTCGAACACCGGCGCCAAGAAGTGCCACTGCCCTCTGTAAAAAGATTCCCATGCCTCAGAGCCCCAATCATCCTCGTGGAAGATGTTGAGATGCGGTTTGTGCTCACATTCTCGGTGGACCTTTGCTTTGCCAATGCTGTCATCGTGAAAGCATATTTTACTAATCTCGGGTATGGGGAGGACGTCGTCTGTCAATCCGTAGTCCTTGCAGAGCTGCAGGGCGTCCTGGAGATCGCCCTCTTGGCATTTGCTATGTATCAAAATAGCAAACACCCGTTTTGCTTCCTGGAAGACGAAGTCCACCAGCTCAATCGGAATCCCTGGAGCGCACCCCGTGATGGTAGGGGCTGTGATCAACTCTGCGATGTATGTGTGCGGTAAAAATTTTGGCCGTTGCTGATACCATTCTGCTGTGGTCATGCACTGCTCAAGCCTTTTGCGCAACTGTCTCTTCATGTTGGTGGGTATGTGGGAGGGACTGTCTCGAAAAAAAGGACGGCATGGTCGGAACTTTTAATTCCTCCTGGGCGATCAACATGACGCCTTGCCCGATGATTCACTTCATGCAGTGTCGCCCTCAGCCGTGAAAAGGCAACCGGTTGCCTTGGCCAACGCTACAACGGCTTTGTAGGGCGAGCAGAGCGTCGGTTGAGAACAGGCTACAACTGGAGCCGCACCGATACTCTGCAAAGGCAAACGTGGCGCGTCGACCGCACTAAGAGAGGCAACCCGGTTCATGTGCAGCCAGTGCGCCCTTCTGTTGCTCGAGAACTCATGAGGGTTATTCATATCACACATGGCGTCCATTCTGATGGACCGTGGTCTGTAAGGATCATCAACACACCAATGGAGTTGCGTTCGGGTCCTGGCGAACTGTGTCCTTGTCGACCTGGAAAGACAATTTCGATCTACCTGTATCACCGCTCTGTCAGTCACGCAGGCGCCTCTGGAGCGCCTTCTCTAGTGGCCGCGATCCAGCTGCTGGCATATCTGGCCCGACCATTCACCTCAAGGCAGATGCTGTGATTGGACCGTGAGGATCTTGACGAATTAGAGGAATGGGTGCCACACCAACACTTGCTGCACTTCAACATTGCTTCGTATGCGGACGTGAGGCGAGGGCGGGAGGGTGTGCTGCGTACATGGACGTGCATAATGTGCCGTGAAATATATGCAAGGACGGCACAGCGCACGGTGTGGGGTGAAAGTTGCCACGACTCCCCCCCGCCCCCCCCCCCCGGGAACGGCACCGTTGCCAAGACGAAACGTCGCCCATTGGGAGCCAGCTCTATACCTGGGGTCATCGCAGCCAAAGTTCAACGACGAACAGCACATCGGGAGTGCGACTTATTCTCAGGGCCAAGCTGGACGATTCCAACATCACGGTCAGATTCTAGCGTAACTCTCGGTAGAGAGCAAGACCATTCTGACGTTTCAAAGCAGCGCTGGAGACGCTACATGGACTGTCGGCATAGAGCGTGAATACTGAATACTGTTGGACAGTACAGTCCAGATGGGCAGGCTGAGACGGATGCCTGAGGCATCAATGCCAAGAGTCATGTGACTGAGGGGAGCTTACCTCTCCTCAGTCCTCCTGCTTCCTGTAACTAACTAACACAATTACACCTAGGTTGGTTCCTAGTATTGTTTATTAATTTGGTTACTTCTACTATGTTCGACACCTACACAAACCCTGTAGAGTAGTCTCAGCTCAACAAACACAATTCATTCTATTCGTTCAATTTAGCGCTAAGTTGAATATGAATATGGTCCGGCTGAATTGAGTATTTAATTCATATTTAGATCTCGGTGTGTAAAATCGGCCTTGGCATAGCAAAAAGTGCTGGTCAACGAGTATCGCAGCCTCAAGAGCATGTGACAGACGCACAGACCTTGCCAGCCAGCTATATCTATTTCCTTCTTCTAGCATTCCTCTTCTTTTTTTCTTCTCTACACACAGCGAGTTCCGGCATGACTAGCCTCCGGGCGGGCGAAGACTGAGAGCAACGACAGCCCCGACTCAGAATCCTGCTGCCGCCGAGGGTAGCGCCAGGTAGCGCCTCAAGCGTATATAATACACCCACCCGTGACGTCTACTAGCGATGTGCGTTTCGTCTGTTCTCTGTGCTCACCTTCTAGGGGCGCAAAGCTCACATCTAGGGCGTCCGAATGGCAGCTCACTTAGCTGCGCAATACTAGCCGCTACTTGACAGCTCGTGCATACCTTTACGTGTTCTGTAGTAGGACATCGGACTCGAGGGTTACCTTCCAAGTCAGGTGTAGTACTAGCCAATCACTTTACGCAAGCGCGCTAGCTCACTATCTTTCGCAAGGCGGCGTTTCAAGCCTAAGGCAGCAAAGGTCTGCCTTAGAGGGTAGCTCGAGAGCATGTGACAGACGCACGGACCAAGCCAGCCAGCCAGCTATATCTAATTTTCTCTCCAGCCCTCTCTCTCTCTCTTTTCCTCCCAAACCGCAACAAGCTGCGGTGCAGCCACCACCAAGACCCCTGCCGCCGCCGCCGCCACCCCTACGGTAGCGCTTCCGCCCCAAACGTGAGCAAATAGTTCGCGGGTGACGCCCTTCAGACACGTACGCTTCTGCCGGTTACGATTTTCACCTCCCTTGAGCGCATTTCCCAAGTCAGGGGCCCTTGCGCTGTGGCGCTTCGATTTGCGCTAGGTTCTTTATATTTATCTATGCATGTACAGGGCAGGTGCTCGGGCTACACTCGTCATCTCTCAACATCTTTACTTCCAAACATGTGTGAAGCAACTATAAAAGTGGCTCCCTCTCCCCGCTCCACCGCCCGCGCACGTAGCGCACCGCAGCACCTATGTGAAGTCTCTTCATCTGCAAATTCATAGTCGAGGCATGATGTATCGAGCGCAGGGTGAGCGCATAGCGGGCACGTAAGGCGCGGGCGCGGGCGCGGGCATAGGCGCAGGAGCAGGAGCAGGAGGCGGTGAGGGCGGTGGCAGAGCCGACGCCTGCCATGCTGTTAGAGAGAAGAACAAGAGCGCAAGCAAAAAAATTCTTATAGCTTAGGCAAACAAGCATGGTCCGTGCATCGATTACATATATACTGCCTTACGTTTTCGTTGCTCTCGTACTTTGGATACTAAGGGGGTAGCAGGCGTATAGGCGCAGGCGCGGGCGCTAGCAGCGGTCGTCGCGGGAGCTGCTTGCAGGAACTAGGAGGCCGCGAGGGCGGCGGCCCCCTTAGCCCTACGCTAGCTATATTATTAGAGAGAAGAAGAAGAGAACAAAGAATGAAATTCTTATAGCTCTAGCAAACAAGCATAGTCCGTGCGTCGATTACATGCTCGCGGCATTGCCGCCTTCCCTCCACACTCAAGTCTTAAGGGCATCACACGTGCGGGCGTGCGGGCGCGCAGGCCAGCGATGGGGCTTGTTGTTGATGGCGATTGACGGCCACTTCAGTAGCGTCGGTCATGCTGGATAAGGGCTGTCAGTTTTGGGACAAGAGAGCAGGCGGATGAATATATCTTGTAACCCGATGGAAGTCCGTGCACCTACCACGTATGCTCCTGTCACATCCTTGCGGCATTATTACGCAGTTGAAACGCGTGTGGACTCGCGGGCGTACGGGCGGTCAGCATAGGCATTGGCACAGGCATGGACAAAGCCGCGGACGCGATCGCAGTGCAGCGACGCAGTGGAAGAAGGAGATCTGAAGTCTCGAATGAGTCCAAGCCGTCCATGTCTCATGCAAACAGCTAGAACAAGCACAAGTTATCTGATACTGTAATCACACTGCCTTTCTATACATACACCAATCCCATCCCTTTAAACGCCACGCTTTCGAAATCCCATGCCTGAAGCTTCCACCAGTCCATGCATTCTGTCATGGCCGCGCTTGGGTAGTAACTTTCTCGCGGACAAGCAAATCTTATGCGTTGGCTGGGGATTCTTTGCCAATGGTGGGGTTCGTGCCAGAGAGCAGCTTCGAGTCAGACGACAGGACCTCGTCGGGTTTGTCTGTTTCGTTCGGAGTCAGTTTTTGTTTCTTGGAGGTTGAGGGGAACTTCACTTACCATGACGGGCGTAGAGGCCGAACTCTTCGTCCTCATACTTGCCCACGCGGCCCTTCTCCACATCCTCGCGCGTAAGGGTGAGCTTGCTCTTGGGCAGACCCATCGAGCCAAGGAATGTCACCGCCTCTTTCCACTCAGTGGCCTTGCGCTGCTTGTTCCAGTTGAGCTCCTCACCCATGAGGTCAATCACCTTAGGTAGCGCTTCAAGTGCAGCCTGGGCGTTGAGGAAAGCTAACCTCGTCCTTCGGGCGAGCACATCAACTGCAGTCTGGGCGTATTCGTGACGCACAGCGTAGCGAACCTCACCATCCACGTATGGGTAGAGCTCGGAAATACGCTCACCTCGCACAGGGAAGCGGTTCTCTGTGGGCGCGCAGAGAGCAGCAACAGTCCACGCACGATCTCCGTAAGATTCGGTCAAGTGTTTCGCGACCTCTGTTTCGATGCCGTAGTGCTGAATGATGTTGATGAAGAGAGTCTTGGAGAAACCGTGTGCGCCGACCAACCTCACTGCGTGAGTCTGGCAGGAGCCGTCAAGCTTGATGTCCTCATGGAAGCCCTCAACACCAGAGACGAGAGGTGGATTTGGCACGCCCTTGGGCGCCAGCTTGAACTCCTTGATAGCCTCATCAACAGCCTCTTCTGCCATCTGACGATAAGTGGTCCATTTGCCTCCAGCCATGGTCATGAGACCAGAGTCAGAGGTGGTGAGCAAGTGGTTGCGGACAAGACCCTCTGACTTTGCCTTCTTTGGGTCGCGGACGAGAGGACGGATACCAGACCACGCAGCAAGGACGTCGCCACGTCGAACATTGATCTCGGGTTGCAAATAGTTCTGTACTTCCTTCAAAATCCAGTCGATTTCCTTTTCGCTTGCAATTGGGTTGGGAGTGACATCGCAGGGAGCATCAGTGGTACCAGCAATCGTGTTGCCTTGCCATGGCAGGAAGAAGATGACACGGCCGTCAGAGGTACGAGGATCGATTAGACCCATGTTGGAAGGCGAGTAGTATCCAGGCAGAATGACGTGAACTCCAGAGCTAGGTGCGACGATTTCAGGTACAGCTTGGTCGTCCATCTTGCGGATGGAGTCGGTGAATGGTCCAGTAGCGTTGATGATACCCTTGGCCTTGATATTGAACTGCTCGCCTTTGCCGCCATCCCTCTCAGGTACCAGATCCTTGACCTTTGCGCCGCAAAGTCTGCCATTGGCGTCCTTTTCAAGACCAGTAACCTCGAGATGGTTGACCATAGTAGCACCGTAAAGAGCAGCAGTTACAGCAAGAGAAGCGTTCATTCGAGAGTCGTTGTGTGCGCCATCGTAGTAAACCAAAGCACCCCAGAGGTTGTCCCTCTTGAGCATTGGGAAGGCATCCAGAGCCTTGCTCCTTGTCAAGAAGTACGAAGTCTCAATGTTCTCAGATCCAGCAAGAAAGTCGTAGGCCTTGGTACCCGCCCAGAAGTACGGCGCTTGCCACCACTTGTTGACGGGAATCATAATCGGGAGCCATGACGAGAGATGCGGCGCAGTGTCGAGGAAGTATCTCCGCTCACGGAGAGCTTCCTTGACGAGCTTGTACTGATTGTAATCCAATTCGAAGACAGCCTTTTCCAGATACCGAACACCGCCGTGGACCAGCTTGGTGCTCTTTGAGCTTGTGCCAGATGCAAAATCGTCTCTTTCCACGCAAGCGACCTTCAGCCCTCTCGAAGCTGCGTCGAGTGCGATTCCAGAACCAGTAGCGCCACCGCCGATGATCAACAGATCGTAAACATTGTCCTCAGCACCGCTCGACTCCTGCTCGAGTCCCAACGTGCTCTTGACCTTCTCTTTAGCTTCCTGGAACACAGCGCCTGCGCTGGCCTTCAGCTCGGCAATCTGCTCTGCTCTTGACTTGATGCGGGGAAACTGAGGAGGGCGGAAGACACCTCCTTCGCCGTACGTGGGAGGAGGTACGGATGCGGCCTCGAGGCCAGGGACGTCGCGCGGTCGGTAGACGAAGTAGAGGGTGCCAGCGCCGACACCTCCCGCGAGGGTCGCGTAGCCCAGTCCACGAAGGATGCGTCCGGAGCGGCTGGCTGCCATTTGGCTGTGTCGGAGAGGAAAGGGAAAGAGAGGACGGGCGAGGAGACAGGTGTAACAAAAGTATGATTGCGAGATGCGATCGGGATGTGGCTCGCGGCAGGCCGAACGTGTGGAGCAGCTCCACTGGGATCCAAGTGCTACAGTCAAACCTGGATAACGCAATATTCCGTAGGAACATAACCTCTTTAACGCTATACTTTCAGCTTCAACTTCTAAAATTCGGTGTGAACCTCTTACCTGCCTATATTGCCTTAACCTGATCAATTTATTGGCTAAACCAGGTATCAAAAAGATGCCTTCAGACCGCAAGACACCTGGCCTTTCAGTCTCTCAAAGGAAGGCCCTTCGTCAATATGCACAACAACACCCTCAGCTAACTCAAAAACAACTCCAGCAGTGGTTCTTGAACGAATTCCAGCGCAGTATAACGCAGCCTACAGTCTCA